CTGAAAACTATTCATGTTGTTTAATTCCACTTAAAAAATATTAAAAGTCAGATTTTCTGAAAGAGCTGCCTAAAACACGTCTCTCTGCTCGAGCTGCACAGATGGGGTCGGTGTCTCTTGATCTGCCCTCGCTGATGTAGTCTGCAGCACGCAAATCACTTTTTAATGATGTGTTCATGTAATTCCCATCAACCTGTTGCGTCTGGAAATATCATGCGGCCATGTTTTTACCAGGTGTTTGTATCCAGGTGGTCAGCGATCACTGGCACAGAGATATAATGAAACAGACCTATAAAGTAAAGTACGGCGGCGTGTCAGTGATGGTCAGCAGGCGTGTTTGTAGTTACAACACATCCTGTTACATTACACAGACAAATTATGGCGTGTGCTTAAATACTCTGTTTGTGTAATATATCACATTTCTTATGCTATAATAATAAGAGTATCGTATTAGCTTGGGTAGCGTGGAATTCGCCCACACTCACCACTGGTTGGTGTTTCACATGTTGCCAGCCGGTTGAGGTCAGTTCTCCTGTAATTTGAGTGGAAATTTCTGATTTCACGAGTTGTCGGGCCTCATCTAAACACGGCATTAGTTCTGGTCTGAGAGAAGCCAGATGTCACAGCGATGTAGACCTTTTTATTCGGGGACAAAGCAGTTTTTCACCTCATGAGTTCAGTACACTGAAGGCCTCACAGACACAGACTCTGAACAAAGCAGCTGCTCGGACGCCTGGGTGGCTAAATAACTCACCAAACGCTGATTTCTCCTGTCATTTATCACCTGATGACAATAAACAAACAAGCGAAGAGCAAAGGGAATATCAATCCTTTAAAATCTAAGAAGCTAATTAGCCTAATAGATCCAAATATCTCCAGAAGCGGTCCAATATTTATGGTTAGGGTCAAGCAAACACATGCTTTGTTGGAGCGCGGGGATGGAAAAGGCCACACTTGACTGCGTTGGGTCACAGAAACTGGGGCGAGTCTTCCCGGGACTTTCAGGTCAATGGCTTTCATTTGGGAGCCTGTTGTGACCTAAACTTATATGGTGCTAACTGGTGCAGAGAGTGATTCAATTATTTGTGTGGGATGCTGGCACTTGGTCTTGATTGTGTGGATATCAAATAATGATGTGGCTGAAAATAGCAGTAGACTGTCGTTGTGTTAAGAGGACACATTTGTTTTAAACTGTGAAATCTGCTTATTCAGAACTGTGACAGCAGATTCATTTCATGGACTCAGTTTAAGGCCTCTCTTCGTTTTAAAAGGATTCTGAAGTCTGGACTCTACAAACGCGGCCGGACAGACTTTCAATATTTACATTACATACAGACACTTTCAGGAAAACATTTCTGTTCTCCGGCTCTTCCTTCCAATGTTGGCACTCAAAAAAAAACAACGAAAAACTGGACCAGTACTCCTCCACAGGTGTGCATAACAACTCTTGACTATCGCTCAGGGAACAAAGAAAGCTATGAAGGGTTAAACCATACGAAGGTCTTTACTTTACGGTTGCTGAGGAAATAAGAGCTTCATTTTGGTGTTACTGTTGATTTTGAGCCTCTGCAACTGAAATAGATGTGCACAAACTTTAAGGAGAAAAGCACAAAGTTATCCTAACACTATATTTCAGATCCTGCAGAGACGTACAGCAAACTTAGTGACGACATAAGAAGTGATTTAAATCATTATACGACTTCTGTTAGTTTGCCAACAGAAACATGGAGCTCTGACGTTTGTCTTAATCCACTGACTTATCCTCCATTGCATACGTTCACACTCTGACAGCAGCTACTACATCACTTGTGCTCTTTGTAAATATTTCTTTTATACTTTTATATATTTTCTTATCTTTACTTTATTGTATTCTTCTTAGTCCTCATTGCGTGTTATTTGCACTCGTTTGGGTCGAGCAGTCCTTCTCTTCCAGGGCATTTCAGTGCATCATTGACGATGTTTAACCTGCATATGACAAATAAACCAATCTTGAGTCTCTGCTGAGCTTCACTGCATATCAGATTAATTTCCTTCATTTCAGTTTACAGTTACAGTCTAGTAAGTTTATACATTAATCAAATAAAAAGAAAAAACAATAAGAAAGCCAAGCTAATGTTCAATATTTGCATTCTTGGTCTTGTATTTAGACACTGCTATTGTGGATCTTACATAATCACTTGAGAGTTACATTCACAGAAGGATTACTTTGTGTGTGTAGTATGAAAATGGTAACCAGAAAACCCAAGTATTGGATTGAGATTCATATCTGCAGATAAATTATTATAATAAAACTAGACTAGGGGCCAAGAAAGCTGATCTTGACATCCTGAGACTGAAGACGAGAATGATGCATCAAAATGTTCGCCTAAAAATCAAACAAAAACCAGTTTCTAAAGATACTCAAGCAGCTGAACATGATCTGATAACATAAGGAGGTGTTATGTTACCATGTCTGGGCTGAACTTTGATTTTCACAGAGGAAATCAGATAAAAATGACGACGCTGGCAGATCACAAAGAAAAGAAACTACGGCTCGCAGACGTTTGTAAGATTATCTGATCAATCCAAAGTTTTTTAAGTTTTTTGGACGAACCCACAAACACACATTTGGCAGTCTATTCATGATGACTTTTCCACATAATGCTCCTCTATTGACGCACAGCTTAGCGTCAGACAGTACACTAAATCAACATAACAAACAGCACTTTGAGCCGGGCCGAGTCGGGGGGTTTAGTGTTGGCCTTGCTGCCATCAATGATTCCATAAACAGTAGGGAAATGAGCTATGGTCTACCATCAACCGGGGTGCCGTTCCAATCATTCCCCAGGCTGTTCTTTCCCCGGGACATCGCTCATAAAATCAAGCAGACCTGAACCTAAATACATGGCCACAGGATACACCTTGTTCTCTGCGGTCCGGCGGCTGAAACCAAAGACAGAAACCGTCTTGGGTTAATGAGGCTTCTCTCCTTGTCACACCTGACTTGGATGCTGGCTCAGGAATGAGAGTGTTGCCTAATAAAAGCCCGGTATGATGTAACAGAGCCGAGGAGATGGCATATAAAAGACGGCCGATCACTTCTACTTTAAATAAAACTGTCGTATAAGCGAGTGGGATGACCCCACTTAGGAGAGTCTGATCCAGGATTTATGAATCGCTCCGACTGTACCCTTAAGATGCTTTTACTGCAGAGCGAGGCCTGTAATATTTATACGCCTGTCATAAATACAGAAAATAGTGCGTCAGGAACATCAGACACCCACTCAATGAAAACATATTATGTTCAATGCGTTTCATACAGTCTTTTTCCTTGGACTGTTTTTCATGGAACTTCTTGTTTTTTGCCCGACCAATGGTGTTCGGGCTGAGAAAGTAGGTCAAATATGCCGCTGACATAATCCACACTAAGTTAAGAGCACCGTTGAGACACCACTGAGAGCTTAACTGAGCTTTCTGAAACCTGAACTCCACTCCTGACAACCTCCTACTGATGACAGGACTATATGTGTTTACCATGAAAACTTCACTACAGCTCTGTCTTTAGGAGTCTGACAGGTCCTGGACGTCCCGTGTGCGCCCCTCTCTGCCTTCACAAAGTTATCATTTCAGGTTGATCCTCTCTGACAGAGGCTCTTACTTGTTGTTCAGTTTTGCTTTCATGGATCCCAAACCTCAACACCTGTAAACTTCACCGACAGAGCGTGTTTCTTTGGATTCTTTCCAAATGATGCGAAGGCCGCTCGCTTGTAAAACATGTCTGGAAACCATACGCTGAACCTTTAGCGCTCATGACAAATAGGTATCATAACCTTGATCTTTAAATTCCAGGCTTCGAGCGCCGTGTCGAACTAAATATACGTCGGATACGGAGACGGATGAGGGTTTCGTTTTCTCATTTGGAAACACGCCACAAAGTAGAAGAGGAACAGAGAAATTCACTCGCTTCTTAATCATCAGAACCCACACAAATAAAAGTTCGGTCACTGTGTTTGTGGTCGGATCTCTTGATGGTTTTTGCAGCTCCGGCATTGTTAGGACTAAATAGTTTAACCCCTTCGTGAGTCCTGCTGGGGGACTTTCAGACGAGGCCACACAGGCTGCTGGTGCTTTCAACATCGTACTAATGAAGTCTGAATGAAACCCCGCTCCTCTCTGCTCTCTCACACGTTCTGTCTTTACTGCTCTCATTTGGCGCTTTCAGCAACAGTTTGAGGCGAGCTTGACAAAATCCTGAGCCAATCCCATTCTTTCCACTCAGATCATAAAACTCGACCATTTTTCCTCCCAACAGAACGGTCCTTGTAGGTCTCGCCACCAGGCACAGTGCGTCCTTCACAGCGAGGCCATGGAATAATTAAGCTAACTCTTTCCACACCACATCGCAGAGGGAAAAATGCTAATATTTCTATTTTGATAAATCCGTTACAGCCCCGTCTGATTCATCCTTTGGCTGATTTCACAACAGCTGTTTACAAGAGGTGGATTCACTGCTGTGTACGCTCACTCACAGATCAAAAATGTACAACAAACAGCCGCAACATTCAGCTTTGGCTGTCAAGGTCGATACAGGTCAGAGGAGGACCATCCATCACGGCTGGCAGACAGGCCCACGTTGAACAAAGGTCACTGCGGCGGCCTCACACAGCAAGCCTCTCATTTAAGGAACCTGCTGACAGCTAAAACAGGACCGCATCACGTTTAACTCAATTCACAGGAATTATTGTGCAGTTCTTGTAAACATAAACTTTTAAAAGAACAGTCTGATTCATGTATCAGCATGCTAAATAATCTTTAATACTTTATCAGTAAGTTAAAGATGGTGGAGGTAGGATTCAGTTAAAGGAGCATCTTATTTTGTGGTGTATATATACAAAAAAGCTTTTAATATCAGTCAATAAATATTAGTTATTGATGACATTTGGTAATATAACGATATCTCTGTGTTCTCTTATGTCTGTGTCGTCAACATTTGAACATTTTTCTTTCTGACTGTAAACAAAGCCGTTCTCCACCTCCTCTAACCTGATTGGTTGTGAGGCAGACGCTGCTCCCCCGTGTTGTTCAGGAGCCCAAACAAAGTTAGCGTGCTACAATATCGGACAGTAGAAACCAACCAGAAAGTTCGGAAAATTGTCTGAATCCTCCTTTGGCCACGACTGCCGACACAAGCAAGAAAAGACTCAAACATAAACAGTCAGCAAGAAAACAGTCAACACCAAACCAGTCAACAGGAAAACGGTCAACACCAAAACAGTCAGCAAGAAAACAGTCAACCATATTCAGTCAACAAGAAAACAGTCAGCAAAAACAGTCAACCAAAAACAGTCAACACCAAAACAGTCAGCAAGAAAACAGTCAACACCAAACCGGTCAACACCAAACCGGTCAACAGGAAAACGGTCAACACCAAAACAGTCAACAAAAAACAGTCAGCAAGAAAACAGTCAACCATAATCAGTCAACAAGAAAACAGTCAACAAAAAACAGTCAGCAAGAAAACAGTCAACCATAATCAGTCAACAAGAAAACAGTCAGCAAAAAACAGTCAGCAAAAAACAGTCAACAAGAAAACAGTCGGCAAGAAAACAGTCAGCAAGAAAACGTCAACCATAATCAGTCAACAAGAAAACAGTCAGCAAGAAAACAGTCAACACCAAACCAGTCAACACCAAACCAGTCAACAGGAAAACGGTCAACACCAAAACAGTCAACAAAAAACAGCCAGCAAGAAAACAGTCAACCATTATCAGTCAACAAGAAAACAGTCAGCAAAAAACAGTCAACCATAAACAGTCAACAAAAAACAGTCAACAAGAAAACAGTCAACCATAAACAGTCAACAAGAAAACAGTCAACAAGATAATCAACCACAGTCAACTCCAAACCGGTCAAAAAGAAAACAGTCAACAAGAAAACAGTCAACCATAAACAGTCAACAAGATAACAGTCAATCACAATCAACAAGAAAACAGTCAGCAAGAAAACAGTCAACCATAAACAGTCAACAAGATAACAGTCAATCACAATCAACAAGAAAACAGTCAGCAAGAAAATGCTGCTCCCCCGTGTCGTTCAGGAGCCCAAACAAAGTTAGCGTGCTACAATATCGGACAGTAGAAACCAACCAGAAAGTTCGGAAAATTGTCTGAATCCTCCTTTGGCCACGACTGCCGACACAAGCAAGAAAACAAAGTAAATACCGGAGACTCTGGAGGAATAACGGGCGCTTAAAACGGAGGTAGACCGGACAAGAGCTAAAAAGCCGGGTCAATATAAACGATGGGGGACGCTTGGGGATCTTGGTGACCCTGTAACCTTTCTGCTGGACAGGTAAACCGCTTTAACAAAGTAAGACAAGTGTCTGTAACAGAAGTGTTTCTTGTCAAACGGACCTGCTGTAGCGTGTTGTAGCGCCATCGCTAAACTGTCCTCCCTCGGGTCCTGGACTATGTCACTTTATCCTCGTTGTAGAAGTCCTGCAAACATTGTGTTTGCTGGTAGTCTGTTGGCATCTACAGTAGCACCAATGCTTTTGACTTTCACCTTGACTGGGCCCCATTTGTAATGATCTGAAGTATTTATCTGCATTATATCTGAATTTAATTGGAACGATAAGAGCGAGCAGGAGCGTCTGTTTGTGGGCGGGGCTTGAGTGGAGAGGAGGAGCTGAGGGGAAAACTGGTTGGGAGGGGTAGAGTTTACATTCAAGATTTCTCCTAAAAACTGGAACTTCCTCAGATCCTGACTACCCCACCTCTAAGAGAAGAAAGCGTTGACGAATCAAACTTATCATGCGTCTCAGGAGCTTCTCGTAAACTACAGCAGAATGAAACGCAGAGCTTCAATCCAGGATCTAACCACCAGATACCACTAAATGTTCCTATTCGTCCCCAGTGAAGCTTTAAAAAGGTACAGCGAGTGTTTCTCTGCACCACCATCTGCTAATGTGACCAAGAAGCTGTTTTGTGTATTTGCGGCTTTTTGAGTTTTTCGGTTATTTCGCGTTTATCCATCACTTCAGTCTGAATTATGATCATTATTTCAGTTGATTAAAGGGTACCATACCAATTTCATCCCTCTAGTATTTGACAGTGGACAACAGCAGAGGCTTCTGCCAGCGGCCTTCGGGTGAACAAAGGGATAATGGGTAGTTCTGGGTAATTTTCCTATGAAAACAATCAGAGTCAATAACTGTTTTCCCTCATGGTGACCATGACAGTGATGAGCTGCAGTAATCACTACTTCATTGATTTCACATTCAGTAAAAAACACAGTATTTGTACATCGAGCCTTACATTTCATCTGAGCTGAAAAGCAGCTTTTCCTTTAGAAGACTGACCCTAATTACTCTACCAGTGCTTCTTTACTGTGCAGGTTTTCACTAATATATTTACTGTTTTCCTTGCATGGTGCACAGTAAAGCTGTAAATGCGCTCATAAAAAAAAACATGTGTTTCATCAAATTACAGACATAATGTACAGAAAATGTGCAGACAGTAAAGAGGAAGGTGGTGGAAACAGTTTTTGTTTGCCCTGCAGCCTAAATCTTGTGAATCGAGCTATAAAACGCTGCAGAACGGCGCTCTTTGCATGTTTTGCGTGTGTGTTTTGGCATTTTTAGAGAGAATATATCTGCGTACACTTCTCTCTGCTGCGCACTGGGGAAACCTGCGAATGTCACGCTCAGGTTTAAATCCATTCCCCTGTACGTCCCCCCCTTTTCAACTGAACTTTGACTTCTGCAAAAGTCAAACAAAAACACTTAGAGACTGAAGGATGATTAGAGAAAGAGGTTAACCAAAATTAAGTATGCATAAATTGTTTTAGTTCGTCGGATTTGTTTATTTACCACTCAGGGTTTCATTTATCCAGATGCCGTAACAGTTGTAAAAGACCCACTGTGATATACGACGCATGATGTCATGCTTTCCCTCTCACCCCTACAGGAGACTCATTGTTGCCAAAACATCAGCTCATGGAAAAAAAAAGCAGACGCTGTATATCTGTTATTCTTAAGTACTCCCACTTGGTGCAAGTCATAACACAGTAATTGCACTTCAGAGTTATAATCTAGGACCATTTTTGCATAATAGCAGATCATGAGCTGCAGGTTTCGAAGCCTTTTTTTAAACTATTTTTAAATTTGCATCATTTTTATTCAAGTTTCTCCGTAATAAAACATAATAAAACATAATATACTCGACTAGTACAGCAGCTGCGACCCATATGTGACTTTTATGTTGGTTGAATGTTTATTGTTTTACTGTGTCTGACTTGTACTGGATAAATCTGCACATTTATATCATGATTAATGGCAGCAGTGGGAGTATCAGTAGTTATATATAGTAATTAAAAGGGTTATTCCGTCTTAAAAACTTCATTTTTATGCACTGGTGACAAATTGTTCTCATAACAGGAGCCGTCCTTCTCTAATCCCACATGAACTGATTATCAGGCTCATTCATTCAACGTAGTAGTCCATCTGTGAAACATTTCCAACCTGAAGAAACTTTCCATTAACCTTCCCGTGTGGTTCTCGCAGCTTTAAAACGCGCTGATTGCTTACTATTTAAAAACAGGAGTAACATTTTTCCCCCGGACGTTTTTACGATCTTTTGTTCCTCCACCTGCTGAGGATTAGAGATGGAAAAAGAGCTAATCACTGCACCAACACTGGAGTTTTGGATGACACCCAGTGAGTCACTTAAAACACTCCGCGCTGGAAAGCAGCACAGCTTCCCCGCCGCTGAGTAAGTTTGCCAGTTCGCCGCGGAGTCAGCTGCAGTTGTCATTTAGCAGAGGAAAGGGGAGATGATGAGTATTAACAACTGAAACACCAGATAAGAATAGAGCCCCCCGCCGTGAGCGATAAATCTGATCAGATTCTCTATCAGCAGGAATCCTCTTTAAGATATTAGACTGAGCAGGTGTGACAGCTTCTTCAGGACGATACATGGTGGACGGGTAGTTAAAGAAATCCTGACAGGGTGACGCCACCTGTTAACCATATATTACAGTATAAATACTTTAAATACTTCATGTTGACTTAAACACAGTTTTCACTCCATGCCTGCACCAGATCAAGTCTACTGAAGATTGTCATTCACGTGTATTATCTTCTTAATTTATGCCAAGTTATTAGCGTCATCTGCGTTGTCCAACAAGAACTCACATTAGGGCTGGGCGATATGGCCTCAAATCAATATCACAATACATTGATCAGTTCACCTCAATAACGATAAATGGACGATAACTACTCCACAAGCTGCTCACCCCCTCCCACATTAACTTCATCTATTTCAGCCGCTCCAACTTTCTCTCCGTCCTCCATCTCCTCACCTGTCTTTCCCTCTTTGTTACGGACTGGATGGGGTGGAGTCACGCCTCTGACGTAGGACAGCGTCTTAAAGGGACATGAGACCATAGCCTACCTACACACATCCAAAAACAACTTTGATTTATTTATTTATTTGACACAGAATTAACCAATGTGGGCAAAATGATGTTGGTTATTGTAAATTTTGGAATCGATAAGTTTTCGGTTTATTGTCCAGCCCTACTACATGTTGACTTAAACACAGTTTTCACTCCATGCCTGCACCACATCGCGTCTACTGAAGATTGTCATTTACGCATATTATCTTCTTAATTTATGCCGCCTTATTAGCGTCATCTGCGTCGTCCAACAAGAACTCCCATCTTATCATGTCTTCTGTAGTTACTTTACAGGCACAAATAGTTTAATTGAAGTTTGGTGTGAACACAAAGTTGTAGAAGCTCTGAGCATGTCTGCAGCCCTTGCCTGGATTGCAGGACAGGATCAAATATCAAAATACACCCGTTTAATCTGCAAATTTAATAAAACTTAATGTTGTTGCAGACGTGAAATGTGCAGAAGCTATTTCCTCCATATTCTGTGGATTGATTTGATGTCTGTGTGATGCGCTTGTGTCCGCTGTTGCTCTTGTTGTGAAGCGTTAATAACTATTGTCTACAGTTTTTTTCCAATCAGAATCAAGTACTGGGTTTGTGTCAGCTGTTGCGCCCCCTGTGGACAAGGCAGTCTTCACTTCTCTTGTCCTCCACATGCTGAAAAGTGTCTTTTGAAATAAAAATCTCCTCCTGCTGACTTTTGATAGCCAAGCGTATTATTTATCTCAAGTATTTTATGTGGAAATTGTAAAAACAGGCTGTTCCTTCTGCTGCTTGGCTGAAACTTCCCCCTCGCACCAGTTTCAGACATTAATAATGACGGTAAACAAATCGTCAGTCTCATCCCTGAGGGTCTTGTTTACTTTCTGATAACATAAAAAAGCATCAAAATGAATTTCCGCCTCTTTCATAAACATCTAAAACTCCTCCTAGGAGCCTTCACACGGTCAGTGATAAGCAGGAGAGCCAGGTACAAACTTCTCCTCGGATATTATGAAATAAAACTGTCTGCTTCTCGTTGGTCCGGTCTCTTCTGCCAGGAACTCTGTCTCATAAAACCAGTTGTACGTTCTCACTTGAGTCATCGGGGGAAACATTCAGACCGCTCCGTTCGCTTTAGGAAGAAATTCAATCAACGTCGGAAGAAATCAGCAGCCGCCTCTTTTAACGCCGAACCCCAGGTGACGTGAACAAAGAAGTCATACATGAACACATCGCTGTTATGTCAAATGAAGGGGGACTGTGTTTATGGCGGTGGCGAGGCCTAAATGGCAGATTCATCATTCTTTCACTAACTTCTAATTCGTGCCCCGAGGATGATACAGCCGCTACCATCTGAAAGGTTAAATGCTTCCTGTTGCAGATCTCTTTTCCAGCCTCTCTACATGTGTTTAACAGCACATGGAAACATTTCCCATAAGTGAAGTATGACTGTTTTATTAGCGGAGCAATCTTTGATATGAAACACATGAATGCAAACTGCATGAGAGGCTGGGATTCAGGGATGTAGAGGTAAAAGTTTGGATTTTAAAGGCTTAAGTAGCAACGGTGGAAAAAACTGATTGTACTGTACACAATTCAGGAGCACGTGAGCGGTTACATAAAGGCCAGGAAACAACTAAATAACTTATTCTGTAAGTCTAAATTTAGCTCTTAACTATAGCTAATCCAGACTTCTTAAAAAGGCAGTAAATAGCTGCTATTTAACGACTAAATAAAAGTTATATAAGACAAACTTTGGCAGATGAGAAATGTGCAACTTCCACTTGTTTATTGTTTATTTCTGCCCTTACTTTCCCCTTTTTCTGCACATCCCAACACTTTTCTCGTCGTCCATCTGTAACATATTTAATTTTTATGCCCCTGGGGAGAAAAATCACACAACAGATGCGTTGTAAAACAAACCCCTGAGCCGTGCATAGACATTTTATTAAACACAAAGCTACAATAAAACCGTGAAGTTAATGTTTGCACCATCTTTTGGCATCTATACTGCGTGAGAAACTCCCGCTGGAGAAGTCGACTACTGGTCAGCGAGGAGACGATGCCATTCAGTGTCAGTCTTCGACAGCTAATGTCAAATTAAGAAATCAATTTAGCAGCCGTGGTTTCTGTGTAAACTGATTTGTTTCTCTCACACATCAAACAGGAAACCCGATGACGACATTATTGGCCGGACTAAATCTCAGATCTTATTGAAAACAGGAAGACAACACAAAAACAACAGACGAGAGCCGCGGCAACAGGATCCAAAGCCAAGAGTTTCCCTGAGAAATTTACAGGCGATTGGCAAAGACTGTGTCCTCTTTGACACGACAGAGTGTTTCATATCCTTTTGTCCTCCGACACGCAGCGACACACGGCTCTGCATTATGTGATTATCCCTCTGAAAGATGTAGACCCACTTTCAGACACCTCACCTCCAGTCTGCTGTCCCTCATGCAGACCAGGTCTAAGCCAAACACCTGGATTTGCTCCCGTCTCTGGGGGGCGACTGATCATTCATGGCCAATTAGGATCTGATCAGTGTAACGTCAGAGCTGCTGCTGCTGCCACCGCCAGAGGAACCATGCAGACCACGCCAGAAATAGTTGTTGGTGGTGGTGAAACAGTGGCCAAGGGGGCAGGGGTTGGAAATTTGAGTAGTGCGTGAGCATGAGTGGGTGAGTGCCTTGTGTTGTGTGCATGCTTGTGGATCTCTTTTGTGCCACGAGGAGGAGGAGGAGGAGGAAGAGGGGTGGAGAGAGAAGAAGGTTTAAACAAGAATGTGTTCACTTTTAAGAAAGTAGGGGGAGGATCTGAACCCAATTTGTCTGCCTACTGAAACACTGCGAGAGGGTTTTTCATCATTTAAAAAGCACCAAGGAGGGAGAGGGAGTGAGAAAGTGAGAGAGAGAGAGAGAGAGAGAGAGAGAGAGAGAGAGGGAGGGAGAGAGGTGCATTTGAGAGAGACAGCCTCTTAGAGCTGTGAGGCAGAAGTGATGGATTCAGCCCACAGAAAAGTGACAGTCTTCTCCTAACGGGCCACAGGCAGCACTCAGACCTGCCCTGGAGCCTCAACATCTATCAGGAAACTACCTCCAGTAGCCAGACTCAGTTATCAGACCACTTATCTCCTGAAACTGTTCCAACTCTTTCAGCTGGAATCTGAAACAGAAAACTGCGTAGAGTTTCTGACAAGTTAAGCCTCTGTTGGGCTAATGATAGTCTTTTAATAACAGGCTTTAAAACATCTCGACTCTCCACTGCTGGAATGGACTAAGGTGACAAAAAGTGAGAAACAAGACGGGTAAGAGGAGGACTCAGGGGTGCAGGTTTCACACTTGGGATGACTTTCTACCAGGAGGAACTTCAATCATCTTTGCCAGGAGGGCAAGGCAACTGAGGGAGCCTCATCCACACTCTACAGCTCGATCACGTAAGCACTGTGCAACCTTTGATTCTTAAACACGTCAGACTTATTTACAGGTTAGATAAACATGTTTTAATCTTGTTTTGATTATATTAAAACATTACCTCATTTCTCTGTAATGATAAACCCTCCACATCTGTAACAAGTGATCAATCAGACCAAACGAGATTTTTTAATATCATAAAAGTGACCTTTGTTTAAGTTCGACTCTCTTGGCTGCAGCACTTTACATAACAGTGACTTTTTTCACTCTTGAATTCATCACTTGACATGCAGCATCTGGTGTCTGACTCACACTGTTTGGTGCAAAAGGATAATTCCTCTCTCTGATGACTAACCGGGTAGATGTCTTAACAAGACTTGGCCGAGCGCAGGGGGATGCTGGAGAGCCGGCTCTCTGCACCCCTAAAGGGGGTAAAATCTAAGCACATGGGTGCTGAGGAGAGCATGTGAAAGATGATACTGTACGGTGAGAGCGGCGTAAAATACATGCTGACACTGAGGTTTTTTCTTCATGTACCATTTACCCCTCTGAAGGAGATAATGTAAGCAGCCTGCAGCTTCAGGATGTTCCCCTGGGCTCAAGGGGACAGGGAAGCAGGCGGCTGAATCCCGTCTTTGTTTCCGTTGCCAGGGGAAGTGTTTGGATAAGGGGGCTTTGAGGTAAAACACTGGAACTTATCGAAACAGTTCCCGTGACCCCCTGCGGAAGAGCGCGCCAGACAGAAACCGAAATCTGAGGGAAAACTCGAGCTCTCCTTGCAAACAGACCACCAAACCGAGCAGGTAGCTGAGGTTAATCATGTTCCAAATGTCATGTTACACACTCGCAGGGATTACATGCTTGAGGAAAGAATGAGGTCACCCTACAGGTAATGTAATAGTGCAGATTACCATGAGCAAATTGAATTTGACTCTGATCCAACACATATTGGGTGTCATGCCAGAGACTGCCAGTTCTCCACTGGGCTGGCCCTAATTTGAACATGCAGCACAAAGCCGTCCCGCAAAGTGCCCGCTTCTTTTCAGCTACCGACAAATTAGGTGCAGTGTGGTCATGTTGTGATCTCCTGTTGCGGATGGTGATGATGTGATTACGAGGCATTCGCACAGAAAGTAGGACACTGGAAGTGAAATGGGTCAGTCGTTACAGTGTGTCTCACAGGTACCGCGGGGATAGAGGGAGTAGCGGGTCCTGCTGCATCTGGAGGGTCCGGCTTTCTCTCCCGTCTGCCACCGCTGACTCTCCAAGAGTGTACGGCGGCTCGCTCTAATGAGGTGACGAAGAATGTGAGGAATGCCATGCTCCTGCTGAAATGAGAGGGGCTGGGGTGAGATATCAGCGAGTCTTGGGCTGCCCACCTTCTAATTAATATGTGCTGAGGATGACCAACCAACGGGGCTGAGACACACCGACCTGCCCACATGAAGGAGCAGGAGCAGGAGGAGGAGGAGGAGGAGGACAGGTGTGAAGCAGACTTGACTTGGAGAAACCTGCCCCAATCAGAAAACGATGAGTCTATTTGTCATCACGCTGAAGACAGAGATGACACTCCTCAGCAGCAGTTAATCATTACTGCCATTGCCCAGTCAACAGCAGCTTGTTAAAGTAAAGTGAAGTTAGCACAATAATGAGCTGCAGGGTTGTTAACAGCAAAGACAGAAGAGGAGGAGGAGGAGGAGGAGGAGGAGGAGGCTCTCTGTTGTTCCCTCTGGCAGACTACAGATGGGTTAATAACAGGCTGTCTGAGTCGGGCAGATGGGACTCTCTCTCAGGTTCCTGGGAGACGGAGTCAAGCGTGTGTTTTTTTTCCACATTAACAGAAAAACACTCGCAGACACACATTTTCATCACAAGCTGCAAACATTTTCTCCTCGGCAGCTTTGAAGTGAAGTGAAGCCTGGAGCAGGAGATTCCGGGCTAACGACGTCCAACATGGGACTCCTCACGACAGAGACACAGAGCTCGTGTTCCAGGGGGAGAAACCGCAGGAGCCGCTGGACAAACACAGTCATCAGCACATTACAGGGGACAGGCCTGAGGCTGCTCTATTATCTCAGTGTGGGCTCCACCAAAAGCTATAATTAGTGGGCAATTCAGGACTTAACCTGAGAGACAATTTGATCGAAAACTGATAAAAGTTGCTCTGAAAGGTATTTATGACGTTACGATACTTCATCAATCAGCGTCTGCTGGGGTGACGTCACACAGCCGGGCTTTGTGCGGGGATTAGGACTCTGCTGACGGACAGCTGCAAACAGAGAGCGCCCTCTTCTTCTTCTTCTTCTTCCATGATTCTGATCTCTGTACGGTCAAATCATGATTTTAGAAAGCCTGACCGGTTACACAACAGCAGCATGTGAAAACTCCAGTAAAAAGACGTGTTTTCAGAGTCCACTCTAGACAGATAGAGCCAGAAGGGTCCGATGTGCCAGGGGTCATGTTCTTGGAGAGCGCTGCATTTCTTTTCTCCACGTCTCAGACATAATGTGCTGGCAGTACGCCCGGAATAACGAGACAAAAACATCTCCGCTGTCTTCCTAATTCTGTTCTGACGAATATGTGGGGTACACTATCTCTTAGAGCGGGAGGAACCAGAACCAACGCCTGAGGGAAGCACTTTTAAGATGGGCTATTCTTTCATAAGCCGGCGTAGGCCTCCTTCGGACTCAGGGTAGGTGGTGTCACGCAGGACCCCTCTGTAATCCAATCTGCAGCAGCTTTCAATTAACGAGCCGCGGGAGTTCAGGGTCCTGATATCCTCACACAGGAGCTACATTCTCTGCAGCATCACCTCCAACTACAACAGAGCCTCTAAATTGTTCATATTCAGCTCGCTAAAAACACAAAAACTGCACTTTAAGTTGATGTCTGAACGCCTCACACTCCCCTGTCTTTGGTAAGAGCTCTGCACAGGACTGATGTAACGCGCTCATTGTTTAAAACTGCTCCTTGAATAGCATCATCTGGTGGTGTCTCAGATTTTCCATAAGCAAAGATGTCCAGGCCTGCAGAGAGGAGCAGATAGGAGTGTTTCAGTGTGTCAAAAGACCAGCAGTGGCAGTTACCCAAGAAAACCTGAGCCAGCCCTGCAGACTCAGCTAAACACACTCCACATCGCTGACTAAATAGATCAGCACGTCATTAGACAAAAGAAAATATTTGTCTTCGAGCAGCGTCCGGATTAGTAACTTTCAAACCACACGGTCTGAAAAAAATGTGTTGGTAGAAACCTGATTTAAACAAATCATGATGGAGACCAGATGTATTCAGTGATAGCTCAGAGCAGGAGGTAAAAGTGTGCAGGGATGTACAGGCCACTCTGTACTCTTATTATATGTTTCCTGTCATGGAAAGTCCGAGCAGCAGGGAGAGCCGGAGATTTCCTTTCAGATCTAATCTTCTCGGGTAGCTCTGTTTTCTGGAGCTGTAATGATCTCCAGCCTAGCGCCCTCGGATGTGAATGCACGGGGTTTCTGAGCTGGCCCAGCTCCTGGCACGTCACAGAGGAACCCAGCAGTGCATCCTGACACATAGGACTCCATTGATGCTCTGTCAAAATAAATAAGGAGCTCCTTCTTTGACGGGTTTCAGTTAAAACGGCGGGGAAAGATGTATCAAATTAGGCATGCATGTGTAGTCTTCATTCTTCACGCAACAAAAGTGGGTCAGTTATGACAGCTTTTTTCATTACAACACGGTCATGTTCTTCATTTTCTCTCCCCGTCTCTTGGCAGGCTTCGGTGATTTGGACACTAACTCATGGATCCCCCTTCGATGATCCTTCTGGGGCTCCTTCTTATTTATGGACTATCCTGCGGTGTCCAGCAGACGCAAGGAAGTACGTCAGACAGCGGACATGGCAAGGACAAGGTCCAAGAATTTGAGAGCAGCGAGGATGGTCTGGAGAGAGAGTTTCTCTACGCTGGAAGGAGCAAACGCGCTCCGGCCGACCAGCAGCAGCAGGACAAATGTTCGTACACTTTCATCGTGCCGCAGCAGAAAGTGACCGGCGCCATCTGTGTCAACTCCAAGGAGCCGGAGGCCATGCTGGAGAACCGTGTCAACAAACAAGAGTTAGAGCTGCTAAACGTGGAGCTGCAGAAACAGAAGAGACAGATCGAGACCCTGCAGCAGCTGGTGGAGGTGGACGGAGGGATCGTCAACGAGGTCAAGCTGCTGAGGAAGGAGAGCCGAAACATGAACTCCAGAGTCACTCAGCTGTACATGCAACTGCTCCACGAGATCATCAGGAAGAGAGACAACGCCTTAGAGCTGGCGCAGATGGAGAACAAGATCCTGAACCAGACCTCTGAGATGCAGCAGCTCACCAGCCGCTACAAAGATCTCGAGCACAAGTACCAGCACTTGGCGTCTTTGGCCACGAACCAATCGGCTCTTATCGCCCTCTTGGAGGAGCAGTGTCAGAGCCGCCCTCCTCCTCGCCACGTTCCGGTCCCCCAGCCACGGCCTCAGCCTCCTCCGGCATCCCCGCCTCTAAACAAGCCTTTCCCACCACCTGTCCTCCCACGAATCAACAACCCAATCAGCAATGAGATCCAGAGCGACCAAAAATCCCAACCACCTCTTCCCACTATGCCCACTGGGACCCACAGCCCCTCCACCACTGACAAACCCTCTGGTGAGTCTAACCACAATCACATCTTTAAAGAGTTCCAGATTTTAAGCTCTATTTTTGACAGACGCTCACCAAACATGCCAGTAACGACCACAATCAGTGGTCAGAGACAAAGAATAGTGTGCTGCGGACCAAATCGTGGATCACATGGAGATACCAGGCACCCATTCTTCCAGTCATCGCAAATCTGAATACATCCCACACATTCCCAGAGCAAAAGGGCTCTCAGGGAGAACAGAAATGCTTTTGTCCGCCGCAGCCTTTTGAGATGCATATCATCTAATGATTCAACGCCATGAGTCAACCGCCCTTAAAAAAAATCAGGATAAACATTTAAGCTAGAATATAGACAGATGGATCCTCGCTGATGAGGCCAATGAACACAGAAGTTAGTGGATAATAAAGCGTCTAAATTAAAGAGTAATCTGTAATGATCCGCTGATGTTTCCTTTCCCAACCTGACTACTGGGAGTTTCTTTCCACTGACACTCTGTGACACAGTCACACCAGGCTGTGTGTGAACGGTAGTCTTTGTACTTTGTAGGCAAGTAATTTCCTGCCCACAGCCACACGGCTAACACCCTGAATTGTTACATAAACTCTTAACACGAATGGAGAGTTTCACACAATGTCAGAGAACACAAACCTGAAAGAGCGGCTGAAAGAGGGGATGGTTGTCTCCGAAAAAAAAGGGGGAGGGGCCGAGCGCGAACAGATAGAGATACCAGGAGTCGGTGATGTCATTTGTTCCACTTGCACCAGGCGAGAATCAGTCATATGTTCCACCGAGCTGCAGACTTTATCAAGCAGAACAGACCGAGGCAGGGCAGGGCAGCGCTCCCTCCGGCTTGTATCTCAACAGAGAAAATTCCTCAGATTAAATGGATGGCAGAGAGACAGCTATAACCCAGAGTAACTTCATATAAAAACGCACAATCTTCTGGCTGTTTCTGTTTATGTTTGGCATCACAACACAGCAGGATCTCATGACACACCTCCTCTTTCTTTATCTCTCCTTAAAAACTTGTTTTTCCCTCACCTCTGCCTCGACTCTCTTTTCATTTGTCTCCATTGTATTTAAACACTTTGTAATCCGGGCCAGTTGGCAAACCGCGCAAGTGTGAAATCTTGAGAACTTAAACACTTTCACAGCCAATTGAATCAGGGGAGCCAGTTGCCCCGTTATTTGGCGCAGGAAAAAAAGATTCACTGATTTCAGACATAAAAACTGACCTCGCACGAAAGCTACAAACTTTAGCAGCATGGCTTCTATTAGTGTAATTTAAAACACTACTCTTGTTCGACAAGCAGCTTAGTAGTGGCTGTCCTGTTACATTACATAATAACTATTATATTTAAAAAAGAGCAGATGAATACAAGGTTTTTTTTGTGCACATTGTCCTCAAGTTAACTCAATCCCAGCTTTAAAAGATACGATGTGAAACCTGAACCTGTAAGCCTCCACTTTAAGGATGTGTCTGTATTATATAAACTACTAAAAAAACTAAGTCAAATAATCCCGCACTGTGCAGCGTCCCAGATGCTTGAAACTTCTTTGCTACTGTTTCCTCATTCAGCAGTCAGAATTCCCTTTTTGCCGTCATGCCAGTGTTTCTTTTGGCCGCGCGATCGGCAGCCATTTCCCTTGTGAGAGAAGACGCCAAAGTCAATTCTGCAGTTAAAATGAGAGCCTCTGTTGAAAAATGGGATTCCCTGTGGCAGAGGATAAAAACCTTAGTGTCACTGAGGTTGCTTCTTCTTCTTCTTCTTCATTCCTCTCTCTTGACTTTAACTCGATGCCATCTCTCTGTCCAGGTCCGTTTAAAGACTGTCTTCAAGCTCTGGAAGATGGCCACACGTCAAGCGGCATGTATCTGGTTAAACCGGAAAATGCCAACCGACTGATGCAGGTGTGGTGCGACCAGAGACATGACCCAGGTGGCTGGACTGTGATCCAAAGGAGGGTGGACGGCTCTGTCAACTTCTTCAGGAACTGGGAGACCTACAAGGTGAGACAACCTCACACCAAATCAAAGACCTCATAGTGTAGAGGGAAGCTGGTGGCTTAAGTAGGTCGTTTTCACCAGCCAGATGTGAAGCTGTAATGAATAGGTAATTGTTGGGGTTTTTAAAAATGTCTGATGCAGAAACAGCCTCGGTCCCAGCTGAACTTACATGACTCATTAGTTCCAGCGACATCAATTGGTCTTTGTGACTTCACACCGAAATAGAAACGAGGAAACTGGATCTTCAAGCCACTCAGCAATTCCTCGTTTTCTCCCACTTGGCCCAGATCCACGGTTGAGATCTTTCCAAGACTTTTATAGAAACCTTCAAACCATGTTGTATTCGATAATGCGCTTTTACATTTATCCAAACGGGTGTTTCCAAGATTCAAAACATGTGCGGGGTAGGAGATACCACAAACCAACTTGAAGTGTAAAGCCCGAGCCAGAGAAAAATCAGCAACCATCCAGTCAGGTTTTACACCATATGCAGTTAATCCTGCTGTGTTTTCAATAACAGAAAAATAGAGGAAATCTGGACACCTGATGTTAGCTATAAACTTCACTCCGAGGGTTCATTTATATTAATGTTCCATGACAATAAACGACCCCATAGATGGGCTCGACTCTCAATTACCTCCAGACCGTGAGGTACGACCCGGGCTCACCCCTGAGACCTTCAAAGCGACTGTTTTAAAAAGAGCATTCAGCATCATGTTTTTGTTCTGCACTTCACAGCAAGGCTTTGGCAACATCGATGGAGAGTACTGGCTCGGTCTGGAGAACATCTACTGGCTGACGAACCAGGGGAACTACAAACTACTGGTCACACTGGAGGACTGGTCCGGCAGGAAGGTGTTCGCGGAGTACGCCAGCTTCAGAGTGGAGCCTGAAGCAGATTTCTACAAGCTGAGGGTGGGACGTTACCACGGAAACGCCGGGGACTCACTCACATGGCACAACGGCAAGCAGTTCACAACACTGGACAGAGATCATGACGCGTATACAGGTAAGACATCTTATATCTTTACATCTACACGCATGATTGCGCTCCAACAGCTTCATTTATTCATTCATGATCTCAACGTTTCTAGGAAACTGCGCCCACTACCAAAAAGGAGGCTGGTGGTACAACTCCTGCGCTCATTCAAATCTGAACGGCGTCTGGTACAGAGGAGGACATTACCGCAGCCGCTATCAGGACGGAGTCTACTGGGCGGAGTTCAGAGGAGGAGCCTATTCGCTAAAGAAAGTGGTCATGATGATCCGTCCAAACCCAAACACCTTCCACTAAGCGCCCAAGAACCAGTACTGTATTCTGAACCGAGAACTAACAGGACAGCTCCTTCAGTTCGAGCACGCATGATCGTCTTTGTTTAGCAGATGGAGCCCAGTCAAGAGAGATGAGAAGGAAAACGTTGAAAGTGCAATATCATGACGTCAAACAGAGAAACTGGTACCTCATGACAGTCCAGACGGTGCTCTTTGTACTCCATAACCCAGAGTCTGTACCATGTCCCCTTTTAAACGTAGTTTTGAGGATGTATGGTGATTGCTCAGGAGTTGTTTTAAATACACCGGGTCTCATTCATGAACCGTGAGTAAATCTGTGTGGAAATCAGCGGCACTTAAAAATCCTCTATACTAAAAAACCTTCACTTACAGATCTGACACGTGCACATACATGATCACCAGTCATGAGTTAATTCACAGTCTCAGGGTTCCTACACAGTTGGAATTTCCATACTTTTCCATGCCCTACTTTTTAGATTATTTTTGGATTACTCTTCTATTTTAGAAAACAGTATTTTAGGACGGTGGTTAAAGTCTGGAAACATAAATATTTTTCCATACTTTATTTTTCATTTTCCAAACTTTTTAAGACCTGGAAATCGATCACATTTATTTCCATTCTTGCGTAGGAGCCCTGCAGTCTACTCCCACTGATCCAGTCAACAATAATCATCATTGATCGTGGAGACAACATATACATTAAGTCATTTTAAACCCATTCTGTGCATTATATATAATGTATTCATTCTAGTTGGTGTTAGAACTGACAGAAACGTAGAAACTCAGATATTAATGAATGTTGGATCGTGTGTAAAATTCCTAAAAACACAAATTGATTCTCTCGATTCATGAATGAGACCCGCTTTATTTAGTCTAAACAAAAACATTAGCAGACAGTGCTCTTAATTGACCAACTAGTACTGTATTTGAGATTAACATTTACCTAGCTTTGAGATAGGAACCCTACACTTTATATTTAGTTTGTATGTTAATTTTTTTTCTTTTGTTTGTTAGTTTTTTTTTTCCTCAAACAAGGATTGACACAGGAACCGATTCCAGTGACTTAATTTCATTCTGAAAACATTTTTTTTTAAATGTGTAATTTATAGACACAGTAACATTTATTAACTTTTACTACAGGGTTAATATTCTGGCCAGTTTTGTCAGTTACATTATACTAAATATATTACACAAGTATTGCTGTTGTCAAAATAGTTTGAACTGCTTGGAGAGGTACCCATCAATTTGCTTGTATGAATCAAGCACTGTATTTACTGTATAAATTAAGCAATTGTTGGTGTCTGTAGACCCGACACACTGCGTTTGTACATAAGATATTTGTAATATAATGTTGTAAAACGTGTTATTTCTCTTTTCATTTGCAATAAAAATGTACAGCCTGTGTGTTTTTCTTCTTTGCGCCTCTTTTGTGTAAAAAACTGTGAATAGATAAAACCATCTATAACAGCTGCCAGTCGTTTAAACACGACATCTGATTCAAAGTGAAAGAAAGAAAGATGTGCATTCGGATATGTAAGTCTTACATCTAAATCAATCCTGGAGGGATTTAGTCATTTAACAAAGCATTGGCTATTCTGTGTAGACTACACCCACTGAGTCAGACTAATGTCAAACCAACTCAAATCAGCCTATAAGACTGAAAATATAAGAGTCAGAGCTCATCATCAGACAAATATTTGTTTTAAACTCTGTGAACTCTTAGAGGAGCATTTATCTGCTCCATATTGACAAATGAATAAAATAAGACGGGGAATGACTGAAACGGTTCAGATCTGGACATTTTGATGGTCACAGGCTGGTGGAGGGGTCTGGGCCTCCTGAAGTCAACCACTATCTCCTTGGTTTTGGAGGCAGGTAGTTGGACTGACACCAGGTGACAAAGTCATGGATGAGGTTCCTGTTCTCTTCCTCCTGACCGTCCCTAATACACGCCACGATCACAGTGTCATGTGAGAACTTCTGCATGTGGCGCAGCTCTGAGTTGATGCCTAGTGGCCGTAGGTACAATCATGAGAAGATAAATTAAGACAAAAGAATAATGATGGTTAAATATTGAGTCTACTATTACTCAAACGACAGAACATTTGTTTGACTTGTGGTCTACAGTTTCAGTCTGAGTCCTGACACACTGGATTTAGTTATGCTGTTCGACCTTCACGTCACCGGTTATGAAGTTTCCTTTCAGCCTCGACTAAAGGAAGCCATTGTTTCCTATAACTTCAATCATGAGCTCCTGTTGGAGCAGTTTCTTTCATTTGAGGACCAAGGATCACATGTCCAGTAAAGACTGGTTGCTGCCAAACACCTCAGTAAGTAGAGGTCTAAGTGCCAGGAACAAGCTTTCCAATTTGGGATTCCTCACCTGCCTCTTGGAATTACTTTTGACCATCACACAAGCGTGAGGGTGACCTCGTCTCTTCTGCAAAGCTCTGATGAAGGGGTCAGTGTTGACTCTTGAATCTTGCTTTATACAAAGGTCACATAAATATTATCCTTATGTCTGTTGACAGCTGCCGAGTCCTGATTCTGACACCAAAAAGTCCAGAGGAATTGAAGCTCACATTGGTAGAAGTGGCGTCTCTAGTAGATTGGAATCGTTTTCCAAATTTTCCACAGCGCTCTCTGAAAATGTGAATTCAGACCTCTGCTCCCTGGTGGCACAGATAGATCACTTTGCACATACCGTGTCCAATACTTTCATGAACATCACGCAGGATGAGAGTAGCAGCTGTGGGGCGTTTGGAGAGAAGCGCTGGATGTTTTGCACCCTCTGGCATGGCGGATCTTTCCAACAATCCTTCAACTCTCGAGGTGCAATCTAGCAAAGTGAGGTCAACTGAGTCCAGCTTAGGTTTCGTCTTAACAGACACATAACTGCTCAGAGCCTTCTTCAGGAAACCATTGATCTTGACAAAATCATATGACTTTGTTTTTGCAACCATCAGCTGTTCCACGCTAAGTGTTTTCTTTTCCAAAGCAGATTCAGACTTTTCCATGTGCTGTTGCATAACAACCCTCAGTCTCTCTGGATCCTTTCTTGACTGACTCGTGTGGAGTTGTCGCTCTTTTTTCTCCGTCAGGTGGATTAATACTTCGTTAGCTCTAAATCCACGTAGCTGCTCTTCTAGGTCTGTCCCAACATGAGTTCACTGTTCAGAGCTCACATTGACTCTTTTGTTGCTTAATGCTTATTAAGACATGATGAGACAATTCTTTGCTTTTCTCCACTAAGCTGATTTATGGGCCTTCGTTCGCACTGATGCGACTATGATTTGTCATGTTTTACTGAAAGTGCCAGAGTGACGGTCTATGTCTGAACTTCTTTTCTGGCACAGATTGAATCATGAACGTTTATTTCACAGTATTTTTCTGCAATTACAACATTGTGGTGGAGTGATCTGTTTGCTAAGGGCCAATCAAGGCTTCATTATTACGAAAACACAATTGGTGTTGATAGAGATGCTTATCAGGACACTGAGCTGAACTGAACCGTTTTTAGTTCTGTCTCGCCTGCAGCTCATACCGGGCATCTTCTTGTTAAACACGTTTAATATACAAACACTAAAAAAAACACCACAAACAAATCGTCATTATAACTGCGTGATGTTATCCAGACGGTTTGGTACGCACTCACTACATGAAGGTGCAACTATGAACTACTGAACTATCGTGTGAAAATGACCAAACTCAAACACCGAGATCTAAGGATGTCCGAACCAAGATCCATGTTTTTGTTACATTGCCTGAGAAGACTCCGATCAATAGACATCTGTAGTTAGACGCTGCAGATGTTTTATCAGTCTGTGGTGTAGATCTACAGTGTTCTGTTCTACGCTGCAGTCTGCTGGGGAGGACGCATCAAACGACAAATTTATCGACATCGACAGGAAAGGAAAAGAAAGTGTACAATCCTGCGAGTCATTGCAACACCGGCTCAGGAGACAAGTCTGTGTAATAAACTCTTGATAAGATAATCTGTCAATAGTGAGGTATAACTTTATCTGCAATATCATAAAATTTCCTGTTATTATACAATCTCTCCTTTCAACATAATAACGGATACTTGTACTTCTCGTGTCATTTCCTGTCTTTGGTACGAGGATCTGAACCTTTCAAAATAATGCTTTCACACCGGACATGAACCAAACCGTGATTCAGTTTGGTCCAGACCAAGACCACCTCTTTTGGTCGGACCAAAGTCCTGGGAAGGTTTCATGCCTATCAGTTTGGTTCAGACTAAACAGAAAAGCCTGAAAGTTCAGACCAAACGACGTAGGTGTGAAAGCCTCCTCAGTTTTTAGGATTTGAAGAGGAGCTTGAGTTTCATTCCACAACTCAAATCAGCTGATGTAGACTTTATGTAAACATTCATCTGCTGGTTCCCTGAACAGAGTCTGTCTGCACAATGATCATGCTGGTCACTCTATACACCAGCTCTGCTTTCTCCTCCCTGCTTTCCTTTTTTTAAACACTCATGCTTTTCTATTGTGGACACAGAAAAGTGTTTGGAAAATACAAAAGTGTGACATCGTGAAAATACATCAACGAAAACAGCCAATCAGAACTGAATGATTGAATGTTTTCCTTCACACAAAGATGACTTCAGGAGCGCCGGCTGCATTAACAAAAAAAAAAAGCAGTCTCGAACATTATCAAGATGGGTGTTTGCATACGGAGTCTACACGCCAGGAAATGACAAATGAAATGTGACAGGCTTGTAAAACTAATGCATCCAGCAGTCCTCTTCACTGACAGCAGAAACCACCTCCACTTCACTACGTGTGAGTAAGATCTCCAAAGACAGCTGCAAAATCAAGCAAAAGTGACTTAGCACCGCGCTCGACCAAACTCCATTAATGTCACTTTTTGTGAGTCGCTCTGAGATGAGACGAGATTTTAGAAAGCGTTTAAAATCAATTTAGAGTAAATTCCACTTATCAAAGAGATATCTCTGATATCCTCTCAATCTGAATAAAAACTCATTCACAATGTAAAGACAAATGCTTATGTGATGTGTCTTACATCAAACAGACACTGACAGCTCAATTAAAGCCTCAGAAGCTTTCTCTCCAATGACAGAGAGGCTTTGGACGGGACAAAGGAAGACATTCATTACTGCCTCTGTGGCCGTTGTCAGCTGTTTCTGTTAAACGCTGATGGGACAGTAAAATCCCGCTCTGCACAAAGTCCTTCTGTCTGCCATTATTGGTTTACAGTGTTTTTTTAACATTTACATCTAAAGCCTGCTTTTTTAATTATCCTAATCGTGGTTAAACAGAGGACGTTGTTTCATCGTCTCCATAAACACAGAGGACAGACTCTTTGGATGCCTCCTATGTCTGAGGACTCACCACGATGGAAAACCTTCAGTAAGGGTGGCCTGTGCAGCCCCCGATCCTCAACCAACATGGAAAACCATGAGCTGACAGAGTGCTCACTCAGCATAAACCGAACCGCATTTCCTGAGCCCTCGAACCTGAACCCTCAAACTGGCCTGTATTGTTGTTTCACATCTGTAAAGTCCATGTTCGTGGACTCTGAGAGCTGCTTTCTAGTCTCCCGTGCCCCCGCAGATACTTTTCACCTCACCTTTTGAGTGAATGTCGTTTTGGCAGAGCAGACACCGCTCTGAGTTTTGAAACCGCTTACACTCAACGCCGTGGCATGAAGGAAACGAGGCGAAATGTGAAACATGGAGCGCAATTTGGTTGTGTAATTTTACTCTGACTCTGCAGACAGCAACAAAATCTAACTTTGTCATTTTAGACGTTCCCAAACATGTTTTAAAAAAGGTCCAGAGGTGATTTATTGACACCTCGGAGAAGGAAATGTTGATCTGTGTTAAATCGAAGTATAAAGATGTGGCCGGACTAGTCATAACCTTTTGTTTGGTTTCTGGTTTCCAGACACATTTTACTTATTTAGTGAAAGTCAAAAGTTTAGGCTGGAGTGACCTCAGAGATGACAGGACGCCAGATGACATCAAGCCGCAGTGCCGGAGTAGACTCAAAGTTGCTGACACATCCGAGGCTGTGAAGCCAAGAAGTCCTTGAGAAGTTTATTTTAACCAGAGCTGAGCTGCAGCGAAACGACGATTCCTCACTGAGAGTTCAACAACCACCAGCTAGCTCCTACTAAACACAGGAAGGAAGTTCCAGTGCGAGCTGGAAACACACCTGGTACGGTTTCTTCGACTCCCCGTGTGTTTGCCCGGAAGTATCTGTCAAGCTCCTGCTGTTAGTGTCACTAAAAGTTAAAAGGCTTAGTTTATGTTATTTGTATTTTAAGCTTCTAGAAATAAACTATCAAATAAATTGTTAAACACATTTTTTGTTTATCAAAGTTACTTTAAAGCTTCCTTGTTCGATTCCTTTGTCTAAAACCGCAGAACAGAAACATCAACTTTTATTACTTCTACATTTTTCTTTGTTTTCTGTGCAGAAGGATTCTGAGAAATACTCCCAGTCAGAGTCAGTTTTCCATCCAGAGCTGTTCAAGTCATCAGTTCAAAACTCCTGTTTCTACAGCACAACACTGTACATCCAAATTTAGCAAAAACACTCCAATTGTCTCTTCTCCCATATTTTAAGGCCTTGTATTTTTTCACTTGTTCCTCCACTACAGCAGTTTGTTTTTGGGATATTTTAAGATTATGCTTACAAAATCTAGAGTCTGTTAATCGGTAGGTTTTGCACAAAGACGATGCATTTCACACTAATCATGTATGCAGCATGTAATCAGCTCAAAATGTCTAAATGTCTTCAAACTCGAGACGATGCAGACCTTACTCTACACTCACATCTTGGAGTCGAACGTGGCGGCACGCACGCACTCAGGATGTAAAGCTCTATGAAACGGCTGCAGGGGGGGAAGGGAGCTTTTCCACTGTGTCCTTGTCATATTTTCCAGTCAACGTGAGACAGTCGTGCTAAAGCTTTTCATGCAAAAACCAAGAGCAGCTGTGAAAGAGAAGTTAATTATCAGCTGAGTGGGATACTGTGACACCTGAGCACATGTGGTTCTTCATCATCATCATCATCATCATCATCATAGTAATTACTAAACAAAGTGTCTGCTCCGGAAATCACATCCATCCTTCTGTTTTCTCCTCCTCTTCCTCTCTCAATGTCACCACACAGACTACAGACAAACTGAGGTAGATACTCAGATGTTCTGTCTTTTCCCGCTCTTCTATTCATGTCACATCTATGTGAAGGAGACTTTTTCCGAGGTTTCACAGCCTATCAATGTCAATGTTGCACTGCAAGTCAGCGAAACTGGAAATACTGGAAAACCAAACTGTTAGGACTCTGTGCAATAAAAGATAATCGTCCCTTATTTGAGTAATTTATTCAAACAACTCCACCGCAGTGCTGTAGAATTATTGTGCATTAGGGAGTTATTTCAAAAGGTTCAAAAATAGAAACAAATAAAGCCGAGCGCCTCTTTTTGGAGAAAAGTCAACTCATTGTTTGCAGAGTGGAAATATTACTTTAGTTTTTTTTTTTCCTACAGCTCAGTTCTTGAACTGAAATCTAACTGTGGAGATGTGCGGATTTTTATTATCCTACACGGCCACATTCAGCAATCACAGTTTCATGTCTTTCCAAAACGTCTTCTGCGAGGAGCTTATAGGAAACCTCTCAGGAATTTTCCTTTAAATGGTGGAAATCTAATTGTGTAAAGTATCACCGTGGCCAGTGTGGTATTATTTCTCTGCTTTAGATTTAGAAACTTTAGAAACTTTCACAGTAAATTTAAGAAACTTTTTCATCACTTGGTTCCCAGTTTGGTACACAGCATCTCAAAAAGAGAGCCAAAATTTCCAACACTAGACAATACCAAACTGATTAATCACACTTCAGGTTAATATTACTACTTTCTCTAAAATATATTTGAGATGACAAACAGAAGAATACATCATAGTTTTTTTTTTTACAACCAAAACTGATGAATATACACAAGAAATCTGCTCCGGTCCATTGGCAGCACTTCAAACGTCTCCTCTAAACTGTGAGTCAAAATTACTGGAGCATGTATCATCTCAGCTCTGCACACTGACTCTGTTTTAATAAAGGAAAATATGACCAACACACAAAGAAGGTTTTTTTTTACTGGAAAATGAGAGTTTCTCAGAATCGGACATATGTTCCTCTTTACCAGGATTTCATGTTCTTAGGTCATCCTAGTACAGCAAGTACAGTTCAAGGCCAGCTTTCTCCTCATTTCAGTAAGTGCATCCGATTGTTTTTGGTGAAAATGAAGAAATACAAACATTTTCTTTGCTGAAGGTTTTAAATAGTTGAACTTGCAAGGAGTGATAAAGAGATTCAACTGGAGCTTTAATTTACTCTTTCTGTGTCCCTGAAGAATCAAACTGACTTACAGACTTGTGTTGCTGCCTTATAGGACTGTCACTATTTATCAAATATTCAGACTGTCGTACAAACTCAGGGGTAAAAGTTCATATCCAAACTGTAATGAGCCGTTTCAAATTCATAATAACACCAGCACATCAGGCCTTCAGAAATAGCTTGCCATATGATCCAGCAGAGAGTGTTCTCACTGTAACCTGGCCAATCCATGCACTCTTGAGCCCAGTAAGCTGATATCGTAACATTATTCTACAAAATAATGGTCAAGCTACACCGCAATGAGTGGACGATCGACACCGAAACAGCTGAGAAGCTCTGTGTGGAAGTATTTTGGGATCTCCAGGATAAACGGAAAAATAAAAGACAAAGATAGGGCTTCATGTCAACTATGTACAAAGCAGCTGTCTAACTCATCAACAACATAGAGAGACCCACTGTATGGTAATGTGGTGATATGATACTTTTCCAACACATAAAAAATTATACTTGTATTATCACGACCATAGCACAGCTGACAGCTATATTAGCAGTTTATTCCACAGCACTAATAACACCAAATTCAGCTATTCTTCAATAGATGTCACTTACTTGTTGGTTGCTTGTGCCCTCAGTGTCATCTGTGGTCTTGATAAGACATGTAGCACACTCATGCTTTGCAGCCATCAAACACAGGGAAGAGCTGGAGGCTTTGTGTCACTGGGTCTGGGTCAAGAGATCAGGTCAAAGGTTAACTTTCCTTACAAATTACTTCACATAAAAAAGACATGGACTGTATTACTAAGACAACAAAAGCTAGTGTAGGAGCAAAAATATATTTGTTGAGGATATGATTTCTATCAGGTTCGTCACTTTCAGGGATTGACACCGAGGTGCATGGTTTTAGGATGTTTGGCGGGTAATTTAAATCTCACAGGTGTAGTCAGACAATGGATTTTTGGTAAACTCTGATAATTTTTCTGTTGGCGGTTTCACTCATCCTGTTTTAACCTCATTTCATCATATCACTTTTTCATTTAAAAGCAAAAGTTTTGGGCCTGAATCAGCGCGTTTTCTTTCCTTTTTTGGAACGAGTCACAGACGCAAGCCCACCTGAACCCCCCAGTGGCCTTTTTGTTAAAAGAAAGCAGTCGCTACAGCTAATGTTCAAGTAGGTAGACTAGCAGATTATTTTCCATAGACTTTCTTAGTTTATTAAAACCCACACAGCATAGCAAATTAAAGCTCAATAAAGTGAAAATGTTATCATGTCTGCAAGTTTCATCACTTAACAGTCCTAATAATCTACTGTGCACACCTCTCCTCTGCATGCATCATGTACAGGGGCGATGTGGTGCTGTCTGGATCAGACCAAGTGGAAACAGGTTACCTTTCCTTAACTGCCACTCAACACATTTTCCATGGCTCCATTTGCTGCAGGAATAACAATCCGACTAAACCACAAGACTGTGTTTTCACTTAGTGTAGGTGGAATCCTCTCACCTGCTTTTCTCCACTTCCACACCAGCTACACTACTCTCACTCTACGTAATGTGGCGGCAGTATCCCAGTATTCAACGCCCCATTTAGCTCTGTGTCACAGACAACGAGGTCAATTACCTTCCATTCACCGAGGTAGAAGGTCAGCTGGATGGAAACTTTTCCACCTCTGAATCTGTGAGCAGCTCCTGAAATCACATTTTAAAACAGTTCGTCTTAGTTTATTGTGCTTCACATCTAAAGTGAGAAAAGAAATGAGTCTATGGCGGAGTTAAAGGGATATTCCAGCGTAAAATTAATTTAGGGTCAAACACACCGTAACACCGAGAGATGAATGTTGCCGACCGCTTGCTTCTCTAGTTATACCAACTTTAGTAACGACGGCAGGATGGCAACACACAGCTACCAAAACGCCACTCTATAGCCACAAATAATACTCAGAACAGCACCTAACTTCATCAACAGGACATATAGGGTCACAGCCATAGTACTAGACACCAAACATCTTTTTAAGTTTGACTAATTTCTTTATCAAAGACACTAAACACAACTCTCCTACTCTCTTCCAGCAGCCGCTTGTTTAGTCAGCCCATTACTGACTACAGCGGGGTGACGCAGCTCAAGGAAGAACAACAACTTACCCTTTGGCTTAACTTACCCCACTCTCCCCTATAGAGACAAACAACCTCCTATATTCGCACTCATAGAACGTCGCCTAACAATGCGCAGATAGGTAAACTTTTAGCCGACCAGCTAGCTTTACTGTCACTAAACAACCGCCATATAACCTGTTTGATTTTAGCGAACAACTGCGACGACGTTCGCTGTTCAGTTTCGCTTCTTTGAGTCTTTAAGCGTTAAAAAAAAGTGCAAAAATACATGTAATATGGGGAGAAAATAACCTTACCTGAAAGCTGAGGTACTTTTTTGCCCAGTAGACCGTTTTGATTGGCTAGTTTAGTTCACTGTGTCACTGTTGTTAAATATTGGGGAGGCTGCGGTGCGTTTAGGTGAAGCTTGTTTACAAATTAACTTCATTAAATGTCGCGAAGCGCCAAAAATAGATGGCGCCAGAGACTACTACTACTTCCGGTTCAGGTTTTTTTTTTTTTTTTTAACCTGAAAAATTTATTTACATCTTTTTAAAGCGTATTGCATTGAAAATAATAACAGCAAAACCCGCTGTTAATTATGTTGCTGTTTATTTTTTTAACATGTCAGAATTAGGATATCATTTTGGGAAAATTAAAGATTTATGTCACTTTTTTAAAAGCTACATAAAACAGAAAAAGGGAACTTTTTATTCTGTTTTAACAATCTTGATTCCAAGATAATACGTCATTATTACAGAAAATATAGGGAATCTTTTTTTAAGTCATTTTAAGTCAATAATTGAATATTTGTCACTAATAATTTCTCACTAATAATAATAATAATAATAATATTAAATCATTTTTCTGTGAAGTGAATACAATAGGCCTCTATGCTTCTACAGCGCTCCCTTTTCCCACCAGCTCCACTCCTTCTCACCAGACCTCTTGTAACGTGGCAGCACCATCTTTTTCTGCATATCTGTCTAAGTGTCACAGGCCACAGGGTTAATTATTCTTCACTGTCATGTGGTCAGGAGCTTAATTTAGACCATCCCTAATTCTTAGTTTGACACAAAGTGATGAAAGAATAGTTTGAGTCAGCCCTATTACATAATGCACAATTATGTAGTGGTATAAAAAAAAACATTCAAGAGCTGTTTTTCATGAGCCACTTAAAACAATCACGTGGTGACTCTGAGGTGAAAGAAAGGAGAGGGGGTGAGAGCTGCATTTTTAACATTAGAGGGTTATTGCTGCAACTGAAGTCGCCTAAAAAATCATTTTCTGGCAACAAACCAGCCATCACAACACTAATGCTAATCCTGAGTGTAAATATGAACAAATGTGTGAAAATCTATACCCGCCAATTAACCAGTCAAATCCAACTACACGGGTCTCTATTACAGAGCTGCAATACATCATCACCATAGAATGCAGTTAAAGAGTCTTAGTGGAAACACAGCTACCTCTGTTTCCTGGCCTCGTATCTTGTGGTTCTTTTAATGCTCATATTCCACTGAACAGTGCAATTTAGCCTATTATTTTAGGATCAGATAACCAAGCAGCTCTATAATGCTGTCGTTGAATCAATCATTCCATTTATTAAGATTTTCAGCAATGTGTGATGCTGCCAAGTATGATATTATTCATTGAGATTATCAGTTAATGCAGTGAGTTTTAGAGCTTCAAACACTGGAGCTGCACTCAGTCAGGCAGCTGACAAACCCTCCCCTGCAGCCTGAGAGTCAAGAACTTCCAGAAAATGCAGATTAAGCACATAGCAGGCCAATTTGGTGGTTTATTGGTCATTTGGCTGCCTCATGGCACTGCTTTCTGTTAAACGCACACACAGTGGTGCATAACTCTGAGGGGGGACTGTTGTACAGCTGTACCACTTTACGAGTCTCTTTCTTTCTTCAGGTGCATTTTTTAACACTTTAGGGACAGAAGCAACAACACTACTGAGGATTGGGTAAGGGGTTTTCTCCAGACATCCAGCAAGAGAAGAAATGTGTTTGGTAATAAATTATTTTTTTAAAAACTAAAGCTATTTTTTGTTTTTATTCTACTCTCCAACTTTAAATTGACTGTTTCTTAATGAGAAATTTAATTAAAAACATAAAACTCAGCTCAACAGAGGAGCGTTTCTGCAGGCATCTTGTTTGCTGACTATTATCTAACTAAACCAAAAGCCCATGCCTATGAGAGGGGTAACCTTTGGGACTGTATTTATTATCCCCTGGCTCCCTCTGCAGGGTCACAGCTGCACATATATCAGATATTCCTCCAGATGGTATTTGTATAGAGCTTAACAGCACTGGACACACAGGAGTAAACCATTTGTTTCCTCTTTCACTGTCCTTTGTAGACACAAGAAAGTTGAAGTTAAACTAAAATTCAACTAGACCTGGATCTGATTAAAATAAAGCCACACAGAGTCACAGTGTGTTTGTGTGTTTTTTATATAAAAGCTTGTGTTGTTGGCTTCGCTCTGCAGGGTCTTTGTAAAGTAGTTTTGGCTCAAGGGTCCAGGAAGGTGGTAGGAAGGCAACTCCACAGTCTGCTGTTTTCCCAGAAGGGACTTTTCTTATTTACAGTCAAGTCCACAGGCAGCTCAATCTCCAACCCACCTATTAGAGAGTGTATCAAGTACCTAAAAGGGGAGCTCAGGATCACCATAAGGGTCAGTGAAGGTCTCCAGTTGATGACTTTATTTTATGGAGTCCTGGTCAGAAAAGTTTGGGAACCTGTGTTCCTGTTAGAATTTTTAAAACTGTTTTAGGACTCAGGAGTTCGACCAGCAGTTCAGTAACTGTGAAGCTGAGCTTTTCACCCTCTCTGTCAGAGTTCATGAAGGTGGCCAAATCCAGACCCAAGAACAACAGGACAGGTAATATGAAGTAGACGATGTAGACTACTGATCTGTAAAATTGAACAGAAGTAACTTTGCAAACACGTAGGCTGCAACAGGGAGGCCTCAAACAAGTGTGAGGGGGAAGGTGTCAGCAGAGCACTACAAGAAACAGCTGTTTTTTCACAGTTTTCACCTATATTCTCACATTGAATGCTACATATGACCGCCCACTTTTTTTGTTTTTAAATAGGAAAGGAAAAGTAAGCAATGACTTAATTTGTCCACACAGTTGGCACAAACTAAGAGTTACCCGAAAGAGCTTTAAAGTACCAAATCATCTGTAGTTACACTAAGATGTTTTCACTCTGAGGAAATGAGGGCAAATAGAAGATATTCATAAATTCTTTGGGCTTGTTTTTCACTTACTGCTTGTCATAGTAGTTTCTCTTTTATTTGTTCATATTCTATTTTGCCAATCACAATTTGTTTATCAAGTATTGACCAGGCAGTTCTTCTCTGTAATGTGATGAAAATAAACAATAAAAAAGAATAGAGAATAATGGCTCTATACCACAGCCATCTATACTGTTATAGCTGGTCCTATACCACAGATAACTCCATTGTATTTGTTAACCCCTGGCTCCCTCTGCAGGGTCACAGCTGCACATACATCAGATACTCCTCCAGATGGTATTTGTATACAGCTTAACAGCACTGGGACCTCACATGCCAGCGTACATTATCATGGATTGAATGTCTAGAGGTCTAAATAACTCTGTAAACAACATAACAAGATAGCTGAGATACACTGACCCAGGTCATGTGAGTTTATGTGCGTCTATAAACACATAAAGTAAACGAACCAAAGAAACGTCATCATTCTTGAGACACAAAAGACAAATCAGAGCCAAATCAGCGTCTTTATTTTACAAACGCATTTTTCTATTGACATTTTTTCATATAATAAAAAAGCAATTTACAAGCTTAAGAACCAAAATGAAGCAGCACAGAATGATTATGAGTAAAATATATAATTTGAATAAATATATTTTATTTCATGCTATAAAATAAATTCATAAATGGCAATAGATACAACATCAGCTCTAGCTAGCTTCATTTACTTCATAGTTGTACAAAACAGTAGAGTTCTGAGGTTCACAGTTGGGTTGTGAGGTTGTGTGTAGAGTGGACAAAACAGGAGCCGCGGCGTTTCTGCTGCGATGGTTTTGGTTCGGGTTCTGCAGTGCTCCTCGAGCTTCAGCTCTGTGGAAAATATGGGCTCATTGAGACCTTGAGGCAGAATGTTTGGGAACCACTGACTGAGGACTTGTTTCCCCACCTGAAGAGAAGTGCACGATTATACTATGGACATAGGTTGTATATCCAATGAGACCACTTTTAACACTATAAACCCTGAGTTCTAAGTTTTTTTGCCTTGTCACCAAATACATGAGAGCAGGAGACGTTGTAGTGCAGAGTTCAGGGAGTTGTAAAAGGAAAAGAAACAACAGCGAGGTTGAAAACTTCTCCTCTGATCCCCCGAACAGCTACGACTACAGTCTCAGAGCCCGAGGAGCAAAAGCAGAACCTTGAACCTCGACATGACGGCAGATTACCCGCTCCTAACAGTGGCTTAACAGCCCAAAATCCCTTTCATTCTTTTGACACAGCTGGAGGTGCAACTCTGAACAGTGCCACTGAGTTGGACGACTGAACCACACGCTCAGTTCTTGTGTTGCAGTTTTCTGAAACCACTGGTTTTTGATGAGCTTTTTTAAAACACCAGCAACAATGCTTGTTCTTTTTTTTTTAAGTACTATTTTCTGAAGAGGAAGTCAACCTGTCCAAAGTTTCAGAAAATATAAAAAATCAATATCAAATTGTCTTGGTCTCACTTCAATTCAATAGCTCCCTGACATTCAGTTTGTTTGATGTACGACAGGCCGATATTTCAATAGGCTTGATGATCCCAATACACCGCTTTTAAAAAGGTTATTGCTTTTTTTTTTTTTTATAATACACAGTGGACAGAAACTGACAGAAAAGCTATGGAAGACTTAAGATTTTTTCTAAGCCTGTATCAGTGTTTGTAAACTACCTGAAGTGAGTTTATTATAAAAAGAATAGGACGAGCTGCAATTTCAAAAAGTAGTCCGACAGCCTTCCCTGTAAACACTTCCTTTTGATTACTTGTGGCCCACAATGCATCTCCTGTTCCTCTCTGAGGTGTGGAACTAAGAGCTGACATAAAGTCGATGTGAGAGAGTGTGTGTGTGTGTGTGCGTGAGTGTGTGTGTGTGTCAAGTTCAGTTGCCTCTGCGATTGTGTACTATCACTGATGTAACTAAGTACATGAAAAGCATATAAACGATTCCCCCTCCATTCACCTGTGATGATGACATGGTCTTATCGACTCATTTGTTAAAAAATGAAACGGACTAATAATCTAAAAGCACCATTAAAGGGGGAAAAGGTCCCGACCAGACTGATGGAGGCCGTTACAGCTGAGTCCCTTTGGGGCAACAACCGATACGCCGGATTTCCTGGATGGAATTGGTTAAAAACTATCGATGAAAAGTTGTAAGTGCACAATCGATGACACACATACATGAAAACTCAAGTCGAAAAATGATCCATTGGCAATTTTATACAATTTTGTGGTTGAGCAACGTGCAATCAAGCTACAGTATATGAGGATAAGGTTTTTAGTCTCACAAATCTTTAGTTTTATCTTCTTCCAAAAAACCCGCGCAGCAGTTCCCCCGCCGCCGCCGCCCGATGCTCTAAGAGGACCGAGAGGAAGTAGACTTGTGTTTCTCATGCACCTCCCTCCGCCATTGAAATGCCTAAAACTACAGTACATCGCTAAGATTGTCCTCAGTAGTTAGAGAGGAGGGATACAGTATACTTTCCGAAAAAACACGAGGCCATGGCTTTCGAGGGGACGAGTCAGCCTCATTTGATTGTAATCAATTTGCTACAAAAGCGGTTAAAACTTTGAACCAAACGTCTGTCCCGAAACAGAACGACTAATCAAATCATGAAGAGCAGGAAGGGGGCACGGCTAGAGCTAGAAAAAACTACAACATGATTGACTTTCTAATCATTCTTGGCATCAATTTACAACAAATCATGTGGCCATAATTTATTAAAACTTCTATTTTGAGTCCGTTAAAAAAGAAAGAGGCACAGAAATCTTGGTGCCAGATTCTAAATATAAAGCTTGTGGCAAGGCACTAAGTCGAAGATGCCACTTTTTGTGAAGTTTCTCTCTTTTGATTACATTGGCTTTTAACAATTACAATACCTATTGCACAACTTCTATATTGTCAGCTTTTGTATGGCTTAATATACGATGCTATTCATGACTTAACTGCTTAATGTCTTCTTAGTAAGTTCCTCAAATTTACACAAGTGATTGTTTTAAGCTGGGAAGCATACATTCCTTGAACAGAGCAATGAACTAGTCCTACACAGACTAACGAATCTAATTATCATGATGAGCATTCAGTACAGTCTGTATCTACTGTTAAAAATCACCCATGAGTCTTTGGTGTGAAGTCTTGGCACAAAGTTGAAGTAGTAGTTTGTACCTATCACTCACAAAACATCACTAATAGTAACGCAAAAAGGTGGTATGCTTTCCTCCTCCTCCTCCTCCTTTTTCTCTAGGTGTAGGGCATCATAGTCAGATCCAAATGAGCTCGATCGAGTGATTCTGTTGAGGTCAGATCTGCTGTCAAACCTGCACATCACGTCATCAGCTGACAGAAATGAACATGACTTAGTAAACATTCATCTTTACAGTTACTGTAGAGGTCGACGGACTGTGTGGTTGTGGCGACAAAAGTGTTTGTGACGAAAACTTTTGCATAAAAAAAAAGATAACGAAGAGCTAGCTATACTGATCTGCAAAAAATCCCACGGAGTTTGGTTTGCTATCTTAACCGTCAGCGAGTGAAGATGTCGACCGCACATTCGGTGGAATTCAAGGACTGCCATCTTGATGTAACCTTAGAAATAAACAACAAGAAATAATGTTCTCCTGGCAAAATGCACACAAAGTAGAAAATTATAAGAAAACTGTGAAATAATCAAACTAAGTTCATTGATAAAAAAAAAAAAAAAAAAAATCAGCATGGACCAGATGAGACAACTTAAAAGCTTATAGCAGGTGCTCTACTTAAAAAGATTTCAAAGCTGAATGGCAAGTAAGAAAGGGTTCATCATTAAGTTAGCTATAAATGACAGGATAACCAACCAGGCTTTCTTGTATTTACCGTGAATGCAGATTCTTGAAAATCACAAATGGAAATAAACCCAAATCTCTATATATTATTATACTAACAACACCCCCATCCCTGACCCCCATGGTTCAAACAGTATAGATAAAATCATGTTGCCATATGCAGGGCTTGTAGCCAATAGTATTCATGTGGTTGCAGAGTTTCACCAAAAGTCCATATCCGTTTTTACTCAGAGGAAAATTGATGCAATAAAGCACGTCGGACTCCGACACTTCTGCTGCTGCACCAGAATTAAGACAAAAATCAGCACAATTCATTTCATGTGGGTCAGCACTCTAGATCCCAACCACTAACTCTGCAAAGTGCATCAATACTTTGGATCACCAGCTACCACAAACAACATTTACCTCCTAGCCTTAATCCAGCTTTAACATGTCCCCGTCAATACCGTAAAGAAGGATTGACGAATGAGGAAAAACATGTTCCACGTCTGCGTCTGACCCCGAACTATACAGAGATCAAAGATCACAGATTACACGTCCCGTCAGAAAAGGGCAGGACAGAACGAAAGAAAAGGAAACGAACCGAAAAGCTCTTTCATAGATGGAAGAAAAACCATGTCAGAATGGCTGAGATTCCTTTGTTCTTTCTGTTTGCATATTATAATCAGACTTGAATCCTAGATAGATTTGTACGAACAGATGCGAGGCTGTTCCTGCTGTGCTGAGTTTTCAATGAGTTCCTGTCTTTGTGAGACGCTGAGTATCAACCTAGAAGCCTACCTCATGACAAAAAAAAAACAATTTACACGTACGATTATTCAGTTAACGTTGGCAATCGGAGCATAGAGGAATACAAATGACTCTACTGCATGGACGTAACTCACCCATCACATGGATGACAGCATCTACACAGCGGGAGATCCCCAGTAGTGACGAGAGATTCAAAGTGTTTCTTGATTCTGATTTTGTCTTGTGAGTATACGGGGCCATTTTTCTTACTCTATTCTCTTTTTGGAGGAAAAAAACAAACATAGCAGAAAGCTAGCAAATTTAATGCACTCCTACCATAGCACCTTCTTAATCTACATTTTAACCTGGCTGACCGTGAAACATTTGACAAGGACTTTGTCCCTAATCCATACAATCAGCAAGGAATATTTCCCCTTAGTATCAAGGCTTTGTGTTGAGAGGATAAACTTTACATGGTTTGGCAATAAGATACTGTACAAACAACCTAAAACGGATTTTAAACGGTGAACACTTCTGTGCCTGGTAGGTTCTTGGCTATGAGGTAGAACCTGGTGAGTTTCATTTAAGATAAAATACTGTCTGTTATGAGTATGTAGTTGTTTCATGAGGTATAGAACGGATATGTCACACGAAGCTTTGCACTGGCAGAAAAATCATTCCTTGTGAGTAAGTGACCTCCTGTGGCCACATGTGCAAAAACAGGTCAGGTAAAAAGGTGATATGACTAGCATCTTACCAGAGCTTTCACATTATCAATTATTGCAACATGCCTATATAACTCTGTAAATATGTTTTAAAAAACATGGAAAGATAAAAAGAGAAATCAATCAGGGGGTCTTGATTATTGGGACCTCCTCAAAAATAGTAAGCTGTTACTCCCTTTGCTTGAAAGAATCAAATTTCTATAAAGCACCCATTTTCTCTCTGCATTCAACATCTAACTTTCACAAAATCGACAGAAACCCTTGAAGAAATGTGTCTTTAGTGGAGGGAGCTGATTCAAAAAGAAAAAGGTCCTTTTAGTTGAGTTAAAATAAGCATTTCTTAAAGCTTCCTTAACCTGAAGCAGGACCTAAAAATCACATCTTGACGCTTGCGCCTCCTCCGGACTGCATTTTGAACTCTCCTCCATATCATTGGCTGGTGCCTCTTCTGCATATTGAGCCTCAAAGGCCATCCCCTCAGACGTATCCTCCTGGTCCTTCTGACCTGAGCTTCCCTCCGTCCTCTCTGGAGAGTCCATGTGATTACTGCCCTCTGACGCGCCCATGTGCTTCTTCCTCAGGTGCTGGTTAAGGGTGCCCTGAAACGGGAAGCACTTGCCACAGATCTGACAGTGGAAAGGCTTGTTGTCCGTGTGGCCGCGGATGTGGTACTCCAGCTGGTCTTTCCTAGTGTACTTCTTGCCACAGAACTTACAAACAAACGGGGTGATTCCCATGTGCAGACGCATGTGGCGATCCAGGCTCCCCTTCTGATTGAAGGTCTTACCACAGTAGATACAAATGAGTCTCTCATTGTAGGGATACCACTGGCTCCGCAGGCTCCGCTCTCGCACATCGTTTTCCAACCCCGGGGTTCCCACTGCTGATTCGCCGTCTTCGGAGACCGGTTTGATATGACTCAGCACTGACGCCGGGATGGCCAGGGGGCGCTTCGCCTTGGCTCGCCCGCCTCGATAGCCGCTGAGGATGGAGCGGGAAGGACTGGAGCTGCTAAGGTTGACAAAGCATGGGGAGGTCAGTCCTGAGTAAGTGTAGGTAGCCGACTGAATCACGGGGCCGTACGAACCCACGCTGACGGCGACGACCTGATCTCCATCCACCAGCTCTGTGTGGTAGCCATCATCGCCAGCTGAGGAACTATCTGAGTAGGTAGGCCTGTCCGTCTTCTCTATCTTCACTTGCACATCTGTTACTTGCCCATCTTTCCCGATCAGTTCCACCTGCTCGATTTCTCCCTCCATCGGAGCGTCGTGCTCGGAGACGCTATCGCTGCTGCCTCTGTCCGACTGGCCTTCCTCCTGATGCTGACGCCGCCGGCCCAGGCTTTTTCCTGCCAGCTCGAAGCGTGCCTCGTGCGCTGCCTGACTCTGGCGAGAGTAGTAAGGGGGGGAGATCTGGGTAGGGTTTACAAAGAGGTTGCTGTCATTGACCCCGTTGTGGCTGGCCTGCGAGTCGTCCTTCTCTGGGCTGCAGACAGTAACTGGGATACTGATCTTGGAGTGGATGCTCTCGAGGATTTGGGTGCACTTGTCAATAATGGCCTGCATCTGCAGAAAGCTGGCAGCTGTGAGGAAACTGATGATATCCTTGAGCTGCAGGGACATGTGACCTGTGTAGCAGAAAGCGAGAAGCTGCTCGAACACCTCAGGGCTTTTAATGACTGAGATGGAAAGGCCACTCATGGTGCTGAGGGCAGTGTGGTCACGAAAGTAGGGTGAACTCGCTGCCAGCACAGCCTTGTGGGCTCGAAACGGCTGGCCCTGAATGTGAACAATGATGTCACACAGCTTTCCCTGCAGCCGCAGCTCATTGAGCTGGGTCAGGACAGTGTTGCTGAACTCCGGCACATCGAACTCGATGTAGCTGCCGTCGTCCATTTCTTGGATATGTTTCTCCAGTTTGTCGGCAGCCTGAGGTGAAAAGATAAAAGAGGAGACAGTGTTAGGATGTGAAACAACGAATAGTAATGCAGCATTTCCACACTCCATTAATTAATAAAAACACGTCTCTGTCTGTGTGTAACACAAATAACAAGAGAAGCTCTTTTGATGTTTATTATTCGCAGTAGTTTTTATGACCGTTCTCAGAAAAACCCCAGTGACGTCCTACAGCAAAAACACACATTTCTGAGGACAACATTGAAGCTGTACTGCCCTTCACTCTGCTGCTTCGTCTGAATTTATATTTGTTTTCCACGAAGATTACCATAGACAGACATGTGCTGTGAATTAATATTTCTGTTACTGTAGAGGATAATAATTTTTTAACCTCATATTGGGAGTATTCAGTCCACATCAGCTGTCTGCGTTATCACTGCTTTGGTTTTAGGAAGTATTCCAGGAGGAATACATTATAATAAACATGATGACTCTTATATTTGGTTCAGTGTAATTTTAGCAGCAGATACCTTTTCAACAACACATAGAGTGAGTAGAAATGAGGATATTTAGCATTAACAGGCAGACAGATTCCAGAGTGAACATTTACAGGCGGTAGGACTGATCTTGATGTACATGAACCTAAAAAACACAATGATTCTGGATCTTTTAGGTCTACTTTCTTCTGCAGAACCACTTCTATCACAATAACCAGATCTGAAACCTGCATGTGAAAGAGGGAGCGAGTACAGGTGGAACAACAGGTTACTGCATAAACTGTACTAACACAATTGACTTAATTACCAGTGGTTAACTGATTACAGCTTTTCAACATCTGATGCAAATACCGATAATGACACCTCTGGTCAGCTGACAGTCAATTTGCGGCTCTGATATTACATTCTAGTAGTTTTATGGTTTTTTTTTAAATTTGGTATTTCGTAAATTTCAAATTAAAACAATGTAATAAGACTAAAAAAATGAGATGCAAAGTTGCTGAACTTAAGTATCAATGTAGATGAAAAAAATCTGCCTCTGTAAATGTCCACAACAAGAGATTCAGAGGTTTCTGTCCAGACATCTGAAATTATTTGAAAATATAAAAATTAAAGAACACACAGGGGTTCTTTTTTAAATAGAGACGAATAAAAATCCATTATCCTATACACAATAAAATCTGATGTTCACGGTGGCTTTTAAATGAGTTGATGAAAATGCAGTGGGTGATGCTTTCAATTTTAGCACATGACTGATATTTATATCCGCAGCTTATTTCTACTATCGGCCTCCAAGGTGCACATATATATGTGGCTGAGAGGTTCATCAGTCTGTCTCTCTTAGATACACACAACTATTTCTTCCACTGATGAAAATTACAAATTAAATTTGCGTAACCACTTCCATCTGAACAAAATCACACTTCTTCTTTAGAATAGTTTCCCATCACCACCATATACAATCTGTGCTGCAGATTTCAGACACTAAAAGAAAACACTCTGCAGTCCAGTTAGTTTCGCAGCCTGAACATGTGAAGGACCACCAAGATCAGCAGGACTACACTCCATTAATGTAATCAAGTATTTCCCAGTATCTGTGACAGTAGCAGCATTGTGACGTGCATGTTTACTTTCTACAGTCATCATGTGACACACAGACAAACTGACCGCTGTGCAGCCAGCGGTCAGTTTGTCTGTGTCAAAGTGAGGGGCTGCATTAAAACGGTTTCAGATACACATTTATCTTGGATTAACCCCGGACAAGGAGGAAGTAACGGACTGATTCAGGTCATGTGATTGATTTTGCACATCCTACAATGTGACCACTGTGCACATAATTGTGGTGTTCAAATGATACATCAGTCAGCCCTACCATCGACTTCAAGCCGCATCTAAAACTTCCTTCAGTCAATGCAAATGTCGAGAAATGTACAACATGTTGGTTCTGCCTACAGCCTGAACGTTCAGGAACTGGTCAGGCTCTTTTGTTCAGGAGAAAACAAGACAGGAATTATAATGAACACGTACAAGAATAAACAATTCTGCTTCTTAAACAAGTCATACACAAGACTGCACAAAAGGGGGTCGTAGTATGGAGAATGAGATGTGAAACGAGATCCAGCAGCAGAGCAATTTCACAGCTGTTCATGACTGTCTGCGGCAGCTTCTTCAAAGAAATGAGATGGTACAGACAGTAATCATTAGAGAGTCCAGACATTTATCTTTCTCTCTATATAACAAAGATACAGAGAGGGATTCACTCTTTAAATACATACAGAATTTATGATGGCCTCCTTTTCCTTGTGGTAATGATCGGGCTGTTTCTCAGAGCCTCACAGAGAAAATGTGTCATGAGGACAACGTAATTCAAATATAATATATCCACATAGTTTATCCATCAATCAACTTTCAGGATTATCCAGCCATAACCATATCTGTTCAATCCAGGACTAAGAAGAGCAGGCAAAGACCAGCTGATTGTGACAGAATGAACACAATGTACTAGTGTTCATTACACATACAGTCTGTTGTGAGGCGTAACAGTCATATAGGGGAAACCATAAAGGTACACATTCTGCGTTTGGCAGAGAAAGAAGAAAATCTGGTTCTGCTTGGAAAGTAAACGTGCACCAAGCTGTCTTGGACGTCTGTTACGAAACCTGAAAGGCCTCTTTCATGTGTTTGAATAAAGTGAACATTGGCAAAGCCATTGACGCAAACACCTTTGTAACTGTCTGATTGTGGTTGATCTGCCAGGTGATCTTCGCATTCGTACAATCTGTACAGATGAGCACAACCGACGTCTGCCTCTCCCTGCATTCTGATATTTCGTAGCGTACAAGCCAGAACATTCAAGACTTGGCAGAAACTTGTTTTGGCAAAATGACAGATCAGCTCCCCTGATGGAAGGCACTGCTGCGAAAGTAATGGTATACTACCCTTACACAATAGTATACTCACTTGCGCAGGTTGATAAAATATTAACAGACAGAAGTCCTGCCTTCTCAGCAGAAACAGTTGTAACACATTTTGGACAGCTGCATCAGGAAAGTCCGATCCTGCTCTTTTTTCACTACTAGAAAATACTTCAGCGCTGCAAAATCTGGATATGTGTCCATCCTTGAGCCTATCCCTCCTCTCCTCTCACCCTAACTGCCCTTCTCCCATCCCTCCCACTGCACCCCCTCCTCCATCCAAGCCCCTCGCTAGCAATTCAGCATGATGTTCTGCGCATTGAGTGCGTGTCAGCACTTTGGGAATGTAAACACTTTCTCCAGTTGCCAAAGCTTGCCAAGACACCTGTCTAACCAACCATATGCTCCCTCCTGGCACAGGCGAAGGAAAGATGAAGCAATACGCAGCGAGGGTAATCATAAGAAAGTGTACCTTATTATTTCTACTTGCCCATTACTAGCGCTCAAATGCAACATGTTCATACTATAAACCATATTAGCAATGGCTGCCAACTGCATGCTTACTGAACGGAGCCAAGTTGAAGTGAAGCCAAAGAATGCATGCTCAGTAGTTGAGATGCTCACGCTGGGCGAGGGTCACATGCTCGGCTCACGTGGGAAAAACAGAAAATGTTTAAACTCGGCTCAAAAATTCCATCTGCAGCTCATGTACTCTGCCTGGTAATAAACCTTTCTGACACAGCTGCCTCATGTAAGTGGGTAAGAGAGGATGCTGAGTGTATTCTTGCTGACCGTAATGTCAGCAGAACTCTGGGGGTAAGACATCACCTAAATCCTCCAAGTTTTTTCCATGTCGATCAAAATATGGACAAAAAAAAAAACATTAAGGGAAAAAAAAAAATCAAAGTCAGCAGGCGAGCACTGAATGCTTTCTTCGACATCAGCACCTACTGAGAAAAACAGCTTGTGGGGCAGACAAGACCCAGAGCGAAATCGCTTAACATGCACAGGTTAAGGGAGCAATTTTAGACGTATAATAAAAGTAAATAAAAATACACTCGGCAGAAAAAGGTATCGTGTGAGAAGAACCTTAGATGTTGTGAGAATAACATGTTTTGTGGACACTGTTCAGGCTTAGTAGGAGCACAGTGTGTGAGGCTAAATACTGTATGCTTAGCCTTTGGGTGTGTTCTTGGAGTGGATAACTGGAAACTAGAAAATGCTCATCTTTCATCTCTGCCTACTCATGTGATTATCAGATGAACCGCAGTGGCAGATGATAAAGATTTGGGTCCTTCTTGTTATCTTTAAACATTTCCAAGAAAATATCCAGTCTCAAACCTTATTCAATTTGTCAAAAAAAAAAGAAGTAATACAATTACACGGTATTGTGCGGCGCAGTGAAGTACATTGGTATGATCATGCAGTCAAGTTGTTCCTGGAGTGGCTCACGGCGAGGAGACTGCACAAAGAAATCGAGGGGTATGATTCAGAATCCTAATGCAGAGAAAAGACCAACTCCTTCAAACATCTACATCCCCTGCTGCCGAGGACTGAAGCACTCAGGGGAGAGTTAACCGGTTGAAACGTTGTCTAATATTAACTTTGGGAAATTCATCACATTCCACATCCAGCTACAAAGGTGGCTTTAAATGACCGGCACACATTATTAAAGATACCATCCTGCTACAATGTCTTTTCACTTAGAGGCAATCTGCTGCTATTTCACAGCTGCAATTACAGCAGGCTGTTATACATTTGAAGCAATGCCCTTAAAGCATGATTTTATTACTGCCTATTGGTAAAGGTGTATAAGAATTCAACGTAAGCAGCAACTGTTTGTCGCTGAGATGCAGGAAAACTCTGCAAATGAAGGTTGAATTCCAGTCAGGCCTGGTGATTGTTTCTGCAAAAATCACTGCAAACAATAACTATTTATTTCTGAATTTTAAGATTATCAGGGTAGACCTCACTGAGCCCTGTTTTTACCAGACATTACTCTATGTGCCAAGCATCCCTCTCCCTCTTTCTCTGCACAATCACTAATTCCAGCTGGCAGTTAAAACCAATTCAATTTTACTGCTTATCCCAAACAGAAACAAGAGCTATAAGAAATAGGGTCGAACGGGTACAAAGCCATAATGCCTGCTCATGCAAAAGTCGTAATTGGTTTGGCTCCACTCTGTTCTGACATGCCTTGTCGTTATGCCATTTAGACACAATGGTGTAGGAACGGGGCATGTTATTGGTTTAACACTGGGCTTTGGACACAGCATATTGGAACATTCAGAATAAACCTGTGTCACAGAAAATGAAGTAAACACAGTTGTTGGTGACCCAGGTGAACCCAGCTGTACAGAATAACTTGTCATGTCTCTGTGTGAGTGTGTATGTGTGCACTTTGTCCTTCCCAGCCATATTATTTTACAGCTGCACTACAGGAACAAAAATCATTGCAACAACTTTTTTTTTCCCTCTATTGGTTGAACAGATGCTGTAGGAGATGGCTCAATATGGCGCAATAGGTCGGGGTTTCCATCACGCAGAATAAATACAGGTCAAATGATGTTAAATTCGCAGAAAAATGTGGGTTTTTCTGACACATTCATTAGTTATAGGGAGTTGTGGGACGTTAGCATGTACACTGATACCGTGTTCCGTGCACAGGGAGCGGATACCCCGGGGACTGACCGAGCTGTGTGCCAAACTTTATTCCTAACCTTTTCTGTCTGTACTTAGTAAAGGAGGCTAATGATGTGGAGGACTAGCTGCTACTGAAGCTATCGCTAGCCTGTACTGTCCGTCACGTACACCAATCCCCCTCCATTTCTTTAGTCGTTTCCACATTTACTTTCAGACACACTAACGTTACACAGACATCGCCTGACAGGGCCGAAACACCCAACTGCCAGGCAGCATTATCAGCACTACAGCAGCAGCTAGCTGGCTAGATTAGCCACCACACAGTCGGCAATTATCCGGGGAAAATGTGTTATTTTAAACCGGACTGTCTGTTTCCACACATAGTGGATAATTTCGTGTTAAAGCCAACCTTTATTTGACTACAAACCCGCCTGTCAACTCTGTGTGTCACTCATATTAAATAAGTTACAACGTCGACCGCGGGTTCAAACTCTGTCGGCTGTCATATGAAGTAGCTTCACTGCTCCCGTTAGCATTAGCATTAGCATTAGCATCAGCCCGCTGTCTGGTAGCAGGCGGTGCTAAAGCGCTAAGCTAAGTCGGCAATTATTCCCCCATTACTTTCAACGCCGGAGCGACGACGCGCCCAAAACACAAACACACAAACACATCAGGTACGAGAAAGAGACCGACTCCACCAAACTCACCTTCTTGCAGATTAACATTGAACGTCGTCCATTCAGTCCCCCCTCAGTAGTTCGCTAACACCACAGCCAGGCCTCCCCCCCTCTCCAGTCCAGATGTGTCAGACAGTTGCTGCTGCAATTTTGCATCAACAGGAAGTGTTCTTTTGGCTCTTTGCATTCATTCTATCAGTGTGTTTTGCAGCAGCCCCTCCCTTGCTCATGTCAGTTGTGTACTGAGACATCATGTTCTTATTATACGACATAATGGAGGACATATAGATACATGCGCAAACATAAATATGTGAAGTATCCTGCGATTGTTTGCAGGAGATAACGTGGCTGTGCTCAAACTGATCAGCAGACTATGGATCAGGTACATTTAACTTCATACCACTTCTCGAAGAATCAAACACTCCATTTTAAGGTGCTGTATTTATTTTTAAGAGTATATATTGTAAGGTTGCTCACTTTTTGTTGCACTATAGCTCCTTAAAAATATTTAAAGATACTGATTTATAACTTTTCAGCTGAGAATCTTTGCAGGTTTTTTTCATACATACATGTACAAAAAGACCTGGGATACTAATTTAGTTGTCTTAAAGTTTAAATTTTGGCAAATTTTAGGAACATGTTATGGACTACAATTGATTTTATTTGTATTATTTAATGTAATTTAAGTGCTAACAAAGGGTTTGATCAGGTTTTCACCATCAATATTCTGAATCATGAAGTTGTGCAGTGGCACACATAGAAATACATCTAAAGACAGGCTGATTTTTTCTGTTAAAGCTTTTCTAAGCTTCTGTTAAATGTAAATTTAAAAAAATAATAGTCACTTTTTGATTCTGTTTGCTTTTACTTGTTATTCTATACATTTAATACATTATAATCACCTTTAGCATTATGTTTGAATATGAACGCTCTTTGTTAAAATTCTCATTATCTGAGCTGTTGTCTATTTTTTGTCAGTTTTTTAATCACAGTGAGCTTCCCCTGGTTAAGTTAAGGTTATCTCATACACAATAATTGATTTTATTTGTTTTATTTAGTGTTATCAAAGCGGGTTCGATCAGGTTTTCACCATCAATAGTCTGAATCATGTAGTTCTGCAGTGGCACACACAGAAATACATCTAAAGACAGGCATGTTTTTTTTCTGTAACAGCTTTATGAGCTTCTGTTAAATGTAAACTAAAATGTAAAAGTCAACTTTAAATTCTGTTTCCTTTGACTTGTTATTCTATACATTCAATATAATATAATCACCTTTAACATTATGTTTGAATATGACCGCTCTTTGTTAAAATTCTCATTAACTGTGCTGTTGTCTATTTTTTTAATCACAGTGAGCTTCCCCGGGTTAAGTAAAGGTTATATTTTAAAATAGAATCTCTATCCGCTTCAATTTTTTTAATTTTTGTTTTTGTTTTCAAGTTTCATTTTCATTTTTATTAACTAAAATGATTCCAGACAGTTCTGTAGAAGAGCCACAAGGGGGCGCCACAGACTAAAATGACAACAAACTGACAGTTTACCTCTTTATGTAGTTTAACGCATATCTGTGAAAAGCCAAGGTGGATCAGCATTGCAGGGAAAATAGGTAATTCAACATATTTATTCTATTATTCAAAGCAGCCTTTAAATAATAACGTTTATTTAAAAACAGAAAAGATTCTGGATTAGATTTTTATTTTCAAACAACAACCATGCCTGCTTGTTTTTGCAGGTTTTGCATGTCTGGTCTAAATCATCATCATAAATATTTAGAGAGATCTACATATTTTCTCCATAAATCGGGTTAACCCAAAAAGAACAGTGTAATTTGACTAATATGACAGGATCTTAAATAAAACATCCTGTAATTAGTTTTTTGATGTTTGTCTGTCACCTAGAGGAGACAAAGAGGTTTATTTAGTCTCAGACTGTAAATCTGCCTGCAAACACTTAATTTATTGTCTAATTTGATTAATTGTTTTATAGAGTGTTGGTTTTTGGCTGATAAGAGGCAGACAGGTACACTCTTGTTTGCTCTCTACCAGGAATGAATGTGTGCTGTGTGTGTGTGTTTCTCTTTTTTTCTTGCTTGTGAGTGACAGCTTGGCAGCTCGGGTGAATTTCTGACCTAATCTGTGTGCAGGTGGGTGATCAGCAGAGAGAAAGGAGTCGCTTTGTCATTGCACGTGCTTCTTGTTTAACAAATCACCCCTCTATTCCCGTCCGTTTTTTTTTCTTTCTCAGGAGATGGATGCACAACTGAAGGTGCAGCCGAGGGAGGGGGACTAGAGATGGTTTTGTTGATCCGCAGGAATGATCTTGGTATTGATAACATTTCAAACAAAGTCATAATCAAAGGGTTTCCTGTTGGAGTTGTAATCTTTTCTGAAATGGGGCTTTGTTGGCTCAGTGTCATTTGGTTGACCAGGAATTATTTGGCGGAGGGCTAATGGGGGCTGGTGTCTGAGTGGAGCAGCGCCAGGGATCATATAGGGGCTCCAGGTGGTGTGGCCTGGGGCTCTGATGTGCTGCTCCTTTTTAATCCCAGATGACATTGCAAAATCCCCAAACCCCTGCGCCCCTGTATAAGACTGTATAGGAGCAGAGACCAGATGATTTGTTTAAAGAGCTCATATCATGTATCAAACTGAGGGAAGAAGGAGCTCCACTGTTTTGTGTTAAGCCTCGGACCATAGGTTATTCTAAAGATGAAAGATAGATATTTATTTTTGTCTGCGAGGGAGACTTCTGCAACTTCAATTTAACCATATTTACCCACGTATTCAAAAACCCGCACTCTCTCGCATCATTTTTATTTGGATTTTAAAGATGGCGTTTTATATCTGTATGAAAAACTGTCAACAAATACCTCTCTAATCTCACTTTCTCTGCTAATGTTGAATAAGTAGCCTAAATTTTAAGCTTAACATGAATACCACATTGTTTACTACGTGTGCCAAGAGTCCCAGAATACCTTGGCTGTCAGTGCGGTGGAGAACAATGGTCCCCCAGTGCTCCTGTCCAGAAATAGTCTATAGCTCACTGATGGAGAACATATTTCCCAATAGCAGGTGTCTGAGTCAGTCAGTGCCTGATCCTCAGCAGGACTGTAAATGAAAGGGCCAGCTCGTGCAGGTGCGGGAGCACCTCTCTGGCCCTCTCAGGTTTCGTCTTGATGGAAGAGCTTTTTGTGGAAGAATGAACAAGAGAAATATTGATATTAAAGTGTGTTTATTACTATTCAACATCATATACATCATCCCCACAAGTATATGTTATATTTCAAAGACTGCCATTTTTGTCTCTTGTATTAACGACAGAGTTTTCTTATCTTCACTCATGATTGACAGACTTTTATTAAAATTTGTGGCTGTTTTAAAGCATCAAAAGTCATACGATGATTTCTCTTCTAGGACAAAGAGTAGCTGCAGCACACCCACCACTTCTTCTTTTTTGTCTTTGCAAGTGAACTATTAAAGCAAACACAGCAGAAACTTATAGAATATTTATACACTTTAACGTCAGTCAGTTTGGCATATCTACATTTCAATATAAAAATCAGCTGGACTCCAACCAAAGACATTCGAGGCCAATTCTAAAAGCTAAGAGAGTTTTAGCAGTAAGTACAATAATCACTTGCATTGCAGGGATAATGAGCTCTCAGATGTGTCATATATTTGCCTGAGAAATTAAGCCAATTTGTGGAAATGGTGGCCTGGGGTTGGGGGAATACGGAGTGGCTTGTAAAGATGAGTGATATCTGGCACAGCATGAAGAGAATGAGAGGTGTGCTGCCTGGTGCTTAGCTCAAATGAAAGCTCTGATTAGTGGAGCAAAGATCAAAATGACAGAGCGGTGGAGGCTTCAGCTGGGCCTTTGTTATTGATAAGTCTGTCATCTCTGCTGATATTGGAGCAGTAATGGCAGCTGATGATTAGGCCACTCCTGAGCTATTAACTACATTTCTTATCCTTTTACTGGGGCCCAAGAGAGCCTGTTTGAGAGACAAAGGAGTCCTTTATGAAGCCGGCTCCTTAAACGCCATCCACCTGACCTAAAAGGCACAACTGTTACTGTCTTTCTGCGCGGCCAAAGGAGTCCAGGACCAGATACATGTCAGGGGTCGCAGTGTGCTGCTGTTTGAAATGAAGGGGTTCTGAGTGAGTAAGCTGTTGAAAGACGGCCGCAGCAAAATTACAGAAAATTGGCTGTTTTGTCAACATTTCATCAGAAGATTTACAGAAAGCTGACCCCGGCCCTTTTTCTCCCCCTTTTTCACGAGGCTAAGGAGATTGAGAGGGTCAGAATTGACTGACAAACAAATCTCTTCTTTATTTCTTTCTCGCTTTCTCTTTCCCTCTGTTGGAGGGATATTCAATATGATCTCCTTTTAATGATCCTAAGTGGCTGAAATTACATATCCTCAACACATATTGTTGGAGTAGTTTTAGGCTGAATGCAGGGCGCACTAAGGGTCATCATCATCACGATGTTTCATCACTTCAATTTAAAGAAAAATAGTCCGTCATTCGGCTTTGTTATTCAGCAGTTTACATAGATTTGGGGCTAAGCTGTTTTGCTCAGTGAGGAGGCTTTGGACGATAACCGTGCAGGACCTCGGAAAGATAAGGTGGGTTTTATATCTAAGTTGGCTTGTTAGTGCGCTCTAGATGGGTAATTCCTGACCAGGGTTACTTTTACTCCAGGGGGTACTTCTGCAGGTGCGGGGGATTACATGGGAACGCTGAAACGAAGCTCAACTGATATGAAAAAAAAAAGGAGAGAAATCATTTCAGTGTGATAAAAACAAAAACACTGTGCAAATGAAAATGGAGGCATAAACAGTGAGAGCTAATATCATGGATGAAATGTTAAAAAACGCTTAAGAATATAAATCATTTAGAAGAAAGATAAGGTTCAAAAGTAATAATATGTTTTAAATATTAGGTTTGAATTAAACAGTAGCTATAAATGAACTAAAATAGGCAAATTTTTAGGTAGAGTTTGGTTGTGACGCCACCTGCCTGATATTTAAGGAAAAGGTGTTTTAAAGAAATTCAGTCTTAAACTTCCTCACTGGACTGAACATGGAGAATAGTACGATAAATATGAGCGATTTGTTCTTGCAGTTGAAAATAATGAAAATTCACATTTTTTTTGGTTAAAGCTTCGGAGAGGAATTTTCAGTTTATGTCAATTTTGGCGCCCCCTTGTGGACAAAGCAGTCTTCACTTTAAATATTTTTTTTTTTACTCTTCTGACATTTGACGGTCAAATAAATCATTTCAGTAAATATGATTTATTGAAAATCAGAGCTGTTTGTTCAGCTACTTTCAGATAATATAAAGTTGTAAAAATCGTCAGTTTTGTCACTAATTAGACATTATAACTTATTTGACTGAATGAATCTTAATAAGACACAGTTTCCAGTTTAGATCCTGTAGCTGCAAATGACCATGTTAGCTGTTAATAATTATATAATTATGGATTTAATCCTTACAAAGAAATTAACCTCATAAACCTTTTATTGTCTTATTCACAGTAAATAACATCTAATGAAGCTTATAAGCAATAATTAACGTTAGTTATTATTATGATAAAAGGCTCAGATAGTTATATAAATATGAATAATCTATAGTTACTATCATTAACGTTACAGAACCTCTGACTGATGTTCATGGTTTCGAGCCTTTAAGTGTCTGAAAGTAATAAAGGATGTGTGAATTAAGCTTTTATTACCCTTATTAATGTTTATAAGGTCTCACAAAAGGCTTATTAACTGTTAATTAATGCTTATTACAAGGAACTTAATATGAAGTGTTTGCTTTCTTGTAACACTTAAACTCTAAAGTAGCTCTATTTTAATCGTCTCTAAGAAGATAAACTTTAACACACTTCACTTCGTCATGTTGAAGCCGAGACTCTGTCGACGGTTTCTGGTGTCAAAAGTGAATCATCAACAGCTCAATAGTTTTAAAACTCTCTTTAAAACCAGCTCAGATTTAGACCCTGACAGGTGCTGTCATTGCAGCGGTGCTCGAGAACATTTGACAGCGATGCCAGAGAACAAAAAAGGGTCAGACCCTCCGCGCAAGATTGAACACAAGCTTGTTGTGTGCGCAGCATTTCCATCTTCAGCTCGGTGCTTTGTCTCTGACCTCCGCTCGGTCCGCTCTCTGCCTTTGGTATTCCTCTACAAAGGCCAACAGGAATCCTGGGCTTGTTGATTTAGCCCCCAGTGGCCGGAGGCAAAGCATCTTTCATTAACGTCTAAAACCTCAGGAATGAGATACTGGCCTCACGATAAGATCTGGTAATGCAGTAACATGGAATTATGGAAGAAGAAAATTGCCATTTTGTATATAAGCACCTGTGATCTCCTATGAAAGCCCCCTGTTCCCCCGGGTTGGGTCAGTCCCAGGAGAGGAGAGGGTCCTGGAACCCAATCCATCCTGCACAGGAGAGATTTTCAGGCTGAGGGCCTGGAGCAAAGGAAGGTGCTGCTGTCTGAGGAAGGTCAGCTTAGAGAAGAACCAAGACAGTGATCCTGTGTGCCTGCTGGAGTAAATCATCTCCTCCCCACAGGAGAAACGCTCCCCCTGTCCGTGGTTCTGTTTGTGGTCAGCAAATGCTTTCAGGTCAATACAGAGCATTTATGAGACACTCCAGAGGTACTGTCACAGGACTTTATCACTTTACCAGTAAGCGTGGACAAATCAGAGAGCCGCAGTGAGGATATGGGAATTCTTGTTTCCTCCATTGCTCTTTGAAAAGTATGTCAGCCTCGCCACTTTTCACAAAGGTGTTTCTTTATCTGAGCCTCTGCGGAGAGGACGTGTCAGGAGCGATAGATTTATGCGGCTTTCTGACATTTTGAAGGAGTCGGATACCCTTTTACTCGCACGCCGAGGTCAGATCACAGCCCTCAGAAGAGCCTGGAAAGAATGCAGGTGCTCTGCTCGCAGTAAACAGCCCGAAGACACGAAATTTTCCTTCACCCAGTCCCCTCGCCTGCGTCATCCTGCAGCCCGTGGAAAGGCCAAAAACGAAACGTTCACATGGCACTCCCAGTGATGAAGTCCCCAATATTTTCAGCGTTGGCGTGCACTGGTCATTTTTACATCATTGCATCTGTCAGAAGCTTCGCCAAGGGTTTCTCCATTTATTTCACTCCAATAGGGATTTCACAGAAAAAATGTTTATCTGATTTTCCCACACTTTCTATATACATAAAGCCGGAATAGCTGCTCGTCGTTGACTCATTTCTACGGCTGCCAATGAGTGCTCAGGGTAAAACACATCAAATAGAAACGGCTGGAAGCAAGAATGGAGAAGTCTTATTGTGGCAGAACTGATGTGTTTTTGTCTCCTCTGGATAGTTTCTTCATCACCTCTTTAAATTTTAAAGCATTTGGCACACAGCCTGTGGCAGGTTTCTCTTGAGGAAGCAGCAAAGCAATGAGGGTCAATGGCGCCATAAATCTCAGACTGTCCACTGCGGAATCAGACATGGACACTTGAGATATGCATATTTAATCAAATGTCCAAGTCGGTGTGAGCTGAATGTCTAAGGCAAATGCGTTCAATATAAAGGGAGCTGTGGCTGGATGCTTACAAGCGCTAGCATAGCTGGGGATACGCTGGTATTATATCTGAGGGGGTCTCCGATGTGTTTGCCAATGATGCAAAATGGATAACGTGCATTTAGACGACACATACATCCTTCTTTTTGGGGTTTTTAGGGCCGGAGAGGGAAGAGAGCTGGCAGACGTGTTTTTGCACCTCATTCCAGAGCAATGCAATAAGTGACACAACTCAGGCCTCAAGAAAACAATGAGTCTCACACTCAAAGATGAGCTTCATTTTGACCTTCGACCTCCGGAGGAAGGTTCCTCATACCCCTGAGTGATATTTGAGGTAAAAGTTTGATGTTTGATACAAGAATAAACTTTTATCGTTCAGTTATTGATGAAGTAAAACGACTCTCCTGCAGTAAACAGGACGAGAAAGAAGAAAACCCTTCGACATATATAGTGTCAATAGTTTCTGGCAACAGAGAGGGGTATAAGTTCAAGACAATATTTGGAGGCTAGGAGACTGACAGTAATTCAATTAGACAGGAATCCTCACCCGTTCGGAGGGTCAGAGTTATCCATGTTAATCAGTGGAGACCGGAGACGTATAAGCTGCTGGTTTCCTGCTGCTGCTGCTCCGTCTGACTGGGAGCTGTGACCAGACTGGTGCGGACTAAATATTCAAACTGGTGTCTTTACAAACCCCACAATTAGACCATTAACCCTTTGTACCTTTGGATATGTCTAAAATAAATTAAACTGTGTGTTTTTGGAGTTATTGGAGACGCTGAAGCTGAACTGTGTTATTATAATTTCTAAATACTTTCCTTATAAGTAAAACTCTATCTGTAAAATGTTCTACTTTCTTCACGGTGGGGCCTCTCTGTGTGTGAAGTCTGCATGATCTCCCTGAGCAAACTTTGATTACATCTACAAGTCAAGTGTCATTATTCTGCCCGTGTAGTTAAACCATAATGCGACACTTACTTATGTGTCATTTACACCTTATATATCTGTTGTCTGTGTCTTTATACGAGGAGGCCCCTTTCATATCCTGCAGCTTGGTTCCACATTTCCTCTAATGAGTCGTCTCGGTTTTTGGCGTGCTGTATCACGGTCCTCTTAATTACATAATCTAACTTTCCCAACCTCGCCCATAGCGGTCGGCTCGATAGCGTTCGGTATGCATCGTAAATAGTCGCGCAGACTGCAGCTCCTCCTCTGAATATTTAGGGCAGTAAAGGGACACGGTGAATAGAAAGATTGTATTTCAGCTGGTATTTTGAACGGTCCGGTTTGGTCCCAGACAAAGCTGTGACCCTCAAAGCGCCAGTCTGAGAATGCGGCTGTCGTCTCGACACTTTGCACCCTGGGAGATGTCTGCAGAAAGCAATTACTTCAACCAGGATGCAATCCCCCCCCTGGCTGGAAGCAAAAAAATCAATGGTCTGAACTCATGTATCAAAAACTCTGGATGAAATATTGGCGCTTTCTTAATGGTATTAACAAAATCATCCGTTCAGTCACCAAAGCAGGACTTTAAGAGTTTGGTGAACCTGCAGCTTCTGCTCCAGGAGCAGGTGGATGCTGCAGAAAATCCAAGGAGTGAACACAAACCCACAGAGAGAAGAGGAGCAGAGCCAGAGCTGTCATCCTGACTTTCAGATGAAGTGGGGGATTAGGACGGAGGTGAAAGCATGCATGAGGACCATGGTGACAGCAGATGAAGGGAGATAACGCAAACTCTCGTGGAATTCACAAGACGAGGGCCGCACCAGGAGGAGGGAGGCGAGGAAGGAGGGCTGCTGCTGCGAGAGCGAGAACGAGAGAGAGGGAGAGAGAGGGAGAGAGAGCCGGGGCGCTCTCTGAAGTATTTTTTGGTAATGTAAATTTCATCACAAAATGTCAATAGTAATGATTGAGTAAGTTCTGCTGCAGGGAAAATTACATTTCTGAAAAGATCTGAAAGGTTAAATATGCTTTTCAGATGACAAAGTCCTCCAGGGAGCAGAACAGATCGCTGACAATCTCTTTCTGTTTTGAACTCTTATGAAATCACAGAGAGTGTGTGTGTGCGTGTGTGTGTGAGAGAGAGAGAGAGAGAGAGAGAGAGAGAGAGAGAGAGTGTGTGTTTGTGTGTGTTTACGTGAGTGTGACCACAAACCCTGAACACCCCCAGTCACACCACTGACAACTCTGATATTAATACCAAAGATGATGTCGTACAAATTACAGCCTCTGCATAAGAGATTCTCCTCTGTGTGTGTGTGTGTGTGTGTGTGTGTGTGTGTGTGTGTGTGTGTGTGTGTGTGTGTGTGTGTGTGTGGACTGTGCAGGAATGTGTTGGTCTCAGTGTGTTCCTCCTCCTGCAGAGGTCTAGCTGCGGTGGTCTCTCGCGGCACCAGCCCTCCGTTCCCCCGCAGACACACTGACTAGGCCGACCCGGGCTCAGGTATCTGCGCTAACCTCCCCTTTGTCCCGCTCCAAAATGGACTCTTTTGTCTGCTGTTTTCTGCAGGTCATTGTGAGGAGCGCTTCTTAGTGTCAGCTTTAATTCACACTGTAACCCAAGCCGCGATGCCTCCCAACTATCCACGCCGCCCGCCTGGCGTTCAGCTGCTCCTTGGAGAGCTGAGGCTGCATTAGCTCCACCGCCCCTCCCCCTCCCTGAATAACTGCACCCAGGGGACGACTTGCAAAGTTTGTTGCTTAAATATTTAAATAGGCCTTTAATTGACATCCTTCAGACCTCACCTGAACGCTGCTCTGTGGACACTAAAGAAAACGCTGCGGCTGCTGCTGCTCGAGTCTCCTGATGTGGCAGAAATTAGATTATAGAGCTCTTAATTTCCTGAAGTCAAGATTAACGCGGATCTGAAGCTGCAGTTATCGGCTTTGCCTCTTAAGATTAGTGTCTCTTTATTTATTCATTTATTGACCCTTTATTTGTTGGGAACAACAAAGTTTTAGATGTAAAAACCATGAAATTAAAATGTTTGTCTTCAGAGTTTTGGTCTTTTTCATGAATGTGAAAACATTACATACAGGAGCTTTAAAGAAGAAACAAACAAACCTTTAATAAACACATTAAGCTGTAACTTAGCTGCAGAAAATCAGTCATGAGTAAAAATTTGCTGCAGAAATGACCATGATTTTGTTTCACTTTTGTTGCATGTTAATAAAATAATTTGCCCAAGGGAATTTTGAGTGAAATCAAAGCAAAGACGGGATAAAATTTTAATTATTTTAAATAAAACTAACTCTCTAATAACATGTATTTACTCTGTGGCACTACTGTTTTCTTTAAGAGCATCATTTTTAAATACTGAAGGATACAATTTGATTAAAATATGAGTGTCATTGTCAGTCAAGGAGTCCCAGAAATCTCTGTAATCTTAAACTGATATTAATCCACACTGATCCTGCAAACTTCATTTTATATACAAAAATAAAAAAACAGACGGGCATTATCAAGTTTTAAACTGTCTCCTATTATTTAAAACTGCAAATATTAGTCTAACTGTAAAATCTTTAAGGTAATGTCAATAACACTTTACTTGATGCCTATCTCTAAAACACATTATAAATATATTCATAGTGCATTGTAATCACGTTATAGCACTGTATAACTATAGTTATAAGCATAACACATAATACCTGACCTTGTCAGTCATAATAAAACGCTTTATAATGTGTAATGATTATTATTATAAAACCTTATGATAATTAATGAGTGTTTATAATGATAGTTATACAAGTTTATAAGCAAATTATAACACATCATAAATACATGTATATTACATTATCTATGTGGGGATTGTCAGTGAGTTGTTAACAGTTATAACACATTATAATACCTGACCTTGTAAGTCATGATAAAATGCTTTATGATGTGTTATACAGTCTTATAATGTGCTTATAACGCATTACAAATATATTTATAATGCTTTATAGAGATAGGCGTCAAGTAAAGTGTTATTGACATGCCTTTAAAATCTGACTGAGAATCTAAATTCTCCCTAAACTCTTCTGTTACCTGCTCAAATTCACCTTAAATCCTGATATTCAGAGATTCTGTTACAGGAAACTTCAGGAAACTCGTCATTTAGTTCATATTTAATCAAACCTTTGTGTCGTACAGTATATATATATATATGTTCTACCTTTATATAACACTCTGACACGGCACAGCCAGGCGGCTTGTGTTTCCAGTGTTTCCATAACCTCTGACCTCCGAATGAACTGACGTCAAATAAAGAAGAGCTTCAATTAGAGGAACATCTCTTCAGATTACAACAACACAACCCTACGATGGGAATAGTCATGTGTATCATGTAAAACAAGGTTGCACAAAAGGAAATGCAGCAAAAAAAAAAAAAAAAGAGAAAAAAGTCAACATCGCAGATATTTTTCTCTCTGGAGCTTAACCTAAGATCCCAGCTGGGGAGATTCAGCCCTGAGGCCCTGTCTGCCCGTCTACCCTTGAAGAGCAGAAGAAACAACAGGAGAAAAGAGAGAAGAGGCTCATGTTAAAACAGCAAACATCATAACCTGATATCGACACTCAGCGGGGGGTCACTTCGCTGCTGCAGTCTCTGTTTTTCTCTCCCAGGAGGGTGCAATGTATAAGGGCTTCCTCAAACTATCTGTGAAGAGGCTAAAAATAAATCAGACGTACAGTACAGTACAGTGTCAAAAGTTCACGAAGAGAAATGTAGATTTAACTCTGATGATGAGCTGAAGATACTTTTACACAGTATGACAAACTGTGAAGGAACGGTGTGAAAGTTTGGGGGAAATAAAACCTGATCTTTAACACTGAGAGTGGATCAGACGCCTGTTTATTCAAGGATTTGATGTTTTATGTGTTTTTTTATCTGACTGATTACTCCTCTGATACTCTCACCAAACTCCAGTTGATTTAATTCTGTTTTTATTCAGTATTTTTCTGTCTGATTTTACAGCCCTTTTAGTCATTAAATGTAGTTTTTAAATAAATAAATACTATTGGTTGGATTGGAAACTGCAGAAATGATTCTTATCACATTTATAATCATCTGCAAAGACACACACAGCCATGCATTGGATGGTAAAGATATCACCTGCATATTTATGTGTGAAAGGGTCAATTGTACAATTACAATGTGTGTATAAAATGTATTATTAGACTACGTTCATATTTCAGGTTATGATGCACAATTTGGATTGTTTGTTAAATCCTGATTTTTTTGTGCCGTCGTTCATGTTATAACAACTAATGCAGCATCTAATGTGAACGGAACGTGTCGGTGAAGTGACCCGCATGCGCACAAAGCACAAATTACTTTCTGCACCTGTTTTTGTTGCCGAACAGTGGTGACGTTTGTCGCATATTGATGACGTATAGGTTGGATGAACGCTACCTGAGCGTCCACACTGGAGTCACATCGGATACATATCTGATTTATATCCACACACAGAAGAGGCCTGGGTCGGATTAGAACAAATCAGAAATGACCTGTTCACAAAAATCAGATACGAGTCACAGATGGTTAAAAAATCGGAATTGACCTGCAGTGTGAACGTAGACTTAGTCATTGTTATAAATTTAAAAAACCTGTGTGAATGTAAGTTTGTTTTATTTGTTTTTTGTTTTGGTTCGGTTAAGTTTGTACCCCTACAGGCTCATTGTGGAGTAACACTGCCCTCTATAAGAGGTGTTTTTGCGCCATTTTTCTTCCCTTTTATAACCGACCTCTGTTGGAGAGGTAAGCAGCTTTGCATTCAGGGTAAATTTCTGTCCTAGCCTCTGCTAATTTCATTTTTAAGTTCACTGGCTAGCTTGACTTCATTATGAGACATTTACTTTACACTGAAACAAGTGTCTGTGTCATTTAATTTGAGTAGGGGTGTGTTTGTTGAGGTCACGGAGCAGACATGAATAAAAGGTCACATGTTTAGTTTTGTTTATTCAGATCTCCATTAGCTTTGGCTAAGGCCATCGCTATTCTTCCTGGAGTCTACATTTACCATTAGCTCTCAAGCACAAGGACAATGTCGATAACCACAACAACTCACAACAGCCGACAAGACAAAAACTAAACAACCAAACTAGAACAAGACAAACAACAGACACTGAACCTTATTTCCACAGAGTAGCTATAGCTCTGAAATAATCATACACTCCACATAATTAAATTAATTTACCGAAACAGAACCCAATACATGAGCAGACTTTGGATATTTCATGTAGATCAGACAAACACTGATTGATTGAACCAAGTAACTTCATCTAGATAAGGAGCTGTTTGACCAGTAAATGTGATCGTATTTGGACAACGGTAGAGCTGTGAAAATAACTGTGAAAATAACTAGCATCAGCATATCGTCGTTTTATGACAGGAAGTCCAAACAGGACGTGTGAAGAAGAGACAGAAACAAAGACGCCTGATTTCACCGTGAGTGACCACAGGACTGGCGTTTCTTCTCTCCGACAGCTGAGCGCTCGCTCTTTCTTTCAGTCAGGACCGCCGTCTTCAGGAACGTAGAGGAGGATTGTGGGAGCCCCGTCTCGGCCCAGTTCCCCTCCTCGGCTCACATTCTCCCGGTGAACCCGTGTCCTGGGGCCAGTTGGGCGGCACAGTCTCATGTCTCAAGTCCTCACAGTTCACTGGGCCCTTTAAAGTGAGCACACCCACCAGGGGCCCCGAGGACTACAAAAACTACAAACACTGAGCTGTGCAGGCTCCTATCTGCGACACACACACACACACACACACACACACACACACACACACACTGTTAACGGCCCATTTATCTCTGATACAATAGAGAGACAAAGGCAAAGACAAAGACATGATCTGCTCCACTCGTCGGTTAAACGGCTCTGTAATATCAGCTTTAATTCGCCGCAGTATCCATCTTTCTTCTGTTGGTTTTAGTCGGCGAGCAGATACAGATCCTGAGATGGTTATGGGAGGGAAATGTCAGAGGGCAGCTCGGCTTTCAGACACGGCACACTCCGGTGAACATACGCTCCGAGATCAAAGTCGAGCCTTCGCCTACCGCAGAGCATCCCCAACAGATCTGACAAAGTGCCCCCATTGTGTGACCCCGACCCATTACTGATAATAGATCGCCTCCAGAACCGCCCCCTCAGAGCCCTCAGAACTCGTCCCGGAGCTGCGATCCGCGCTCAGAGCAGAGCTGTGGCATGTTGATGAACACACATGATATGACATGTCAACCTTCATGCGGTGTGACAGCCTCAAACAGGCCGAGAGCGGCGAGAGGGTTTCTCTCACTTTAGTGCACATCTTCAGGAATGTGATTCTGATCTTCGCTCTCTCCTCGCAGCTCTGTATCGACTCGAGTACGACAGGAGTGTGCAAAACTTCAAAGATAAGGACCGGTTGCCAAGCGTTGGCAAGTTTCTTGCAGTTGTTTGATATTTCTGCTGAAGCAGCAACGCGCGGGATTTAGTTTCCATCTGAGCTTTTTCTCTCACTCTCAGGAAAATCTCCACACATCTGCGAGCGCTCAGAGATTTGATTTTATTTGAAAACTTTCAGAATCAAAGTGGACTCACTGTTCGCTGTTTGTTTCAGACCCATCCTGCAAAAGTTAGGACATCACAAACTATCAGTCATGTCTCAGAATAAACTCAAACGTCAGTATTTTGCTGAAACTGTCGCTATGAGAGGCTAATGACTGTTTGGAAGTGTCACACAAAATAATACAAGGAGGTTTGGGTTTCATGCTAATGTTCTGTTTGCCGATAATTAGCTTTAGAGTTTACATAATGTAAGCTAGGAGCTGCGAATGCCACCGTCACATGTTGTCTATGGCAGCTCAGGGGTTAAACGACAGAAAACAGACGTTTAAAGCTGCTGTGTTAAAGGAGAGAAAGTAGATACAGTACAGGCCAAAAGTTTGGACACACCTTCTCATTCAATGCATTTTCTTTGTTTTCATTACGATTTAAATTGTAGATTCTCAAAACTATGAATGAACACATGTGGAATCATGTGCTTAAGAAAAAAAGTGTGAAATAACTGAAAACAAGTTTTATATTTTAGATTTCTCAAAGTAGCCACCCTTTGCTTTTTTGATAGCGCTGCAAACTTTAGCTGTTCTCTCAATGAGCTTCATGAGGTAGTCACCTGAAATGGTTTTTACTTCACAGGAGTGCCTGAAGTAACCCTGACAAGGTACTTCTGTCATCAAGACCAAAGGGTGGCTATTTTAAAGAAACTAGAATATAAAACATGTTTTCGGTTATTTCACACTTTTTTTATAAGTACAAAATCCTACATGTGTTCATTCATAGTTTTAATGCCTTCAGCAATAATCTACAATGTAAACAGTCATATAAAAAAATAAAGAAAAGACATTGAATGAGAAAGTGTGTCCAAACTTTTGGCCTGTACTGTATATCTGAATTATTAACTTCAGGTTTCATCACAATCACTTCTCTGTGTTTTTTAAGTGAAATAAGAATAACCAGGAGAACATTTAACATCTAAGTTTTCCACTATCTGCTGTATCTTCATGTCAAATAAAAAACCCGATGTGCTCCGTAACTGTAGTAAAACTGAAATCGTTTGTTCAGGTGTTTCTTTCGCTTCAATTACAAATATGTGCACACACCCACAGATATTACACTTACAAATATTTAGGCACACACTCACTCATACACACACTTTGTGCTCATCCATAGCCTCGGGCATGTTCTCAGTCCCTCCCTCTCTCTCATAATTACTTTAGTGATCAAGGTTAGCGCAGTAGCAGAGCACACTAACCCTTTAACCTTCCGTGAACTCGCCCATTAGTCCACCTTGGAAGCTGACGCAGGGTGTCGAACCCCGTCGCCCACGACAAGACTGTGAATTAGTCCTGGCGTGAATCAGGGAGACGGGTCTAAAGGGGGCTGCCCATGCCTCAGACGCTGCAGCAGAGACAGCAGGAGCGTGAGGGGGTCAAAAATGCAGCGTTATCAAACACTCCACCCCCCTTGCTCCCTCTCTCCCTCCTCTGACCCCCCGCCTGGGCTTACAGAAACAGGACAGACTCCCACTACGCACCCTGCCATGCTGCCAGCCCCGAGGGCTCCTCCAGACAGCTCAGGAATTCGGGATAGAGATCCGACAAGGTCTACAGCTGGGAGGAGAATTTCTACTATCCTCCGTTTCGCTCTCTTATTGTCTGGCGGAGGCATCCCAGCGCTCCCTGTCTGGCTCCGCCGTCCTCCCAGCTCTGTGTTTTGATATTGTTTTTGCTCGAGGGCAAAGGTCAGGCGGGTTGTGACATCTGAGTTTGACGGGAAATGAATTGCAAACAGTGGTGATAATAACGGTGAAAATTTAAGCTGCAGTTGACTCTGACAGAAAAAACAAGAGAGAGCATGAAGGGAGGCTTTGTTTTTATCCAACACGCGCATAAAAACCGTCTCATTCACATGGTTATTTTTGATTATCGCTCATTAAAACATACTATTATAATTTAAACTTCATATTTTAGGTATCTTGTCCTCAAAATGTAGAAATTAAAGAGTGAAACTTCACTGGAGGTAAATAAGAGGGCTAGATGATCAGTTCAGGGGGCTGCCATCTTTAGACACCCTGATCCAGCTCAGCAGGCTGCAGTACCTACTTTATTTTCCAGGGGGCAGTATTGAACTAAAAGAGAAGTGCAGGAGTGAAACCACAGAGCTGCTGATCTGTTTGGAGCCTGAGAAGGTTTATGAAATATATTCAAACCTTATGATAACGTGGAGGTGTGTTTTTTTAACTATTTACTCTGAGTCAGCAGCTGACATAAAGGTCAAAGTTCAGCTGAGAAAAGGCTGCCAGCTTTTCTTTTTTTCTTTCTCCGTCTTCCTTCGACACCACACCTAAGCAGGATTGTGTAATCCTGGGAAGCCTGATCAGATAAACCACAGTTGTCACACGATTAAGTGATGCAAAAATTACTCTGTCAAGTTTAAGAAGATAATTGCTCTTTTGACAAGCAGGACAAAATCTCTGAGAGGAGGTAGAAGTACTTTAAATTTCTCCTCTCAGATACAAAAACAAATACACGCTTTCATTTATTGCACGCATAGAAATAAACACAATGGCTGCAAACGAATGCTAATCAACTTTAATGGAGGGAAATTAAGGAGACATGTGGAAAAAAAAAAGGGAAGAGCCCACAAAGGGAGATGAAGATTGCAGGAATGATTGTCTCTGCAGGATCTAAAGATCAGCTCGGGGACAGAATAAAAGGAGCATTCACAGCTGAGGCCAGAGTGTCGCCGTCACATTGACTTCAGCCTGAATGATGGACAGATCAGATGCAGCGGGCAGATATTAGGAGTGGGTGTAGGATATGACCGGGATGCAGATGAGGCTTGTCAGAGCAGGAGGGAGGAGGAGGAGACGGGGTGAGAGAGGTGGGAGGGGAGGAGGGGCGGGGGTTCATATCCAGGGAGACTGGGCGAGCAGCAGTATGCAGGTGGTGGCTGGCTGGTGCTCCTCAGCTGGGCCCGCCGCCAGCTTGGCCCCTGGGTGCCCCGCTTTGAATTCAGGCCTTTGTGCTGCCCCGGGGAGGTCAGACAAATTCAGGTCTCATCATACACTGAGATAGAAGTGATACAGGGTAATGACTCAGCTGCAATTTCAACCCTGTCGCCTCTGCTGCAAGAAATATTCATCAAAACAGCTTATCGCACTACGACGACCACGAGGACGAGGACGAGGAGCCATCAGCTAATATTGATCTGTTTAACAGACGGACTTATTTGCATGTTTCTGATAAATTTTATCTGCTTTAAAAAAACACTTTTTCATCTTTTGTTATATGTGTGTTTTATCTTAGTGACAAAGCGTGTGTGTGAATGTGACATTTAAAACAATAAAGACAATATAAATAAAGAAAAGACTGATTTACTGATAAACTGACATTTTCATTTCCTCTGGTATTAAAGATTCTGATATTTTAAAATGTCTGACCAAGATACATATTTATGTATTTTTACTAATATGTTTTTTATGTTATATTCTTCCTTTAGAAGGAGAAAAAGCATAAAGTTTAAATATATATTATACATTATATGGATCATATATAAACAGATAAACTGCTTAAATAAGCTTCCATGTGTTGTAAATGTAATTTGATACTTATATGTGTAATATATACAGTGTACAAATATAAGTACAGATAAACATATAGTATAAGCACATATATAAATACACATATATGGTATAAACATAAATATTTTATATATTTACATATATAGAGAATAAAAGTAGAAGATGCCTATAAAGATACACAGTTTACATTTATATATTTATAGATTGTATTTATTTATATATTTTGATTTGTTCATATATCTGTTGATGTTCTGATGTATTTATATACTGATATACACACATGCAGAACATACATATACAGACTTATTTATATAAAGAGAAATATACAGAGTATATACAAGCAGAATAAATATCTATATATCTAAATTTTTATAGTTTAAATTTATATGTAGATTATAAAAAGATAGATGTTCAGTTTGACATGTGACTATAAATACATTTGTGTATTTATGTATGTGTGTATGCCTCTGCAAGTAAAAACATGTACTCACACAGACACACACATATGTATATACATACACAGAAACATGTGCGTAAACACATGAGTTATTATTAGTAATTTAAAGATGTTATAGATATTATTACAAACAGATTCAGCTGCTTCTGAAGACAGAGAGGACCGAGGATCTGTGAAGAGTTTAGAGGAGGATCTGGACTGAATATGAACAGGAGGATGATCACATTTGGACAGGGCTTTTAACTTTTATATAAATGACTTACATAAACAGAACTATTTAATGAGAATCAGGACTTTAAACTTTAACTTTGGAGGACTGTCGTGGTTTTTCTGGATGTTTTCGTCACTAAAATAAAGGAATAAATTTACTCTGGACTAAAAAGAAGATTCAACAGTCAGAGTATTAAATTGCAAACAAACCTGACGGTAAAAGGATAATTTTTTAATACCTGACTCAAAAAGTGAAGTTTGAATCACAGTTAAACTCTGAAAGTCACAGTCATGCTCTCACACACACACACACACACACACACACACACACACTCGAAGCTGGCGGTGCGTCGGTGGCCTGTGAGGCGGCCTACTTAGACCAAGTCAGACGAGTGGACAGGCTCTAATGAGAAGCAGGAGCAGTGAGGTGGGAGTGGGACCGGCTCTAGGGAAGGGTCACATGGGGTTAACTATCAAAGATGAGTGCAAACCTATCCCTGTGGAAAAGACTCTGAAGAAAACATCACCCTGCACATGCTAAGCTCCCCAAACTGGGAGTTCCTACGCTTAATTAATCCAAGACACAGCCCCCCCTACACACAGCACCAAACATTTCCACTCCCCTCCTCAGAGGAGCCAATGCTAACACTCTGAAATGTCATGGTCACTTTTACACACTTTTTCAGGACATTCTGAACGAGTCAGATAAGAAACAAGCTCAGTGTCCAACAGATAAATTCATGAGCTCTAGTTAAAATCAACAAACAGGACGCTGAAACATATTTTTAAAGTGTACGGGGTGGACCGCAGAAAAAACAAGAAAGTAAATTCTTATTGGAGTTGGAAAGATTCATGTGGGTACATTGAGCAACACCCTGCAAATTTTCAGAAACCACATTATGATGGACATGAGTTTAAACCCAAAGGAAAATAAAGACAGATGTGGAAGTTGAGAATTAAGTCTGACAGAAACAGTGACAGCAATGAAGCCGTCTAGACGGGTCCTTTTTACGATGAAGAACTGTCTACTGTACGTTAATTCAACAGCGATTAAAACCCCGACTCGCTTCACTTCATCAAATCCGCTCCATTAAAGGAGTCGGAGCAGATTTTTGTTGTCATTTTAAGTCATTTAAATCAGTTTTAATGATCTTATTCATAATTCCTCTCTTGGCTCGAGCTGTCGGCAGCTGTCAACATTGGGCTGCATGTTTCTCCACCAAACTCAAATGTGTACGAGCTACTGTATAAATCTTTATTCTCAAACACATTCATCATGCAGACTTCCACCTAATGCATGTTCAACAAATCCACGAGCGTGATGCGATCAGGAGCGCCGTAAACGTTTCCGCAGATTCAGACTTTGGTGACAAATGTGCACAAATACAGCTGTCGGCACAATATGGGGAAACTGTTGCAGCATTTCTGAGGGATTCATGTCAAAGTCGGTAACCACCTCAAAAAAAACACAACTTTCTAGTTTGAATGATAGACGCTGCAGCAACGCAACACACTCCCTGCACACACACTTACACACTTACACACACAGCTCTAAGCTTAATTTGCAATCGATCCTATCTCCCCTGTTTGACTCCTGCTGCAGCCTTCACAATGAGGACCTTTCGTCACAGTAACACATTAGTTTCCCTCCACTTGTCCAGACAGGGATTTCACTAGTAATGGCTCTGTAATGGCCTGCAGGTCCTTGGGCATTGGCTGTAAAAGGCTATATTATTGAACAGCCACTGCTTGACTGACAATTTGTGTACATCTGTAGATATTGCGAGGCGGCAACTGAAACCGACTGCTCAATCAGGCAAATTGACCGCAAGACCGCGAAGAATGAAACTGATGAAAGAGCGAGTGAAAGCCCCGTACATGTCAGAGGGCCAGAATCAGCTCGGCAGACAGGACTCTGTCAGCTCGCACTATCTGGAACATGCCGGCTTTCAGGTTGCAGATGCCTCAGAGCAAAAAAACACTTTCTGTTCAGACACGCAGAGGCTTTTTTGGCACCTTCTCTCTTATCAAAGATATAAAACAGAGCGCAGAGAATATCATCAGAGAACTAAACGCGGGTTAAACGTTGCCCTCGTGTGAAAAAAAAAACAGCGCTCAGTTTAACATGAATCAGTACTGACAGTTTACAGCACACTCACAGAGCGAGACGTGTGAGTTTTTCCTGCACGCCCGCCTCAGATTTCTCCATTGTTTCAGAGCAGGGCTCCTCCTGCTGAGATCATTTTCCCTTTTAGATTGTTTTCAGCAGAAGCCGCGCTGAAATTCAAGCCCCCAGACATCACATATTAATCCAGTCTGATCACTGTGATGCCATTTGCTGGAGGATCTTTGTGGTAAACACTAAAGATGGCTGGCACCTGTCTCTGCAGATACAGCACAACAGCGGCACCCCTGTGTATTTTGCATATTCATGTTTTAATTGTGTTACAACCCGCATGGTCTATTAATGTTGCTCTGTTCCAATTGCTGGAGTGACACAAATATGCCATGTTCCCCGTCAGCTCTGCTCGCTCTCTGTCTGCTCAGGCATGCAGCAAACAAAAGAGAAAGTTAGAGGACGTCCTTTTCTGCAGGAGGTAGACATTAATGAAAACTCACAATCATCTCTAATCAACAAAAATGAAATGCAACAACAAGACCAATCATCTGATCTACACGTGCAGGTCCTCGCTCAAGTCCAGGGTTGAAGGGTTAAAACACACGCAATGTTTTGATAAAGATGCAATTTTATCCCTTGTGTGATAATTTCCACCTTTGTTCCAGCTGTTATGTCATTTAAAAGCATTTATATAGCTATAAAAGTCCCAACAGGTCTCAAATAAGGTTATGGTTAACATTTTGAATGAGCTAAGTAAAAGCTGAGAGGAGTAAGGTGGATCTGTTTGTGAGCGGGAGTGTTGGAGGTGTATATTCTGCATCATCTCTATTTACTATCCAACTTTAAGATGAATACTTGTCTCTGATTGGTCAAAACCCTTTATTAACTCTGTAAAACCAGAGCAATGCCAGAGTTGAGCAGATCCTGCTCAACAGTTTCCACTTCCTGACTCTGATATTAGACATTATTTTCTGTTTGGTGGCTCAATTACGATGAAATATTGAAGATATTTTTTAAGATTTTGAGGATAAAGTTACGTTACAAGAACAGAGTCATAAAGTCATGACATTATGTGAGAAGAATAAAGTTGTATTTCTATTTTACAGTTAACTTATCTTGTTTTTTCAGAGTCCTGGTGCTGAAGAAACTGCGTCACCTTTGTGCCAAAAGACTGAGTGTTCAGTTATTTGCGAAACCGTCACCAAAGTAGATCTCAGATTCCTCGGTCTTTAAACTGGCTATCATCACCAGAATCTGCCTTCATTAAAGCAGTAATATGTTTAGCTAATCGCTGACCAAAATAATAACTGTTGTCCTCGAAATCTTTGTTTCTTCCCCCTAAATGTGGCCATAATACCCCATCATACTAAACTGGTCGGCTAACCGACATATTTTAGGTATGAACAGAATATCACAGCTTTGTTTTCTTACAAAGCCATCATTGGAAATGTTCAAATCAATGAGAATAATTACAAAAAAGCAGCTACAAACTTCTTGTTCCTACATAACTCGTATGTTTGCAAGATATATTTGTGCTGCAAGGAGGATAATATGGGGGCTGATAAGGGGGAAACGATCTGCATACCCAACAGAAACATGCTGCAAAACTTGAGAAGCACGGGCAAAAAGAAAGTGGAAACTTGCTGCAAAAAGCCAAAACAACTGCAAACTGCAAATCTAAAATGCACAAAAACAGAAAGTAGAAATACTTCCATCATGTTTCCTGTTACAGGAGTATCTCTAAAGTTTGAGATACTTTGAACAGAAATATGAGAGCGAGTTAGATTTATACTTCAGACTTTAATCTCCACTGAGTTACTCTGTCTACCTTGTGCCTACCTGCTCATGTGTCGTGTGAATTGTTTGTGTTTGTTTGGATGAGTTTGACGGGAGATGTCGCTGTGGAAACGCCGTCCTCACACAGCTGATGATTTATCTCCACTTTATAGGGGCGTATCATGGAGGCGTTGCATCACAGCACTTTGAACCTCACCTCAAGATGTCAGAGCAGACAGTTAAGAACCACAACGCTGGTCTTTTTTTTTTTCAGAACAGTTAATATTTACTCCGATTAATGACTTTGTTCCTCCCTGAAATGACACTGATGTGGTTTATATCTCTGCATCCTCCCAGAGTCTTTGAACACAAACCGTGGACCGAGAGGACACAAGCCAATGTTCCCAAGGCGAGATGACAAGAAATGTCAAGAAGAGACATGTACCTTCAAAGGGCAAGCCACAGGCAAGGGTTTGTGGGTAGGTTTCTGCCGTGTGCGATGGCAGCTCTCTGTCAGGGCTTGCTGCCTCCTCCCGAGCCTCCAGATCTGAAACACCTGAAGAAGAAAATCAGACGATTCTGTCAATCTGAGGTTTGACACCGCTGCTGCACAGCTCCTAATCCTCTCTTTGTGCTGGGTTTGATACGAATAATGAAACCGTTTTATCACCTCGTATGATGGGATCAACCACTTACAGCAGGAGTCTGGCATTTTGGAAAATATGCTCACTCATTTACTTGTCAAGGGTTGGGTTAGATGGTTGTTCGGCTCTTTTCTGTACATTAAACATCATAGTGTCACAAAAAAGGAGTGAACTTAGCAAACAGGTGACCAGCTATCTCTGTGTGGAAGTACAAATCCTCCTTCCAGTACAAAGATCTGCTTATCTATGGTTTACATGGGCACAAATAATCGGAATAAATGCCCGATCGGAATAATAATGCGTCATATAAACATGCCGATCGGGAGAGTTTCAGATCCATTCCGGCTCAATCGTAAAGAAATTGCATTCCGGTCGAGAGGGGTAGTTTATGCCGATCGTTATTCCAAAACGCGTTCATGTAAACACTTACTCCGATCGTGACTCTCCTACCTGACTCAGTCTTCACTCTTTATTTAGCACTCTGGTATGAAACACAACCACAGGTACCGTGTCTGCTCTTCCGGTACCGTGACAAGGCGTACAGACAGCGTGATGATGTCACATCTGCACGCACAGAGCAACCTTTAACAGAAAAGTAAAATAGGTTAGCAAGGGCGCCATCTAGTGACAACATTTAACAGGAGGGAAAACTCCTGAATTCAATGGAGTGAGCCACTACCGCGTTTGTTGGTGTGTATTCATGCACCAATAAAGCTTGGTGCTTGTATACGTACGTCATTATCGGATCATCACCAACAGTGGATCGGATAATCTGAATTATCCGATCTCTCAAATTTTTAATCGGATCGATAAATTTCGCCCATGTAAACATGGTCTACGTGTGTCCAATGACTGAGATCTGGGTGCCAAGGATGAGTCCATTTTCCTGCTTTTATTTTTACAAGCAATAATATACACAAGAATCTGAGTGCTGAGTGCTCCAATCCTCCTGAGATATTTCTATGTTCAGTTCTTTTTCCATCTTAATTTGATGTACCCATATTAAAGCTTCTCTGCTTTTGGAAACCCTGATATAGCCTGGAGATAAAGCATTTTAATGGAAACATCTATCACTGCTTAGCTTTCCTTTTTTTTTAAAACAGTGATTTCTAATATGCAAATACCTGAAAAAATCAGTGTTTTGTTGCTTAAAGATCTCTGAAACTTTTAACTATTTAATATGTGGACTTAATATGAGTCCACTAAAATTCAGCTATGACTATGTCTTACCATTTTTGATGCAAAGCTAAGCTAGCCTGTTGCTAACGTCTCCACTCTTACCACTAAAAACAGCTTTTTAGGTAGGTAAGCTAACTTCTGGTTGGTTGGTGTAAGGTTCGGTGAAAACTCTACGTTGATGTTCATTAAGTTTGGATGGATTACCTTTTATCGGTGACACTAAACAGAGTAACTTGGTGTTATTTTAAGATTTGCTCATTTTACCCCAGCTTCTAAAAGAAGCCTGTTTGGGACAGAAAAGTGCAGTGAAGTTGGCAGGCTAAAATACTCCATAACAGAGTTTTGCTTATCCTCTTTTAAGACCAGGCCCAGTGGTTAGCCCTTAACGCCATGGAGTTTGTCTCGTCTGGCTTGTCAGCAGAGGAAGTCAACAGAGAGCTTTCATTGAGGCGGGCACAGCCGGTCCGATGACATGTGTGAAGACGGAGGTGAGGAACATTTGAACCCGCATACTACCGAACCAACCTCAGGAGTCGAGCCAGCCCGTCTTTGCCCAGAGGAAGCAGGAGAATGAGGACTTTTAGATCCAGGAGGCTGTTCAGACGCTGTGCCGTGCAGGTCTGACTGCACCAAGCTGGAGCCCCTGAGAAACCCGAGCCCGCTGCAGCGCCGCACATGCTGATCCGCGCAGCTGAGAGGAGTGGACCGGCTGGGGCGAGGGGCAGGGCCGCGGCTGGGATTAAGCCAGATATTACTCCTTTCAAAAACACCACAGTACACGGCTGTGTTCGGCTCTGGTGGCTCCACTTAGCTGACTGACTGTAGTGTGATCAATATTTACTCATAACGGCCTCGCAGGGAGGTCGTGACCTTTTGCTGTTTGTGACTGGTTGTAATCTTGAGTTAGAGCCCACAGATCCGGATCTATCGAGGAGGTAAAGAAACTCACCGAACAATTAAAGCGTTTAATGACGGACGCAGAGTAAAACATGTACATTTAAAATTTAAAATCACGACTATAGTTTAAAAATCTTTAACTTTATTCGTCTGTTTAAACCATCAACATGTTTTCCTACTTGTGACAACTCCTTAAAGGTCACGCTGTCTTTATTACACCCAACATTTCATCTCTAAATCCATCTTCATTAAACACGGAGGAGGAGGAGGAGGAGGAGGAGGAGGGACAATGGCCTTCCTTGCACTTTCAACACTTAACCTTACCAGGCTCAACAATATTGTAAAAGTGCAAATCTCTCTCCAAAACGGCCCCACAGTTAATAATTAAGCCATGACATTTGGGTGAGACACCAAAAAATCTATATGGTGAAATTTACTAACCTTTTGAGAGAGCTAGCAAGAGGCGTCTGTTCATCTGTGGTTTATTTGGGCCCCATTTTAGTCCTTATAATAAAACTGTCAAAAACACAGAGAAAGGCCGGGCGGGCGGGCGGGGGGGACAAAGGATGATTGTGTGTTGTAAACAGGAGGGGAGCGCCGGGCTAATCAATGCTCTGCAAATCAAAGCGCTATCAGTCTCAGGAGGAGGAGAAAGAAACCACTGACAGATGATGTTCATATGTAAGTTTATGGATTATAATCCTCATGATGAACTGATCATCATGGCGGCTCTTCCCACAAAGGAAAAGGTCACGTCAGGGCAGAGTGGTGGCATCACCTCTGTCTCCTGGAAATACTGATCATCAACTTATAGCCGGAGGTCAAATGTGGCCCAGCGGTCATTAGAGGATCTCTGCGCAATAGTCGGGGCAGCAATCACTGATACTGATTTACAGGTTCATAAAGATCTTCTAATTGGAGCTAATTCATATAAACAAACCAAAGGTTCATAACAGACTTCTTTCATAACTACAGGCCAAAGGTCAGGCTTTATTTTCAGAGCAAACCCCTGTCTTAAAAGTCCCCAGAAAGCGTCTCATTGCAGTGATTAGTGTATATAATAAATAGGGGATACATGCAGGAGAAGTGCCAAACACAGAGTTCATAACGGTTTGGTTTACCCTCACCGGCTGTTGACTTTCAGATTTACTGTCCACGCTCAGCTCGGAGTGTACACTGCCAGTGATTTATCAGCCTCACAGGTGAGTTCTGTCGAAACATCCAAAGCTTAAATATACGGCTCAGGGCTCACCTTGTCCTGCAGCGTTTCCCACATCCAGAGGCAATGTTTGTCAGAGCGGCTGTGAACAGCTTCTCTGCCCGGAGTCATGTTTGATCCGGGAGAAACTGCCTTCAACTTCACCCAGAGAGGAAAAAAAGAAAAACTTTAACAAGCTTCCTGATCACAATAGTTGAATGTCCTTCTTTATGCAAACATGCATTTGGAAGAGGAGCGTAAAAAGTTGATCTTTGTTGACACGGTAAATTTGCCGGGTAACCTGAACTGCATGGCAGAACCTCATCCAACCCTTGTGGTTGAGATGATTGCTGCCTTTATCAGCCTCAGTGACAGATTTAATTCTCCGCTCCACTTTGACAAATGCACATCCATGAAGCTCACCGACGGACACCCGGTTTTAAAAGTCAATCCCTGTGTTGTATTTGCCAGAGGCTAATAAAAACGAGGAATAATCAGCCGGCTGTTGATGTTACAAAGAGGAAAACATATCAGTACTAATTACTACACTTTTCATATGAGTGGTATTGACTGAATGATTGTGTCGGTGAGCTCTTATTAAAAAGTAAGGCTGAAATTAGGAGTGTGGAGGAGCAATAAAAAGGACAGGGCGGTTATTCTAACCTTTACTAACACACCTTTTTAAAGCCTGCGGCTGATTCACTCTACACCACAATCACAAACATTTCACTATTTACATTCACATGGGCACAAATAATCGGAATAAAATGCATCATGTAAACATCTCGATCGGTAGATTCTGATCAAATTCAGCCCAATCGGAAAGAAATTATATTCCGATCGAGAGGGCTGGTTTATGCCGATCGTTCCAAAACGCGTTCCATGTAAAGACTTATGTGAGTGAGGTGATCGCAGATACTGCCTCTGATTGGTCGACAAACCAAAACAAAGATGGCAGCCTCTGTCTGGTATAGTCGACTATCTTTGAAATCTGAGGGGTTGGATATGCACAAGAAAAGACACCAATCTTCTCTGAATGTCATAGAGACGCACCGGAGAGCTGCCGGTCTCACAGAGCTAGTGGATTTTACCGTAAACGATTCGTCTTATCAGTTTATAATTAGGACTAAAGTTGTATCACGCTGTACACGACAGGGTTAACTCCATTTGTTACTAAACTCTCATTACTATAAGTTTCCACTTTCTTTTGATGTATTTTGAGGAAAAGAAAACTTGTTTTAAAATATATTTCTTTCATGGGCCAGAGTGAAACAAGAGGGAAAGGACCCAAATGCAAACAAAAAAGGATTTATTTAAAAAGAAGTAAATGAATAAACAACAAAAACTTACTTTAATATCACAAAGACATTAGGGACTCAAAGATCCAGGATCACATGGAACAGGAAGACACAACACACAATCAACCAACCAGGACAGAGGGGAAGACAGGGACCATATACTCACACAGGGAAACGAGCAACAGGTGAGACAGACGAGACACAGGTGAGACTGATGGGTGATTAACAAAGGAGGGAAAACTAGAGAAGTAGAAGCACAAGGAATCAACTACTACAAAACAAAACAGGAAATAAACACTAAAAACTGATCTAAAGAATAAAACACAGAGAATAGGAGGAGAACAGGGTCAGACTGAAATCTTACAAGACTGGACGACAGGGGAAAAATTAACAAAATTTACTCAATAAATTAACAAACCAGGAGAAATCTAAATTTACAGAACATATCGTGACATATTTCCGTTTTATCGCTGACGTCTGTTGAGCTTTTTTCATTTGTTTATAAAATGACCCTGAAGATGTTGAGTTAGAGTTTCAGGGATCACTGTGAGTATCTCAGGACCATGACCCCCCCTCTTTATCAGACCAAATGGTGAACGTTGGAGTCCCTGGGCATGCGGGGCAGGAGCGAGCGCCGGACTTGGATTCCAACATGAAGGGAGCGGCTCCTGGAGGTTAGCGGCGCTGACTTGTGTTAGACCTTTAAGGTCATCATTCCTCTGACTAATGCCCCTGGCATCACCTTCCTCCTGCACTTCAAACACCCTGGCTGCATTCCTAGACCATGTACCAATAAGCACTAATAATGCAGAAAAATGAAAACCAAAACAGATGGGCTCCAATAGTGGGGGGGATTACCGAGCGCTATCCGGGGCTCTATCTGCACCCCTGGGCACTGAGAGGTGAATCCCACACCGTCTTTTTCTCAGCGCTGGAACAGAGGCAGGAGGTCAAAACACAGTTGCAGCAATATGTTTACACATCCGAGAAATGTCTGCGAAGAGGTCGGAAAGGTCACCTCTCTCTGAGGCGCCGGAATCTTTTATTTCTGCGTTTGCACCTTTACTAACAGACTCATGCGACCGCATCGATGAGATCTTTGTTTTAGACGGCGGATGGATTCGATGTTTCTGACGGACACATTGAAGAAAGAGACTGCTGTGAGGAACAAGCCGGTCTGTGTGGCTGTGACCCCTCTTCATGGCTAAAACCACGACACAGTCCTCCGTTTGATTATGCACCAGCCCTCCAGGCCCAGAGAAAAACGTGTCAGACGCTGGTTTAAAAAGTCTCCCTTAACAATTAACCACACAGCATGGAAAATGCCCAATGAAAACACCCCAAAGCCCCCCCGTTCCCCCTCCTCACTCCCACTGGGGACTCGCTCTGAACTCCTGTGAACTCTGTGAAATCATGAGAAGAAATCTAGACTGTACCGAAACCCACAGACGTCTGAGTGTCTTTGGCTCTGCAAAGCTGCAATTAATTGGGTTTGGTTTGGTCGAAAAAATGTTTTATTGGTTTGTCATGAATGTGAAGTCGAGAAATGTGAATTAGGAGTACAGTCGGTTTATAACAATGGCTGTTTCAAAATAAAAGTGTTGCATAATTCGATTCAGCCGTCGCCGCCGCCGCCGCTCCTGACTGATGGGTAGTTTCAAAGTGACTCATGTTGCTAACTCTGGAGCTACTGTCTGAGCTCATGCTGGGTTTCCATGTGGCAGCTGGGGAGAATCTTGCTTTAAATTACCACAAATAACAAATCCAGCTCCATGTGTTTCTCATGGGCAGGGCCGGAGGAGCGAACAGTGACGGGGGAGAAAACCGATCACAAACCTCCAATTGTGTCTCAGGTGGAAAATGTCAGGATTTTGGTTATCTAGTGAAAATATTATCACTAGACTCATTTCCTATGTGGTGCCAGAACGGCAGAAGAGTAAATGTGCGAACAGTTTACTGAAGGCCGACTCTTAACTCTCCGTGAGTTTCGCGTGTGTGTCTTCGACTCGGGTTTCAGCCCGACTGTTTTCATATCCAGGCCACACTCACCTCAACCTCTGAGTGTCGTCTTTGGCCGATTCACGTCCGAGCGCCGGTGAACAAGCAGAGGTGACATGGGGATCACTCGTTCCTTTTTACTGTTTGCCAGGCTGGAGGTTTGATTTTAGAGAGCGTCAGGACAGCAGGACAGGAAAGGGTCGAGGAAGTAAAGAAGTAAAAACAGTGAACTGAATGCAAAGAGTTTTTGAGTCTGCTGTGTTCCCAGGATGTGAGGAAACACTCATAGTTACTGTGATCGTCATGACGACTGCTGACTCTTTCAAACTGAAGCTAAAGACTTAAGAGTCCGGCCTCTCTCAGTGTGGTGGGCAGATGTTCAGGGATTCCTGCACTGGCACTTTTCAGGAGTTTCTATTATCTGTTAAATTCTTTATGAATGAAACTGTTGTTCCCATGGTGACGGACTACAACATGCCAACCTGAAACCTGGTCTATTGGTGCGTTCCAGTTGTACTTGGAAGCTCAGAGTCGCGACTTTCAAATGAATCCCTGAGGTCGGATTTCCAACTCGGAAAGTTGGACGATCCACACAACCCCTGCGTTGACATTCAAAGACGGCGGCGCTGGTTTTAAACAGTCAGTAGAAACTCCTGTAATGTGAAAAAATAGGCTACCTTCTGCGCCATTGTGTCTCCTCTTCATCTACTGTGTTTGAAGGTCGCAGAAGGACCGAATATTTGTCCAGACGTCGTTTATATTCAGATAAGGCAGATTCGAGAATAACTTTCGTAGATGTAGCCATCTTGTTCCCGCTTCCGTTTTTGGCCGATGGCTACTTTTTTCCGACTTTGTAACTGAAATGCTGATAACTCGGGTGTGACGTCATTCCTAGCTCCGACCTCCGACTTCCGAGGTAAATGGAACGCACCGTGTGTGTGTGAGTGTGTTGGATCTATGCTACAGTACACACCATGTGATTGGTCAGACATATTGATGGTGCGTTCGAGTTACCTCAGAGGTCAAACGTCCTATCAGGCATGTCCAAACTGTTCCACAAAGGGCCGTTGTGGCTGCAGGTTTTTCTTCCAACCAATCAAGAGCCTGCAGTCTGACCAATCAGCTGTCTGAAGACTGAGATCAGCTGATGAAATGAATCAAGTCTGGTGTGCTGCTGATTGGTTGGAAGAAAAACCTGCAGTTGAGGAACAGTTTGGACATGCTGTCCTAGATAAAAATGCCGTCACACCTGAGTTACCAGTATTTCGGTTAAAAAGTAGCCAACAGCCAAAAACAGAAGTGGAAACAAGATGGCTACCAGTGTTGTTTTTGGCAGGCATTCTAGATTTAGTTTTCGTCTTAGTCATTTTGATGAAATGCTTCTTCGTTTTAGTCCCATTTTAGTCATTTCTATCCTTGATAGTTTTCGTCTCGTTTTAGTCCGACGAAAACTCAAAAGGTTTTAGTCTAGTTTTAGTCGACGAAAAGGTGCGTTTTGAAGTTCGTTGTGTTCTTTCCTGACAGTTTGTAGCCGCAGCATGAGGAAGCTGTGGCTCCACTACTGTCGTCTGTACAAGAAATTGTGTTTTATTGTCACTTTGTCTGTATCTGAAGTAGGACCATAAATTATCCTTCTTTTTTCGGCAACCGGGCACCGCTGCTGTGCCTGCCGCCACGGTGTGTGTGTGTGCGGCTACATCTAAGAAAGTTATTCTCACGCTTGCCTTGTCCGAGCATAAGGCAAGCGCTACAATAACTTTCGTAGATGTAGCCATCTTGTTTCAGGCCTCCAATTTTGCTTTTTTCTGCAGCATAAGCTCTGATTTTCCTGCACACAAAAACAGACTGGAAACTGTCGACACGTTAACGTCTCTGAATGAGTTTATTCTCTTTTTTATAAAAATCTAGACTTTCACTTCGATCTGGACGGTGTAACTCTGGAAATATCTGGTTGATAATCGTTATCGTTCCCTGCAGCAGCAGCAGCAGTCTGAGGAGGGCTGAACTTTAAGGAAAGAAAAGTTAATATTTAATCAGTCATAAATCATTTAAATGGTTTGCTTGTTTGTTTTTGGATTTGCTTGTGTTAACATGTGTCGCCCGACTTGATCTGCCATCGTACTCTACCTCTCGATTAAAACCAGCTTTGAGCTTTAATGTGTTTATTATTAATACAGGACTCTAGATGATACTGTGCATGTATGTATCAGAGGATTTTTACAGTTTTGGGGGTTTGACTCCCTCCTGTCCTCCCGTACACCCAGACACCTCTCTGTCAGCTCACCTGTCCTGCCCTGAAAAGGAAAAGCTTCAGGTTAATTGTGCCGTCTATCCCGTGCAAACACAAAGAGTGCGTGTGGGCCCCGTCTTTGTTTACTGTAAATGGCGGCCTTTGTTGTGTCTGTGTACTCAGTCTTTCAGGCTTTAATCCTGAAATATACCTGATATACCTGACGCACACCGCTCATTGTAATCCTGAATCTTTCTAATTGTTGCGCAGACACGCTCTCATCACCGCGTTTCCTCTCGAGTGTCTCCATAAAAACTTCAGGCAGAGCAGAAAAGACACAAAAAATACGACTCCTCTCCCCCGTCTGTTGGAGTTGATCATCCAAATTTCATCCAATTACATTCAAGCTTGGGATGATGTCACTGCACAGCGCTCGTGGGGTTACTCGCCTTCTCGTGTGACAAGTTAAGATAAATGGCGGTGTAACCTTGCCAACAAGTCCAACACCTGGCTGTCAGATTGAAGCCTTGATAGCAGAGACATATTTATATTTATGCTCCGCGCTGCTCTCATGCTCTAAATCCTCGCTCATTTGACAATTTCATGTGCTCCTTCAGCCCAGAAATAACCCCGGATTATTAAACCCTGTCATGACTGTGACATTCAGAGTATATCAAGTCACATTATCAAGGAAAATCATCATCGCACTGTTTATCTGCGTGGTCACGTGACCGCGCAGACAGTGGGTGGAGGCTTGCTGGGCCACATTGAGGAGCTGTCAAGGAGATGAAGGAGCACCCAGATGGTACTTCCAAGCAGCCGCCCGACGAGCCCTCGGGTTATAGGTGGGGTTCACTCGCTAGTCGTGCAGCTGGTATGTCACCTGAACTTTTCTCCGACCTCACCCTCGCTGCGTGTTCATGTTTGTGCCTCACAGACGAGTCATACAAAGGAATGGTTATGAACTCCGAGCCAGTCTCAGTAACCTGAAGTCTTGGAAGAACCTCGATAGCTGAATTAAAGGAATGTGCTCACAGTCGAGCTGTGAATTTAGACGACTGAGAGTCTCAGGAGCGGCACAACAATAATGCCAACATTCACCGCACTAGTAAAGGTATTAAGGCCAATTTCTAAAGTGTTGTGTGTTTGCATGCAGACAAAAAGTAGAGGTGCTTCAGCTGGTATTGGAGTCTCACCCATCTGTTTCTGAGGCCTGTTTGCAGTGGTCACCAAATTTGAAATGCTGACTCAGCCTAACTTTCGCTCGACCAATCAGAGCTGGAGGCGGGCTCTCAGCCTCATTGCAAACAGCTGCAGTCAGTCAAGTCAGCTGCACTCCTGATTCACCGATCTTGTAACCTTCATTTATCGGAAACTAGCCAATAAAAAACATCCTCCCCCGCTGTAGGAGCCCTGACCCACCGGACGCCTGACGTCATTTAAACGTCTTTTTTCAGGCTGAATCACATCGGCCCGTCATGGACGTAATTTAGCACAAGAAAGACGTTAAAATCTGGGCTTTATTTAGACGGTCCGAATCAAGACGTTGCTAGACGTACGGTGAAGACGTCTTTTCAACGTCTTTTTGCTGAGCGGGAAGAAAGTCAGACCAGACTATGTGTTTATGTCCTCTATACAAATGACTTCTTTTTGAATGAGTGTGTATGTGGTTTGAAACACTTCTGCAGCCAGCCTCTAGTGGACACTGGAGGTACTGCAGTTTTAAGCACCTCTGAACTGGCTTAATTTAAGTAAAGACATCTGGGGACATTTCCTGACACGTCTGCTGCAGAGCGTCAATGTGATTTCTTTGTTTTTACATTCGAAGAAGAGGCGACCGTTGGCGATAATTCGACTCCTTGGGCGAGCGTCAGCAGCAGCTCAGCTCTCAGCCTCTTACGATGAGCTGTATCGTCCTACGTATGAGAGAGAGCGTTTTTAATGGGAGGAGTCTTTGCTCAGCGTTTCTCCAATTAAAGCTAAACTCTCCATTAGCACCCCGATGATATTTACTGTAGTCTAAAGATTAATTACTCTGAATTATTTCTTGTTTGCTGCTCTCAAACAGTGCGAGGGAACTCCCTGCAGATTTCCAACGACGGTTTAAAGTTCTACTTTCGTGCACAAAACTTGAACTTTCTTCGAACGGGCTGTGTCGGCGTATTACAGAGTTAGCGTGTGAATGACGACTGAAGGGCATTTATTTAATGATATCAGGAGAAAGACATTGTTTATTCATCAAACCAGTCAACTTTGGTCAATTAGCAACTTTAACATTTTTGAGAATGCACATATGACAATGACAACAAAAGGTTTATGGTCTGTACGAAATAAATAGCAACATTGCTCATTTACAGCTTGGCTGAGGAAATAAACAAAAAAAACAACAAAGGGTTAATCTTCATATTCAAAAGGCATACAGATGAGCCGTGATACTCATGAACTCACTAACTGCTCAACAAAAAATGCTCTCCTTTTTAAATAAAGCTTTTCAGTTTAATATGCACCTTCAAGAGCCTGTTATAGTTAAATAAATAGAATGCTTTCCATTTTTAACATGCACATCCAATTTGCCTGGGGAAAGTATTTACACTTCACTGATCCTACATGTCTCTGCACCTTTTCTCCTCCTCCTCCTCCTCCTTCTCCTCCTCTTTCTCACCACAGACTCTCATACATACACAAATGTACAGTCACTCTTGCAGACATGCTGCACCTATTTACTATAAACACAATATCTAAACCTATTGAAAGTGATCAAAATGCTAACGGTGAACATGGAGATCCATGTAGTGTAAAGAAGAGACAGTCCAAACACCACATCTTAACCGAGAGGAGGGGGCGGGGCTTACAAAAAGTCTTAGTTTACAATTGATCATGCACTGTATAAAGTCACTGTGTTATTTGGTTTGTGTAGTAAGTGGCTTGGATATCTACTTGTCTTCTTTATGTGAACAAAGAGTTATATCTCCTACCAAATCTCTAACAATATTTAAGTCTTTTTTCCCCCCACCTCGAGGGGATCTTCACTGTCCTACATCAAGTGGTTTTACTATCTTGGAGTAAGCGTCAGCACATAACCAGGAGACACTGCGAGGAGGCGTTTCTTCTGTCCAGTCCGTTTCAGTGGAGAAAAACCTCCCGGTCATCGCGCTTCTTCAGGGTTGAGATGGGCAGTTTATTCTGTGCTGATGTTTTTTTCTTTCACTTTCTTCTCTTTCATGACGCGAAATAAGAGTTCTGCATGGAGTAGAGGCGGTCGATGGGGTTTCCCACCCGGGCCTGCATGGAGCTGACTTCTGAGGACGCCATGAAGCAGTCGCTGAGGCTGGTTAAAGACGTGTCGCTGTCTATGTCATGGAAAGCGGAGTCATTACCTGCGGAGAGAGAGGGGGGAGACAGAGACAGCGGCCGTCAGGATTCGGTGGCAGAGGCGTCATTCAAAAATCGCACCGCCGCCGCCCCGCTCTGACTATGAAACCGGCGCAATCTCGTAGTTGAGATTTATAGCAGCGTTGGGAAATTATAATTACTAATAGTCACTTTGAGAAATTGCTGTTGCATGTCATCACAATCGGGAGAAGTGTTTTGTTGGTTATCATCAAAGCTCACTTTTTGCTGCCCTCGCCGGGACAATTGCGGTCTGTGAGGGAGCATGTAAACAAGGGGCATCCTCCTAAAAGATCTGGTTAATAGCAAGTGTTTCCGCCTTTCATAAAACCTCAACGTGTTATTTCTCTGGAGGGAATAGTTAACTTTATTACACTCTGGATCTTAATGATAGTGTTGCACAAAATGGGGACAGTGATTTGAGACATATCTTTTAATGCCTTGCCAATATTGTTCTTTTCCCCAAACCGAAGGCGAGTGATGAGACCGGGGATTTGGGTTCTTACTACCGAGAAGAACTAAATGGAGGCAAATTATAAGGAAGTTATGAACTTGAGGAAATGGTCCCTCTGGGGCCTGTTGAGGACATCACTTGGAAATGTGTTATTCCAGTTACATCCTGTGGACTAACTCTTGATTGACGTACTTTCCCCCCTCTCCTCCTCGCCGTGTCCTTGTTTGCATTTTAATTCTTTCCTGCATCGCTCAGAAATCAGAGGCTTGTTGTTTTCACATTCTGATCCATTAGCTCACACGCCCTCAACAATCACTGTTATTTATCTGAAGCTGCCCGCACTGACCACATGTTTTTACCGCCGTTGGGAAACATCATCAGGAGCGGGACATGTTTGAGAGGAGGAGGCGGGGAGCTGAAACCATATTAAAGCCTTTTTCAAAATGAGCTCCAAACCCACTCGCTTGGGTGTCATCTCATGTGGGAGGAGAAGCTGATCTCGGTGAGCGGCGGCCTAAATCAGGGGGGCTGCGGCTGAAACACATGTCCCACGCTGGGGAGCTATGAGGTTGATCAAGGGGCAGCAGGCATGTGTGTGTGTGTGGGAGAGGGGTGGGTGGGAGTTAGTGGATGCTCACCATATGGGTTCATGTGGTCCCCTGGCATCTGTGGGGGGGTGAGCCCCTGCTGGAACGGGTCCGTGCTGTAGCCGTTCTGATCCATGGCGACCAGCTGCTGCTGCGGCGGAGCCAGCGGCGTAAAAGAGTTCATCATCCCCTCCATACGATTGGACATCACCTCTGCAAGGTAACGAGAGCGAAACGATTAGAGGAGATGCAAAGAAAACCCACAGGGGGGGGGGGGGGATGAGTGTGCAGGATGTAAATGAACCCACGCACGCTAAATGACCGCAGGGAAACCGGGATGGCGAGGGCGTAGACGGTAGTGTTTCCATTCATACGGCTGAACTCAAACACCTGAATAGTTTCCTGGTTCCTGTTTGTGTTCCCATGGAAACCCACAGTAGTTCCCCCCACGCGGCTTCTCCCACATTTCCCTCCACAAACACTCGGCTCTTGGGTAACCAAGAACTCTTGTGGCTTTATCACTGAGAACCATCCCTTACCCCCCTCTGCGCCGGCTTAGCGAGATGACGTCCGACATTCATTTTGTTTGGCTGAGGGACAAAACTTCGGACTCTCGGTGTTTACACTCAGACATCTCTGCCATCTGTGAGTCAAAGTTGTGAACTCTTTACTGCAGCGGTCGATAAATAAGAGGGTCACGGTGTTAGAGGACGACGCCGCTGCTGATGTGGAGCTCATAAAAAGACTGAAGTCGACGTTTAAATCAAGAAAACGAGAAAAGTTAAAGAGTTTGATGACATCTTCAAAAAGTGAGTGAAGCAACAAACTGTGATCACCAACGATGGTTTTAGGGAGTTTTTGAGTTGATGCGGCGACTTCCACTGCAGAGAAACAGCTACTGTATCTAGAGTTGATTTTGGTCCTCATTCCTTTAACACACATTATTTTAAAACTGTTGAGGTATTATCTCACGCAGTCTCTCACTGATCGGTCTGTTTTCTGTCTGAATGTCCTTTTTTACACTCAGTCATGTTAGTAACTCTTCTGCAAATTCACCTCTTTAGTTCAGAAATGTTTTTAATTAAGATAAAGTCGTTTTTTAAGTTTTGTTTCTTTAACATTAGAAAACTTCTTTAACTTTTTTGGCACATGTTCCTGCTCTTACATTGAGAATAAAAACAATAAAACATAAAGTAGTAAATTTTTTCATTTTAAACTATATAATTTTCTCTTCTCTCGGTTTAAATACTGGATTTGCATTATTTGCAAACCACTAAATTCTTATTTTATTGTTTTACACAGCATCCAAACTTCTTTGTAACTTGTTTGAAACTTTTTTACACCCAGTTTTGTTAGTTACCTCTTCCCAAATTCACCTCTTTAGTTCAGGAGTTTATAAAATTCAGATTAAGTAGTTAATGAGTATCGTTTCTTTAACATTAGACAACTTCTTTAACATTTTTGGCACATATTCCTGTCCTTACATTAAAAATAGGAACAATAAATCATAATGCAAGAATATATTTCATTATAAACTGTGATTTTTTTTCTTTTCTCTGTTTAATTACACGATTTGGATCATTTGCAAACCACTAAATTCTGATTTTATCATTTTAAGCAGCATCCAAACTTTTATGAAACTTTTTTACACCCAGTTTTGTTAGTTACCCGTTTGTAAATTCACCTCTTTCATTCAGAAGTGTATTAAATTCAGATTAAGCAGTTTTTTAAGTGTTGTTTCTTTAACATTAGACAACTTCTTTAACTTTTTCAGCACATGTTCCTGCTCTTAAATTTGAAATAAGAACAATTAAACACAAAGCAATAATATATTTCATGATAAACTGTGAAATTTTCTCTTTTCTCATCATTTGCAAACCTCTAAATTCTGATTTTATCGCTTTACGCAGCATCTTAACTTTTTGGTCACTTGTTTGAAACTTTATTTACACACTGATAGTTTTATGAGACATCAGACTTTAGCATCAAACTTTCACAGGATCTTTTTAACTGAGTGACAGAAACAGTTCTGGATTAAAATGAAGCTGAAAAAGTGAAAGAATATGATAAAGCTGCTCCTGGATTTCCCAGACAAAGAGCTTCGCCACAGTGATCCCCCCCGTGTGCGCCGAGTTTGTGCACTTTCGTACCTTGGCCGAGTCTCTGAGAGTTCTGTTGTTCTTGTTGCTGCTGCTGTCTTCTCGCCAACTTCTTCATCTGTAACGAAAGGAGTCAAAGTTGTGAGGAGCCCCCAAAACTAACATGCACTCTTTAATTTAAAAAGGATGCTCCTCGCTGTTCACCCTCGAGTGAACCGCTCCGAGTCGGTATCAGAGTGCACTTCATTGTCGGGAATCAAAGCTCCTCAGGAGATAATCATCAGAAAAGAGGAGGGCGTAGACATTTAATGCAAGAGCGAGTTAGATTTGCAACTCCTCCTGCTCGTTTTTTTTCCTTTCGGTACGTTTGTGAAAGGAATGCAGTGATAAGTTTAACACACATAGTTGTGCTGATTTACGAGGCCGGCTCAGAGATGGATTAAGGCTGTTGTATCTGCTGTTCGCCGCTCTCACCTTAGCTCGCTGGTTCTGAAACCACACCTGCACCACCCGGACGCTGAGTCCCGTCTCTGCGGCCAGCGTCTCCCGCACCTGAAAGCGCCGAGACAGAAGATTCCCATCATCCCACATGAAGACAAACACACCGAGGTCTCTGCCTCCCTCTCATATCTGCCACATTTCCCAACAGGCACGTTGAAATGAACGCCGTGGTCTTTTTTGGACCTCTCGGTTATTGGCTCTTCAAAGCCTTGGCCCCGCTGCACTTCGCCTATCTCAGTTTGATATTTTGTGCAGGCGGACCGCGTTACAGCAGCCTGCCTCGGTTAACACAGAACAGAGAGCTGCTCGCCACTTCAAAGCTCGCCGTGAGGTGGGGAGATTTTTTTAATTTGAGAATTTTATTTGTGAAACTACTGTAGGGCTCGTGGTCGGCATCTCAACGTCCGTTACTCCAAATATAAACCAGAGGTTACTCTGAAGGTTTCCTCATGTTGCTGAGGTTTGTACCTTTCTGCAGGGTTTGGAGGACACCTCAAAGGACGCCTTGAAGGCCCGTCTCTGCTGAGTGGTCAGGATGGTTCGTGGTCTTTTGGGCCTCCTGGGATCCTTCCCATCATCCCCCTTCCCCTGGCCCGTGATGCCTTTCTCCGGCTTGATGTCCAACTCCTCATCGTCACTTTTCTCTGCAGACAGAAGAAGAAGAAGAAGAAGAAGACATCATTTTTCTGTATCATCATCAGTACAAGCTTGAACCGACGACGCCCTCCCACTCAGTGACAGCCGGCTGATAGATTCACTCTCGTTCGGGGAGATTCACACAGCACAAGTGCATAATCAAAGGAGACACATGTGTTTCTGATACTTTCTTATCAATTTATTACAAAAGGAAAAGGCCACATGTACGATCAGACTCGCAGGAGGCTGCGGCTCCTTATTCTGGGAGAGAACGGCCAAGTATGCACATTCGTCATCCGGCTGGACGCTGCGTCACGAGAAATTTATAGCGCTCAGCTTTGTCTGATTTACACTAAATCAATCTCTGATAAGAATACTACATCAAGTGCAACATGAAAAAGGCGGCGTGAGCGCTCATGCATCTCCCGTGACACGGCGAGGAAGTCCAACTTTCTTTGACTTCACTTCCCTTAAAAATAAAACCTTCAGTTTTACTGTCAGCAGCAGGATAAAACCGTCTGAGGAGGTGGAATCTGCATCTTTGGGCTTTAAAACAACAAAGTCCACGAACACTAGGGCTGGGCGATAAAAGTGGATCACGATATTTTAGGTTTAGATAAGTTGTTTGCTACTTGGTTCTAATTCAGCACATGATTGGTTCAGCGTGGCCGAGGGCGTCAGTTTGTTTTGAAAAGTCTGTGGGGGTGGGGCTTTTAGCACGGGACAATCGTAGGGTTAAACTCGCAAACTAGTTTTCTAACCCACCACACGCTGTGTCGCAGCTTCAACCTGGCACAGACGCAAGTTTACAACGAATTTTCAACAGACGCACGTTTTTGTTTTTCTTGCGATGGTCTTCTGCGTCTCTCAGCGATGAATACGGATGGTGCGTTCAGGAGCGTCAGGATTTTCTATTCTACTGAAAATAACTGGGGTTACAACGGTTGATATGTGAAGGATTTGTGTGTGGTGGAGACAAAACGACCCCTGACAAAAAGTGGGCGTGAGCAACTCCCCTTTTCATTGGCTATTTGTATAGTCTACCAAAACATGGCAGAATGACGGCTACCGAAAAGCAACATAACCACGTTTTATATTGATATTTAGGGAAAATAATTTTTGATATAGATAGATAGATAGATGTACTTTGTTGATCCCAAACTGGGAAATTCTCTCTTTTTTATTATATTATTTTTTTATTTTTAAATTTCAATTTTTTAAAAAAAAATTTATTTATTAATATTTTTTTTTAGATAATATATTATGATTATGTCATTCTCGTTTTATCGCCCAGCCCTAATTAATACCCATTAATAATAATAATAATAACTCTGACTGTACTGGACTGTTTGTGTTTGACAGTCTCATAAAACTCTAGGATAACTTTGAGAGTTTGCAAAATCTCCTGTATTATTAAAATTATCTCTAACTTGAAACCTGACCACAGATCTGGTTTCAGCTTCTGTCACAAAAGCCACAAAGTGAAACAACCAGGACATGAAAATTATTGACTCCACGATAAAAACACGCCTCTTAGATCAGCGGACAACAACTGTGTCCAAATCCAAACCGGCAGCCTCGTTAATGACTCCAAATTATTTGGAGGGTCTAGTTTCTGTAAGGAGAGACTCACACGACGGCTCACGGTTATCAGATAAGGATCTACATTTCTGGTCTGAAAACCGACACTTCATCTGCCACATGCCGAGGTTAACCTCTGCTCATGTCGACGTTTTCTCCTCCGTCTTGAAATCTCGAGACATCGCACAAAAGACATGCCTGCGCGACAGGCCGGGACACAAACCCAACGAGGAAGACGCAGAGCAAATATTCCCACAAGTTGACAAAAGTTGACACAGGCACAGATGTATTTGACAAATTCCCTCGCTTTTGTGCGTGTCTAAATGTGAGCCAGATGGTGGTGAACAGCGAGGCTTGGCGAGATGCCTCGTTGTGTGTGGAGGCTACGGGCGAGGAGGAACACTCGAGCTGATAAGAGCGGAGGAGCGGGGCTTTCTGCAGAAAGGCCCCAAATCCCTCTGTCACTCACCATGATACAGTGATTTAATTCTTTCCAGCACCAGACCCTGCCCACGCACGGAGAGCCATTAATACAGGGGGGCTCGGCTCTGTCCTGTTTCCACTTCCTACTGTATCATAAACCTACGCTCAACCCCGCGACTCAAACGATAGGCAATCAGCCACAGGAAAGCTGCAGATGGAGTCGTGTTGGAAGTTTTTACTGAGCAGGCTGCATGAAGAGCTCGGGGAAATCCCACATGTCCATGAAAGAAAACAAAGAAATACTCTTTTAAAAAGGACTTTAACCAGTCCAACATGCTGGATGTCTTCACTGGTAACTCAGAATACAACACCAGGGTGTCATGTGATGGTCGCACCCGGGTGTGGATCTCGCCCCGGTGTGAGAGGGTGCAGAGGGCTCACCTGAGTCTGAGTCATCGGGGCTGACCGAGCTGAGTAAGTCCTTCTCCCTCTCGTAGTCGATCTTGCAGAGCAGCTGACCCTCCTTCAGGACAAACTCGTCGCCCTTCCGCAGCTGTCGGTCGCACACGCAGCAGCAGAAACAGTTCAGGTGGTAGACGCACTCCAGGGCGCGCATCACGAACTCTGTGGGGGCGATTTTCTCCATGCAGCCGCTGCATTTGGTCGCAAACAACCTGAAAAACAGAATTAATTTATGATTAATTATAGAAGAAATACAGTTTTTTGATGCAGAGGTTTGATAGTGACACAAAAATGAGCCAATTTTAGCGAAATTTACAGTAATTTCTCAGGTGTAACTATTAGTAAGTCACCACCTGTCAGTCAAGTTAGCCACGCCCCTAAATCTTCAAACCCAGTCCCCAAAAAGAGGGTCACATACTCGGTCTCTACTATCCAATAAATCCAGAAATAAAGCTCCAAGAAAAAAGTTATTTTAACAAGGATGTGAATGTCTGCTGGGATTTTAGAGACGGCCCCAAGTGGACGTTTGAGGAACTGCAGATTTTTGCACTCCAACTTCATTTGTGAACACTTGCCTGAAGTATCATTACTTCACTGAAAATAAACTCCAATCAGCTTCTTTAGTCGGATGAAACCGTCAGATTTAAGTCGATCATGTTTCCTAATTGAACAAAGATCCTAAAATCTGTATTTTTGTGATATTTTGGGACTTTCACGTAAAGGTGAACACTTTGATATGACTGAGGAGAGTCTCAGTATTTCCACTCATCTTGTAATTGTCTCTTAAAGTAACACCAGTGAAAGTGACTCTGCTGTTCTTTGTCTTTATTTTGTCCCACGGCCTTTTCTCTTTTTTTTTTCTCCCTGCGTTTTTGATGAGCCGTCAAGTTGGCTCGCCGCTCCCGTGGGCCGCCAAGGAGGTGACTCTTTTGGCAGCAGCTCATCTGTTAAAATTTCTAGGGTGGGTCCAGCCCGAGTGAAGTCAGTCATGGGCACCCAAACCAACCCCCTCCACACACACACAAACACACACGGGTCTCCAAAAAGAGTCTGGATCAGTGACCACCGACTCCCGGTGATTCTTATCGAGCCTCTGCTGACATTTCTTTCATAACCTGGATCCTCCGAACGCATCAGATAACTTATCAGAGACCATGATTCATGGCTGACTCCAGAGCCGCCCTCTGCTCTGTTCATATGTCATCTTACTGTCTAATATCATGGCTCTACACCGCCGCCTCTATCTCCATACCCTCGACAACACCTCCATCTTCTTTTATATGCTCTCGGGAAGATGTTTGCATTGTTTTATTGGCGACTGAGAGGCATTTAATTCCTCCTCTGTTGTTCACAAGAAGCCACATTAAAGGGGAGCAAGAAGGCAGGGAGTAGTGTGGTTGATCTTGTCCAGCCGTAAAGCTGGATTTATTAGCGGCCTCTTTGTTTGCCCTGGTCTGGAAGACAGCTGGCAACCGCCTATCTATTTGTGGTGAACATCTATTTCATTGTGCGAGGCGGAGAGGCGGCGAGAGGAGCGATTGACATCATGAGCTGGTCGTGGACAGGGATGAGCGATAGTGATGAATATAATGTGTAAATATGAAGGTTTTGTTATGCTAATGCTGTTATAGGTGCTGCTGATACGCTGTGTGTGCATGTGTGTGTGTGTGCACGTGTGTTCACACTTGTATGAGCAGCTGTATGCGTGCTGGAAACAAGGTGGTGCGGTTTTGTGCTGCACTTTGAAATAAAACGCTCGTGTAATCAGAAGCAGGAGTTTCTTTTTTTATGCTATTTTAGTCGGACTGCTTCAGTTTCATGATTTACCGCCTGTTCCTGAAACATAAAACAAAAAACAAGAAAACAGCCTTTTCGTCTTTTTTTTCAGCAGCAGACATCAGAAATCTGGCGCTCGCAGGGTTCATGAAATCCTCTAATCTTTCATTTATTACAATAAGTTAAGAAGATTATTATTCAGCGCTGGAAGAAAAAACTCGGGGATAATCCTCTGAAAAAGAAGTTTGGGCATGTTTCTCAAACAAGCAGGGTTCTGGTTTTAGTGACCTGCCAAACCTGGATCTACCCTCCAAACAAACCTCACAGTTTGGATGCTGGAGCGGAGCGGCGATGAGCGAATCAAACCAAAGAAAGAAAAAAAAGTCTTACGTCAACACTCTCTGAATATTTAAGGGCTCGTTCTTCACTTTTCCAAGGATTAGCCTGTTAGCATGCTGGGATCAGGGAAATGAGGTGATGAATCTGTCAGGACCGGTTCCCAGCTAATGATCGCCGGCTTAAAAAGTTGAGGAAATGACTTGTTAGCGCGGTTTTTGATACGTCCAGGACTCCGCTCTCTCTCTCTCTCTCTCCAATCTTCTCATCTCGATGAAAACATTCTCTTTCAGACCTCGCTCCTTTCTTCTCCTCTCCTCGCCGAGTCTAATCTTGTAAGCCATTATTTTTCTATTTCCCCTCTCTGTCACTTTGCATTATTTTTGCTGCTGTAATTCCTATTCGTCCCTTCTGGAATCTTCCTGTCCTGCTTTGTCCTGGCGTCTAATCCGGACTTTCTGCCTGTTTTCAGTCCCCGGTCCCCTTTCTCAGCGGGGTTCAGATGGAATAGCCATGCATGACGCCCCTTCTATGGCAACCACACCTCCACAGGAAGGCAACGGCGACTTTTCGGATGGGCAGAGAAGGCCTTTGAGAAGCTGGCAGCAGAAGTAAATCCTTCTCTAAGGAACAAGGAGAATTAGCAGGGAGCAGTGGACTAGGGATTTAACCCTACCCCTCTCCTTTGAAAGGCACAGTCGGTCCCACTCCTGCGGCTCGCCACAATCAAACAGAGGAGGAGTGGGGAGGTGGCGGCGGGGAGAGGAGAACACAAACTCCCTGAATGACACAAGCAGTGGATTGTGGAGGAGCCTAATCCCACTTTAATACCTTTCCAAGTTCAGCTGCTAAAGAATGCTCTTTAAAACAACACCACTGTGTGAGCAGTGAAGGTTGACCGGGGGGAGGCACGCCATTCAACCTCCCCGACATTACCTGATTAGTGGTTTCGAGGAGCCACCAGAGGGCCGCGAGGAGACGGAGGAGGGGATGTCCGTGATGGTTTTAGAGCGGGAAAACACGCCGATTGATAAGTTTAGCAGGAAAGTGAGATTTCAGCGCGTCCTGTCGGGATCTCAGGGGACGTCAAAGTGATTGAGGTGATTATTTACCTCGTTCTGACTCGACTTGATCCCGCTGACCCGACTCTGGACTCGCTTTGGTAACCCGACTCCCAGTGTCGCAGCAGAGCTAGCTCGTGTTTAAGAGACGCCACAAAGAAGACCACCAGCGTGTCCCCTCCTCCTCCTCCTCCCACACCTGAGCGCACAGATCAAGTGATGAGACCCTCCTGTGTGGATCAATGGCCATGTCAATATTTACCCAGGCCTCCCTAGAACTGGACTCATAAATGGAAAAAGAGCCGGTCTCAGCACATCGCCACCGCGGCGGCGGCGTCCCAGAGGCCTCATCACGTCCCTCTTTTTAATCCTGTGTCCACGTACCTGTGATCCCTCGTCTGTTCTTCCTGGCGTTATCTACGGCTCGCTCCTCCTCGGCGTGACAGATTATCACTCTGCTGAGGCTTGTAACGCCACAGGATGTGTTTTCAGAAAATGCATAAAAAAAAGGGAAAGCGAAAAAGAAGCATTACGGCGAAGACGAAAGCCAAGAGGGAGCGACAGTTATTTTGTCTGATGAACACTTCAGCCCGGCAAAGTGCAGCTCAGAGACCGCGGCCTCTCCCCTGCTCTTCTTCTTCCCCCCTTTTCCCGGCACTTTGGAGAACTATGCGCTCTCCCTTTGAACAGATTATGGCCAACTTAAAGTGTGACAACATCTTAAGCTCTCACCACATGTTGCCAATGATTTCCCTTCTTCAGACATTACGTTTAATGCTTCTGCCGCGGTGATAAGCATCAGGAGGACCGGGGCGGATAAAAGAAACCCCGAAGAAGAAGAAGAAGAAGAAGAAGAAAGAGAGGAGAGGGTTGGGAATATGGAGCCGCTTATGCCGCTTGATAATCATGCTACATTTAGCAACACGTGCGGCTACGTCTCACCTACTCCCCTCGTGCCGTTGAACGACACAGAGAGAAACGCCAAAGAAGAGCTCCAGCCATTATGTCACCGCTCGCTCCGTCTCTTCAAAGACAGACGGGATGAGGATTATCCCGGCTGCTGCAGCTGTAAGCTATTACTTTGAAGATGGGCTCTCCTGTTGGAGCGGGAAACCTGCGGCCACGCCAATCAGGGCAGAGGTGAGAGAGGAGGCCTGGAGGCGAGGTCAGAGAGGGGCTGGAGGACAGGGCGAGGAGGCCACGAGGAGCAGGCGGTCAAACCGAGAGTTATACTGACTATTGATGAGGGTAATGTGTGAACCCAATACTTAAAAAACACAACTTTGAACCAGGTTTGATTTGATGGTCCTTGTTTTCATGCGAGGAAATCTAAGCGACACAAACTGAAAACTTCCTCAAACATTTGAAGGATTTTATAAACTCCCTCGGACAGCCCCTAAAAAAGAGGACATGTGGTCACTCTGAGTATTCATGCAACTTAGCGATAAACATGGCGCCTGTTAGCTAAACTGCGGCAGAGCGACCGAACAGCGAAGTTTTGCACCTACAGGAGAAAGTAAAGTTGGATCATCGAAGAATAACCCAGTGTTATTCAAACCTGCTGCAAAATAGCTCTACAGGAAGTAACCACGGATCCACCACACGCCCAAATAAGGTCACAAATAAAGAGGAAAGTCACTGAAACCCATTCATTGAAATAAACGTGTCAGTAAAAATCAACGGTTGGACCTTAAAGTTAAACTAAAAGTCTATTAACGAATAAATTCATGAATAATCTCGATCATTTTCAGGTTTTATTTACACCAATAAAATCTGTAACTGTTGCCATAGTTACAGATGATGATTGGGATCTGTTCAGGGATTAAAGCGGCGGTCAAACGACCCTCGTCTTTCTCCGATGATGATATAATTCACCGTCTTTGTGCAGATTTGAAATAGTTGTTTTTAGCGTAAAAGCTCCAAACACCTCAAAGACCGTCTTCTGAGGTGGCGTCTTGATCTGTTTGTCTGGACGGACAACAAACATATCTGTCTTCTGTGAGCCGCTGCACAGCCTCTTCTCCTCAACTCCTCCTGAGACACGCCTCAGTTTGTGAAAATTGGTTCTCTGCTACGGTATCAAGAGCTTTCGCTAAAGAGGAGAACATTTGATGCCCAGATGTTGAAGGCAAACCTTTTCAACTCTGTTATGTATAGACCTGTTGTCCTTTAGATGCAGCGCGCCGGTTAAAAATAGCGCCCTGATTTCAGCTAACAGTTTTTTGATTGCTTGCAGAGGGACGGATGATAGAGGAAAGTTTTTTCACACTACGGGCTCGTCGTGTAAATAAAAGCAGCTAAAGCATTTCCTGCTTTTGAAGATGAGGTGAAAACAAACTTTGAGCCTGTGTGAGTGCTCCTCCAGCTCCTCCAGCTCCTCCAGCTCCAAGAAGTGGGACCCATAACACGGCTCCATAAAAGATCCGAGTAGTAGCTGACCTGGTTTCATAGTATCAGCGTTTCTCTTTGGAGCATAGATTCATGGAGAGTAATGAAGCCAAATAAAAAGTGCCATCCTTCTGCTCCCAAGGGCCAGCTCCAGTCAGCTCTAAAAGCTGCTTAATCACCATCCCGTGCTTACTACATTAGCATAATAATGGCCTTTAAATTGAGGCTCTTTGTTTTTTAATTAAACTCCCAGCAGGTAAAAGTAAAACACATTAACGGGAGATGTGTACACCACTAATGGCCCAAAGGTGCCTTCTTCATCACACGGCTCTGGCCACAGGGTTCTGCTTGTTCCCCGCTCTGCGAGCTCGCTGGGGAGGAATGAGACGAGCTGATTGCACTTGGCATCGCAAAGATAATAGCGGAGACGTGTCGGCTGTGTGTTAGTGCGTGCATATGCACCTGCCCCACATCTCAGAGGGAGCACACTTAGTAAAACGCTGCTGCTGCTGCACAGATCTATAGTAGATCTGCTCACAGTTAGTCTGGAGCGAGGAGCTTCCAGGATCTTCTCTCCCACATGTCGGCTGTTGTGAAAATAAATATGGCCACTTTATTTCTATGGCAGCATGAGCTCCTATGTGCAGGAATGTGCAGCTCCTCAGACGAGTCCCCGGCCAGACAGACATCCGAGGCAGATCTGTGCATAACGCTATACGCCACAGCTGCACAAAGAAATCCTAACCCTTAAGTCGTTATTCAAATGATCTCATTCCAGAGGCTGTGTGTGTGTTTCACAGATTACTCAACACTCCAGATACAGTTTGGAGAGGACGGGGGAGCAGGAGTCGCCCTAACTGACTGCAAAAATACATGCAAATGAAGCGCATATACATCACGGTTTTTGACAAGGCTTGTTAGCGCCAAATATGAGATCGGAGGAGAAATCTATACGATAAGGCTACGTGTTCGTGCAAAGCTCCAAAGGCAACAGCGGTATGCCGAGAATTGTCTCGCAGCATCAGGCGACCCGATGCTTCTCCTCCTCCTCGCATGTGTCTGCTAATGAGTCACTAGGAAAACAGCGTGGAAATAATCCTCCCCAGGCAGCCACACAGGTAGAACAAAGCTGACGGAGTGAAAAGGAGGACAGTGTAGTGGGCAGCAGAGGAGGCTAAGTACACAAATGTAAATACAACAGTAAGCAGGCAGGCAGGCACACATGATGCTGTTTGGACAGCTGCTGTTTCCCACCATGTAAAATGAGTGAACATCACATTTAGGATCAGTTTTTAGAGCTCCAACAAACAACGCTCAGGACTGGAAGGATGCTCACTTTCTTCTTTTGGCTGATTTTGTACCTGTTTTTCAAAGCAGAGCTGATCCCAACACAAATAAACCAAAGTGAAGCAGTTTGTTCTGTATCCACTGCCGGAGATGTGACATGTTTACAACGCCGTTCCTCCAAAGAGCCCAGGAGAAATCCCCCCCCCGTTAAATTCAGGTGTAAAATTACCTGCACTTTAAAAACAAATGTATTTCTTACAGCTCTGTTCGGGTCGCTTCTCTCCTTCAACGCCAATCTGCGTTGAGCGAGGTGGAGCAGAGCTGCGCCGTTAAGACCTCCAGCCTTCGCCGGTGATCGAGAGAGTGATGGCTACAATAAGTGTAATGGCTCTCACATGTTCTAGAGCGTTAACTGCCCACAGATACACCTTCTGCTTTATTGTTATATTTGTGTTTTTCTTCAACGAGAGGTGGAGAATAAAAACAGCTCTCAGCTCCGGGAGAAGCTCCGGCGCTCCGCTAAGATACTTTACTTTCTTTATTGAGAGAAAATAAATGGACTCCTCTTACAGATCCAGAGCTGGAATGGTTAAAAAACAACATTTGGATTGGAGGGCTTTATAATTACTATTGACCCAGAGGTTCTGGGTCTAAGAAATAAAACAAACAGTAATATGAGGTGTTCTAAAGCACAAGTCTGCAAATATGCAAAGACAGGGTCTGGTGGAGAGCATCACGCTTTGGCTTCTTTTCTCCGCTCTCTAATCTGTGGGCCTACACAATATTAAGACGGCTTTGGAGCCACTTGTGACCCAGCTGTGCACTAATGAAAAATTCCACAGCTCTGTGCGGGGGCCAGCCGGGCTTGACCCCTTTCCACCCTGAACCAGGCAGTGTCCATCTTGAGGAGTTTACCAGGCCTGAAAGATACTGGATTAATGGGAAGAGAGACAATCTGGGAAAAAGCTGAAAAAAAAAAGACCCCGTGTGTGTGTCTGTGTGTGTGTGTGTGTGTGTGTGTGTGTGTTTCCCCCTCCATCCTTTAGTATATTGGTGCGGAGTAAAGTGTTTGCGCTGGTTTTAATGGGCGCAGATGATCTGGACGTCATTGTGATGGAGCCCGCCTGGATGAGGGGGATCTGTTTACTTAACAGAGATTCACTCTAAGCCCAAAATTAGTTTGCGGGGAGAGAATGGGAGGCAACCAGGAATTAGGCGTTGTTCACAAGATCCGGATTCATGTGTTTGTGATCCCGCTGCCCTTGATTCTCCATGTCTGAGACAAAAGTCAGCTCTATAGAGGCAGGAATCAAAGAAGAAGACCAGGAATTATAGACTCTAATGTACAGCGTCCTCGCTCCTCACATGAGTCAATAAGCAAAAGTGGTTTTTATAAGGATGTATATGTTTGGTCTGGTTCCTCTTTCATTATCTGCTCCTCTTTTTTTTTTCTTTGCATTTATTTTTCCAAATTTCAAGAACACCCACTGATCTCCTGTGGGTGCTAACATTTAGCCGCACAGATACATAATCATGCAGATAACATCTAAGAAAATAGCAACACGAATGGGAGGAAAATAGACAAGAATGTAATTAAACGGTGCAGAAAAACTGTGCATTGTATTTATAGAAATCTGCATGTTCCTGAGACTGAAGGAGGCAGCGGGAAAATTACGAACTTAGATCTGAATATGAAGATGCAAAGATATTTATACCATCTATGTATGAAGCAGCGTGATAACAGAGACGAAGATGAAGATGGGACTCACCCTGATTCTGAGATAAAATTCACTCTGATTTAGAGCGTACATCTGACAAAACAAAAGGACGTTATTTAAAGGACAGATGCTGATTTAAAGCTGCACATAACATCCAAAAATGGTGACATAAATGAAAGGAATTTAGATAGAAATGTTGAGGAAATGGTTCATAGAACATTTGGATTGGATTGTATTGATAAAAATCCTGTTTCTGAGACAAAAGAAAAAAGCAGAAAAAAAAATCCTTAAAATTCAATCAGACTTTGATTTTTGATCTCATAATATTAAAAAAAATATTAAAAAAATATAATGAAAATGTCGCAAAAAAGGGTTTATTAGCGGAGGGTAAAAAATATTTATAATTGGAGCTTTTCAAAAGGACATAATTTTAGGGACACTCCTGCACAGAAACAAAACACATGGGAGGAAAATAAAGAGGAACATTACAAAGATATTTTTTTTGTATATTTTAGTGAAAATTATCATGTTTTAAAGACAAATAAAGGTGAAAATTTCAGTGAAAATCATGAGAAAGTTAATGATTAAAAAAAAACACCCACTGATGCCCTTCAGATGATGCACACACGCATTATCGTTATCACCGCACCAAGTCAAAAAAATGGTGAGAAAATCAACAAAATTAGATAAAAGGTGTGAAAAAAAGAGATAAAACCTGCAGGAAAGTGATGACTCTAATATTTCCACTAAAAAACGTTTTAAAAAACAAATACGATACTGATCTTTATCTTGCATTTTGCACAAAAAGGCATTATTCAAATAACACCCACTGATTTCCTGTAGATGCCAACTTAATGCTGCACAGTCAGGAAACTTGACGAAGCAACGATAACTACATTTGAAATCTCAGATCTTGATCAAACATCCTGCAAAAATGAGGATGGTGTCGTCTGAAAGTTTGAGTCCGTTGACATAAACAAAGCCGGATCAATAGTTGGTGTTTAACCCTTCGATTCCCATCAAAATGAATGATCATAATTCAGCTCTACAGCAGCATCAGCCTCATCAATGCTCCTAAATTGCCACATACGTCAAAAGACGAGTCCACCTTTACTATCCAACGGGGAGCAGACGATCGAGCTTATTAAGAGGCGGGGGAGAGAGGGAGGGAGGGAGGGAGAGAGAGAGGGGGGAGAGAAAATGAAAGAGGCAAAGCAAATGAAAAATAAACATTGTTATTGAAAGACAGGATGCTTTAAGACCCGGAGGCCAGGGATTAACATTCAGATTAGCATTCAAATTATTTATTTGAATTTCTGATCAGCAATCCTCTTCAAAGAGCTAAATCCCGGAGATTAGCAGGTGTTATGCTAAAAAGCTGTGTTTTTTTGTCAGCAACGTAGCTACACTAGCCAAACAAATATGTCTCTGAGTGTGAAAGGCTGGCAGGGATGTATGGCTGTAACCATGGCGACTGGCTGGTAGTTAGGAGCCGTGGAGAGGGGTGCAGTGTAGGAATGTGTCAAACAGACAGAGGGGCGCACACACACCGCAGAGCAAACCAAAAACCTGCTGTTTCACTAAAGACCAGCGGCTACATTACTGAGACCACCTACAAATCCCAGAAATCTTTGGGTCAGGAGAGAAGGAAAGGTCATTCTGCATCATCATTACTGTGTTTTATCCATCCTTTCCCATTAACTTTGATTTAGGAGACTCTGACCGAGGGAGTCCTGCATTAACGTGATGAATTTATAGAGAAAAACTCGACCTAAAGAAAATGCCAGCTGCCCCACATTTTATCCACCATGACTAACTTTATCTCTAAACCAATAAAGTAAAGACAGAGAGGCTTTAACCTGCACAAAAACACTCAGACCTGCTCAAATTACTCCGTTTTTTTCTGCATGCATGGTGTGCAAAAATGCAGCGGGGTGATAAACGATTAAAAGTGCAGACTGATTCCTGCTCCTATTATTTTCAGCCTTCACAGAAACACGTTCTCCTCTCTCACAAACTAGACTGTACACACTGTTGTTAAAAATACTGCGCTGCTCCCCTCTGAGTTAAAACTATAAAGAGCCGATGTTAGACCAAACCGTTTGCAAAATCACTGCTCTTAAATATTGGATAACTTCCATTCATGCTATTTTATACTTACAGAATAAGATATACAGTAAGAGAGAGAAAGAGAGCAGCTTTAACTACAGATACGATCACTCTGGAGGTAGACAAACACTCTCACTCACATAAAAATCAACATTTAGATCTGACTGATTGGTTTGTTCACACCTAACCTCATTTTTAAGGTCATGGTCGGTCTAATTGGTGTAATCTAGACATTCATACACCAAAAAGACACAAAGTTGTGCATGCATGCTGCTTTCTAGACTTCATATCTGTGACTTTGGGCCCCATCAAGCACATATGAAGATGTTACAGTCATCTACATGCTCCTATATAATCCTGAGGTTTTGGAGAAGATCATCCTCTCCAAATGTGCAGAAAATGGATCAGAAATTGTTTCACGAGAACAAACATAGTAAAAAATAAATGATAAAAGTGAGATCTTCTAAAGGATCTTTCTGAACCTGCAGATCGACCTCAGGCCTTTCTGTCTCTCATATTCAACAAAATTTGCATGTTAGAAGTCACGTCTGAGTAATCTATAAAACTGAGAAAAGACTATAAGGTCTGAACTACAGTCAGGCTGCTGTTGCTCTATTGGAGGATGAGATCATATGGTTACACACCTTTAGTGTAGTACAGTACAGTGGTCGTTTATTCAGTCATGACGACACCAAATATTCTACACAATATTGACATTTCACACTAAATCACTAAATCAGAATCATGTGTTGAATATTGACTGAAAAGGCAGAAGCAGACTGTTTATAAAAGCCTCTCCTGTGTTTTCAACTTTTTTATCTACCGACCTCCAGAAAAGCAGAGACACCACAACAACAGAGAATTAATCGACTTATAAGCTTCAAAAACAGCTTAACAAACTATTAAAAACAAAAAAGAACGACATGATTTTAGATTTATGTCGGCAGAATTTAACTCCAGTAACAGAGACACGTCTCCTTTTCAGACCTTTTTTAGCTTTTTCTACAGTAAATTAACAAACACCTCTGAGATTATACAGACTGTCCTGACTTGAAAAGAACTTCTGTATTCAGTCAGGGAGCATTTTTGATTTTGCTCTAAACATGATTTACATTATTTTATAATAAAACAGATCATAAAATTTCATGTGATCATAATAATCAGTCTTATTGATCATACGTAGAGCTCGTTTTTGCAGTTTTATTATTGATTATCGTGTTTTTAAAGGTGGATCCCCACAGTTCCACACAGTCAGATATATAGGGAATAATCATTAAGTAGTAGATCAAATGCAAGGCCTTTGAATTCAATACTTTTCTCAGGTTGTACAGGATAAAAGTGATTTTGAAATTTTCCCTTTAATGTATTTAATGTGTTTTTTTTTCCATCTGAACTTTTGATCAATAACAACCCAAGAAATTTACTCTCAGTAACTCTTTCAATGTCAACATTACATCTAAAAACTCCCTTTTCTCTACTTCTTATGAATATCACATATTTCCAACCATAATCCTAAAAATGACGTTGAGTTAGGCGCCCTCTTGCAGAGACGTCCATTATTTGCTTCTCGAGGTTGTTTTACCCTCCCACTCACAAACACGTATTCAAAGCAGCGCCCTGTTCTGTGTCGAGCAGAGGTTCACGATATTATCGTCTCAGTATCTGCAGATAAAAGCTCCAAAGTTAATTGTCAGTGTGGGCAGATATGAAAATTCCTGCTGATAAAATAAGATGATGCATCAAATACGATCACGCGATGACCGCACACACATGCTAACGTTACAAACACGAAGAAACAGACGAAACAGAGTAGAGTCAAGAAATCATCACTATGTCGTATTTTTATATGTTTTGTGTTTTTGTTCTCCTCTCCTGCTGTTTGTCTTTATATGTTTTATCATTTTTGTTAATTTTTGATTCTCCTGCAGTCGCTTTTCTTATCCTGGATGGACTTTATTAGTTTCTTGTCTCTGTTATTCTGCGTGTTCATTTTGGCGTTCATTTCTGTAGTTTGACTTCAATAAAAAGCTCTTACATTTTAACACATGATGAGATTTTTAACTGTATTTACTGAATTAATAAAACTGTAGTTAATTCTCTCGTTATTCACCTGTGTGTAAAAATGTCCAAACTTGCATGAGAGCTGATAAATTCATCACTGAACCTGCTAGAACAATAAATGAATTGTGTGGGCATGCTGCGACCTGCATTGTGTTTATGAGTGTGTGTGTGTGTGCATGTGTGTGTGTGTGTGTGCGGTTTTAATCCCAAGAGGGAATTTCTCTCCTCATGGCGGCGGCTAATGTTACTCTGAAACTATTCTGTTCACGTCTTCAAGGATTGGAGCGTTCTTCATTTTGCCTGGGGAGGTCTGGCAGAGAAGTCGCCTGATGCCCTTTCTGCTCTTTCTCACTGCTTTCCCACACACACACACACACACACACACACACACACACACACACACACACACACACACACACACACACACACTCAGAGCGAGCGTCTCTCTGTCATGTGGTTGGCCGACTGTAAAATCTCATCTCTCCAGCTGGAAGAGAACAGGTTCGACAAAATTCCCTCTTCTCCACGTGGAGCCTCTGAGGCACGGAGCGGGATGGCGAAGCATGGCACGGCACGCCTGGTTCCTCCAAAAACCTGCGGTGAGTCTGCGACCCTGAGGCTTCACCGTGAGTCAACGTAAAGGTCTGATTGTGTCTGCATTATGACCCCTAACAGAGCGCCGACAGGGTTTGTTTGGACGCTGAAGTGGGTGGCGTTGCAGCGCAGGAATACAGGTGCCTCCTCTGGGGTGAATCATGCATACAACTCCTGCTTAAACAGCCTGATATGAATCCTCCAGAGAGCGCCACGCAGCAGCTGTAGATATGCACATTTAGCTTTGAACAAGGCCGGCGCCCCTGACGCTCTTTGTACACACGATGGGGCTGATATGGTCGCTTATTTGTCTTCAGATCAGTGACAATGTCTCGCGCCGCAGTGACACCCGTGTTCAGCCCCTCTCAGCCCAGGAAAAAGGTTTGTATTCAGGCGCCGATTTTACACTCTCTTTAGGTCCAGGAGAGTCTTTGTGTGCGGGGAGGGCGGCCCATTCTCTGAAAAAAGCAGCTGTTTCTATAACGCTGTGGCAGCACTTTATGCAGCCGAATGATAAATGAAGGGGAAGAGGCAGAGCTGAGGTGCAGCTGAAGCACACACACACACACACGCTGAAACAATGGCAGAGGAGGGTCTCTGTGCTGCACAAACACACACACACACTCTTCCTTTTCTCTCTGCAGGTTAGACTCCTGCAGATCAGACATAGCCAGAGGTTACAAGACAAACACACTGACACATCCCACCAGTCCCGGCGCAGACCCAGGGGACTGAGAGGTTGTGGTCCCCCCCGTCCCCACCGGGACCTGTCGCCGCTCCGTCCTCAGGGCAGCCATCTTCCTCTCCCTAATGACAGCGCCCCGGGCCTCATCACTCCTCCCCCTCCTCTCTCTGCCACCAGCCTCCACCAGCGTCACGCTCCTCTCCGCTCCCTGTTGTCCTACCCAGGTGCCTGTCAGAGGGGTGTCTGCTCTGCGACTGGTGTAGCCGCCCCCTCCCCGCTCTCTCCTGCCGTGCCCCCCTCCCCTCATGGCCCCGGGCTCCTCAGCCTTTCATTTTGAAGTGGCGCAGGCCGACTCTGCACCAGCCTGGGCCCTGGGCCTGCAGCCTGCTCCATTGTTTGGCCTCAGAGAAAGACTATTATTTCAACTCAATTTACTGAGAGTAAACACTGAGTGATAAGGCCCCCTGTCCTATCCCTCACACACACACTCCTCTGGTCCCTCCCTCCCTGACCGTGGGCTGTAATATACACCGCCAACAAATCACTGCTCTCAGCCCGTTGCGATCAGCGGCTTTAGAGCGGGGCTTACTAATTCACTTTCCAACACAGATCAGAGGACAGGCCTCATGTGTTTCCGGCGCCGCGCCACATTTACAGGAGCTTGTGTCCCGATGGTGGGACCAATATAAATTTTATCCACCAGCATCCTCACGTCTTCACGGCGCCATTCACATGCTAAACCCGCTCTAATCAGATGTAAATATTCCAGGATCCAAACTGCGAGCGAGTGCTGCGACAGTTTATTAAACGAGTGAGTTTTAATCATTTCCCAGCATCAGTAATATATATCGCCCCTTATGATGAACGGCTCCTCTTCAGTCCAGATCATCGGAATAATCATGATCGCTGCTTTTTGTGTCTCCTACACAATGGACGCCGCAGAGTGACTCGCTGCAGCTGCAGGATTGACACTTGGTGGTTAAATGATCCTTTAAATCGGTGTGTTTTTATCTGAAATAAGAGCCTCCACACTCTGAAGAGAGGGTCCTGTTTTTCTTATATCACCTCCTTTCCCTCCTCTCTACTATGTCTTAATTATACAGAATTATCAGCCCGCTTTAAATAGCCGTCGTTTGCACTGTCTCCGCCTTATGTGGCTAATATAATTACGGGGAGCCTACTTTATCTTAGGCAGAAAGAGGCTGACACAGTAGCACAAACTAATGTGATAAAAGCTTAGCATATCAGGGCTTGATTTGAGGATTTTAAAGGTAAGTGTTTATGACAAGGTAATAATGCCTCATGCAAACGGCTGGCCTGTAAATTGGTTAGTTAGGGCATGATGGATGAGGGGGAGCCTAACCTTATTTCCAATAGAGCCTCTTGATTTCTGGAGCTGAGGATAATGAATTTGATTTAATTAGACCATCCCTCATCTAATTAAGAGTGGGAGAAAATCTGACCCTGTGTGTAAGTCTTAAAAACAGATTTTGAACCAGATGGACATATCTGAACAAAGACGCAAATGAAGCATTTTAGAAAAAAAAAAAAGAGAAAGGAGGCTTCGTTAAAGAGGCGTCCCATTAGCAACAATCTGTGTTTATGGAGGCCATCCTTCATGAAGTAAGTAACAAAAACTTAATCAATTATAAAAATGATTATTGTGTGAAATAAAAACAAACTACCAGCCCATTAAGAGGAGAGGTGAGAAGATGGGACTTGGGATTCGACAGCAGCTATAAAGGCCCAATTAAAGTGATTCATCATCAGATTATTAATGAAGCTTGTGAGGGTCCTCTGCAGTATTGGTAATGGCCTACTTGGCCTATCTCCTCCTGAACCCTCTGGGTAGACCTGCTCCTTACTCTGCCAAGGTAATCTCTTTAAAGGCCGGGGAGATGCAGCCCACCAGGCCCCCAAAGGCACCCTCGCGCCGCTCCCACCTTCACGCTGTATACGCTTCGCTTCACCTCGCAGGCTTGACAACTCTCATTATGGCTCCAACTTTTCTCGGCTTCACCTCGGAGGAAAAAAAACTCTCTCAACTTGATCATTCTGACAGCCGCGGGTGTTGTATTTGTCATCCTCCGACTAACTGGACGTGCTCGCGAGAAACGGGGATCTGAGGAGGGATGATGTAAAGTCTTCCTGAAGCCGGTTTCTGATTCGCTGCTGGCTCTGATGAAAAATCTCAAATCAGCGATCATTACCGCACATGCTTGGAAGTCTTACACTTCTCATAATTGACAGTCCGTCTCCTTGTAAACAAAGCCCATATATGCTTAGGTAGCCAACACACTGCAGATCCAATTACCTGTAATACAGGCTTCAGTTTATCTCACTCCCAGTCATTACCTAAATTGCCGACATATTATTAGGGTACCTGCTTGAGAAGTGTGTGTTTCTCTTCGTCTCCTAATAGGGCCCAAAGGGAGCGTTGTTTTGTGCGTAACCCTCTGCAGGCCGTGCAGGAATGGGCTTTTATAACCGTTTTCCAAAACAGAGGCACGCGGGACGCTCACAACACCTCGCCATTATGCAGCGAACACAAACGTATCTGTCAGGACACGGTGAGTGGTGGAATCAGGAGATTAATTATGTGATTGCAGAGAGAGAGGAGCCCGGCCCTCAGTCAGATAGGTCCCTCATTACATTACCTCGGCCTCCAGAGGAGCCCAATTGACTTCAGAGGCGCGGGGGGGCCCGGCGCACAGAGGAGCTGCACTGATTGAGCCATGTGACAACTATTAACAGGTGATTATGAACGCACTCGCAGGTAAAAACCTTAACATCACATCTGATGACTGACTCGTGTCCTCGGTTCTCATCGTCTCAGCCTCAGTTCCCCTTCTTAGCAATGAGATCCAGAGTCTAAGTGGACTCAGAGAGAGAGAGGCGAATTCCTCCCAAACCATGAATAATCCTGTTGCATTTCATTTGAGGAGAAACTGCCTTTAAAAGCAGCTCAGCTCGTTTCTTTAGACCGCCAACATTCCTCTAAAGATCACAGATATTAAGACACAATAATACTCTAAAAGAGGAGAGAGAGAGAGAGAGAGAGAGAGACTCAAACTACAAACTACAACAGCAGAGCATATTGGACTGTTTGGAGTAAGACTGTCCCTCCGTCTCCTCTTAACAGCCGCTCTGTTTTGTTTGACGCTGGCACTTATTTAATGAGCCGACCAGCGCTGAGACCGTCACCGGCACAGAGGGAGAGCTGAAGGCCAATCACACCTCGCATCATTCAAATCAGGCCCATGCAAGTGAGATGTACTCCTGACACTGGACGCTCCTCCGAGAGCTATATATGCAATTCGCAGAATAGCTGCGGCTGAAAATGTCTCATCCATAGGGACGCTCGCAGGCAATAACACAGCGTATGAGAGACAGACAGCTAGATTGAATAGAGAGACAGCTAGACAGGCAGAGATCAAGTCCAATCCCGCTCCCGTCATCTGGCTGCACGCTCGCTCTCAGGTCAGGCTTAGCTAATCTAATTCCTGGGCTTTCCCACAAAAAGCCAAGTGCCACTCAGGAGAAGTGGCAGGGAGAGGAGGGAGAGAAAGGATGTGGTGGAGAGGCTGGTAGTGGTGGTGGGCTTGAATAATTATGAATCAGGGAGCTTAACCTTCTGGGGAGTTAATTTGAAGAGCACTGGGGATAGGGGAGTGGGACTCTTTATTTCCCTGGGGTGCCCCTAATGCCATTGTGAGGGAATGGAGAGATCAGGACACGCAGCAATATCGTGTCTGTTAGCCGCCATATGACGAGCTGACCCCAGAGCGCCGCTCACAATCACACCTGCCGTTATCGGGGATAATTTGTTAAACATATCAATAGCTGCTGCCGCCGCCGCCGTCGCTGCTGGCCTTTTCTTCTTCTACCACAGTGCTGGACCATTGATTCGGCCGCCGTGCTGAGTGACAACAGCTGACCCCCCCCTCGACATCAAGTCCTCATCTTCAAGGCCAACACACACACATCCAGGGGGGCTTTTCTCCCACGGAACAAGAATCATACATGAATTACAGATTAACAAGTGCTGTTTTTTTCTTTCCTGGACCCTCTGAAGGCAACAGGATCAATAATTACAAATCACTGCAGGAGAAACTCTGATCACTGACATTTAGCCGCTTTTGACCAACATCAGACTCTCTGCTGGAAATGTGTTAGTGTCACATTTTACTGGAAAAAACTACAAATAAATAAAAAATAATAATGACAGTATCGATTCAGAGCTTTGGTTTCTGCATCCATGTCAATACTGACACTAATACTGATATCTAAGTATTAAAACACTGATATTGATATTAATCTTGATTCAGATGTCGATAATCTGATAGATTCAGAGACGGATAAAGTTATTGACACACACACAGATATCTGTGCAGATTGAGGTACTGATACTGATATTAATACAGATATTATCCTCACCTATACTGGCAGACACAGGAGCCAATCAATGTGTATTCAGATACTGATGCAATCAATCATTACCAATAAAGCTAAAAATACTAATACAGATATCTATACCAAAACCAGACAGATATATATACCAATACTGAAACTAATCCAGATACAATTACTGACAAACAGATCTACACTGATACCAATAAAGTTATAAACACTGGAAAGGATATTTCAACAGGTACCGATAACCAAATATTTATATAGATACCGATATTGAAACCTACACCAATACAGATACTGATACTGGAACCAATACCGATACAGATATGATCACCGGTACAGATATCTATGCAGGTACAAATAGGGATACAGATACCAATATGGATACTGATACTGAAACCGATAACAATATAGATTCTGACACAGATATAGACGACGATACAAATATAAAAGTTGATACAGATATTTATACAGATACTGAGGCTATAAACTTAGACAACAAAGTAACTGATACTGACACTGAAATCAATAACAATATGACACCAATATGAATACTGATATTAAAACCAATACTACTGCAGGTAGAAATACTGATACAGATATCGACACAGATCCAAGTACTAATACTAATATAAATACTGATAAAGATACTTTGACAGGTACAGATACTGACACCAACACCAATACAGACACTGATACAGTAACAGACACCAGAAGGAGAAGCTGAAATGTCACAATATTGTGACGAGGACAGAGACTGAAACCAAAGCCTTTACTGATATCAGATATCTGTATCTGTATTACTCTGTATTAGACCCGACAAAACCTCCTTATGAGAGCTAAGACACAACAGAGACACAACAGAGACACAGCCTGACGGTGAAATAACATCACAGCATTAAAGCCTTTTCTGCAGAGCGGGGCCTCCGTCCGTCCGTCTGTCTGTCTGTCTGTCTCAGCCTCTCACTGGGAGAGTCTGCTGTCATGTTTGCAAACACAAGAGATTGGCCAGCGAGCTAGCAAGCATGCTAGCTGGCAGAAAGAGGCTGTTGTGTGGCAGCAGCTCAGACCCCGACATCTGGATCCAGTTTGCAGGGAGCACACTCAGACGGGCCCTGACTCTGCCAAGGGGGAATCTCAGCCCTTTGATTCCTCCTCCCTTGGCCCGCTCTAATTGTCATCCCTCATTATTTAGTCAAAGGTGGAGGGATGAATCATAAACTATTACAGAGAAATGACATTTCCTGCTCGGAGAGGAATCCTCCTCGGCCCCGCTCCCTCTCTCATCTCAGCTGATAAGGACGATGGATTTCATTCGCGGCCCGAGAACAAACATGGCTGGGCTCAGGCCGGCTCAGCTCAGCTCATGCCATCAAGATGTGGTGGAGACGGTTTGTGTTGTTCTGAAACCGCAAGTGACGCAGGAGGGGAAGGGCGAGAGTTGCGACTGATTCGATGACAGTTCTCGGTTAGAGAGAGGATCTTTGCTGTCAGGAAAATCTTTACAGAATAAAAAGTTTGTGTTCACGGGGATTACTACAAATAAGAGCAATGTGTTGTAAAGAGCGCAGAGGAGAAACTGCAGAAAGGCCGACTGTAAACATGAAGAAACCTCAAACTGAACTGCAACTTTCACGAGGCAGTCAAACCCTCTCCTCCACAAATAAATCATCACGTTTGTCTGCGTGTAAATTGCGAAATCTGATTTGTTTATCATTTGGAAAAGCAACAAAGTCATTAGTTGATTGATAGATGAGTAATCAGGAAATAAAGCGAGTTTTAATTCAATTATCCAAAACAATCCCCCATTATATTCCTTTTAAGATGACAGTTCAGCGTCAGATCAAGGCTGGCTGAACGCGATATCACAAACAGACACTAATGTAATTTGTGGTTGCCTTCATCACAGCCGAGCGGAGCTGCTAATCTGGGCGGTAATGACAGCGATGTGTCTGTGCAGAGCGCTGGGGCGGCCCCGAACAGGTCGTGTTGATCTAGAGGAGGTGATAGAGGCGTCCCGGCTGCAGCGCCGCTGCCTTTGATATTTCCTCTGTTTGTTTTGGAAACTCAACAATGCGTGAACGTGTCCCGGTGAGCCGGTATGCGTGCGTGTGCGCGGCGTAAGGTGCGCCCTCTTCATTACCCCTCAGGTGGAATGTGTTTTCTGCTTTCTATGACACATGACGGCGTCTGTCAGTCAGTCATTCGGCGCTGAGGATCATTCAATCATTCTGAGAGAGGCTTTTAAGGATGATTGTATTTCAGTCTGACACAGAGAGGAAGTGGAGTTTCAGAATAAAGCTCTCCTGTATCAGCGCCCGCTCGACCGTGACGGAGTTTCGGCGTCTTGTACCGCTTACTGTACGTTTACTGCATGAGAGAGATGCGTATCGGAGCCGTCTCTCTTACATCTTCTTTTTTACAGCCGCCATCATTCACTCACCACCGCCTAGATGAGCCATTTTTTCCCGCCAAACGGTAAGCCTGCCATCAGATTAAGCAGTCTCTGATTTCGGCGCTAATTGTGCACGTCCACTTAAGAAGCTGACAGCTCGGCGAATGAGGAGGCTCGCAGGCCTCCGCGGCACGACACTCATCCATCACGGCCTAACCGATTGCATCCCTCTGAAGGCTCAACACGCTAACACCATTAGCTCTACTGCTGGGCATCTAACTAGCACATCACTCACACGGCTACATGCTAACAGCATTACGGCTAATGCTGCCCCTCTAACTAAGACATCCGTCATCGGGCCGGGAATCCTACGGCTCTGCAGAAACACGTGGAACCGCGCCGTCTCTCTCGGAGACAATCACCCGCTTTATTTCGCCTCTGTTACTTCTGTTGCCGCGGCGCTAATACGCTCATTTGTCTCGGAAGATGGCGGATGCCACTGGAAAGAAAGTTGTTTTGATTCTGCCTCTCCTCCTGCCCACAACAGATCAGGGCGTTGGGTTTGGATGTGCATGCCTCTGTGAAGGGAGCCATTCAAAGCGGATTATGATTTCATATTTCACACAGACAGCACACCACTAGGATGATTTTTAATTAGAACCAGAATCAGTAAAAAGAATGGGGCATGGAGACAATAAAATGAGGAATGCATTCATCCATGCGATGATTCTCTTGCTTTATTTAAGATCTGTGCCAATGTGCTAACAGCATTAATGAAGTTATAAAGAATTATGAGGGGAAATCAAATTTGCCTCGCCACTTGAGCGCCACTAAAATGCCAAACAATAAACTACCAGATTGCAAATTAGATCAGTAAAAATATCAAACACATTGCGGTGCAGGAAAATCCATAATTGCATTTAGTGCCTGGCCTCTCCTGGGGGAAGAGACACTAAAGATCATCAGCAGGCTACACGGGAGCCGCTATTGACAGAGCGGTAAAAATCGACAGGCTAACTAAATAAACACTCCAGGCTCCATTAAATATTCAACGGCTGAGATTTGACAGTCGAGCGTGCCTGCCTCTCCCCATCGCCTCTGTTGGCTTCTCTCTGCAGCACCCCCCCCCTCCCCTCTCCTCCCCTCTCCTCTCCTCTCCCCCTCTTCCTCCCCCTCTCCCCTGTGACTCCTGACAGCAATAAATGATGCGGTGCCTGAGGGCGCTGCTCCAGTGGGAGACCTGGAAGGATAGAGCAGGAGAGCAAAAGAAATAAAAGGGAGACAGCCTATGACCAATGGCCATTAACCGAGGACTGAGACAGGGGCCTATGACATCCTCTGACACCCCCCACCCCCTCAACACCCCCTCACCCTCTCAGGCGGACTCACACATGCACACACACTGATACTCCAGCCTCCTCCTCCCATCTCTGTTGTGTTGTTTATGTTCTAATACCACAAAGAAGAAGAAGAAGAAGAGGAGGAGGGTGTTTTCCCTGATCACAATCAAACTCTTCTTCTTCTTCTTCTTCTTCCTCGTCTGAGTTTTGGCGAAAAACCCCCGGAAAAACTCCTGCCGCCTCCTGACGAGATCATATGCATTCATACGCCGTGGCGAGCCTGAGCGAGGTTATGCAAATGAGAGATGACAGTGTTATTGTGCGAGGAATATCAATGGAGTAATTACTGTTCCATGTCGGGCTATTGGCCCTCCGCTCGCCGCGCCCAGCCAGCCAGCAGCAGCGCTTCATTTCTCAGCCGCCCTCTCAGGGGAGAGATGAGCGGCGTGCTCTGGAGAGCAGAGCTAATAATGGCAGCACGGATACAGGCAGGGCTTAGACGAGCCCCGGGGTCCTGAGCCGCAGACTGCTAAACGTTGCAGGGGTCTCAGGAGAGCCCCCCAGCAAAGATGAAATGATTAAAAAACCACCCAACCTGACTGACAAGCTGACCGGCCACCTATAACTCTTTGTGCGCCGGGTCAAAGCGCCACTGCTCGCTTCAATCAAAACAGCGGGTGACCTTTTATTTTGGACATTAGCCGACTGCCTGACAATGACTGCGAGTCCAGGAGAAGAAGAAGAAGAAGAAGAAGAAGAAGAAATAGTGTCGGCAGAGAGGAGCGAAGGAACCAGCTGAGACGTGAAAAGCAGAAACATTTCAACAATGACTCAAACGGATTGAAGGGATTTGTAAATCAAAGAAGTGATAGAGATAGGTAAATACCCGTGATCCTCTAAGTACTTTGCTTCACTGACACTGTCAGATCGTAATGATCTGGTCTAGCTTCTTTTTTTTTTATTATCGCCTTGGCTGCCGTCCAATGAGCAAACTCCTTTGGCATGTAAGTGTCATCAAATTTAACGCTCAAATTTGTTGGGGTGTATAACAAAGCGCTCCGCTCATCGTGCGAGAGCGTCGTCTGCCTGTTAAACGTCAACTTTATCATCTTTTACATGTGAGGAATCGTCTTATAAATAAGAGCGCTAAAAGGCCACAAGTTCACCTGATGGGAGAAGGCAACGCGAGGAGAAACTTCAAAGAGTGACGGCTAGTACAGGCCCCCGAGCTGCGAATTAACATACCAGGCAGGAGGAATGTTTCTCCCACACACCTTAGAGGAGCAGCAGCAACATCAGCATTTCTCGGCTAAAAATGAAACACAAGAATAAACTGATTTTAACTTTGTGTTCATAACTTAGTGAAGAAAATAAAGATTTGGACATGAGCGCTGAATTACGACTGAATTTAGTCCAGTAGGTACTAAACTATTGGTGTGTTGGACCGACACAAGGTTGTTTTGGACGTGATCAGAACGTGTAAAAATGAATCGAGTGTCTCGTTTTGCAAATTTAGGAACAGTAACATGAGCGTAGATCAATCTGGAGAGGATCCACGCATGTTATGGCGACCATCGCTTAAAAGCTTCTGTGAGGAGTTTTATCTAGTTATGAAAAAGACTGAAATTGATCTAGATCCTTTATTGTGATCTAGAAAAGCAAACGAGCCAATCAGCATCGAGGTTAAAGAAAGGAGGGAGTTGGTAGAAGTTTTTAACACATAAAAAAACTTTAATTAAATATTTTTTGCGACAAAGAGCCGGATGACTCCTTCAAATGTCCACAGAGGGCGCCAAATTCAACATTAAATAAGTGTTACTTCCAGGATCTTTAAGGAAATCAGCTGTAGGGGGCGCTTCTATGAATATTTAATACAGTTTTTTACGGACAACTTTTCAGAGAGGTGTAGGTAGTCTATTTTATTTGTTTGTTAATTATTTTTTTTATTTATAAATGATGTGAAGACTATCCTGTCTGCATCGATAATCATTCAAACTGGTGTGTGGGGTAAAGGTCGTAACCTTTCAGCCAAATCTTCTGCCAATGGAACAAAGTTAAATGAGTGTTTCTACGAGTTCAAAGCTGCAGATTTTATTTTAAAGGGTCAAATGTTTGATAATCACTAAAACACTCAAACGGGGAATTAAATATAAACCGTTCTTCAGTCGATATTCGTCATTTATTTACTGCGGAGAAGTTTCAGTGTTCGAGGATTCGTGTTTGAACTATAAAAGGCTCGACTGACGGAGAATTAAGTTGCATCGTTTTGTTTTCTCCTCGGATTAAACAGAGGATCTTAAAGACTGTTTTGTGTCGTTTTGGTTTTTATTAGTTGGATATTCTCAGATTATGGCAGAACCAGAAACTGACACAAACCATTGTCCACTTCAAAATTTCTGACATTTCTGTTTGCTGGATCATTCTGAAGAACCTTCCTCTGACACACAAACAACGATTACTTTCACACACTCCCTGTGAAATAATCTAATAACCTCTTTAATCTGTTCGTATCTCTGCTCTGATCGGAGGCGTTAAAAGTCAGGAGCCCGATGACTGAGGAGGTCGAGGCGCTGCACTTGTACCTTCATACCATCCATTTCCAGGTCAGGTGCACCTCTCGCTCTGTCCAGACACCTCATACATCATGCAGGTCAGGGCCGGCTTATCTCCGCACTTATCTGCAGAGTCATAATTCCCACTTAAAGCTGCAGCCCGCAGCAAATGAGTGGACAAGAGGGGAGAGGCAGGCCGGGGTGGTACACCACTCCCACTCCCACTGACTCCTGAGGGCGATCACAGAAAACATGTCCGACCAACGGGGCGAGACTGATTTAGATGTAAAGATGGAAGAAGATATAAATAAACATGTTGATTTGGTTTTTCCTTCGAGTAGATAAATTAATCTTTACATGTGAACTTTGACCTCTGAGATAAGTTCTCTGATCAGGTTAAAATGTCCGCCTCGATCGTCCGTCTCTTCTGAAGAACTCTTGAAGACTTCTCTTCTTCATGAGAGACACCAGGCTGCCGAGCGTGTCCTTCACAACCCGGGGAAATTCTCTCAGAATAACAAAGTCAAACACAATTTTCGTCCAATCAGCGACTTTTTTTCCATTTTGGACAAAGATGAGAAAATAGACCCTCTGTATATTTGTGGTGTGAAATCTCAAACAGTCCTCCGTCTCTCCTTCAGCTATTGTTCTTTTGGTTTCGCTGACCCGTTTCGACTCTAAAGTCGCTTTTTTACGGCGATTCAGAAACCCGCCTCTCCCCGCCGTGCTCTGGAGATGTCATAAACGCGAGCGTATGACTAACGGGCTGTTTCGTCTTTTATTCCCGTGTCTTTGCTTGATGTCCTTTCAGCAGAGCTTTGATCCTGCTAACCTTAAGGATCCTCATCATAAACACTTACCTCCCAAAGACGTTTTTATCACCCGGAGGCTCGATGCCAGGCATCTGTGCGGAAGTGGAGCTACAGATAAAGTCGCCAGTTTACAGTCGGGGGGCACAGAGGACAGACGAGAGAAAACTTTTGGATCTCCTCTAACAACTTTGGGTTATGGTTGTATATTCTGCATGTAAATATCATGCACGCCAGTTTGATATCGCCGGAGTCGAAGTGAAATCACCCAGAGCTCGCATATTTTGGATCGTAAATAACAACATCCACGTCAGTCCGGCGGCTGATGCACATATTCGACACGACAGATAGATCCAAACTCCGACTATTTTTGGTGAGACACTAAACACGCTCGAACTCTGCATGTCTGAGCATACATACAAACACGCACAAACCACCCGTGAACACGCAGCCACTGCCAGCGATGTTTCTGCGAGCAGGAGACCACAGGAATTGTTTATCGCTGCAGATCAGAGCGGCTAATCAGAAGCAGGCCGTTTCTTCTTGAACCTGCGCGAGGTCGAGATGTTTCTCCATCTCACACTGAGACGCGTACGTGCCATGGCATGACCTATCCTCCCCCTTTTTAGTACCTCAGCGGCCCCCACGTCCCCGCTCCAGATCCACAGACCCTCTTCTGTGATGTTCTTCCATCCTAGCGAGACAACAAACATTAGCGCTGTAGGGAAGCGAGCCTTACTCAAGACAAATGTTCCCTTTCGTTCTGCTTTATCTATCCCGACCTTAATCTTAATAATTAGCAGATAATGCGCATTTCTCTCGCTGTCATGTGTTCATACTTATCATTTCAAAGAGCCGAATGGATAATTATGGTAAATAAAAAAACAGAGCGACCGAAGAGACGAGAAGCAAACGTGATCGCTACGCAAAGTAAGATTTTCCATCAGCATTTGCCAAAGTACCATTAAATGTTATGGGCACATCAGGCCCCACAGAGCATGTTGGTCAGCACAGTGGGAGAATGACATCTTACACAGAGCAGGGCCTCACTGCGAGCCACGCAGCCTGCTTCAAAAGGTTTCAAAAGAGTCTGTGCGCCTGAACCGCCGCTCACAACCAGATAAACGCTGAACCGAGTCACCCTTGGGGAGGACGTAATGTTTGATGTATTAAAGGTAGTTACGCAACTTTTCTTTGATATAAACAACAACAAGCTGGTCGTAATATCGAGACGAGGCGAGGCCAAATGCTGTTAACGGAGAGGAACAGGCTGACTGCTGCAGAAAAGAGCGATGCAGAGCCAAGGCACGGTGATAGAAGTGATGGAGCTCTGCTGCCCATGAGGGATGTTTCAGCGCCACTCCAACGCTTGTCAGTGCCGTTTATTACTTCCTTGAAATATCTGTAAAAGAGGGAACCATTGAGCAAAAGAAAACTGTTTAAGAGCTGCGGGTGTAAATCTCTTTTAATGCCGCTGATCCCCGTGTTAGTGCCGCTTCCACAAAACCGCTCGCTCTCTCTCTCTCTCTCTCCCTACAGTTCCCTCATTACGCATCGTCTACGGGAAAAAATGGCTACCTTTTCACTTCGCCTTCTCAAATATTGCAAACTATAAGCGTTTTTTTCGGAGTTGTAACTGCAGGGGCTGAGTCTGCCAAGAGTCTGTCGCTTCGACTCAGTCCCCCCTTCTTCTTCTCCTCCTCTCCCCTCTTTCCCCCCTCTTCTCGGAGAAGCCGTGTCTCACAGCCAAAGTTGTGACATACAGCCGCATGTTGTTGTAGTCTAGACTTGATATGGATATTTGTGATACCGCAACATCTTACAGCGATGGCTACCGGAGCCGCGTTCCCAGAAACAGAGTGTTTTTTGTGTGTTTTCTTCCCGTAAGGATAGATCCCGACGAGCCTCCTGAAGCCCTCCACCTCTCCCCCAGGTTAGCTTAGTTCCTGGTGGGATGTTTTTGTGCGGGGAGGCCACCTCTCTTTCTTATCTTCCTGTCATCTCTGTGGGACGGCAGGGCACGACTCCGACTCTGGCTCCAGAACCACAGGCTTCCCCTGGACACCAAACCGCCGCTCCACACTAGACGTCCTCTTTGAGAGGCTGGTTGTTTAGGGTGTGTCAGAGCTTATTAGCGCCAGAATGTGTGAAAAAACCAGAGCCGGGCAGAACACTATTTGTGAAATACGTTTTTTACTGCTTGTTTCGCCAGTTTTAAGTGCCAGAAACGCGGGGTTAACCACATGAAGCAGAGCGAGCAGACGGAAATCTTGGACAATCACTAAATAGGAAGTATGCGGAGGCGGATTTTCTCTTTTTCTGACTGACAGCGAATGAAACACGATGAATTTTTCTGATTTGGTGAACCACATCCCACCGCTATTCAAAGACAGATAAAATAACTGACACTAAACAAATTCATACAGCCATTAAAATACGAGAGGGGGAGACTGAGCGTGTGCAGAAAGATCACATTTCTAACCCCTAAATCAGGAGTTCAGGACTTCTTTCAGGACTTTTAAAGCTCTTGTACCGGGTCAGGAACTTTTCTTTTTGAAACAGAAATTATTGAGCTGTTACCGTCATCGTGGACGGAAAACGTTACTACATCCTGTAGAAATGTGACCTAACCTTTGACCTCTAAATGTGCAAAACTCATAATGTTCATGTTTTGAAATTAAAAAGTTATTTAAAACAATGTTCTGTGCGTGACAATGAACCCGGTTTGAACCGGACTATGAGGACGTTTATTTTTGAATGAGTGTGTATGTGGTTTCTGCCGCTTTTGAGGCAGCCTCTAGTGGACACCTGAGGAACTGCAATTTTTTTTTTTTTAAGCATTTTTACATTCACTCCTTAAAATTACTGCCTATCTAACACGGTTTCCTGTGTTATTTGAATATTTAGCGCTCTCATCAAAATCCTGAATGTCCAGTTTCTGAGCGACCGTGGAGTTTTTTCTGTTTTCGCCTTTTTAAAGAAATGATCCAATTAATCAGTTATTCGGAATGAGTTTAAACCTTTATGTAAATATATTTTAAAGGAAATCAAATTATTATTTATATGTTATCAGACGACTTAAACTTCATCATTATATTCCCACATGACCAGGTGAAACCGAGGAGTCCAGGAAGGTCTGTTTGGCACTGTGTCATGACCTTAAACACTGTTTACTGTTCACTCTTTGTAGCTAACAACTCATTATGATTAACTGTGCGTATACAAATTTAAAGGATCCACTTTGAAGAAGAAGAAGAAATAAAGATATAAAAACTATTATTCTAATGTTAAATCTGTGGTGAAGCTCAAACCTCGAATAAAATCACAAACAGCAGCATGAGAGTCGACCCGCTCTTCCGTACACATACTTGTGGGCAACAAGAAAAACACTGAAGCGCTGAACCTGCATGCAGCCGGCTGAATGTTAATAAGGATTATGGGTAATGCCGTTATAATATACACTCCATGTTTTTGTCACTGTCTGCCAAGCAACACGGACCGTCATGTTTACGCTCCCGTCGAAGAGCGGCTTAAATACGGCGAAGCTCTCAGGAGGAAGAGACAGAAATTCCTCCTCCGTCACACGGAGCGAGGATGTCGTAATTTCTCTAACATGTAAGCCATAAAGCGATGCTGATGCCAGGGAGCGTGCTGTGACCCCGCCGACCCCGCGCCTGCTGCCCGGCCTCTGGTTAGTGTAAGCAGCATCCAGCTGAAAGCTACCAGAGGCCTTCAAGTGTGTGTGTGATGTTTCCAAGGAAAGATGGACCAATTAATCTGATTATAGTCGCAAATCCTCCGACATGTGTAAGCCTGCCTGCTACCATGTGCAGTACAGATGTGCGTCCATGTGTGTGTGTGAGCATGTATGTACCTGTGTGTGTTTCAGATCATCTCGTCTTCTCTGACAGAGTGACGGTTTGGCACAAAATCTGAATATTTAAGTTTAGTTTTAAAGGACCAGTCCGCCTAACTGGAGGTGATTCTGCAGAATAGTTTTTCTGGATCCCAAACGAAGGTTAAGGTGACAAAGAGGAGGTTAAAAGTAAAATTATTCCTGTCTGACATCCTGAAGGTTCAAACTCCAGGAGCTCGGTGAGGTTCAGAGCAGGATCCATTCATTGGCAGGATGGAAAATAAACACCTTGAGTGCCATATCCCAAACATTTATCATTCTTCTATCGGGGAGAAAACGAAGGTGTTAGGTCAGCTGTAACGGGACGCAGATACACGCTGTGGGTGAGTAGTCGTTCTCGGGATGTCAGAGCGCGACAGTTAACAGTACCTGAAATGAAATACTGGCTGAAATAGTAAACCCTCTGTCAAAGCTTTCGCGGTCTGTTTAAAAACACAACACCCGAGCACTTAGGGGTTTTAAACGGCCTCTTTTCATTGGCATGGCTATGAATATGCCTTTTCTGAGGGAGATCCTTTCATTCTCAGGCCAGAGATCTGAGTCAGTCACAGCTCGCCGTATGTTTCAGCCGGCGCTGAGGGGCGGGAGGAAGTGGAACGAGGAGCTGACAGACAGGGCCTGATACTGCGCTTCCACCACAGGCCAATCCCCAGCTAACCCCTGTGCTGACAGCCAGGATGTAGCACTCATCCACAGGCCACAGCCCAGGCTCTGGGGCCCAGGAAAAGGAGAGCACGGAGAGCAGGGAGAGGGCCGGCCTGCCCGCCCGCCCGCCTGCCGATGATAGAGAGGGGTGGAGCGGGGGAGGCTGGTGGTTTGGGGTGGCACGTACCGCTTTCTGCACGGAGAGGAGAATCCAAAGACTGTGTCGCCTGCCAAACGCATGTCCAACGCTTTGGCTACACACTCATGCGAGCGGGCACACATATGGCTACACACATGCGAGCACATTCACACAGGAATGCAAAAAACACAGTGAAACGCAAAGTAAAGCTGGAGCCTGCGAGGGAGGAGATCAACATGCAGTGTTAGAACGAGACAGGAGGACACGCTCACACGTTCACCGACTCTCAGTGACATTTTTCCCTCAAACCAGATTTTCTGGTTACTTCACAGATTCAAGAGGAAAAGTGAAACCGTCTTTTCTCTGACTGAGCACTTTTACTGACAGTCTGACTCAGAAGGAACATTCATCTCCAAAATGGCTTCAGCAGAACCGACAACATTCTGGCGGAGGCTAACCTCCAGACCAGAAGTAATTGATAACACGACCTCATCAAAACTTCACTCCTACGATATTTGCAGCGAGTCTTCGAAGGGGAAAAAAAAACGCGGGTCAATAAATAACGCCGTTCGAGTCGGCGAGGAGCAGGAGCAGAGCGGAGCGATGAAGGTTGAGAGGCCAGCGGTGACCCTGACCGCACGCTGGGAGAGGGCTCCGCTCAGAGCCAGAGCTGTCTCTCCAGCTGGGATCACAACACAACTCTGGAGCTCTGGTTTCAGAGCAGGACTCCGGCCTGCAGCGCTGCGGGCTCCCCCTGTGAGGCCGAGCCTGCAGGGCCGGCGCAGACCCAGACAGACACTCGGGGGGTCAGTCCACCGGCCCACCATCTCTCAGAGGGAGGCCTGAAGAATGATCCGGGTTCTCTTTAAATGCTGAGTTTGGGTTTGCATGAAGCTTCAGCCCACGTTTCCACTGAAGTGACCCCAGAGGCAGATCCTGAGCATAAATAATGTGTTCGGAGGTCGAATCAAACAACACGACTATAGGCTGCAGGAGAAAATGTAGATGAATGGAGCAAACAACACAGCCTCTACCTGCAGCAACACATTTTTCTTATCAAGGCGAGCGAATCGAAATCTCCATCCAGAGAGGAGAGAAGAAAAAAAACACCACCCTCTGAAAAATCTTTATGTTTTATCCCCTGATCCATCAATCCCTTTCAGAGACACCAGATCATTTTGCAGGATTCAGGAGTCGTGGAATTTCCCAAAGAAGACGTATCGTAGGAGCTTTCTGGGAAATATTAATACAGAGCCGAGAGAGGAGAGGGGTGAGCAGGGGGTGAGGCGCAGACCCTCGTCAGTATCACCGCCATGATAAAACGCCTCCTTCAAACACGCTTCGCCACCTTTTTCATGCAGAACATGATGTCTGTGTTATCGGCCGTCCTCCTCGGGGACGCCGGTGGAGCGTCGGTGACGGGTAGTGGTCTTCTTCTCCGCACTAACACTCCCCTGTCATCGCTGCATATTCTGCACATCTGCCTCCCCTTACCAACCCCCCCCAAACCCCCCCATCAGGATCATCCAAATATTTCCCCTCGCTGCTTTTTGAAGCTTCCATGGGTCACGGGACCTCATGCACAAATCACGCTGGCTTGCCGTGGGGGGGCCGGTCAGAGAGGACGGGGCTGAGTCGGACACGTAGAAACCCAATCTGCAGTGTTTTCAGACACGGGTTCGTTTTCCTGCCAAGACAGCCATCGCCAATCAGCGTCCGGGTCTAAACAGAACAGGGTTTGGGGAGCTCTGGCGGCGGATGGCGGTCCTGGCAGCTGATTTCCAGCATAATTCCCCAGCCGTACCAGCGGGGAGAGACGGAGAGTAAATTCAGAGAGCCTGACAGGCTGCAATGGTTTAACACGGGGGTTAGCCCCAAATACATAGCTCTGGGTTTATGTTGATGGATGGATAACCAAATCCCTCTCATTGTTTGCAATAAAACATCGATGTTAGTTTTTACACTTGCTATGGAGCTGAATTATGATCTAGAGAGGAGAGAGACCTGACAAATGCAGAAACTTAGTCAGACGCCAGATTTGGAACTTGTATTTTGGAAACGCGAGGGAGGAAATAACAAAGTCAAACACACGCGGATAATGAAAGAATCAAAGCAGCTCTGCCGTGTGTGGGCACAGGAGGTTCAGCCGCCGCCGCCGCAGAATTTTCATAACGCAGAATATTGGACTGGTCCTCGAAGCGGGCCGGTAAACAGGACAGACAGAGAGGGATGAGCGGCGCGGACCTTCCCCTCCCCTCCTGCGGAGCGCGGCGGCTCAGAGCGAGGAGAGGAGGAGAAGAAGAAGAAGCTGGGCAGGAATCTGGAAGTGCTGGTTAAAGTAATCACATTGGTTTCACTGCATCTGATCTGCAGTCTAACAGACTTCCAAACAGTTGAATGAGTAAATAAAGTGCCCCAGGGGACTCCCGCTGGAGATGGATTACCACGAGGGTGCGCACACAAAAGGAGCTGAAGCCCCACAACCCCGATGGGAACTGCGGACAAAAGCCTGGCGTTGGACCTCGACCAGGAAACCGGCAAACTTTATTAATCTCATCCTAGAAGAACCCAAACTCACACACTCTCACACTCTCCTGCTCTGCTGTGTGTGTGTGTCTGAGACGCAGGTATCTGTGCATGTGTTTTCTGAGCGTGTGCACGTGCATGAGCAAACATCTCAACATACTGTAGATGCACAAATGTGTGTGTGCGCTCCACTGCATAGACCACATAAGATGAGTCTCATGCTCACTTGGCTGTGGAGGCCGGGGTCTGGAGGGGGGACTAAGGGCCGTGGCATCCCACCCCGGCCCCATTCTTCCCCCTTTTCTGGGCCTGACACAAATAAAAGGATTAGGAGCCCCCGTTTCCGTCAGACCCTCCATTCAAGACAAAGCTCTGACCAGCTTAGTGTCACACTTAATGATAAAAGTGCAAATCTCTGTCAGTCACTTTGGGCAGGAATACCGGTATTTGGGGGGCTAATCTCATTTGATGAAGATTAAAGGGGGTAAAAAAAGACAAAGAAATGCTGTATCTCTGCGATTTGACCAGAGTTGACACGCCGCAACAAAGATGAGGCGCTGAAATGTGTCTTTAAGATCCAGAGAGCGATTGTGAGACAGTGGAGGAGCTTAGATTAGAGACAAAGGAAGAGGAAGCAAATGTACACACACACACACAGACACACACACATGCGCCCACACCCTCACAAAAACCTGGGGTGTATGTAGACAAACACACAGCTCTGCCCATTCCCATGTAGAGCTCGAATGTGTGACGTGAGTGTGAGAGTAAGCCTTGGGCACACAACAGTCTGAATGCAGCACTTGCCACTATGATGCCAGTCCTCTCTAGTGTATCTGTGAAAAGCCTACGTGTTGGAAAAACATTCCAGAGCCGGATCACGTATACACAGTCGGGGCCAGCAGCGATACCGCGAGCCAGCGGCAGAGGCCATGTCTCAATTTCTCATGCACGTTCGAGTAGGGGGGCCGCCTGGAGGAACAAGTGTGGGCTACTTCCAGAGACGGAGCAGAAATGAGACAAACAGGTCTGAGATGAGACGAGTTTACAGCCTGAAAAGTGCAGCCTCTTAAAAGACGAAATTCCTCCCGTTTAAACGTGTAATCTCGCAAATTGAAATAGAAAACATTTGCTGAGTGTGTGTATTTCTCGGCTGCCTGCCCTATTATAGCATTTCGCAGATTTGGCCAAAATCTAATTTGTAAATTGCCTTTAATGGTTTGCGGTAGGCTTCCTTTTTTGTTATGAAGAGTTGTCACGCTGTGAAAATAAACCTAAAGGCCCGAGGACTTGGAGCCAGTAATGAAAATCAGTACGCCGCCGAGGCCGATGGCTCTCTCTCCGCCGTCACTGATTAGCATTCCCGATTGACTGACATGTCCCACTGGCTGCCTAACAGCCGGCTTTAGGAGATGAGGTTAAATTGTGGCTACCAACAAATTGCATGCTTGAGTTCCTCTGCACCCCTCTGCTATCATCCAGTGTAATGTGAGCACACCAGGCAGATCCCTGTGCAGATCCTTCTACCCCTCCTCCCCGCCTCCTCCACCTCTCTCTCTCGCACAAAGCCGCAGAGACCTCGCTCCACATCCCTCGCCACCAGTCTGGCCTCTAAAGTGGTGATGGGCATTACCGTGGCTGAGCCTCTGCGGCTTCCCGGAGCGTCCTGCAAAGTGCTTTGTGCTCCGACTGCTGCACAACTATCCCTATAGCCCCCCGACCCGCCCTCCTCTCTCCACTGCACACCCACTCATTTCAGCTAAAACACACAGCGGAAATGCCTTTACAAAAATAAACCTTTGTGAATTCACCTGATAATACTCCAGATTTACTGGCAGCATCTGAGGAAACATGCAGAGAATATAAACAGAGGGCTGCTCGGGCCTTTCTGCGTGAACGTGGTGTGAAATTTATCACAGCTTTGTTCATTTATACAAGTTCAACAATATGTGTGAATCAAATATTTATCACTGGAGGAGCTGGGAAGCAGCGAATCGAGGTGCGGGTCCAGATGCAAATGCATACAACAGGTCCTTTAACGGGTGAATACATTAGGAGGGTGGGGTTAGGTCGGGTTAGGTGGGGGAGAGAGATGACAGATGATGCATCCCCGTCTGCTGCAGGGACAGGCCGAGCCATGTTGACATAAAACCCAATACTTCCTTACAGAGGAGCGGGGCCAGCTTCAGCCAGCTCCTCGCCCGCCGAGCACTAAAAAATCCCAGCAAGCTGAAGCAATATTATCCAGCTTAGTGTTTCTAACATTAGATTTGTCTCTCTGTAGAGGTCCTCTTTTATTTACCCGAGAGCGGTGGCTAAAGACTCGTTCTTATCCTTTTTAGGGAGAACCGTAAAAAACAAAAACAGGCGAAAAGTTCGAGAGCGTAGAGAGAGAGGAGAGCCGTACGCCCACAGCACAGAGCTCTGAAATACTTTAGCAGGAGCGAGGAGCGAGGAGCGAGGAGCTCTTTAATTAACTAGAAAACTGCCCGGCGAGCTTGACAACACAAACTACATCCTGAGTTTTTTCTTTTTTTGTTTTGGTGTGCATATGAACGCTCACAAAGTGCCAGGCCACGTGGGAGTGTCCTGGAGTGAACAAAACACACACACACACACACATGGTGAGCTAACACAGGAACCCTGCAGCCGTCAGCATCTCTCAGGCACACACACACACACACACACACACACACAATGCTGCAGCAGCGTCCCAAGCACGGCTAATTAAAAAACAACAATTTCACAGGAGGGCACTCCAAACAGTTTCTAAAAAGCAGCTCTCAGCACACCAGGGGACGGTCCAGCGGCGAGCACGCAGGAGGTGAGACAGGTTTTCTGGGAGCTCTGCTTTTTTATGGCTTCATCACCGCTGCTCTGTGTTTTTCTACTACTCATACAACCGTGACCTCCATTTCATTCTGCTTACTGCACGTGAATCAAAAAAAAAAAAAAAAAAAAAGCAGGGAAGGAAAAAAATATCTGCACGCTGATGTGTTTGGAAAACTTACAAATGAAACACTCTGAAATAAAATTTAGACGCACGGTTAAACTTTATAGAGCGTGGAAAAGTATCCACACTGGACCCAAAAGCAGGCTGGGTAATATATTTAGTTAATGTTATGTTTCTTAAAGATGGGGCCCGTGGCAGCTCCTAACAAGGCAGTCCATTACAGGGGTGTCGTCCAGTGATAGGCCTTATTACACTCGCCGCCTTCAAAGCATCTGCTCGCTTAGAGGAGAGCTCTCCCCGGGGAAAAGATCTCCCTCTTTCTAATGATGTATAATTGACCTCCAAACACCAGGGCACAACAAACTCTCTCGGGGTGGTGTAATTCCACTCTACCTTTTACATACCGCCCGTCTCGTTCGAGCTTGTTCCTCCTCTACGGCTCTATGGCTCCCGTCCAAACTGACAGCTCTGCCTTTTTGCCTTCGATTTTTATCAAACCCTCGCAAAAGCCTCCTCTAGATTCCCGCATTTCTCCTCTTTTAGCATAAATTCTACTTTATTGCCCCCTCTGGAAAATCAGCCTGACGTCTGCACATTTGATTTATTTTGCGGGCTCTAAATCTTTGCGCTCTCCTCATTCACAAAAATACCTACAAAGCGGAGGATAAACACGGGTCAGCCGTGTGGCGCAGGAAGGAGGCAAACATATGGGATAAAGGCTAATAAAATCCAATCTTGTTACTATATAATTGCACTATATGGAGCGGGATGTGTTGAACTGTGTTGGTGGGAGGTTTAATAACACAGTACACAATTGTTTTCCCCCGTCTGCACTTAAACCTGTTCCAAAGGTGCCAAAAAAGACTGCTTGCCAATTCCTTGATTTATTATAGGCAGTGAGAGCTGATTACGGGGCATGAATCAGTTGCTGTAGGAATGTAATTAGGCACGAAGACCTCTGTAAGGCTAGGAGCTCTCTTCACAGCCCAGAGCAGTTTGTGGGCTGACAAATGCATCTTAAATGGGTGTCATAAAAGTCAAAAAGGTGCCAATTACATCCTTAAGTATCCCATCAATGCAAACGGAATAAACAACACACACAAAAAAAAAAAAAAAGAAGAGAAGAGATACTCGTGTCTGCGTGATGGGAGGCGGCCTGCAGCTAGCGTTTAACCTGGGAGGGGTAAAAAATAAAAAAAAGTGTGAGGAGGAGGAGGAGGAGGGCGAAGAATTAAAAGATGTGACGGATAACAGAGTGTGAGAGCAGGCTGTCGCCCAGCAGGTTGTTGTGTTTGGATGAGGTGATCTGGGTTGCCACACAGACTCTCTCTCACACACACACACTCAGCATTCAAATGAGTAAATGTAGAGGAGAAGACCAGACGTGGAGCGTACAAGTAATAATCTTTCTTTTCCTTCTCTGTGTGTTTATTTCCTTAAAGTGGACGGAGCTGAAACAGGCCCGAGAAAGAAAGAGATCCTCCTCTCCTCCTTTCTCTCCTCCTCTCTCTCTCTCTCTTTCTCTCTTTGCTTCCAGTCACCTCTGAGCCGTGACGCCGTGGCTCTGGTATCCCTGAGTTACCGCTATGAATTTTTCCATTGTTATCAGGCTCGACTACGCTCCTGTCACAGAGCCGGATGAATAGCACGCATGGCGATAGATGTAACCCTTTGTTGCTCACGAGGTATCTAGCAGAGAGTCATAATGTCCCGGTAATCGAAGTGGAATTGTTGAAAAGGCCGTGCACAAAAAGCTGAAAATTTACTGACAAGCATGAAAAGCGCTCGTGTGATGAGAAACACAGGGACACCCCGGGGTCGTCCAGCAGCCGCCCTCAGCTCTCCTCTCACCTCCAACACAATATCTGCCCACTTTCCTGCACTCTGTGATCATTAACTCATTAACTTTACTAATTTATCCCACTCCATGAATAATAGCTGACGTTTTACCTCCTTTTATAAGCCTAAACTTTATTTCAATTCAATATTTAAACACAAAGCATGACAGGCAAATTCACTTATTATTATTGTGTATCTATAATTCATTAAACTATTATTTTTAGCACTTACAATATTAATAATACGCTTTTATTAAATTATCATGTTGTTGTAATTTGGGGAGGGTAAATAATTCAACTACAAATCCCAATATCACCTTTAATTGTAATTACAATTACACTGAATTTACGGGATTGTATTTAAATTATTTTTCATTTTGGGATTAAATTATTAATTCCTTAAAAATTATCTCTATGCGTGCGCGAGTTGCGCGTGCGCAGACGTCCAAACTTATCGTAGTTTCCATTGTTTCTCATGATTAATATCGACTAAATCCGAGTAAGCACATTTATCTGACAGACAGGCCTCCGCGTTATTCCGATCAGATTATAGACGGATATTTTCATGAACCGGATTAATCCCAGAAAATAAAATAAATAAAATCTCCAAAAAGTCAAACAAGCGAAAAATAAAAGAAAACAAAGAAAAAATAAACATAATTTTCAAAAAAGAAAAAGAGGAAGTCAATTTAAATACGAGGATTAAAGGCACGTCGACACTTTAGATTTTCAAAATAAAACAAAATTTTAAAAAATCATCGTAAATATGAATTTAACCTGCTGCTGCTGCTGAGTTAGATCTTTTAAAAATAACTCAAAAATAAACATAGAGAGAGGTCATACACACACACACACACTCACACTCACAGCGGTTATAGTGTTGATGGGGGAAGGCCACACGGTGCACCCAGGAAATAGACAGACCCACACAGATGTCACAGAGCGGAATAAAAACCGAGAATAGACGCCTGCACACTCTCGGGGCCCATCACATCCTTTTTCAGCTCAAAACACTCTGATTCCACAGAAACTAGTGTGGAAAATAACGTGGGCCACCGTGACAACAATAACACCTGATGACAATAATAAGAATAATACATGAGCGCGTGCTGCAGAGCTCTGTGCTGTCCACATCTGATCTTATTATTAATTATTCATGCTTGTGTAAAAAGCTCTGATTTACTACACTTATTCCTGTTATTTTTATTTTCATTTTCTTAATTTTTATGTATTTTTAAAAACCGTACAGCTCAGCCGGACGAGCAGAGACAACAGGTGAAGTTCCGTAAAACATCCATCTTGATACAAAATAAAAATTTAACACTCGATTAAATCTAGAAAATTTCAGCTATGACTCCACGCTTACTCAAAGAGTTTGCAGACTGTGGATGGAGCATACACACGCTCACACACACACGCATTAACATACACACACACAGACAGGGCCTGGAGGCCAGCCACTGCAGCCATCTCAGGATTTTTCTCAAATCACTGCACAACCAAACCGAGCAGAGCTGAACCATCTGAAGAAGGAGGAGGAGAGACAGCAGCAGCAGAACAGAGGAGAGCAGATCTGGTTCTTACTGTTGGTAGTCGTGTTTGCAGTAAAGTTTCCTTTCTCTGAAGTAACAGCTGGTGGTGAGAGGCTGTTGACACACGGTGCACTGCAAACACTCCTCGTGCCATGAGGAATCGTTGACCCTCATCAGGAAGCGGTCGGAGATGGGACGCTGGCATCCTTCACACACGGACGGATGATGACAATCGCTGCCTGGAAGAAGAAGAAGAGCAGAGGGGTTATGGAGGAGAGAAGGCCCGGGTTCAGGGCTGTGATGTGGAGCCTTCAATATTTACACACTGGCTGCTTGAGTAAATAAATGCAGGTTTTATGATGTGTAATTACAGCAAAAACCGCAGATTATAAGAAGTGAATTTGATATTTTCCTCCAAACAAGGCCTTCAGATAACATCACTAATCCAACATGCAGATTACCCACTCACCAATGATGCTTTTTATTGATAATTTAATCTAATCTAATCCACATTTTCTTGAATATTTTATCCTTTTACGCGCGTAAAAATTGTCTTTCCCAGTTTAGAGTGTGCGTAAATGTCAGCAAACAAGACAGCACCGAGCATGCAGACACAACACTGACAAAAAACACTCTCTCTTTCACTTTAATGTAATTTTTTTAACAGTTTTTGGGAGAATTAAAGCCTCACCGAGCATGACTCCGAGCGTGGCCTGTCCCGAGCGCAGGGGATGGTCTTCAATTTTTATGCCGTCCAACATGATGCACGTCTCGGACTGTTCTCCCGCGGAGAGGCGCTCCAGTGACACCAGACCTGTTGCAATATCCATAAGAAGACGGGGAAAAGTCAGCCTTGACAAGAACAGATCCACAAAGCCTTTCTGCCTGTCTCTCTCTGTGTGTGTCTGTCTGCGTGGAGGAAGAGGAGCGTGAAAAGGGACGATGTGGAAACCTGTTGAAACCGTTTTGAGCTCCGCGTGACACACTCAGCCTGCTGCAGCTCGGAGGAGGGAAATGGAAAATGAGCTTTAGTGGAAGAAATGCAAAAAAAAAAAAAAGTCGACTTTCAGCTCGGGATAGTTTAAAGCAAAGAGAGTTGGAGTCCCAGATGAGTGGGGAGACAGAAAGGGAAGAATAAAGGTGTAAAAGTCTCTGAACAGTCACCTGTTTGGATCAGACTCTGAGCTTCTCGTCCTCAAGCCGAGCGGAGAAAGCGGGGGGGACTTCTTCACCGAATCACACTTTGGTCAAGGATGAGACGAAGAAGAATGAGAGAAAAGTTGACAACAAATCCTTCCCCAAAAATATCTGAAAGCAGAGAGGGTGAGCGGATGTCCCAGCCGGCTGGAAGTCTTTGGGAGTAAAGCAGACGCTTGGTTGGTTTGAGCTCCTGTCGCTGCAAAAGTCTGAGATCGAGATTGAAGCGAGTGGATCCTCCCACTCCTGCATGCATGGCTTCACTTTTTTCAGTCCCCCCATTCACCGCCGTTGGGATGCGATTGGAGCAGAGTACAGTGCGCTGCACACAGTCCAATAACAACACACACACACACACACTCTTACACACACACACACATACACACAGACAAGAGACAGAAATGATATTTAACAGACACTGACGAAGCAAACCCACGACAACACAACAACAATAATAACAATAATTATAATTCAACAATAACAACAAAGATAGAAATGTGATTAAACTTTGCTTTAAGAGTCATTCTGCTCCAAATATGATTCACCTTTTTTCACAGAATTCTGTTTTCTACTTTAAAATAACCAAACGATAGAAAAAGAACCATCTCTGCAGCCTTTATGAATAAAACAGTTCCTCATATTGATGATAAATTGTGATATTTAGCTCAGCACTGAAACCCCATCAGCTTTCTTTGTGTATTGTTTTCAGTGGAGCTGTCTCCTTTCAGCTGATGCACCTGGTGATCAGACTGATAACAGCTCTCTGTCCGGCTCTGTCTGACAGCGCCAACTCCACTCAGGGATCTCTGGATCTCGATCTCTGGGTCCGAAAAAAAAACACCAAATATTAAAAAAATATGAAATAAAAACGATTTAAAATATAAAACAGAGGAACATGTGCGGGATTGACTTTGTAGCTGACACAGAGATCGTTTATTTCCAGATCTCTTCACACGTGAAAGTATCTGTGACCACATTTTTACGCACAAACGCCTCGATATTCACACACACAGATATGTGGGCGTTACAGACTTTACAATTTAATAAAATCATAGAAAAAAAAAGATAAACGCGGATTTCTTCTTGATGAATGACCAGCAGATATTCCTGTAACGTGATCATGATGTGAGCAGAGATATGAGGACTGTTGCACTGAGGCCTGTCTGAATAATCAGAGGTGTGCAGACGGGAGTGAGAGTCTGAGCTGCTGCTGCTGCAACAACAAAAAGAAAAAAAAAAAAGGTTGTCTTCTTTGTCTTTAGATGAGCTACAGGAGAGCCCGTTTTTAAGACACATCTGCAGGATTTTAACAGGCTCACTGAAGCTAATGTCTCTATAATTCACTGTAATAAATCACAACAGGCCTGAAGATAAATAAGAGACACCTGCCGTGACAGATGAGTTTGATTGACATAAATAATAATAGTCATAATAACTACAAAAATCTAAATAATAATAATACAGAGAAACTAATCTTTTTGTATATTTAGCACTCTTCATTGGAAAAAAATAACTGTAAAAGGCCGAATTTGTGTTAAATATAAATGAAAATATAAAAATAATAAAGTATTTTTTTTCCTTTCTCTTTAAACACTGATGTAAAGTGTTTCTCAGATCTCACCTCTGCTCAGGTCTCCCTGTTTTGTCTCTTTTTGTGATCCTCCAGATCTGTAAACAGAGCTCTCTGCTGCCCCCCGCCCTCTGCTGGTCACTGAGGGAACTGCTGCTGCTGCTGCTGAGAGATACAGGAGTTAATATAAGAGAGAGCAAATCAGTATCTTTACATACAGACACGTTTAACAGGGATGGTACGGAGGCCCTAAGAGGACATGCAGCTTTGATTTTAATTTTTCTCATTTTGCAGAAACAAAATGTGTGTTTCTGTTATTTTTTCTGTCATGATCTCGACATATTTATCTCGTTATCTCTGGATAATCCTGCTTGTTTTCCCAGATTATGAGAATATTTCATTTGTTTTCTTTAGATCATGACTAACCTTTAAATTATGTTGGGAGAAAAAGACCTTTTGCCCTTTTCTAGTGGATTAATTTATCCATTTATTTAGAGAAATAGTTTGTTTTTGAATTATAATTTATTTTTAGGAGATAGAACAAAAAATAAAGTGCTAGTCTGTGTCGACACATTAATATTATTCTTTTAAAATAATTCAGATTAAAGATGTTATTATTTACAAGGTATTTGATTTGATTGGCTCTAGTTTTTAATTGAACCTACAAACTGATTTAAAAAAGTTTTGTGTTTATCTGCCTCTTTTAACAGAGAATAGTTATTTTTTCATTTGATCACTTTTTTTTGTCCTGTTGATGGATTTTTTTCTTAAACAGATGTGTATTTTCCTGACATCTAAATGTTAAATTATCTAAAGTTTCTGAGTGTTTCTCGTAAAAAATAAACTGCAGTCCTCCAGTCTGACTTTGACGTCTGTGTTTTAGGTGCAGAAATATATTTACAGTCCAGATGTGCACGTTCAGAAAAAAGACTCACATGGGAGAAAATCACTATTTAGGACAAAACTGAAATAAAAACTCCACAACCGCATATTAATTTGTCTGCAGACAGCCTGTTTATCCTGACTGAGGTGTTTATATGGAGCTTTTTTATTCCATTTGGGCTTTTAAAACTATTTATAATAATTTTTACGCTCCACATATGTGCAGTTTAAGACCACAACATGCCATCGCCTACAAACCAGGAGAGTAAAACCTATTTCTGTGTCTGTAACTTTAGAGGATCCCACCTTTTATTTATAGAAAACAGCTGAAATCTTATTTTGGGAAATGGAAACACAAAGATGCACGTCCACAGAGGGCCTCCGTAGAAGAATAAAGACAGATATTGATTTTTAAAATAATAAGAGATGTTTTCCTTCTCCATACCTGCCGGCCATGAAGCCATCACCCCCCGGCTCAGATTTTCTCTCCCCAGTGTCCAGATTTTCTGTCAGCATGGGGTCAAATCCCTCCGCCTCGGACTATATTGGATTATCTCCTCCAATAACCCGTCATTATGAGCTGAAAGATATCAATACCCAATAATCAATAACCTGCATTTTTAAGAACATATTAAGCCCATGTTATCCTCCCTGTTCTCCCTCCTTCACTCCTGTGTGAATGAATGAATGAATGAATCAAACATTCATCCAATAAATCAATCCGACAACTTTCAGCTCGCGGGTTTTTAATGAGCCTGCACGTGACAAAAACCCTCCCTCACCTCCGACAGGAAGTTAAAACACACACTTTAGAGCAGGTGTGAGAGAAAAGCAGAAAAATGAAGTGAATTAGCGCAAAGTGAAGAAGCAGAAAAACTGACCATAGGAGGAAAAAAGGTACGAGAGCACGCGCCGCTGCAGCTGCGCACATTCCTGCGGGCAGCTGAGGTCTGGATTAAGAGCCTTTCAAAATAAGATTAAGATTTTAGGAGCAGGGGTGAATTTAGAGGAGATTATTCGACGAAAAAGGAAAAAATGCGTAAAAATTGCGCGTAAATTTGACTGATTTCGGTTTAAAATCACAGTTAGGAGAAAAAAATCAAGAAAAACAATCAAATCTTTTGTTTGTTAAAGCTGCTAATTTTACTAATTGAATTAAAAATGACAGTTTGGTTTTCTCTGAGCCATAAATAAATCAAATACTCCTCGGTCATATTCACGCCTCCTCTGAACAAACACATCCATCAAACTACAACATAAACATAAAGACAATTTATCTGCTTTAATTACATTAACTTCCCGCTGTTTACAAGCCACGCAGGATCCATTCATTATCAGCCCACAGTGAAAAAAAAACTCTGAGTGAGTGAGTGAGGCCTGAGGCTGATCAATTCACCGAGAAATAATCCACACCTTTAAAAAAAAAACTCCAGATATCAAACTGAGACACAAACTCTGCGTGTTTTTTTACACTTTAAACCCACGGCGCAGTGATGAGCATTAAAACAGAAAACCATCCTGCTGAGACTGGGAAGGACTCAGAGTCATACATGCTGCTAAATTACAGGTTCGAGGACTTTGATAGTCCACCCACTTTGATCTTTAATGAGGGTTCACAGACTGGACCCTGGTCCTCCTCAGACCTGCACCGTTTCCTAAAACTCTACAGAAGCTCCTCCAGTTTAAACCTCTCTTATTTTCCTTATAATCTTCATTTTTGCGCACAGTTTTTCTTTTTTTTTTCTCTCCTCCTGCTCGAAGTTTTGCTCGCCCACTCCTCGGACCCTCAGCCCGCTCCTGGATCAGCTCCTCTAAGGTTTGCACATCGGTAACTCCTGTAATTTAATCTGTCTGCGCTGACTCTCTCAGCTGTCTGCACTTTTTCAGATCCGAAAAATGAACTTTTTCAGATTCACATTAGAAACCAGTTTAGTGAGCAGTTTGGAAAAATCGGATATAAAAGAGGCTGCAGGGCCCCACAGGCCCGAGGGCCCCTCAGAGAACTGGTCTGATTACTCCTTTATTTAAAATCTTAAATCTCATATTGAGTCTTTTTCTTTTGTGTAATTTTAGCAGCTTTATTTTCTAAACTTTAACTCTTGTGTTCGAGTTGAGTTCATGGATGTAGAGTCAGTATAATGAGCTCACATGGACCCCCCTCTCCTCCACATTTCTCAGCAACATGACCCTCTCACTGAGTCAGACAAAAAAATGATTCTGCCGGATAATCCCAGCTCCCCAGGGATTAGGTCAGAGTATAATACAGCACTGTCAACCCATGCTGAGATTTGTTTATGTTATGATTTATTGGATTCACTTTTTTTTTCTTTCTCTGACAAATTTATTGAGTTCCTGACAGATGGTGTGAGCGAGTGTGTGTGTGACTGAGTGTGTGTGTGTGTGTGACAGAGCTGACACACACACCCTCCAGAACTGTTTACCTGCAGCTGTGAAACACTGACTGAAGCTAAACTGAGATTAAATTAAGATTAAATCAGAAAAGACAAATGCTGAAACTCAACATGCAACGATTAATATAATCCCTGATGATGTGAAGTGAAAAAAAAAAAAACTTTTACAATATTTTAAATGTTTTTTTAGAGCAGCAGATCTTAATAGCAGGTCAAACACAGATGGAGAGATTAAAAGAAGGAGGGGAACCTAAAATCATTAAGTCATTTACAGGTTAATATTGACTTGTGGTTCCAGCCTGTAAAGTAAATAAAGCGCTTTAATTAGTTTACTTTGAGTTATGAGCGCATGAGTGAAAACACAGTGTAGGTACTAAAATATCAAAGTCACAGATTTAAATGGAGAATCTTTAACTCTCTGTCTCTGACATTTTTAATCTTCACTTTTATTTTTTAATGTTTTTGTTTCACTTTTAATCCAAAATTCAGGCGTTATAATTACCTCAACAGTAAACGGCTATTATTATAATCATTAAAGTACAATATCAAGTAAACCTCCAGTCTATTACATGTATTTGAGTGTTTATATTATCCTGTTTATATTATTATTATGATCATTAGTGCATCAGTCGATGATAGAAACTGGTTTAAAGCCTCATGTGGTGACAGAGATCCAGGATCCGGTCAGATTTATGCTCCATGTCCACAGACTCAGTCTGAACACACATTACCTCACTGATCCACACTGATAGGCCACCATGTGGACCCCTCAAACCCACTATTAGAATTACAACATCACCCCCTGCTGGACAAAAACAGGCAGTACAACTCGGCTGTGACACCAGTTATTCTACCTGACTGATGTGGGCCGCCTTAAAAAAGAGGAGAAATAAAACATGTGAGAGGAATTAAAAAAAGGAAGGAATACATGAATACAGACAGGATAATTACTTTTTTTATATAAACAAACAAACATCATGTTTTCACAGTTTTACACTTTAGAGGACTTTTATTTTATCTTAGTTTGAAAAGTTTTTAACACTAATTATTATTTTGAATTTTCTTTTTATTAATACAGCTGAATAAAAAATAACTTTCTAAGATATTTTGTATCTTGAAAATATTTTAAAGCAGCTTTTTAACTCATTTAAGGGTTTATTTGTCTCTTTAATTTGACTCTAACTCTCTTCATAGGATTTTATCAGAACAAAAACAGTTTTTGTAGTTACAGTTCTGACATTTATGTCTGCTTATAATTTAAAAAAAAATTAAATTTTTATGTTGTCTCTTTAGAGTCCTTACAAAAACAAATATGAGAAAGCATTTCTCTTATCTATTAGTTTCAATGTTCTCGTGGTTAAACAGCTAATATTTGCTTTTATTGTACTTAACCATAAAGTAATCTATAAACTTTACAAATATAAACAGTAATAACTCCTGTGTTTATAATCTATACTATATAAAGTGTACTTTGCAGTTATTTTAATGTGTTATACTCTCCTCTTTAGTGTTTTATATCTTGCACTTTAATGGTTAAAAATTAACCCTTTCTTTGCACACACTAATATAAGGTCAGATGTATAGAATAAGGAGACACTGATTGGTGTTAAAGTTTATGTGCGTGCTCTCGATACAGAGGCTGCAGTTCAGGTTGGATTGGTCCCGGGTTCGACTCCCAGCCGCCGCCCTCCGCCGCATGTTTTCCTCTAAATTCTGTTTCCTGTGTTTCCGTCTCTCTTTCAATAAAAGCAAAAAAGCCCCTTCAGAAAAACTAAAAGTCAAATAAAATAGAAAAAGTCAAAATTTAGTCGTGTTTGTTTTTTAGTAAAAACATTTGCCTTGTTTTTTTTTTTCTGTGCAGACTGACGGATGTTTTGTTGCTCATTTGAAGTTTTTTTTTTAGTTTGTTTCATCTAAATTAAAAAAACTTGGATAATTAAACTCTCATTTCTAATTCTTTGTAACTTATTATTTTACTGTTATTATATCTGGTTAATCTCATTCTCTAATTTGATTTGACTGATGAGAAAAAAAAACAGCATTTTTTTAATCCCAACAAATGTGTTTTTTTCCACTCTCTTTTTGTTGTCGTCCTTAAATCTCAGTTTCTCTTTTTTGTTGCACATTAGAAATAATTAAAAACAAACAAAAAAAGACTTTTAGATGTTTTTTTTTTAACCTTGATGAAAGCTTTTCTTCTTCCAGAGGATTATCTTCAAAACATTGAAGCAAGTTTTCAAAGTTGAATCACAGATGGTAACAGATGAAACATTATGAAACGCAGCACTAACTAAATCTCTTGATCCTGTGATGTGGGGATCTCCCCTTCCCTTCTGTTTCACTTCACACACAGGCCACAGCCAAACATCTTCATGTGAGCTTAAGCTGTTCAGACACATGAGGAACAACTTAAAGCGCTCGGTCATTTCAAACTAAATTAAACTTTGGGCTCCAAATGTCCTCGAGAGAAACGCACCCACAAGTATCTGTGACCTTCTCTGACTGCTGATGAGCGCCTGAGAAATCTCAAATCTCTCTCCAACAGAGCAGCATTTCATCTCCCACCCGGAGGTGCTGAGTGGAGCAGCGTCACAGAAACAAAACAATGGTTTGGCCTTTGAGAAAACTCGGAAAACTTTGGCTCGTGTGTTTTACACAACAGATACGGAGAGCGGTCGGTGCCGCCTCGGCGGGATACGTGGAATTTGTTGTTACGTGACTGTTTTCATCATTAGCAAAAACCTCAGAGCTCAGGAAAGATTTGCAGCGCCTTTCATCAGACGATCATGTTATTCAGTGGATTTGTCTCCGCAGAAATAATGTTTCCTCTGACACAGGAGAGGGGAGGCTGCAGGAGGCCAGGAGCATGAGTTTAGGATGTGTGCCATTAACAACAAGCGTACCCGCTCCTCATGTGGAATGCATAAATTCTGTTTCTGCGGAATAAAATAGATGTGCCTGCAGACTGTGAGGCTAAAGCACTGAGAGAGACTCTAAATACATCTACATAAACATGAGGATTACCTGAAAAATCCCCAAACTGTGCAAAACTCCAACCTGCAAGAATCAAAACAGACAAATAAAAAGAAATTAATCATTCAGAAAAGAGCAAAATACGCAAAAAATGTGGCAGCGATAAAAAAAAATCCTCCTAATCAGACATCTGCACGTGTGTGATTCTCTCCTGCCGCCATAAAAACCATCTAAACGTGTTTTGTGTGTACTTAAAGAAAGTGTATGTCCACATGTACGATTGCGGGTGTGTCATTAATAGGCTGCACTTCAGAGGAAAAGGTAGAAATCCTCCAGATGTTCTGCAGCTGGGTGGATCTGGTAGTGAAGATCTAGACAGCATCTGTCACAGGCGAACATTTCTAATCTGTCCTGAACATTAGGCAGAGAGCACTAAAAACCCATCACCATGTGCTAACCACGGGCTCTGCAGAAAAAGAGAGAAAGAGAGAGAGAGAGAGAGAGAGAGAGAGAGTTCAAAATTAAAGCGGAGAGTGAAAATAAAACCATCTCATTGAAATAAAGTCGTCTTCTTTAAGCGGAGAGAGGCTGCTTAACTTTTGGAGGGTAAAAAAAGAGGCTAACAGGCGAAGTTATTAGAGCGGAGCGCCTGAGGCGGAAAAAGCAGCGCTTTGAACTGGAGGTCCAGCAGAGCTTAGCGAGGTCAAGATCTGTCAAACAGTGAGCAGAGCCAACATCACAACGGTCTGCGTGGACGCTCTCTGCACAAAGAACTTCAGCCGTGTTTTTAAATAAAGGAGGAGAACTAGAGAACTACAGTCTGAACTCCTGTCTGCGTTTAGGTTCAGTGATTCAGACTGGAAGTGCAGGATGTTTTTTTTGGTGATGTTAGATAAAACTAATTTCTGTTTTTCTCTCCTGTAAATCTGCGATTATTCTGCTGCATTTGGACGCTAACTACATGGAGAGTTAACGTTCTAAGTTTGGGATCTGTGGGAATTGCTCCACGCTGACCTCCCCGGTCTCCAGATATTTCCCTTCCTGGGTTCATGTGCCTAGTTACCAGTTGGTCAACCCCGTGCCCCGTGAACTGACCCTGTCCTCCCTCCGAGGTTTGAAAGAAAAAGAAACCCAATCCTCCGGGGAGCGCTGCGACTAACAAGAAAACTGCTGGCCCGAATCTCTCAGAAGTGCCGTGTTTTCCCACTGGACCACTTTCAGCTTAATAAACATCTTAACTAGCCAGAGGTCCCACAGGGGCTGCTGGGAAATCCTCTGGGCAGCCAGAGCTCAGGAGCTGGCCCTTTATTGCATCCAGGTGGCTGTTAAAAAATGTTGGCCGGCCCTAAATGTCCAATAAAATGCAAGTGGCACCTTCAGGGGTGGACAGGGTCAGTGCACCTGTCTGTGGACGAAAGCTGCTCTCGCTCCCTCTTGTCCACTTTGTTTAGAGTCACTTCTTAGCCGTGCCAGCGCCGTGCCCGTCAAAGCGTTCGAGAGCGGGGGTCACTTAGACGGGTCAGATGATCTGCAGGTCAGAAGGGGCTCCAGGGAGGGGACTGTGAAGCGGCAAAGGGTTAAAAAAAACACAAACAAGACAAACAAAACAACAAGGAAAAAAAACAAAACAACCACAGACACAAAGTACGACCACAAAAACGACAACAGAAGAGAAGAGAATTCAAATCACTGCAAAACAAAAAGAAATAATAACCGCAAACGATGACACGGATCAACGACAAAGTCTTTAAAAATGTCCACAAAGACACTTAAAAGGCTTTTAAATCATGAAACAAGCAACAACAGACACCAAAGGACCAAAAAAAACCAAGAAAATACAATTAAAATCACTAAAAAAGACACAAAAAACAATCAAAAAATCACAAAGTGTCAAACAGAAAGCATCCGAGACAGAAAACAACAACAAAGAAAACTGACAGAGGTGTAAAGAAACTGAAAAATACAACAAAGGAAGTTCAAAAATAACTATAAAAAGACAATAAATGAAAAAATAACTACAAAGAAAAGCAGAGCAACAAAAAAGGAAAACAAGAAGACGAAAAAAAGTTCAAGAAAATAAATGACAGTAAAGAAACTTCAACAAAAGTGAAAATATCTACAAAGACTGAAACAAAAAGGCCCAAAATGACGATAAAGTCAAACATGCATAGAAAGAAAAGTAAAACACATCAAATAAATTTAAAAGTTACAACAAAGAAAAAGAAAGGTTCCAAAAAAATAACCAAAAAGAGACAAAAAGACTTTTAAAAACCACTAAAATGAGCAAAATAACAATATAAACATAAACACTTGGATAATAGATTCAGAAAAAACAAAGAAGACAAACAAAACAACCACTAAAAGACAACAGAAGGGAAGAAAATTAAAATCACTGCAAAACAACAAGAAATAATATCCACAAACGACGACACAGATCAACAACAAAGTCTTTAAAAATGTCCACAAAGAGACTTAAAAGGCTTTTAACTAATGAAACAAGCAACAACAGACACCAAAGAACCAAAAAAAAACAAGAAAATAAATTTCACAAAAAATCACAAAGTGACAAACAGCAAACATCCGAGACAGAAAACAACAACAAAGAAACTTGATAGAGGTGTAAAGATACTGAAAAATACAACAAAGAAAGTTAAAAAATATCTATAAACCAGGCAATAAATGTAAAAATAACCACAAAAAGAGCAGAGCAACAGTAAAAATGACAGTAAAGACACTTCAATAATGTGAAAATATCTACAAAGACTGAAACAAAAAGGCCCAAAATGACAATTAAGTCAAACATGCATACAAAGAAAAACAAAATATGACAAATAAAACAAAGTTACGTCAAAAATAAACACGTAAAAAATAAGTTCAGAAAAAAACAAGAACTAGAACAAACAGAAGCTAAAAAAACAAAAACACAAAACGAATCAGAGCCACCAGAAGGATCTGCCCGCTGATTTTAAAGGTTAGTCCGTAAAGTTTGTGGTCAGGAATTTAAACTTTAATCTAAACTCTAATGTGTCAGACAGGTGAGCTCTGATTATAGAAGTTGAATTTATGCTGCTGAATTCATCCACGAGTCATTGCTGATTTAACGGAGATGCTGATTGAAGTTCACGTATGCGATCACCTCCTGTTTGTTTACGACTTCTTCACACGGATGTGAACGGCGGCTGCAGCCTCCCTTCATCAGTCCGGCCTGGTCGCTGTCCACGGGGAGAGCTAATTGTCCCGCAGGTTTGTGGACAGACCTGGACGGTGTATCGAGGCTTTGATCTGACTTGAAAGGAGTTAATTGATCTCTGTGTTACAAGCAGAGTGTGTGTGTGTGTGTGTTTGTGTGTGTGTGTGAGGGGGGAGGAAAACGAGGGAGAGATGCTTGCTGGTCATTCTACAACATGTGCAGAAATATCTGAGAGAGAAAACGAGAGAGAGGGAGGGAGGGAGGGGATGAAGAGAGAGATCAGCTCACACCCAGCTCCATCCCTGCTCAATTACAGTAATTTGACTCACATGGGCCGGCCGCCGTGGCTGAGGGAGAGGAGGGGAGGAGAGCCGCCGTGTGGGGGAGGAGAGGGGAGAGGGGATCCCTGCTCTGGGAGATCACTCATCTTACCTCAGGCCGAGGTACGCACAGACAGGTTTGATGTGCGGCTCCCCTCGGAGGGCAGCCTGGGGGCTTGTTAAGGTGGCTGTAAGGAGAAGACCACACGTCCGACCTCAGACGGTTAATCTCAGCGGGCTCTTCAACATCACCATGACGTCAGCGCGGGAGGAGGAAGAGCGAGGAGGAGGAGGAGGAGGCTGCTGGAGGTAACACAGGTAACAGACTGAGGAGGAGGTGTGCTTTATAAAGTGTCTGCACTTGTTTGTGAGTAACTTTTCTCCCCATGCATGTCCTTTATCAGGTCAGGAGGTGTCCCAGCATGCACCTGGGGGAAGGAGTCATTTCAGGAAACACGAGTTCTGTCTCCTGGAAAGTATAAATCCAGCAAACATCAGATGCTGCTTTCCATCTTCTGTCAGTGTGATTTGCTGCATCACCTGCCTGCGAGTCGGTCGAGGTCCAGGTCTGGTCTGGTCCCGCTTTGACAGGCTTCCTGCCTTCACTCCTTCACCTCTGCGAGTCTCTGGTCACCCCAGCTCAGGGGGGAAACAGGGCTGTCAGGGGGAGAGTGGCGGGCTAAGCCTGTCTTAACACAGCACCTCAAACCACCTCATAAATACAGGCTTCCTTTTCCAATTTCCAAGCGGCCCATCCACCTCTGTCTACATGCTTACACACTGCTCCATGTCATGTGCCGGGGTGTGAGTTTAAAAATGACCACGGGACATCTGGCGGACGCACAGAGGGTGGGGCTTTGATGTGCTGCTCTGCAGTTCAGCTCAACACACATGAAGAAAAAACTCCTCAGCAGAGGAAACCAGGGGGTCTAGAGCAGGGGTCTATGAGGGGTCTACAGATAAGGAGAGGGTCCAGAGAAGTCCAGAGAAACCCACCGACCCTGAACCTTAAACCCTGAACCTGAAACCCTGAACCAGGACCTCAGAACTAAAGAGAGTGTTTCCATGTTGATTTTCAGATGTGGTCTCCTCATTAAATCCTCATTATTTTCTGTATTTTCAGGAACAGAGTGAAAGAAAAAGTGAAACCATGTGATGTTGGGGGGGGGGGGGGTGGGGCTCCTCTTACATTAACACTAAAGATCTGATTAACATCACTAAACTCTCACAGCTGACCTGCAGAGATAATGACAGATGAAGGTACTTTAAAACATGAATTGGTTTATTTAGGGTCACCATATTCTAAATCCCTAAAAAGTGGGGGGCGGAGTCACAGAGTCGCATGTAGTTAATTTTGAGAGTTTTTGGCGTCAGGTTTAGTGTTTTTTTTTTACGTGCTTCTAACTCCATAAGTCCACGCAACACAAAACCCCGGACAGTTAAAGGATTTTATAAACTCCCCCAAACAAGACCGGACAGCCCCCCAAAAAGAGGACATGTCCAGGTAAAAGAGGACGTATGGTCACCCCAGATTATTAGAAATACTGGAATAAAATAGAAAGACCAAACCCAATAATTTGGTACTAATTTGACTATTTCAAAGACGGTCAATCCAATCACAGACGTCGTTCAAAGTTCTCTCTGTGCCAATAATTTTCTGCAGACTTTCATTTGATCAGCTGACAGCTGAATATGTCGTTAAAAATGAAGTTTAACAGCAAAACAATCAGCAAAAAAAAACTGTATTTGTTAGAAACTATTTTCATCTGAGAGTCTGATGTGTTTACAGAAGCTAAAGCTGAAGGTGTTGAAGGTACAGAGAATAGTAACTGGACTGTTTTGATTCACACTGACTAATTATCTCCTTCTCTTAAAGCTTCGTCATATTTTAAACACTTTTCTGCTGCTGTCAGTCGAGTAACCCGAGTTAAAAGCTTTTATTTCAGCCGTTTAGATGCACTCAGACTCTCTGGTCGTCTCCTACAGATGTTCACATCATGTCTTTGAAAATATTTCAGTTAGTTTGGATGTTACAAACTACTGAGATGAACCTAAAGTCCACACGAGTACAACTTCAGTTCAAACATGAGGAGTTTCAGTGTTTGGTTTAGAGTGAACTTAACATCCTAACTCAGATGGTTCAACAGGCCCCAGATCACACAGCTTTAACACCGAAATAAACCAAGTGCCCTTATATCCTCAGATATGAACAAGAGTGTAGATGTCTGTGAAAAAGCTCAAACAGACTTTAAATAAAGTGACAATAACTGCTACAAGAGTCTTAAACTGGTGATTTTGGTCTCTGGATGAGATCTGTGTGAGTGTTCATCCCTCTAAAATATGATTCCAGTTTCCTGCTCCATTTTTCACGTGCACTAAAGCTCAGAAAGACGTCAAATCTGAACAGCAGGAGATCTGAAAACCTCCCTAGTAAATCTAAAATGGTTCAAATGTGATATTACAAATCGTACAGTGAGTCTGTGTGAATCTATTTATGTTTGTCATACTGTACATGCACGCTCTCTGCACAGCAGGGGGGGGGAGGGGAGGGCTGTGGGCGCCTGTCACCGCGCTCCAGGGCCTCGCTGACATGAGTGTCACCTTCACGAAGGAGCGTGAAAGCTGCTCCCTCCGCACGCACGCACGCCGCGCTCCAGACCATCGCTCTGATTCCGGCGGCTGAACAGAGGAGTTAGCGCCGACGCTCGCTCACTCGCTCGCTCGCAGAGGGTTGTCATCTGCTGTTCGCTCCGTTTAACACCTGTGAACACCAGGAGCCGTTAAGGAACTTTGGTTAGAAGAGGAATAAATACCTGCACAAGTTCACAAACTTAGCAGGAGGAGAGTCTAATTAACTACAGGCACATTAATCCATTAATGAGTTTCTAATACTAATTACACCTGAAAAATGTGCAAATGGATTCTGACAATTTAATTAGATAGAAGTGACACGTGTGAGCGGGAGCGAGAGGAGCCAGAGTCAGAGTGTAAAGTCTGCGACGTCTGGATGTGTCAGCAGAGCTCTGTGTCGTCTTTCTATCAAAAGTAAACATCTTTACGGAGGGGGAAAAACACGTTTGAGAGGAAAAAATAAAGTGTGGCGTTCTGTTTCTGGGGACCTGACGTGGGTGGGCGTCTGGGGTAAAAGGCTCCCGAGTCTCAAAGCTCTGCTGCTCCGTGGTGCTGCACGCTGCTCATGATGAACTCTGTGATGGAAAGATGCTCCTGCAGAGAGCAAACGTCAGAGGAGCGAGTTCGTCCTCCTCCGCTGCTCCTCCTCACTGTCAGCGCAGACACGCTCCTCTGATGAGAGTCATTAGTTCAACCTGTTTGAAGCATTTTTAAAAGACTTCATTCGACCCTTTAAGTAAAATAAGACAGAAGAGAAGTCACTTCACTAAGATAAAACATGATTAAAATTTAATGTACAAAGTTTAAAATACTTCAGAAATCACTAAAACACTTATATATTCTTTAAATTAGACAGAGCACATTTGTATTTTTCCCACATATTGTTAAAATCTCATTAATTATTAGTCCGTTATTTTACAGGAGATCCCTGAGGTCTGTGTTTCCGGTGTTTCTGTCCTCGTGTTGAAAATCAAACAGCGATGCTTCGCTCTGTGCTGAAGTTGTATTGAAACTGCAAAAGAGGAAAAAACAGAGAAGAGTGATTAAAAATATGTAAAAAAAAACAACATATAATCACAGCTCTTCATCACTAACATACAAAACCTCCTGAGGACAGGTGAGGCAGAAACACCTATAGGGATAAATGTGTCAGCACCAATATCTACATATCTAATTAACAAATAAATAAACATATCAACATCTAACGCTGCAGCGTTAAACTGAAAACCACCACAATTATTTACTTTTTCCATTAATCTTCAGATTTAAATAAATATTTAATCTTTTTATGACACATATAAAAAAAAAAAAAACAACAAAAGTCAGAAAATAACAGACCTGAGAGCTGAGCTGTGAATATCCAACAACTTCACTGACGAGTGACAAAAATAAAAACTTTATATTAATGTTATTATTGTTATTAAATGAGAGGCCCTCATACAGCAGTGGGAATGAAGTGAAGAAATACTGACAAACACCTCCCCCCTGTGGCAGAAGTGGGACATGACACTCTAAAGAGCAAGAAGGCTGTAACAGATCCTGACTGACTGAATTACAAAAGTGAATTTTTTACTGTTTAGTAGATAATTTAAAATGTAATGAAAAAACATTGATTTACTCTAAACTTTGGGACAAACCAATAATCAATATTACTTCTCTTTCATAAAGAATGAAGCATTCAGGGACCCAAAAATCAGGAAGATTGTTGGTAAGTTTAAGGTGGTACAAGTCATCCTCTGATTTCATGAACTCTTGTTTTTTGTTGCTCTTTAATCCTTACAAGAAAAACAAAAACATGTTGGTTTCATAAATCCTCAAAATACAGATGTTTAAGAGAGTACTGAGACCCTAAATGAGCATATCTCATTTAACTGTTTAGGTTTAAATCTTGACATGGTGGTATAAACGCTGGTTTCTTGTCTAATAGATTACCGTAAACTTTAGAATATGAGTCCCACTGATTCAGTGATTCACGGTTGTGGTGCAGCTCTCTATAAAGTCTGCTTACTAAGTAGTACACCAGGATTCTGACCTCATCAGTCAGATCTGCAACGCTTATTACCCAGCATGCTTTGTGTTTGTGAAGCAGCCACTTGTTTCTTTGACCGCCATCTTCTGGGTAAACTGCTGCAGCAGGACTGTAACTGTATTTATGATGGTGTATTGGTATTTAGGATGAAACCCACTTTGATAATAAAGGTATTTAAGTCTCATGTTACTCGTTAATTTACCTGAAGATAAATTTTGTTTTTTCATGATAACAGGATCCTTTAGCAGCAAATTAGAAACTAGAACATTTTAAATGTTCAGAGTACGACGTACAAAGCTACGTTTGACTTTGTCTGCACAATTCAAGTCTGAAGGGTCTAGCTCAGTCCACTTCAGTCTGGTATCTCGCATGTATTCCTACAGCAGATTGTACCCGACTCTGGGGTCACATGACGGCCTTATGATGGCTTCATTTTTGGCGTGCATGTTTTTCCACAACAGTACATCTAGAATGTTTTTCAAAATAAAAGCGTAAAGTGACTCTTTTTGTTTGCTTTTACTCTGAAATTATGTCCATGAGAGTCGTTTGGTGAAAGAAGTAACTCGCACAGCTCTTTATCAAAGTTATTAGGGAACTTATTAACAAAGTTTGCTGCGAATAATCTATGTTTATTGATATGGAAAATTATTGATATATGGGAAAATTTTCACCTTTTGCAGGCATGTTTGTGTCTCTCACCGCTCAGCTGGTGGCTTATAAATAAACCCTGACAGCTGTATAACGACCTGATATGATTAACATAGACATAAAACAGAATTAACTGCACTAAATCAATTATTTTTGGATCTGATCGATACACTCAGAACTCTGGCAAAGGGGTCCAAACGAAGTAGTAAGGTATAGGATGATAATTGTATAATACACTCTGTGGAAGGTGGAAATGCAGCTTATTTTCATGCCTGTAACTCTGGTGGTTTGAACTATAATAATCTGACTTAAACTCAAGATTACGATGGAAACAAACTTATCACAGGTAAAAAATGATGCATATCTTCATAATACTACGACCCTTAAGATGCTAATTCATTTTCCAAAATCTGCTCAATAAATCTAATAATCTACGATGAGGAAAAACTATCACTTGTGATTAGTTAATTGTTTGAAAAATACCTGATTAATAATTTTTGTTTGTGTGTCAGTGAGAGGAGCTCATATCACTTCATCAGACAGCAGCTGTATTACTCCGACGCAGCACTAGGTGATGCTGTATGATCACTGAAACAAGTTTCCAAATCTCCAGCTGAGGCCACAGAGAGCCTGGATGTCTCCAACCAGCTTCTCCGGATCAAAATACCACCTTCCCTGATTCTCATCTGCTGCAGGGGGAAGCTGCTGCTGCAAGTTCCCCAAAAAGCTGTCACATATCACAAGCCTGTTAGTTGTGAAGAAATCCAGCCCCCCAACACACAAAAATTCACTCACAACATCTGGCACAGTAAATAAATAATCCTGTGTGTACGTGCGCGTGTGTAGGTGTGTGTGTGTGGATGATGGATGGGGGAATGGGGTGTTATCAGGGAGAGCATGTATCAATGTCTGCCAGTTTTACACACAGGCTGACAGGACAGTGACACACTGGAACATGGGCGGCAGTCACCTAGACGAGCCCGGCTTCATTTCCTGTCCCTGCTGCACTGCCAAAAATATGTGACATGTTGTCTTCATTAATTCCACCTCTATTTGGAGCTCTCCCTCTCACACCTCGCACATACACCACTGTCCCTCCATACGTTCGCATAAGCAGACACACACACACACACACACGGATAAGTTCCTGCAAACACTGAAAGCCCATCATACATAGGTGCTAATGAAAATCTTGTCATGTGCGCACACACACTCGCACACACACTCCTCTCCACCCTAACACACTCCCTCTGAAAATCATTAGCCAGCCGCCAACAACATTTCTCAGCAGAGCAAACTACATAAAGACGTCACTTTAAATCGCTTACTAATTAACACTTAAAAAGACACAAATTAGATATGCGTGGCTAAAAGCAATTATAATATCCGCAAGTTTTGTGAGTCATTTGGGAAATGAAAAGAATGCCTAATTGCTGGAACCAACATCATCCCAGACACGGCTTAAGTGATGCCTGTTAGGAAATGGTCTTATCTACAACTGTGGTGGTGATTACAACAGTTTTCCTCAATTACATGTGCATATGTATAATACTGCTGCACAAGTACATCTCTTTCATGAATCTATATTTTTAATGGGTTTAAGGAGAAGGCAATTAAGACGGTGAGCAGAGAGAGTCTGAGGAGGAAGGGGGGAGAAAGGAGAGGGAGAGGAGGAGGCCCGAGAGTAAAGAACGGACAGTGACCTCTTCTGGACGGAGGAGGAGGAGGAAGAAACTGTGGAAGATTTCTGTAACCTTTTGTTTTAACTTTATATCATCTTCTCTATTTTTAAACATTTGTTATTGTCAGCATGTTATTCTATGTGATTTATATCTTTACATTGTCTTTTAATTACCTAAATAAAAACAGGAGTTTGACACATTTCATCTCTGTAACACTCTTCTTGACGCCTCTCTTTATAACGAATTATAAATACATTTATAATGAGTAATAATCACGTTATAACACCGTATAACTATAGTTATAAACACTCATAAATGATCATAATGCTTTAAAACAATAATCATAACACATCATAAAGCATTTTATCAGGTATTATAATGTGTTATAACTGTTAACAACTCACTGACAATGCCCACATAGATGCATTATTAATGCGTTATACATATATTTATGATGTGTTATAATTTGCTTATAAACTTGTGTAACTATCGTTATAAACACTCATTAATTATCATAAGGCTTTATAACAATAAGCAGAACACATACCTGAACTTTAAGTCATGATGAAATGCTTCATATTGTGTTGTGATTATTGCTAAAAACCATGAATGAGTGTTTATAACTATATTATACAGTGCTATAACGTGACTATAACGCATTATAAATGTATTTATGATGCGCTATAAAGTGTTACCAAATCCTCTTTTCCAGCTAAACTAAACTCAATAAAGGAGGAGAATCAAACACGTCTGCAGCTTTTCGTCTTCACCGAGAGTAAAGTCAAACTTCTGATGAAACAGACAACAAAGAGGAGCGTGACTGCAAAGACTGAGCCGAAACTTCTGATGAAACCTCAAGAGCAGATAACAAAGTGGAGGGTGAAACTTTGTCTTGATTTAAAATGTTGTTTTTTTTTTTCCATTCCTAAAAAAACTCTGAATTTACAGCTGTGAAAATTACAGCTTTAAAGAAATAAAAACCTGCTGTCTTCAGGCGCGCCTCTCTTTGGCTGTCGGACATGTTTGCAGGAACATCTCTAACCATATTTCCCCCTCTTGTTCTGCAGGAATCTTTGTGCTGTAATAATAAGAGCAGAGAAGTAAAAATAACACAATGGTGAGGGATGTTTCCACTTGGAAACTAATTATCAAGCTAAGCTGTGACTTCATCCTCATCAGCCTGGCCCCACCATTAATCTTGTGCTGTCGTCCACTTCACTAAATCCTGTGTGTTACACTATCTCACATTTACTTCATCAGCTCCAGCGCGGCTGTAATTAATGATTTCTCATGCCCCCTCTCCTCTCCTCTCCTTCCCCAGCTCAGCTCACCATGTGTCCTGCTGCTAATCACACTCTCGGAGAAGAAAGAGAAGGAGGGAAGGAGGAGAGGAAAGGAAGGAGGAGGAGGAGGAGGAGGAAAAAAAAAGACAGGAGCATATAGGATGAGCAGCCAGCCTGTCTCCCACCCTGGAACAAAAACACACACATACACACGTACACGCCATTAATACCTGAGCTTGACAATGAGCTTCATTCAGATGACCATATGACAAGATGGCGACTGGGTGTGATTTGGATAGTATGTGACAGAAGACAGAGGCAGAGTGCAGAACAGACACCCGGTTTGATGAGGGAGTGTTTGCTCTGTAACACATCTCAAACCCAACAGCACCTGTTCTTTTACAGTGGTCTGTCACTTCCTGGCAGTTCTGATACCGAGATACCGTGCTAATGAGAGAGAAGGGGGGTTGTCACTCTCTTTAAAGCGCACACACACACACATGTACACACACACACACACTGACTTTTCTTTCCCTGCACAAACACACGCAGCCGCACACATGATTTTCTTCCTTCCTGCGAATGCCTGCAGGCTACAGTGTTTCATCAGGAATGAGGAGGACTTTGTAGTGCTTTTATTTGCTCTTATGATCTCTTAACTTTTTCCCCACTGAAGATGAAGCTGTTTGAAAAAGTTAAACATGCAGAGATGTGACCAGGAGAGAGGAGGCCTCGCCGCCGATGCTCAATTGAGCTGTTTGAGAGAAGTATCGGGGAATAAAAGTCAAGTGTTTTGGAACCGGAGACGAAGCTTTTAAGAGAGAATGGCTGCCTCGCCTGGCCGTGCTTTTATTCAATTGGGGCTTAGTGGAGCCAACAGGGCCTCGCTGTCTCAGACACTTAATTACAACCCCAAGACCGTTTGCTTTGCATTCTGGGCCAGCGGCGTCAGCGGCAGCCGAGCGTTGCAGCCTCTACTCACTTCCTCCTCGATCTCTGCCAGGGATTTGATCGTAATGCCCATTAAATTGACTTGCTGCATCTGAAATCAAAAGCACGCAGAGGAGGGGGGAGGAGGAGGGGAGGTGGAGGGGGAGGAGGAGGGAGGAAACACACACACACACACACACACACACACACACACACACAAGAAACATGGCGGTTAGGCTCATGGCTAAGTAAGCATGCTTAAAATCTTTAATCCTCTCCTCTTGGTGTCAATACAAACGGGGCTATAGTGACAACCGCCGCCAGCCAGCCAAATGGACTGCATTGAGCCAGCTCTGCCTGACTGCACGCATTCATCACTCAGTCTGGAGAAAAGGAAAGGAAAGAAAGGAAAGGACAGAAGGAGACAAGGGGAGATAGAGGAAAAGAAAGGAAGGAGGAACTAAAGGCTGAAAGAGAAACAAAGCTGAGGACGATAACGTGGTCCGTCGTGCAGAACGGCCAACGCCGCACTACCTATCACGACCCCTCCTCTATTACACGTAATGAAGCAGCTGTTTGGCGTTATTTCGCTGCTTGTTTTACCTCTTTGGATCGTCTTCCACAAAACTTCTCAGAGACCATAAAGGGCACGTCATCCAGAGCTGAAAAAAGTGAGAAAACAAAAACAAAGTTTAAGGTTCGCTTTCTCACAACAAACAAAAGAAATATGACTCCCTTTTTCTTGATCCTGAGGAGATCCAGGAGAATAAACGTGGGTTTATAATACAGCAGAGCTATCAACATCCCCAGCCACCCCGACACCTCCCCTCCCTCCGTCTATGGAGGGAAGATGAAAGGCTGTTTTATTCTCCGCCGTATTGGAGCACCTCCACTCTCTCCTCCAGCCCAGCCCTTTCCCAACCCTCCCTCCAGTTTAATTACTCTTGATTATTCCAGATTCCGTCTTGTCTGAGAGATGTTCACCTCTGAAACAAAGACACACTCACACTAGGCACAGAAAAGCGGAAAGAAGAGAGACAAAACATTCACCAGATATCAAATTTGCATGAAAATAAGCCACACTGTTCAGCGGGCAAAAAGTGGATTGAAATGAGGACTTGCCAAGAGCGTGGTGGTATAATTAGCATTTGACCAAACAAACGAGCTTCAACAGAGCTATAATTAAGCAGGCCTGTAATTAAGTGTATGCCCTTTATCATAATGATCGTGGTTAAAATGGTGTGATGGCTGCCAGTTGATTATTAATGGTGTAACCCTGTGCTGCATGCATCCTGCACTGGAATCAAGGTGTCACGACTGTCAGGCTAGAGAGCAGCCCTTTGTTTATAAAATACATTAGGGCCCAAATTAACACCGGGTGACAAGGGACACAAAGCCTCTCGTTTCCTGACTGAAGGGAAACTGCAGCTGCTCCGCTTCATTAGAAAACTTCCAAATCTGGAGGCACAAAACTTGCCGCCGTTGGCTTCGACAGGAGCCCCAAATATCAGGAGGCCGAGCTTCCCACCGGTGTTTTTTACCCACAGTCCATCAGGCCGCTGGCACAGGAAAAGGAACTCGTAAATGTGAGCCAAAGCCGTTCATGAGTCATCATTTTGGAGCTGACACCCCTTTTGGTCTTTCCTGTTCACAGCAATATTTAAAAGTATGAAATTCTGAAATATCTCACACTCTGACACTTTGGCGACTCGCTGCGCTCCCCGGGTTATTACGTGGATCTGCGGTTTGGCTCTTTTCACGCCGGCAGAACAACGTGATCTTTGTAATCAAAGCGTGACCCTCGTCCTCGTGACCGCAGGGACTCAAAGTTCGACTCTTGGCTTCGATTCAGTGAAAACACAGATATGACAAGAGTCTGCAGCCGTGCGAACAGCTCTCAGAGACTCCACTATGAAGGCAATGCTAACGTCAGCATGCTACCTACATTAGATTTCTGTATCCTAACCCGCTCTGAAGCTGCGGCTGAAGTTCAGGTTAAAGTGATCACAGGAGGGTTATCGAGATTTTAACAAACATGTATAATAGGGCGACCATATTCTGACTTCCCAAAAAGACGACACGACTACATGAGGGTGGAGTCACACAGTCGAACAAGGGTAATTTTGAGAGTTTTTCACTTCGGATCGAGTGTCTTTATGCGCTTCTAACTCAGTAAGTCCATGTGACACAAAATCGAAACTCTCGTACAAAACAGCGGACATTTGAAGGATTTTATAGACTTCCCCAAAAAAAGAGGTCATGTCTGGGTAAAAGAGGACGTATAGTCACCCAGATGTAAAATGTAAAATATGTAAAATACTCAGTTAGACACAGGATCATACACAGACGGAGCAAAACCAGAACTCAGCGCACACATATCCTGTGAGGTTTCAGAAGCTGTTTGCCAAGTGGAAAGACCACGACTGCAAGTCTTTGTCTCCTCTTTTGCTGAGTCAGCATTTCCAACGTGGTCACCACCATCGTGGGACTTCGAAACATCTCAGATACCAGCGGGTGATGATGCCACACTGTTGTTCAGTCTATGGTTGAAGGAAAACTCAGTGATCCTCCAACTTCAACATCAGTTCAAGGTTTGCTGAAGTCTCCGGGGAAAACGGGCGCATTCTCAGCTGATCTTTTTTTTTTTTTTTTAACTCTTTCATTGGTCATTGTTCACGGTCTAACACACGCCTCTTTGTTCAGAGTCAGGTCTCCTCTCAGCTGTTTCCTGCAGGACTGGAACTAAAGTCTTGATCTGCATCTGTTTACTTTTTTCTGCTGTTTTCTGATTTTGTATCTTTGTATCTTTGTAAACTGTATTTCTAACGTTAGCTAGTTCTCTTATTTTGACAGAAAACAGAAGTGCCGACTGTTTACTTCTGCAAAAATAATAATGCAAATAATAACATCAGGGGTTATGAGGGTGGGCGATTAATACGCTAACGGGGTGCTGACCCCAGGAGTTTAAAAGAACCGGGCGGCTATTTGCGGCAATTATTTGTGAATTACGGTAACTTTAGCATGTTTGCTGTTAATGCTGTTTTTGCAGCTGCTGATTTCCTCTGCATTTAATTTCTACTGTTGCGTTTTCTTTTTTGTTTTTGAGATTAAATTATTTCTGCAGTTGCACCAAATTCAAAGAGTTTTCTCCATGTTCAGTAAGAATCATTAAATACTTGAAATGTTTCTAAAACCACAAATCTCAACCTCACTGGAAGATGACCAACTCCTGCATGATTATCCTCTGGGAACCATGCATGTCTCAACATTTCCTGACAATCCATCAAAAAACTGTTGACATGAAGCAATTTGGGGGCAAGTGTCGGACCCATCAACCAAATGATGAACCGGTCTCAAGGCCGGATTATCAATCCCCAGAGCTCCGGTGCCAGCATGGCTAAAAATGTTCAAAGATGCTGAACCCCAGCCCCCTTTTTGCAATCATGTAGGAGATGAGTCGGTCTCTGGAGCAGCGAGTAAACCGATGCAGCAGGGTGGCAACATTGACTTGTTTAAGCCCCTAAAACCAGTGAATAAACATGCAGTCCTGTGTCGCTGGGAGCACCAACACCAGGCGGAGATAGGCGGCGGGAATACATTAGGATCAGGAGCCGGCTACTGGAAGCTGAGATTGTAGCGGCTGATGGATCTGCGTGGCGCGGACAGATGAATGCACGGCGCTGAAGGCCAGAGAGTTTCTTTATTGCTCAAGGATTACATTTAAAACCAGATCTTACTTTGTATTCCTGCGCCATCTATACTGGAGCAGCTATCTCACATCCAGACAAATGGAGAGGCGCCGGAGATGACTTGGTGGTAAGAAATGGAGACCGTGGAGAAATACAAAAGGTGTAAAGGGCAGAAATAATGTAAATCCAATCTTCTGACCAGGAATCTCGCTATGAAGCATGTTCTGGCCGCTCCAACAGCCCGGCTACAGTCCATTAACTCATGACTGTAGTGCAGAGCGGGGAATTGGGTTCTTATTTGGCTTTGGAGTCTGCGAGCGCAGTCAATATGAAAACATCTGGCAGGAATTTTAGTACAGCGACCGTGATGATGATGATGATGATGATGATGGCGGTGAACGCAGAGGTGGCGTTAAGTAAGGAGGACCCTGTGGCTTGAGTGATTGTAGTGTAAAGAACGGAGTCAGCACAGGGCCCGTGTGGATCATTGCCTTATTAATGGCTCCGTCAGGTGCGATGAGCAATGGCTGCATTGTCATCTGCAGCCCCTGGGCACAGATGAATGGCTGTTTCAGGGCGGGAAGGGCTCCCTCGTACGCTGGGCTGAGCACTAATCCCTCACTCTTCCATTGTTGGATGCACTGTCACACAGGACTTTGGCGGCGCCATACATTGCATTTTCCAGGGCGCTAACAGACGTGTTCATGCACACACACATAAACCACGGCGAGTTTGTGCTCCGACACTGACTGATGGAAAAATATGCGTGGGTGATCGAGCATACCACATATTACCTGAAGAGTAACACTTTAGGAATGTTGATGAACTTTTATTTTACACTTCACTAATTCGGCTGAATTGCATTGATCTCTGTCTGGCGCCATTACTTGGGTGAATCCGTTTCGCACCTGAATGAAGTGAGAAAGTCAGAGCCGGGGAACGAGAATCTATAACAACTTTTACTCATGATTGAGCTGCTTTCTATCGCCACGGAAAAACAATAAGAAATAACGAGCAAAAGCAAAGAAAAAAACAGGTTAGCGCTCGATCTGGATCCTGCTGCATCTCATAATATCCCAAACAATTGGATGTTGGCTTTTCCTCTTTGTGTAGCCGGGCTAGACAGAGCAATCCCTTCCCTGTCGGCGTGACTCTCAATTTGAGGCGGATTCTTTATGCAGGCCATGGAGATGCTATTCTAGTTGCAGACCCCGCTCTCTCTGTCACCTCTGCAGATAATGGTGAGTCGATGAACAGAGAGCTGGAGGAGGACCCCCTATGCCCACTCAGCCCTTAGCCCCACTCTGACATGAGGAATAGTGCCCAGGCCTGACAGCATCTCGGAGACATATTGTAGTTTATTTTGTCGCCCGGGCACGCCATCTGTGCCATTCCAATAGAGGGTGTGTGTGTTCAGGCGGCTGCGAGGGAGAGGGCGCGAGGCTCCGGGTCCCTCAGTAGCTCTGCAGCCGCGGCAGGTCATTAGTCAAATTGCCTAATGAGAGAGAATACAAATGGCCCCCTACCCTGACAGGAGGAATTTTGGAGGTGTCAGAGCTCCTGACCCGTGCTATGAGAACAGATGATAGCGAGTTGCTATTTTCAGATTCTTTTAATGACTACGGCTCGATGAAACCCATTCTTTTTCTTTTATCTTTGCCCACTTTTTCAAACCCTCTCGACAGACGAGTGAAAAAAAGAGAAAAAAACTTCCAGACGTAGTAAAATCTCTCCCGCAAAAGTGGAAGTGTAACTTTTGAATTATTTAAATGTTTACCGGCTGGTTAATTAACGTCCTGAAAGAGCATATAACTCTGACACGAAAATATGACTCGCTGGAATGACGCTGAGCGTTTCTGATTATCTGCAGCTGCTTTCCACCGTCTCTGCGACGTGTCTGCAGGAATCTGACGGTCAGTTAGTTTACACTAAAATATTCATTTTAACCAATCCAGTGTTCAAAAAGTAAACAAATATAAATGTTTCTTGATGCCTGCAGAAGTATGCGAGGCGTCCGGTGAATTAATGTGCAGTCTGGGGAAGCTACAGACTCAGACTTTAGGAGAAGAGAGGAGAAGCACCGAGGGAAGAGAGGAGAGAGGAGCTGAATTATTTTACATAAGGCTGCAGCGTGTCCACTTTGATGAATATTTCCAAACAGAAAATCCACTTTTTTTGGCTGTTTTTATAGGATTTTAACAGCATCAGTGAAATGTATTAAACTGACCAACAAACTCGGCTTTTATGTGCACATTAGAAACAATTAAAGACTAAATACAGACTGCAGAAAACGAGGACGACACAAAAGTGATCATATTTACCTTTTTTTAATACCAGAGGGAAGCAAAACGGCAAGCCTATGCAGAATGACCCACTTACTTTTCCATCTGTGACAAGCACTTCTTGAAATCTGGTTGTGGGTCGGGAGCCAGGAGGCAGTCCCAGTCGGGAGCTGGTCCATCAGTCTTCCAGAAAGTGGGCAGAGCCAGAAACACCTACGGTGAGTTGGCCACAAACAGCGCTGCATAACAGCGACTGTTCTTTCTGAGGAGGTGCGTGCGTGCGTGCGTGCGTACGTACGTGTGTGGTTACTCCTCCACATCAGCCTTACTGTAGCATACATTATGCATTTACAGTAAAAGCTCACTGGTATAAGTACGGCATTTATGATTTGGTGAGATTACAAAACCCCTAAACCGTTTTTAAAAAGCAGCTCTGCAGAATTACTGGGAAAGCCCCGTTTTCTGGCTCGCCATTGAGAGCTCTCATGAAATTAAATGGACAATCAGACTTTAATCAGCAGCACAGAGTCTTTTAAGACATTGCCATGGCACTGGCATCGATCCCCAGCTGTGGCTGCTGGTAATGTGCAGCAGAATGTGTGTATAAATGGGGTACGCCTCTCTGGACAAGTGTAAGAGCTGGCAGAGGGCTGACAGTAAATTGCATGTGCCGGATGGGACACAGCAGAAGGCACAATTACACAAATCCCCTCTTAATTAGCGGTTCTGTGGGCAAACTAACCCGTAATGATGCGAGGGATGTGGCGGGCCCCAGAAATCCTAACAAGAAACACTCACCAGCGCTGGAGACCGGGTCGTACGGCCCCGGCTCCCTTAAAGCGCCCACTGATACGCGATCAGGAGACGGTTCCCGGGTCGACCTGCTCGTCCTGGCTGAGCTGCCCGCCCTCTGGACCGGGGGTAAAGCGGCAGGCCCTGTGCGGTTTTGGGTGGCGTTATTAAGTTCTCCATGCTCACAGTACCGGGCAATGTAAAGTGGCATCTCACACGGTGAGTAATGAACTGTGCCAGAGTGGAAGCAGGAGGGATGACAGCCAAAGAGGCCTCCTTGGCAGCCACTAACCTGGGCATTCACCAATTTATCATCCCCTAGAACCAATCCACCAATGCTGCGCTGCCATTTGTCATTAATTATGCTAATAAGGACGCTATTACTCTCCTGATGAAACAGGCCGCCGTTATAAGTATAATGCATTTACAGTCGGATACATAAACGCTCGCTCATTAGTTTTACAACATTTGGAAATGTGGACTTTGAAAAGACTCCAATCAAACTGTTAGACTCTCAGAATTCACCGCTAAAGAGGAGCGCGGGGGCTTTTCTGTACAACACACTAATTGACCATTATAAAATGACAAAGCAACAGCTCCATAATCAGGCGCTGTTTCTTAAAAAAGAGCCTCATCTGCATGAAGACGCTGATGCGTTTGAACTTTTTCACAGCAGACTTCACGGCTCTGAGGAAACCAGTCTGAGCTGAACTATTTAACACAGCTTCTGGGAGCCCCAGATGCCCTTTTCCAAAACGACTTCATTCCCAGAATCTCATTGTGCTTTCTAAATCACACCACAGTATGTATTAGAAGATCATTAATTACAAACTTAACAAGTCAGCAGAGCCATTAAAAGATCTTTAAGGCATATTCCACCATAAATCTCCTTAAACTATATTTAATGACTGGATTTTTTGTGAAATATTTTTTATCAAGTTCTAATTAGATGTGTGATAACAAACCCTGCTGTACACGGGGCAAATGAGGGAGCAGTGACAGGCCCATCCATTGAGGCTGTCCACGTCTGGACACTGAAACTAATGGAGCACTGCCTCTATCTCAGGGATGGATAGAAAGCAATGAGGGATGAGACTCCAGAGTCCGGTCTGGCCTGCAAATGCAAAGCCATTTAAAGTCACTCATTTGACTGTAATAAAGGTCCAAAAATGCCCGAGGGTCTCCAGGCTCCAGTCAGAAAATCCCATTACGATTCACTCAGGATTGATCCCCAAATACTTAACGGCACCGTCACAGGATCGATCATGTTTGGATCATGACCCTGATGGTCTGTAAGAGTTATGAAGTATTAGTGGATTTAAAACATGCAGGATTGGATCTAAACCTCGGATTTTTACTCAGGGTTCGAAATGAAGTCAGAAAGTGACTTTGACCCGCGGAAAGGAAGTTGATTAAGAGACTTTTAGTTCATTCAAATCTAAGAATGCACAAAAATTATCGGCACGGTATCAGTATCGGTGGATAATGACTTTAAAAGTTGATAACTGGATATTTTCATGTAAATTTCAGGGTTGGTGTAAACTCCTTTTATTCTCTACATTAACAGTCTTTCTTTTACATGTTACAAATAATTAAATATTCTTTAAAAGGAGCTAAAAATCCTGCAGATATAATCAAAACAAAACGTAGATGAATCAGTTATGTTCACTAAGATGTTTTTTAGTTGCATGAATGAGTGTCGGTAACACATTTATGGTCTTTGGTAGATTTAAATGATGTTTTTTTTGTGTGTGTCTGTAAATATAAGAGTAGCGGGTCAATTGTGTTACTGAAGAAACACAATAAATCGAGAGGTTTGTATCTACAGGTACAGCCTTAAAACATCCGCACAAACACACAATCGCAGACTCTGATCCCTTTGTCTGATTTGAAGATCTCCAAATAAACCTTTAAATCTTAAACAGTTCAGATAAATAAAAGTAACTTCTCACCTCCTATAATCCTGAAACATCCCTAACCTTCCTTATGTTTGTCGTTATGCTCTATATTTCTGTGATTTTTGGCCTTTTGTTTCATTTCCGAAGACACACGAGCAAAAACAGGAGGATTTAAACTGAGTGTAATTTTCCAGCCATTAAATAGCAGAGGAGAAATTCAGCCTTTCTTTATGTCATTAGATGCTGGGTGTAGTAGAGCTTTTGAGGTTTGTGTGTGTGTGTGTGTGAGAATACATTAGGTGTAAATACTATTCTCTCGCTGAACCCCTCCCTCCCGCTCTGTTCGCCTTTTGCTGACCAGGGGAATTAAGAAGCAAAACGTGGGTTTTAAGAGCGCTCCTTTCATGTCTTGATGTAAGCTTTGGCATTACTTCAGACATCAAGATCGGCCTCATAGAAATCCCATTCCATCTAAAGTAAAAGCTCGGCAGTAAATCTGCCCCATACTCCCCCATAACACTTCCATAAATGATTCATTCAGCTCAGTTTAGCTGATGCAAAACAGAATGTTAGTGAGTTGTGGACGGAGACGGAGCTGCAATGGAGGACCGGCCCTGCTGCTTAGTAATTTCATCAATCTCTGCGAGAGAAAGAGAGAGAGAAAAGAGAGAAGAAGAAGAGGAGCGTACACTAATAATAACTTTTTCTGTGGCAATCCAGGGGTCGTGTTTTTTAATCCCTCAGCCTAAAGAATTGTGTTATTCTAAAATATAACCCCGGCGGTGCAGAAGCAGTTGAGATCCATCACGTTTTAAGATAAGAGCGAGCTGATCTCCTCCTCCTCCTCCTCCTTCTCCTCCTCCTCCTTTTCCCTCCTTCTGCACAGCCTCGCCCAGAACTACACGGGGAGATAAGATGGAACTTTTGTTTGAAACCTGATGAGAACCCTCTTAATGAAAGTGCTGCGCCAAAAATAATCTTTTTTCTCCATGTTAGTCAATCAAAAAATGGTGTAGTTGGGGGAAAAAGAGGAGAAAGAAAGTAATTTTGCATAATCAGTGAGCACCATCTGGAACAATTAACCAAATTCCACAGAACTCAGAGGATCAGTCATATTGGCTTATTAAAGATCCAGAATTATACAAGTAATAAATCCTTGGAAAAACGAAGCGTACCCCTGCCTGTCACGACTATTTTAACTTCAAATACAGTGGAATACTTGATAAGGCTGAAAAGAGGAGATTAATATATGCAAATTATGTCGAGCATTTAAAAGCCCCCCAACAACTGTCTCCTCTTTTTCTTTTTTTTCTCCTTTCTGTCTCTTATTACGGGGCTTTATGTTTTATTCATACACCAACTCACCTGTCATTTCATAAGCTATAATATTATGAGGGTATTATTAAACAGCATAAAGTGGAGCTTTAATTGGAAAGCTCCATTGCATTTTCCAATTATTTGCGGCAAATTAAAAGCAGATGCACATAGTTTAATAAGAATTCTAATATTGTTTCCTGAAAATCAAAAATCACTGTCACTCTGCCAAGATATTTTGCAAACCCAAGTTAATTTTGAGCCTCCTATTTTTTCCCTCCTCCTCCTCCTCCTCTGAAGGATGAACTGTCTCCCGTCTGTTAATTGAAGTTCCTCTAATGGATAGGGAAATAATTGCTCTCCATATTACGTTAGATCAGGGCCAATGTCAGGATTTATTTTTGATTAATGTGATAGATATGTAAATGTATTACTTTTTATTACGTTTACCTTTTTATCAGCCGGGTGTCTGCTGAATACTGTATGTTGTTCTGCAGGTAATGAAGGGAGACTGCGCGGATTTATTTTAGACTCCATTTCTGGGTTTTTGCATTTATTCTTATCAAACAAATGCTTTTTAGACACGCAAACGTAATCACCTTTAAAATATCCTGCTGTCCTGTCAGTGCAGGAATAACAGACCTAATTGGCAAAGGGACTTGGCGTGGGGGGAAGAGAAGCTCAAAAGGTTTGGAGCTGCGATGAGAACTTGATAACTTTTCCAATGAGCTTGAACTGTCAAGTGAGGGAGGGCTGCGAAATAAATGTGGATTAGTTTTTAATATTCTTGTAATAAATGTCAAAGCGCCTGCACACCACATCTGTACATGATGTGACTGCAGATGACAGATTTCCCAGACATGTTACCTCTCCTCCCCTCAACTCGCCCGCTCTTTTTTTTTTTTTTTTCGTGTGTGTGTGTGTGTGTGTGTGAGAGAGTGTGTGTGTGTTGGGTTTTTTGTTTTGTTGGGAAGTGACGGAGGGTTTAATCAAGAAAGCAGGCAATTCATCAATCCTAAAGAAGGCGCCTGTACAACCCTGACAGAGCGCACATGGTTTTAGACCAACTCGAACCTGGCCAGCTGTCAGCCCACACACACATGCGGGCACATGCAACCACCCACACACACACACACACACTGACACAGACACACACACATGCACCAGAGCTACCAGCGCTAACAATTAACACAAATAGGCTGTCGGCTACGACCTCACACTTGGTCCGCAGGCTACCACATTGTTAATGAAGGGGAAGTTGCTTCTCTCACATGCACAGCGGGGAGCTGCAGGACTGACGACAAATACACAATCGGAGGAAATCCAGCGTCTTCAGCTAACTCCATTATCCTCCTTTTTTCCTTAAAGGGACACATGAAGGTAGAGCAGAGAGAGGACAGTTTTTCTGCGGGTAAATGATGAGCGCTGGCAGCGTCCTGTACAGTATGTGCATGTTCTTCACTGTCACTCAAACGCCGTCCCAGCGGAGGAATCGCACACCCAGTGCCACAAAGCGCTCAGCTGTGTGTTAATGTCGGCTCCTTCAGGGCCACACTCTGCACAGTTGTCTCCACTAACTTATAACACGACTGTCACGCCCTCACATTGATGGATTCATCATTTTTGGGGCAATTAGTGGAGGAATAATTATTTTGTTGGTTCAGGCAGGAGGAGGAATAAACCGAAATATTTAAATCCTTTTGTGTAAAACCGGTTTGTACTTCATCTTTCTCACACCTCAGCATTGTTTAACAGCTCTGCCTGTGTTTTAAGAAGGCAGGCTGCTCTGTAACGTGGCCCCACAGTCTGGGTGTGCCTCAGCAGCAGGAGGAATCCTCACCACATGGTGTCTCTCTCCAGCTGGATAAAAACCTGCCTCCCTCCTTCACCTCATGTGGATCACACACACTCTGTTAAGACTGGAGCGGCTCGGCTCGGCTCGGCTCTGACTCCGTGTCTCTGAGGCTGTCACTGCTAAGCTCTGCTTCCTAAAGAATTAGCCTTTCTTCTGTTTCAGTCCCCGAGCGTTGTGCTATTAGCTGAGTTTCTCCTCGACAAAAGAGAGGGGGATTCTTCCAGTGCGTGTACGGTACATACAAATGTAAGTATGGCACGTGATGGATCATCTTTGACAGCTGTTAAATGTTCTCTTGAGTGTTAGACGCTCCTCCTCTGGGAGTCACGTTGGCTCTGATAAGCAAAGCTCTGAACAGTATCCATCAGTGAGGGGATCTCGACGTAGAGCGTTTGTAGATAAAGTACCACAGGAGCCGCCTTCATGTACAGACGCAGCTAAAGACTTCAGCTTCAACAGGAAGCAGTGAACCTTTTCTCTGATCAAACACTGTTTTCTTGCTCAAAAGTCACGAATCCTCCATTTAACCCTTTAAAAACATTAATCTGTGCGATTCTCTTTAAATCAATCCTAAATAAAAACTATAATAACAGTCTTTAGTGTATATCTGTCATTTTCCTCATTTGGAAGTTTAACCGTATTTTAGATGAATCCTAATTTAAAGTTATTCAAAATAAAACCATAAATAACAAAGGGTCACTACATTATAATCTAGAGCACAGCAAAAATGTAAAAAATATATCCACTCTGAGCATCAAACAACACCTAAAAATTTAAACTCACTTCTAATATCATAAAAATTCATCCTCCATGTGTCTACATAAAGATTTGTTTGGATTTTATTCATTTTCAAAGGTGTAGACAAGGGAATGTTAAGTGATAACCTGTGTAACCAGATTAGAATACTCCCTTGCTCACCCCTCCTGTCACTGAAGCTACGGTGGCCTTAGAGGACAAAAAGCACCTGTCACACATCGATTAATTATCACAGAATCACCCATCGGTACACTTTCTTCTGTTTCTCACTTCATACAAAAACACTTATTATACTAGTTTGTCTGTTCTGTGCTGTAGCAGAAAAATTGTGGCGCAAAATGCGAGAACAGGCTAACCGCTCATTTTAAAGCTCCAATGAGAAACTTCTGTCAGTGTCTGTTTTGGCGCCCCCCTGTGGACAAAGACCTGTAATGTAACTGACAATAAATTCTTATTTCACTGACTTTTAATCTTAGCTGTGTAGAAAGTAAACAGTCTGATTCTGTTGTCGATTAGCAGATGTGGCACCTCCAGCTCCCCCTTATGGTGATAACAGGTATTAAAAATTACAATAAGGGCCTGTCAGTTTTGTTGTAGATGATTTTTTCTGCTCTTTTAGGTCACACAGAGGGGTCACTGTGTTAGTCTGTTTTATAATCAGCAAAAATCTCATAAAAGTGGAACAAAAAACAAACTTATTCTTGTATTCAGATGATTATATGCTGATTTAAAGCTCCTGTAGGGAACTCTTAGTTAGTGTGAACAAAGTGATACCTTTACTAACAGTCTGCTTTACATAGGAGGAAAAGGAGGATGTAATTCAGACAAAAAGTCAGACATTAAACTGTCAGTGAAATGCATCACTTAATATGAATATTTGCCATAAACAAAGTCATTTAAACACCAAATCGACACCTACCCCCTGTGCAGCAGCTACAGGCATTAAACACTAAGACGTAGAAATCATAAACATTTTCAAAATAGTCTTTTTTTGCTTTTGTAGATCATAATCAAGCTCGACTGTTAATTTTAGTCTGTTAATTAACCACCTAAAAACTCCCTACTGGAGCTTTAAATGTACTTCTTAATATTATATTCCTTTTCTACTCAATACAACACACTACACCTTTAAAGAGCAGGATCTAATGGAAATACAAGCAGGATTTCTCATTTTCAATGGTGCTATCATAGTATATTATAATATTAATGTTATTTAATTCCAGGACCTTCCAGCCTTGGTTTTTAGAGATTTGAGGGATTTCAGGTTTTTAAGACACTCCAGGAAGAAAAGTCAAATGCATGCACTGTTGTTGTTTTTCCAGAATTTACAGGATTATCATACCCACACATCAAATATTAAACCCTCCTATTTACCTGTCAGGGTGTAAATCCCACTGCCCTGCTGCTCGGAGTCCGGCCTGCTTGTGGTCCTCCTGTTGGAGGAAACAGAGTAAAACTGATCAGTGTTTTTGTTGTTTTATTGATCATCCTGCTAAAAACATACACAGTTTTAGTTTCCTGTTTATCTGACAAGAACCCCCCGTATTTACAGCACTTTCTCTCAGACATTAAAATTTAATGCCAGAGATTTTGTTTCAGCACTGAAGCAAGGAAACTCCCTCAATAAAAGATTTTTTTTTTATCTGTCCAAAGGCAAAACACAGAACAGAAATAACAAGATGAATGTGGAGAGGAGGAATATGGTAAAAGTTAAACCGTGCCTCGGCTGCCCAGGGGCTCAAACAGACCTTTAACGGGGGGTTCGGAGCAGGATCTTGTTAATTCTGGAGGAACTGAGAGATTCCATTATTCAAGGGAAGTCTGTTTTTTCCCCCTCCTTCGTTTCATGGCCTTGTATTACAGAAAACAGCACAGAATGCACTTTGTGGGCAGTTGAAGTTAACAAACCATATAAGATTGAAATCCTCATCAATCAAGCTATCATGAATCACACCCTGTGACTCACCCCTACGGATCGATAAATCCACAGCAAGCAGAGAGGGGAAAATGCACGGCTTCGACAGAGCTGCATAACATGACATGCTCTGAAGGTAAAATGAGCTCCGCGATGGCATTTTAAAACAAATGATCTTATAATGATAATGCAAAGTAGTCGGGGATATCATTAAGAGAGGGGACTGTCTGATTGGAGGACGTGCAGGCGTTAAAGTTTGCTGTTAAGAAGAAGAAGAAGAAGTGCAGGAGACAGATTTTAGGGCAGCTGCAAATAATGAAGTGTGTTTTGAGCATCATGTTGTGCATTTCCCTGTTTATGGATCAAATAATAATTCCTCGCTTGTTTGAAGGAGCGGTAAATCAAAACTCCAGGAATTTAAGACTAAATGCAGATCTGCATATTCCAGGTTTGCTGCAGCGGCACATGAGTTGTGGCGTTCAGAGCCTTATCTCTTTGCATGAGATAAATAAAAGCAATAATTTCCATCAAGAGCAATAAAACAAGACTTCTGACAGGCTGTGGTATTTATGAGCCGAAGCCTGCAACTCAGATTTATTTGCAATGAAAGGGTCGACTTTTCCCCTCCTCATTTACATCAGCATTTGGCCATGTTAAATCCAGGCCAATGGTGAATTTTTAAAAGGTTGGCATCAATCTTGTGGGAACGATTGCCATATTCAGCGCAGACTTCTTTTACCTTTCAAAGGTTGACTCCACTGCTGAGGAAGAAAGGTACACATCTCTCAAAGCGTGGAGACGTCCCAGCGTGGACTGATAAAGTGAGGGGACGGTCTGAACGACTCTTTACCTCGTCTGTGTTTGCCTCGTTAAAGAAGTACGAAGAAAAAACAAAAGAAAACGGGGTATTTATCTGCGGATGTGTGAAACTCGGAGTGGTACTTGGCGCTAAAGGAGGAAAATGTGCTCATGAAATGTTTTCCTACAGGCAACCTCCAGGGCTGCTCCCCCATCTGTTTGAAGCACAAAACTGTCTCAATCCAAATTGCTGATTTCTAAATACAATTTTAGCTGCATTGGAGAGGGTAACATATGGCAAATCAATTAGACAACTAATTCTTAAAACAAAAACATGGCAAGTGCATTTGCTAATCAACGCCAGTGTTGGGGGCTCGTATTACGGCGGCCACTGGAGTTTTGACAACAATTAATCCTCATTTCAGGCAAGGAGAGCCATATTGACACATATTCCTAATTTGAATATTCAATTATAGTGCAGTTCCTCATCAAATTACGGGAAAACTGGGAACACGGCCTGGTGGATTTACGCAATTACGACGCAGATCAGGAGTCTTGTGTTCCCAGGAAATCTGGAAGTCAAAATGATGATATTAGAGCGGCAGAGCGAACCATGACACTGAAGGTTTATTGATGACGGGGGAGGAAGTTCAACAGATTTCCTTTGTTTTTAAAAAGAGAGAAAGAGAGAGGGGGGGGACAGACGTGCAGTCGTCAGTGAAGAGGTAAAGATGAGAATGAGAGTAATATCGCTGAAGAGCCCGAGTGCAAGAAGCTCTTGTTTTGACACACATCCAGCCGTCCCCGTGACAACATCTCCACACCTTCCTCTATGTGCCGACAGCGCTGCTTTGTGGGAGCTGCTTCCTCACCCGTCATTATCCTCCTTTAAGCTCGGTGTCAGGTATTGAAAAGGAGGATCTTTCTCTCTGAATATGGCGCAGAAATCACCGAGCAGTCGGAGCCCATCAGATCTCAGCTGATCACTCGATCATCGCTGGCAGGGCTGCGCCGCGTCTTTGTTTGATCTCTGCCACTTTTGGCAACTTTTCTGAACACAACAAAGTAATGAGGAAGATTGAGCGGGGGGTGATTGTTCTCCTGCGACACACTGACAGTCGCCGTGTCTTTTTTCCCCCCTTCCTCACGCGTCCTGTGCGGTGGGAAGTCTTGGTTAACCAGCGAGCAATGAAAGCTGCGACAATGCTCCTGCAGAGTGTCACAGGTAGAACCCGAAACCTATCGATACGCACGCCGATCCTGACACTGATGACTCTCTGGGCTTCACGTGTTCCTACAGCAAAGCTAAAAAAAAGAAAGACACACTCGGCGGTGACGTTTTTATCGCCGTACAGTTTGATTTAAAAAGTGCCCGTGTGTACAATAGCCTATTATTCTAAGAGAAATGTCAAAAACCTTGATTCTGAGTGAAAGCCAAAGAAATTGCAATATTAGGACAAGGCTAATTTATGCTAGCAGTCAGTGTAGAGGTCAGATATCAGCCTCAGCAATGACAGTTTTATCAGGAGAACAAATGGCAGCGTTGGCCTGGAGAAGGAAGGAGGGGGATACTTTACTGGACACATTAAAAGGCTGACCGGATGGCGCATGTTTTCCACATTATAAAGTCAGGGAGCGGCTGATACGGTCCATCTTGACAGAGAACAAGCCGACGTGGTTGACATCAAGCCGCAGCGATGAATCAAAACCGAGCGCCGCGGCTGGTTGAAGCTCTTTAGACAAACCTGATAAAGAGACATTAAACACACAAGGTTGAAATGCATTTGCACAGCAGGCCGCCTAAGAGGTCTGGGTCTGCACCCCAACAGCTTTAGTGGCTCAATATGGTGCGACAGCCTGAGCCAATAAGAAATAACTATCAACCATCCAGAGTTTATCCTTCATCCTGCCGGAAAACTTAGAGGGAGTAACCGTCCCGTCACTTCAACCCCGGGTTTCTGCACTCAGACTTTTAGGGACCGTCTTAATTCAGGTCTGAAAAAATAGGAAATATTAAACTAAAAACTTGATATTCATGAGATTCCAGGATTATTAAATAAGAGTTTTTCAGCACTTCTTCAGATTAATCTCCCTGATGGGGCCTCGACCTGGAAAAGCGACAGGAAATGGGTTGATAGAGAAAACAGTTTAAAATGATTTATTTCTATCAGAGCTGATAATCAATTAGTAATCAAAGGAAAGTGATTCAGCTGCTCGAATGGGAAGATTTACAGTTTTTGTTGTGATTTTAACTCTTGGAAATAAAACCGTTAGCATTTTGAAAGTGTCACTTTGAGCTGTGGAAGGTTTTTGTGAACATTTGTCACTAATATCAGACATTTTATACACTTAACACATTATTTAAATATGATTTATCACAATTTTAAGGTTTTCTTTTTATTCAAACCACAAGTAGAGGAAGAGATGACTTCTCAGTTGAAGCACCTGTATGAAACTTCTAGTCTGTGTGACAGCTAACTCATTTTGCATTCTCTGTTATTTTCTAATAGTACGTATAGATTTTGCACTAATATCCTGCAATTTTGTAGGAGCTGTATATATTAGTCAGGTTCAGTTTATACAGACTTTCCTTTTATACATATCTTTAATTTTAAATGATAAGTTCTTATTTGTTTATATCTTAGTGCACTTTCAGCTCATTTATTAGCGTACATACTTGATCATTTTTTCATGTTTTGCTCTGAATTTCTGATTGATGGATGAGTGGGACACAATCTTATAACATGAAGCAGAAAATAAGAGTCTGAATGTTTGTATATTTTTTACTGTTTTAATAACTTTTTCTATATATGGTAAAGTACTCCTTTCATGAGAGTTTATTGCTCGTTTTTATTTCTAATCTTGATTTTTTTTCTCTATTCTTAGTCTGTGCTCACTATTTAAGCACCAAATCACTGAGATAAATTCCTCACATCTGTAAACCTACTTGGTAATAAACCCAATTCTGACTGAAATCAGGTGAATATGAAAACTGAGTTACACAGACTGAATCTAGACCAAAACAACACAAAGGCTAAAATACGACTTAAATCAACCATGTTTTCTAAAAAGGATGAGGACTTGAATTAAATTCACGTTTCTCATCAAAACTAGTTATATGGAAGCCAGTTGGCCAAACAGTGTCAGTGCACCTCCCATGTGGAGGCTGTAGTCCTTATTTTAGCTGGTGGTGATCCAACTCTACGACCGTTAGCTGCATGTCTTCCCTCGCTCTCTGCTACTTACGCCCATTTTTCTTCAATTTTCTGATCTAATAAAAGGTAAAAACTGTCCTAAATATCACTTTATAATGAACTCAGGTCAGTGTGATTGTCACTGCAGCGACAAGCCTTAACACATGGTAGAAATCTAAATATGACAGGGGTGAGCTGGCGGAGCAGACAGGGCGGAACAGTACTATATGTGTATATGAGGTTCTTGCTGTGTGTTTACCTTTGATTATACTGTCGGGGAGCTATATTAAAGTACAGTTGACAATAAAGCCTGTGTAGCTACATTACAGCATCATTGCATTTTCACAACATGAGCACAACATGCCACCTTGGCTCCCAGCAGCCTGTCATCTCCCACTTTTTTCTCTTTCTTGTATCCACTACCCTGTCGTCTCAAAAAAGCTTCAAAAGTAACTTTTACTGCATTACTGTTGTTTATCTTAGCAAGTGCTAAAGCTAATGTTGGTGAAACATCTGATGGTCCTGAGTCACATTCAGGATTCGAGGACTGAGATTCCTCTTTGTGTTCTCTAACTTTGAGTTCAGAAGTTTTCAGACAAACTTGAAATCGAATACAGAAACATTTTCCAAGGAAACCGTACAGCTGAAGGACGGCAGAAGTCAATATATCTGTTTTTTTGTGAATAAAATGAAGACTCCTCCGTAGCACCTACAGGGGGTCTGTTTTCTGAGGAAAGTGAATTCAAAGTTTGAGGAAACTTTTTAAGACCTGCAGATGCACTGTTTTTTTAGCTGACAAAACAATACACAAACAATTCCAACGCAGCACCTCAGCCTTGATGTGGTAACTGTGCGCGTCCCATAATGATGCAACACCCTGCAGTTACTGTGTACTGCCTGCTCCGCTCGCTCCAACACAGAAAAAAAAGAAGAAAAAAAAAAAAACTGATTTGCAGTTTAGGTTTGTACACAACTCTAACAAGCTCTCGCTGCCTGAGGCAACTCAACGTTTGAGAGGGATCACTGCAGCTTTCAAAATTATAAGGGTCATTAAAAATTTACACATTATTGACTGTATTTAAAACATCTTTTCCACTGACTGTAAAGAGCACTTAAATTTAAGAGGTGCTATTCTCCAAAGGCCATAAAGTTGTTATAGATAGCCCGAAGGAGGCATGGAGCAGAGCGTTTTCTCTGCTGAATATGAATAAAGCAGAGTGAGGTGATACGACTACACACACGGTTACGCCGTAGTACTGTACTTAGGCAATCAGCGAGTGTTGAAGGGCTGTTTATATATCACTGTGTCAAACCATCTAATCTCTGACTTTAAAGAAATACTTAGATGTCTATGTATGGCTGTCTGCAGCGCGTGTAACTACACAGAAAGGATGCCAGATAAATAGTCAAAGACCTGCCGCTGTCTAAATTGCCCACAGTGCCGTCCTTATGTGTCAGAGCATTATGGATGGAAATACTCTGAAAAGAAGCCTCTCTGACTGTGGAATGAATTTTAATGTTAATACAAAAACAGCAGCCTGTGATCTCAGCAGGCATCAGGAGGGGGTGCGAGTCGCTCCGAGGTGCAATTTATTCCAACCTCTGAGCCTCTCCGACTTGAAAGTGGGCTTCAAAAGAACCGAGGATTACCGGTAAGAGTTTGGAAGGCGTACACATGCCCGAGCGCCCACCATCGCTTCAAACCATCAAAGAATATTGACCATCGACAGGCAAAAACCACGGACGATTCACAAACCCGACCCGGTTTGAACTCCGGTTTTGAATTCACGGCTTGTCTGTTGTATTGTTCTCGCCCCGCTGAGTGGCCATGAGAACAGAAGCTCTGTTTTGAATCTGCCTGCTGGCTCCGCCGCTCTGGCCTGTTGTGGCTTTTAAGTGGCTTTTACTCAGCCCAGCACAGGATGGCAAAGCATAGCACTTCAAGCTGGCAAACCCATCAGCGCCCGGTGCCAAAACCCCTCTCCACACCTAAGGAGTCTCAGTTGTTTATTTACAATTTGCTGTGGAAATCCCCCCCGTTCTTCAGGGCGATAAATAATTGAGCTGTTTGATCTGGACACAGTACAAAGGGCTGCTCCGTTCACGCTGAGGCCTGAGGCGGAGGAAGCCCGAGCAGAGGAGGGGGACGCACACATACGGCGGCGTGGCGGAGATCTTGGAGCTCTCCTCCCTTCCTCTGCAGCTGTCGTTGGCTCTCCGGGCTACATCTCCTCCTCTTTGTCTGCAGAGTACAACGTTCCTGTCAGCGCACAGTCAGAGCAGAGACCTGCCTGCCTCTGCCTCCTGGGACACACCGCAAATAGCAGGAGTTTAGCCCTCATTGAACTCATGTTCTTGTTCAGGAGATCCTGTCTAGTTAGCCTGTCTCTCCGGCGGTTCACCCTCGCTGCCTCGATGTCCGGCCACAACCTTTACGGCAGATTGCCCGGGAATGATCAATGGCTGGTGTCTTCAATGTTACATATAGTCGAGAAACGCACGAAAAAGCTCAAGAGTATGCAGGGCGTCGGAAATAAAAAAGACAGAAGAGCAAGGAAAGTTAGAGGAACTTTGGAATGAAGTCGAAAGGCTAAAGCCACGCAGATGTTAGAGGAGCCTAGAGTAACTCCAGCTGTTCAAATATTCAAGACCTGGACTGTATTAGCATTAGAAATATCTCTTATCAAAATGAGCTTTTCTGACACCTGCAGTGACATTAATACGGACACGTGCGTCATTTCTGATGTCCATAATGTAATGACTTCACTTTAACCCTTCAGGATCTTTAAAACATGATAATTTCATTTTAAATATCTACAATCAAGATGTACATGAGCTCCAGTTTCTATTTTGGAACAATAAGAAATACACTTCCACTTATAATGCATTATTAGTACATTTATTAAGTATTTTAAAGCATTTATAAGGTTTTAATTCAGAAGACGCTGTTGTTGGTTTTGATTTGAGGTATAATTCTTTATAAATCATGACTTTCTAGTTGAAGGACTGTAATAAAGACTCGTTAATGCACTAATAAGGCTCTATAAAAGTGCTTAAATTTGATTAATATGTGTGTTATCAGAGCAATCTTTCCAGAGATCCATGATGTAATTTTGTACACTGTGAAAAGTCTTTATGGAAGTCCACATTTGTCACTTTCACTCATTTTTCTGGAGTCTCAGAGCTGCTGCTGTGGATAAATCAGAAATCTGAACATCATTAGAAATAAATGATGACTGCATGTTGATTTATAAGTAAAGCTTGTTTTATAATTTAAAGTTACCCATGAATATAGCACTAATATTGACATTATGATATATTACTGGTGAGATGATGTCCTAATGTAAAGGAAGGTCTAATTTTAACACCTTAGATGACTTTATACATGCAGTTAAATACCATGTAATAAGGAGAACGACCAATAAACCGCTTCCTTTGTTTCACTTTATTTTAGGCTAAGCTAATGTTAGCCCACATAGCCCAATATCTGATATTAACCCTTGATTGTCATTCGTCTAAATGACAGTGAATGTGTGCTGCTGGATTCCTGCCTCCTGCGTCTTTGTTTTGATTGACAGGTGGTGGCGATGGAGTTTCAGTTCTCAGACATTTCCAACAGCACAACATGACCACATATTCAAGAGGCTGGCGTTTGTTTTTGGTGCTTATTCAAGTTAATTTTTGCCGCTGCACTCCCCGTTAAAAACAGTTTGAATGTTGGAAAACTGTCAGTCAATGATCACGGCCAATCAGGTTCAAGAAAGGGTGGGACTTCTGAGATGACTTTGTCAACAACAATGAAAACAAACATAGTGTAGTTACAGAGCATTTTAAAAAGTCAGATTTCTTTTTGCAGTCGGTTACGCTGCCCCCTGCTGGCCGTCAGCACTCTGGTATGAACCACATCGACCTTTAAGTTCATTTTAAAACCACAGCTGTAACTTTGATTACCGTCTTGTGGTGTATGGAGCCTCACTGTTGGGTTTTCTGTCGGTCTGCTGAGTTGACTTTTGTTGGGGAACATCTCCTAGACGATACCAAAGCCCCATGTTGTTTATCTCTCTGTGAAAAAAGACGTACAAAGAAAAATTACAAACTTAACCTTTATGGTTATTAACAGATGATCAAAATGATAATTCCTGGTGCTCACCCCATGCAGGTGTAGTTAACAAGGTGATACTTGGACTTGGTAGTGATCTGGATGTCAAATACAGCCGTCTCTGCAGCGGTACGAGGGCTCATTTTCACACACAGCCTCCTCTTCCTCATGGCAGTTTCCTCTGATGATTCAGGTACACATGAGGGTGTCAGACAGGAAGCCTCTGTCGCCTCTCAAATTCTGTCATCTCTGAGTTTCAAGCTGAAATATCTATAGAAGCTCCAGGACAAATATATATACAGTACATCCACGAATCCCTCTTAGCTTTTGCCTTTTAGTCATTACCGGACTGCGACTAAGAGATGAGCTAATATCAGTCGCTGCTCTGGTGCTCAAAGGGAAATAACCGGACAGCAGAAAGCCACAAAATCAACATGCATTATTATCATTTTTATCATTTTAGTAGGTAAAATGACAGAAGCAAGTGCATCCTCCATCAGCTTTAGTGCACAGCAGGGATTTGAAGTGCATATTCCAGATAGGACCTCATACATAATGTCACATGTATACATTAAACATGGATTCACATAAAGTAATAAAACATTAAATTACACCATAGCCAAACAAAACATAATCTCTTTTCTTTATTCGGGCAAAAAAAGCATCGCCATGCCTTCCTATATTGCATCCGTGCCCCGCTCATTTATTTCCCCTGCAACACTGGAAAGTGCAGTGTAAATGCAATGATAATAAAAATAATAAACAAGCTGTCCTCACTCCCCACACCAAAATATTATTACATTTCCAAGGCATGGATAGTGAGGGGGAAATACATAGCACTCAAAAAGCACTAAAGCATTGGGGAATGCATTTCATTAATATTAGATAACCCCCATCCACTCGTCCTCTCCCCAAATAAATACATAAATAAATAAGCCGCTCATAAAGAAAAGCACAGCTCCAGCTGAGATAAACAATGACTCATGATTCTCTCCTCTCGTACCTCCGGGGCAAAATGTTTATTTTATTCCCAGAGTCTGCCATAAATTAAGCTAACCTGCACCCATAAAACATTCACTATCTCCAGCAAAGCTGCCCCTGAGGACCTCCTGCATAAGCTGGTCTGAGAGTGAAAAAACAGACAGAGGCCGGGCGCGAGCTCGTGGTCGGTACTGACTGTTTACTTACTCGTGTCCATTGTTTCCTCCACAGGTGTGAAGCCCTCTGGCAAGGCGTCCTTAATGTCAATCAGCTTCATGTCCACAACAACCTCAGGCCCCTTCAAGATAAAGCAACAGCAGAGGATTTAAAGTCATGTATGCAAATGTGACTCTTCAAAAGGACAGAGAGCAGGAAAGAAGAAAAGGTTAGTCGTTTTTTGGAGGGCTCAGGAAAGAAAATGTGGAGATAATAAGAGTCAATGATTTACTAAAAGCTCAGGGAGTCTCTAAAGAGAAGGGTTGACAAAATAGCTGAAGTAATTACTCTCTAATAGCTTTTTTTTACTATGAGAGAACGCATCTGTGAACTTGTAATCATTCTCAACCTTTTGGTGAGGAGCTGCGGGATGACGGGAGACAGAGGAGGCAGTCTAATCAACAGATTGGGACTGGTTAAAAACAATCAGGGACTGTGTAGTTGACATTTTCAAGCATGACTCTTCCCTGCCTCCCATTACATTTTCATTTTTTGCCATAATAAATTGCAATAATACAGAGCGGCGGTAGAGAGTGGGGCGAGCCAGGCGTGACTGGATGCGTCCGAAGAGGCTGGATTTCGCTGCTTCTGTTGCCCGACAGTCATTACCATTAGAGACATTTTTTATTCATAGTTTTTATACCGACTTAAGGAGGAATATGGATGAATGTTATTACTATGCATGGAACCTTTTTTAGTGTTTCCCCCTTTTTTGCAGGAGAGATTTCTTCCATCAGTGCCTGACAAAGAGGGCTTTCTACCTCCGACCTAGAGTATGATAAATCACAAACTATTTACTTCCCCACACGTAATTCAGGGGCTAATTTTACAGAATCTGTTTTTGTCATAGACAATTACAGTGGGAGCTCCATTGACTGGCAGACAAAATAGCCTTTGTTGATGGCTCTGTCATGTTTTATTTGTGTCAAAGTCTTTAAAACAATGTGGACACACATTTTAAGATGATATACAGGAACTAGGCGAAGGTTATTTGTATGCTATATACTAAACCGACGACCAGATTGAGCTCAGGCTCGGGGCAGATGCTGCCAAGTCGCCTGGCTTTTAGAGGACATACTGTAAAAAAACTAACAGGAGTGACTCCATTACGTACGAAAGAGGATTAGGGCCACAAGAAGAGAAAAAAATAATTACAGGAAGGGAAATTTTTTTGATTTCAATATTCAAGTCCAAATTTCAAAAAGTCGAAATGAAAAAAATCGCACTTTGCACGAAGGCGGTAACCTTTTTCAAGTTTGTCTGTTTTTTTTTTTCCTGTAGAGTCGTAAACTTTGGCACAGTCAATCCAGAGTCCGAATACTAATGACCACACCGTGTTTGTGTGCTAGATGAGTGAGGATGTCCTTGTTACCAAATCCAATTATAAAGAACAGATTTATAAACTGTTCTACAGAGGACATGTTTTCGATTGACGAGCGACAATACTGTTGATTAAGTATCATTAATCTCGACATTACGACTTAATCATGAAAATTTGTGATTATTTGCGTCAACTTTAATCTCTTAATTTCAACTTTAATCTCGTAATTTTAATTTTTGATGCCACAATTTCGATTATAATCTCGAAATTTTGTTCTAATCCACAAAATTTCAACTTTATTCATGTTGACTTAAATCTCCTGATCTTGACCCAAAATTTACATTTTTTTAATTCCAAAATTCAAAGTCAAAATTATGTTATAATTCATGAAATCTGACTTTATTCATGTTGATTTACCTCTGGTAATCTCGGTTTTAATCTCAAAATTTTAGTCTTTTTAGGCCCAAAATTTGACGTTAATCCTGACATTTTGTAATCTTGAAATTTTGACTTTAATCTCGAAATTTCAATTTTCAATCTTCGATTTTATTGCCATAATTTTGATTTTTGGAATTTCGATATTTCAACTTTAATCTTGAAATTTTGACTTTAATCTCTAAATTTTGACTTTAATTTCCTTTTCTCTTCATGTGGCCCTAATCCTCTTTCTTTATTTAGTCTTCAAACTGAGTCGATGCAAAATATTCACAGAAATGCAGGTTTTGTTTGTTTTCTACCTGCATGGAAACAAATGAAGAGACAGGCAGTAGTAAAGCTGTGTGAGTTGAGGTTAGACAGGTTGATAATGCTGGAGATGTAAGCAGGTGTATTTATGGCCACATAGCTGCTGACAGCCATGCAGCTGTGGGCTGGAGGCAGGAGACGAGTTAAAAATGACCCGACAAACCAGAGTCCTTTCAGCCGCACAAGAGTCAAATATGAAGCTTTATAACTATATAGATATGATTCAGTAAAATCATATTTACAGAGGAGTTTATTACATAAATTATTTTTATTTTCATGTGCATCGGCTTTCAGGAATCACAGTTTGGTTACAGCTTTTTCTCTACAGGGACGCTGTTGATTGAATAAATTGGAATAGTTAAAATACAGCTCATTGTTATTCCATGAATAAACATAAATAATATCCTCAGGAGGGTGAAACATGAAAAATATCTCATGAGGTATTATTCATCTGGAATATGCATGCAAATCCATTATAACTAAAAGTTCAAAACTGCACTGCCAACGCTGGCCTTTTTTTAAGTGGGACTCTCACTGATCAAAGTGCAAAGTGCACAAAGATATTCTGGGCGGCTGGCGGCGGAAAACTGAGTTAATAACCGCTGGCAAGCACAAAAGCTGCGGCAGACGAGGTGTTGGAGCAGAATGCATAGGGAGAGGCTGAAGTTTACGTTCACACTTACAGTTTTTCTGGTGAAACAGAGGTAGCGGGTGACCTTGGATTTGAATAAGCCGTCCTTCCACAGGTCGGCGTCAGAGCCATCTGTTGTTTGTGCAACCTACGTGCAGAAAAAAAATAAAAAGAGAGAGGAAAAAACAAGGAGAGAAAAAACATGCAGGAGGTGGGATAAAGTTAATGTATGTATGCCATGAGCGTGTTGCTTTTGCCTCTTCCCTTGCATACTAGCCTTAATTAACGCTTGCCAACACTAGCGCTCCATCTCATTAGTGCTCGGCGTGGGTAAAGGAGTCTTAGCCTCCAAAAAGGTGGCTAAAAATATCATCCCTCGGGACCCGGCTGATTAAAGATGCCCTGACAAGGATCTGCTCTAATAAGGAAACCAAACTTGAGAGTGCTTCTGTGGGAAAGCAGGGATTACATTTGGGGAATATGCAGAAAGTATCTTTTCTAAAACCAAACATAGCATCCCATGAGCTGCAACGAGAATAATGCACACGCACCTAAATCCTGTCACTGCTCCACCTCTTTATGTGCGAGTCTTTCTATTATAACTTCTCTATTCGAAGCTCTCTCATGTGTATGCATGAATAATTCCAAAGCCGGGTACCTAAGCAGCTCGTCCTTGTACAATAGGCTCATTCTTAGTTGTAAATGATCAGTGGGGTCTGTAAAAATAATGAAGTGCACCATATTGACAGCATGTAGGCACCACAAGTCATGCTCAAGGTCCAACACTACATTGCTATGTAAATGTAGGTGTGCAGGGCTGAATGATAAAGCAAAACACAACCTGCAGACTCTTCTTCTGGGGTGGTGGTGGTAGCGGCGGCGGCGGCGGCAAACACGCTCGGCTGGAGCGTCATGTTCCATTGGCTATCATGTGAGAATCACCTAAATAACTGCCAGGGTTATTTTCTAAAGGGATCCTTTACAAAGAAGAGTCAATCTAATGAGGTTCATTCAAATGAAGAAGTCATAGATCTCTGCACCCACCCACACACATTACCCCCTTGACAATAATGATGAATGACCTCGGTGACTGGGTGGGGGGAAACATGGCATGGGGAGATTCATGAAAAACCACCACTGACTAGATGGGATGAGAGCAGAGAGAGTAGACTGGGGAACAGAGATAGATAGCGGGATGAGAGAGAGAGAGAGAGAGAGAGAGAGGAGAGAAAGAGCAGGAGATGAGCGGAGGAGAGAGGGATTGTGGGGCGTCTCCGGCAGCAGTTCCATGAAAGGTCCCAGAAGGAGCCTATACATCACCAGCCTCCCTCTTCCTTACAAGACAACCCGTCTTGGCCACTTTTTCCAGGTCAGTAGCCAGCGCATCCTGTCAGCGTAAACAAAGGGCTCGCTTTGTGAAACCCAAAGTCAAGTTGAGGAGTAACGAGGGCACGGTCCTCCTCCGAGGCACCTCAGGCATCATCCTGCCACAGACGCCGGCAGCAAGGCTGCGACGCACCCTGAATGTGAAACGCAGACTGCTGAGCCACTGCAGGAGAGGCATGTGTAAAGTTGGGATGGCTCTTCTCTCGCACTTTCAAGTCGGCTCCGTCATTATTACACCCGCTTCACTGAGGAGGATGTCACGTGTCTGATAAGAGACGCCTGGCTCTGATGTTGAAATATATGCTTGTATCATTTGATTCGAAATGCAATGACAGATTCGACTGCCAGTTCCTAAAACCAGGAGCTCGCAGTGATCTGAAAGCCCACCTATGAAACAAGTCTTTAGGGGGTGCTGAATGCTCCAGTGAAGGATCTCTGGAGACAGACGCCACCAGCAAGTTCTCTATGAAGCAATGAGAGGCACAGCTGTGAATAAAACGATCTGAAGGCACGCAATCAGAAACCTCAGGGGAGCGAAACCAGGTGGAGACGACATGAGAGAGGCACCGAGAACAAACCGGGCCCTTCCACGCAGAAAAAAGACCCAAAATAGAAGAAGAAGAAGAAGGTTCAGTTTATTTCTCAAGACTGCTGACTATAAAGAAAAGAAAATATCTTTGACTTTCAGGTTCAGTTTGACATTGTGTTCCTGTTGGCTAACCTGCACAGATATGAGTGAGAAACATCACTCACAAGTCTGGGCTCAAAGGACAGAGTCTGTCCGTTCGTGTTGGAGGAGAAAGTTTAAACATTTTATAGTTTTTGTTTATAGCGTTAGGGTAGAAAAATCAGTGATACTCTGCAGGTTATTCTCTTCGTATCCTACTTAAAGCTCCATTAAAGTCTTTTTCATGTCAATAAAATTCATATTATCTCTACTAGTTAAATGACACATGACTACAAGAGCTTCTCGACCTTTAGACCATCAGAATTTAACGTTGTGGCATCAAAATATCTGCACATCTCAATGCAAGCTGTTCTCAAGAGCGGCTGATTTTCTACTTTTACCTTTACAGTCTGAAACTTCATCCAACTTTAAACTCTGAAACTTCATCAAACTTCGACTTCAGCAATCCACCAGGGTACTCGGCCTTTAGTTACAGACCCGCCCCCTTTTTGAGTGACAGCAGTCTATCTAAATTGACAATAATATAACAGTTTAAAATAAGAAAACACTATAATTAAATGGTTACTGAAGGCTTAAATCAAACCGTCAATACAAAAAAACTGATAAAGCATGACTTTTTTTGATTGGCGATAATTGATCTGCAATGTAACATTTAAAAAAATCTAAATTATGATGAGATATAAGGGTTCATGAAGCATTTGTCTTACACACACAACCTCCTGCTGTGAAGCTACACTATTCATCACATTACAGCCCTGTATGGTACCAGAAATTAAAGCGATGACCAGACACAGGTAACATCATACAGTTTGATGGAGACAGACCCTTTAATTTTTAACTATTTCTAATGTTACGTCACCGATTGATGATTAAAAGAGTCATCAATTATGAATTTCTGGTCCTCTATAGCCACTGGATGATACTGTTTTCTTGTTCTAGACCCTGAATTTTCATTTCCTACTAATCTTACAGACTGACTGCTCTCACCCAAAAGGGGGCGTGGTCAGTTTGACTGCTGGCATCTATGAGAGCGACACTTAATACAGATGAAACAGACGACCAAGACATTCAACAGAAGAGGATCAGGGATTTTATGATTTTGTCGTTATTTTGCTCCCTACTGACTGACGTCTTTAATGTTTTGTTTTGTCTATTTCTGGACGATTAACATGAACATCTTATAAACAACATTCCTCCTCTTGCTGGGATGCTAATCAAGGAGCAGCATGTAATCATCATGATCCAGTTACAATAACAAATAAATTAGTAAAATACAGTCAACTCCTTTATCTATTCCTCCATGTAGAATCACAATATTGTCGAAAATCATAACCTGGGAGGACGCTGAGTTGCCACTATCGTAACGGCAGCAATGCTAGATGGCACCACTCACCATATTTTCCGAATAAGCTACCAAAGTCTACTTCACCCCCTTATGATGCTAATGCTAAGCTAATTGTTAGCAGCCCAAACCCCGGACTTAGCCCTCAGATGTGGGCTTTTGTCTAAAATCATTCCCAGTCCTTGGAAGCAAAGTGAATACGTTTTTTCAGATGTTTATCTGAAGTTAGAAATCTTTAGTTCACAGCCTTAAAAAGGAGAGGCTGGGACCGTAAAGTATCCTTGCTCATGTGTTAGTAACAGGTTTCTTTAAATAGAGTATCAAGATTATGCGCCGAGGATGTGGGAGATTCTCAGGTGAATCTGAAATACTCGTCTATCCACTCTGCAGCCCTCGCACCGAGCATGTGTGTGCGTGAGTCTGCTCTCGGCGTTTGATGTTGGGTGGCTGCTGGTGCTTCAGCAAAGCTCGTGATCCCAGCGGAGCGCCGTTTGATCTGAGCCTGTGCTCTCTAGTGTTGGAACAACCTGCTCAAGTTCAGAGATGTGAGCGCCTCGAATCAGAGAGCAAAAGAGTTAATCAGGCTTTTGATCTGCTGTATAAGAAGTATGGTAAGTATGGAAAGCAGTCGGTATTAAGGAGGAATTCTTAAAGAAGTCTCATATGAAAGGAGAAGAAAATCAATACGGCGTGATATCCAGAGACTTCCCCTCTTAGAGCTGCATTAGACGCCAGGCGCTGGTATTTTTGTTTGTCTGCAGATGAAAGACGCCATCGTGATGTTCAAAAGATGTTCTTGAAGATGGAACAAATGCATCTGAAATAGTTCTCTGAGTCTGAAGGCCTGGAATATTTTCTCGAAGGCTAACTTGTACTTGACTTTTTATTTGTAGACATGATTTTGATGTTTCATTGCCTTGAAGGGAGTGTTTACACTCCGTGTTTTTATACCGAGGAAAACTGACTCAGAGTGAAAAACATCAGACATCAAATGATTGGTACAGAGACTCTGATATGATGTTGTAATGTTACACTGTTGCTTTGTCACATTGTTGCTCTGTCACATTGTTGCTCTGTTACATTGTTGCTCTATTTTATTGTTGCTCTGTCACATTGTTGCTCTTTTAATTTGTTGCTTTGTCAAATTGTTTCTCCTTTTCATTGTTGCTCCGTTATATTGTTGCTGTTATATTGTTTCTTTGTCACATTGTTGCTCTATTTCAATGTTGCTCTGTCATATTGTTGCTCTGTTACATTGTTGCTCTATTTTATTGTTTCTTTGTCACATTGTTGCTCTTTTAATTTGTTGCTTTGTCACATTGTTTCTCCTTTTCATTGTTGCTCCGTTATATTGTTGCTGTTATATTGTTTCTTTGTCACATTGTTGCTCTATTTCAATGTTACTCTATTTCATTGTTGCTCTGTTTAATGGTTTCTTTGTTACATTGTTGCTCTGTAACAAGTACAATGATCACGAGTATGATTTATCTGAACACGACTGTTGATGTTTGTGTACACTCTGTTCAGACATTTAGAAAAAAAGATTGATTTTTGCAGTATCCCCAGAGGCTGAATATTTATGCTCCTTTTCCTTTAAGATGATATAAAGCGAACCGTAAAACAGACATTTAAATAATAAGTAGCATGGCTGAAGTGACTGGAAGGTTTATGCAATGAACCTGTTTTTTTCCTGAGGCCAGGAGTCAGCCCCAGGTCCATCTTTTCTCCTGTAAACAGTTCACATACCTGTCCCACTATTTTTGGCACTGTAGCCTTTTGTCTGTATGAGCTGTTGCTGTCGTTCGTCTTGTCTCTGTCCCTCTCTCCCCTCTCTAAACCCAGCTCAGTCTCAGCAGATGACTGTCTAACATCAGTCTGGTTCTGCTCGAGGTTTCTGCCTGTTAAAAGAAGTTCTTCCTCTCCACTTTAACTCTCTTAACGCTCTGAGTCTTTCACTCATGGTGGGTTCAGATGACTTAAGAATGGGTCTGATCTTACTGTCGGATCTTTGTAAATATAATGGAGAGGATGATCTCAATCTGCTCTTTTTACAAAGCGTCTTGAGGTAACATTTATTGTAAATTAGTGCAGTATAAATAAATAATAATTGACATATGAATATGATAAATATCTAAGAATTTTAAGTCTAAAGTCTAAAAGCTTCCAGGTTTACAAAAAAAAAAGAAAAAAATTGTAGCAGTTTACATTTCTCCTCAAACTGAGACAAAACAGCGCTATAACTCACTTTTAGCCCGAAAGGAAACACACAGTATTTGCACATCATTTGAAATGTATTGGCAGAGTGTAGAGGCAGAGGAGGAAGTCTGAGGGGGTTTCTCTCTCTTTGTCACTACCGTGTGCTGCACATGTAGCTTTCCTGCCAGTGGCTCCGTTCCGATGCCAACCCACCATCGTCTGCCAGACATGAGAACGAGCTGGGTGTGCAGGGTGGAGCAGGAAGAGATAAAAACTCAGGCAACGAGGAGAGGCTGGGGGTGCCGCATGAGAGCGAAAAGACAAAGTCTGAAGAGGAAGAGAGACGGAGGAAGAGAGATCTGCCCTTGAGCTTGCTTTGTGCTTTGTCTAACTCACAACACACTCTTCTTTTTAACTCCCTACAAGCCGAACAACACAAAGACAGGTTCACAGAAATGAACCGAATCCTGCACCGCATCTTTACACATTTACCCCAACCGACTTAAAAGTCAGGAGAACGTGGGGGCAAACTTAAAAAGACTCTGGTGGGCATCATGCAAACATCATTAAACCATCGCCTCTGGTGTGTCTGTAATTCTGGTGGCAACCAATAATAATGTCAGGAAGGGGATCTTCCTAATCATCAAAGTAAACTTGATGAATAAGTCATCGAACAGCTCCAACGAAAAACTCCCAGGAAAGCTGCCAACATCCTGCCTGTGAATTATGCTACACATTCAGTTACAACTGTTACAAAAACAACCGACAACAGAGGACCACAACAGAAAAAAAAACAACCTACAGAGCTTCATTTTCAAGTTTGACCATTTGTTCAGTCATGTTTTGATTGACAAAGGTTACTAGGAGCACAAAATGGACAAATCAGAGAGCACCATACACATTTTTAGTTATGTCTGCCTGAAATCCCCCAATTAGAAGATGCGCATTTTCTTCAGACAGAAGGCGGAGAATAACGACAGAAAATCTGCAGCTATGATTCTGATAATTGTTCGTAGATGTTAAAAACTCATTTGGGTCGAATTTTGGTTTAAAATCTAAACTGTGAGACCCCGACCGTCTATTACATCTTTCAGATGAGCTTAATGCAAGCTTATTAAATAAAACTGTTTATAAAAAATACAGTTTCCACCAGTTTAAAATATGTACTTACAACATAGTAGGCATCATGGGCCTTGTTAAGATAACTGATCACTCCGACTGCAGAGATGGGCTCTTCGAACTGCTGATTGGTCGGTTCAGACATGTTGAAGCTGTGAAAACAGAAAAGTCTCATCACAATCTGCAATTCAACGCACATCATTCATAGAGGGAATCTTAACCTAAACACAAAAGGCAGAAAATAGTGAGTCTAGCCACAAAAATCACAGGGAAGCCACAGAAACACTTCAGCTGTATCTACAAGGAAGTGATGAGGAAAAAAGCTGTGAAGATAGTAAACGATCCTTCTCACCCACAGTACAGTGAGTTCGTTATACTTCGTTCATGCAGACGTTATCAAGTACCTAAGGCAAATCGTCTTCAAAAACTCATTCATTCCTAACGCCATCAGGGTGCTGAATGATAGTTGGCCTATGTCCCGTTAGATCTACCTAACTTCATATTGCTCAACGACTATCATAATAATTTTGGTTAAGTACTTGGAGATCAGTTATGAAACTCACAGTTGCTTTTTGAATTCAATAGTTATCAAATATCGGGTTAAAGTGCGACGTCTAAATTCCGTCTAAACATATACAGAATCTAGACGGTTGAAATTAGGTCTACGAAAAAACTAGACGTCTAATAGCAGTTTATTGCTCAGTGGGATGCCACTGTTGTCCTCCTTTTGCTGCCAAGATGTTTTGTGTGGATTTGTTGTGTGTCTGTTGCTGCCCTCCTTGTTGCTGTTGATCTGTTTTTTTGTACACGATGAGACTGAAGACAATCTTCCACTTGTGGACAAAAAACGAACAAACAAACAAAACTCTGTATACCTTTGCCCGCACAAACAAGAGGGATTATGTTCAGTCTGAAAACTTCAAACAAATGCCTGAAAATACGGCTAATGAAACTAAATGAAGATTACTCTCCTCGGGGTCACTAGATGGAGAATGGACAAGGCTTTTCTCCTCTAAAATGGCCGCATTATTGACTTCTTCTTGAGGTTTATTAGGATCGAGAAGAAAAATTGTCCACCTAATCCAGGACCGAATGACAAGTGAGAGAAACCACCAAACAGCATTTGGAGACCACACAATGACTCCACCGGATCACAAATCGGGGGGGAGTGATCACATATTTTCAAGGAAGTCCCAATCAATTGGTATCTATTCCTGTCTGAGGGAATTTCTCCCTAATGGGTGTGCGAGCCTTTTACAGTCTAAGTGGCTGTGCAATGGTTCCCTTACGCAATCTGATTAGATTACTTTTAAAGCATTCTTGCACTAACTGACAAAGTTGCAGCGTTCAATCTTGATGTTTGGGAAATCTATTGCAATTAAGCAGATCAAATTAGGCGATTTGCTCCAGAAACAGCTGCCTCCTTAACAAATGTTAGCTAGCTATACTTATTCAAATGAAACAGGATAGCAAATTAGCTAATAGAATGAAGGATCTCTTTGTAACATTAATTTGTTCAAAATGAGGCTTGTTTACCAGCAAAACATCAGGCAGACCGAGGAAACATCCATCTGAGCTGATTTCCAGCTTTTGAGGAAAATATCCGTGTTTCAATAGGAGGAGCAAACTTGACTTTTGCGTAATAGCAAATGGTTTTAATGCTAAAGACGTGTAGACGTTAACTTTAATATGTGAATATTTCTTATATCTAGACCGGTGGGTTTCTTTTTTACCTCGACATGTTTCGACTGCAAATTTCTGCAGCCGTCCTCGTCTGACAGACAACGTCACAACAACATCACAGGAGTCTTCTGGGAGAGACTGCAGGAGGTTCGCAGTCGAAACATGTCAAAGAGGAAAAAAAGAAACACACTGGTCTACATATAAGAAATACAAACATACAGTCAGACCCGGTGAACCTTTTTGGACTATTAACTTTGATATGGTATAAGCCTAAGTGCTTGATGACTTAAACAAATACATAATAAAGCTTTTCATAGGAGTTTGTGGTTGTTAAGGTGATGACTATATTTTTTGTTAATACATCACCAAAAAATTACTAATTAGATAAAAACCCAAAATGACAACAAACTGCAGCAAAGTCGTGTTTCTTGTCAGTAACTTTAAACATCTGCAAAGGTGTGAGGGTTTGAAGTCCGGGGTGAAGTTTGGTGTTTGGGTGCAGATGTTTGATTTCTGTGAGCTGTAAGTCAAGATTAAAACAACTAAAGTCTGGATATATTTCGCTTTGTGTCTGATGAATTTAGAAAATGTAATAGTTTAAACTGCAGAATAATGAACTTTCTCATGCTATTGTAATTTTTTCAGAAATACCTGGACTTAATTTGAAATGTAGGGTGGGGAGAGAAAAGCATGGAAAAGCAAATTTCTGTAGAGTAATTGCTGTAATAATAACTAGACTAGATATAATACTAAAAAGGAATTAAATGGGTCCATGTTGAACTCTTTAAGGAGGATTAGCTTAAAGGTAACCATCTACCGTCTTGCATGCATTTGTTTAGTAACTGCGCATATTATGTTGAGAATGAGTTTAGCTTGATTAGTACCTTTAAATATATTCGTCCATAGTTGTTAAGTCTAAATGTCGCCGTTGTCGGTTGGTGTAAACTCAAACAAACAGACTCTATTCCTGTCAGACCGCAGCAGGATGAGGGTTTGATACCAGAGGTAGAGTCAGGTCTCTGGACAGGTGCGACAGCTTACTTTAGTAATTAAAAATAACGTTATTTTACTGTAACCAGCCAGCGGGAAGTGTTATAATATTAAAGAGGGGACATAACAGGTTTGCTGTTGTAGTTAAAAAGTGACACTTAAGTCCTCCTTACCTGGTTAAAAGGTGTCGGTCTCTGCAGTCGGCCTTCTGTTTTTAACCAAACTTTGGACTTTGTCCCGCGCTAACCTGCCGGAGGTAAACACTTCCGGGTTCGTCTTTAATCATTAGCGAATGGTCAATAAACTGTCAAATTTAAACCTTTTCTTTTTTATGCAAAAAACGACCTATTGTGTGTTTTCCCCACAGAAATATTATTTTAATAAAATAAGGCCATTTAAAATTATGTTTTTTATTAGGGGAGAGTGGGGTAAGTTGAGCCACCACACCCCCAGCCCCTGTTGCATGGAGATAGTATAAGAAATTGATCATGTGACCAAATAGTAGGGATACGGCTCAACTTACCCAGCTCCTATGGTCAACTCACCCCATAGAACAAGAGGGAGCTGGGGTCAGACACAAACTGAAAACTCACAAGACAGGACTAAAGGGGAACAGAAACGATGAGGAACAGAAACACGAGGAAAAATCACAAAGAAAATACACTCAACAGACCAAAACCAGGGGAAAACTAAACACCAGAACATATATCATGACACATAGTCGCTGAAAGCACCAACAAACAGAAAACAGCATATTTGGATGTTAAATGTGCCACTTTACTTTGTCACTATGATCTGAGCATGTGCAGGAAAAACAGGCCTGGTTCAACACTGCCGTGTTGATCTGTGGGTGAGCTGCATTTCTTTGCAATAACTTTTGAGATCCAATTTGGCTTTGGTAACTGGATTAAGTTTGTACCTCACCAGATGACTTTCATTACATGGATGTATCTGAGGGTCAAGAGTTCTGACAATTGGTTGTCTCTCTAGTCATCACATGTAATTACTGTAATCAGATTAAAGTCAGATAAAGAGCAATGTATTCACTCAGTGGTAACATTAGGATGTGCATCTCTCTTGGTAAAGCATCTTTGCAGACTGTCCAGAACACCACAGTGCAACAGATGCTTTCCCATTGCCAAGTTTATTATTTCTCTCCTCATCATACCAATAAAATGAGTAATTTAGTTGTGAAACTATTATCCTAATTTATTCAAATCAAAGACTTGTTGCTTTCTTTTGTGACATGGTGCCATATGCCAGCATGGTGTCTTCATTGTGGCCACACACTGTGAAATGTGTTTATGGGCTTACATGGCTGCACATGATGAAATCTGTTTTTTTTCCTCTCTCATCTCATCTCATCTCTCTCTCTCTTATTTTTTTCTCCATTTTTGGCATTTATAATAACGCTGAAAATAGAGGGAAGAAAATTATCCTTTCACAGGGCCAGTGACTGTCACAACCTCCAGACTGTGCCTGTTTTCTTCAAAGTGCTTTGGTTAGTTTTTAACTTGAATTTCTTAAATTCTCTACAGCAAACTTATGGCTCTGCATGTATCTTTGAACCCCTTAATTTGGATATCTCACAGCCAGTGCCGGCCTGTTAAAATCACTGCACTTGTTTCAGGTGATGTTGTCCCTCCTTGTAAAAGTTGTTAAAATTAAGATTAAAAATTCACAGACATTGTGGAATATCAAACAGCTCAAATATCGTTTAAAGCTAAAAATAATCATCTACCAATAAATATACAGAAATGATTCAGTATGTGTGAGGGAAGTTATCATTTAAGTGGAAAAATTAACTTTAATCAAACTTTAATTCGGACAAAGAGGAAGGGTTTTTGTGCTTCAGGGTTTCCAGCAAAGTTCAAACATGTTTACACAGTTTAAAATGAGGTACAAAGACATTATTTTTAAGGGGTACAGGGGTAAGGAAGGTGTTGGGTAGCACCAAGTGTTATGAGGTTATTATTTATTTTTTTGTTCCTTAATTGTTTTATTTTGTTTTGTTGTTGTTATGTGTGTGCTGTATTAAGTAGATGTAGATTTTGTTTTGTAATACAAAGTCATGAACGTGCTTTATTTATCTACAAGTAAGTTTTTTAAGTCTTTATACTTATGACAATGTGATGCTGATGTGTAAATCTGACGATTTACTGTATCTGCAGAGTTTGGGTGGCTATAGGTATTGTGTGTGTTTGGGATATAAATGGAGTGTTTATAAGTTTTTTAAACATAGATTTTCATTTTAGCGTCACTTGAAATAAATTGCAATTGAAAGTTGGAGCTTGTGTTTGTTTTTATTTTAAGAAAAAAGCTGCTGATGTTAACTCCCTTATCTTTTTGATTATTTGTGCTTTTGGTTTCTTCATTATTATTATTATTATTATTATTACTAACTGAGAAGTACTATGAATGTACTAAAGGGATAAAGTGATTTTACTCCAGAATTGAGTTAGCAATAATTTATTTAAAGCCTCTGTCTGGAGTTTGGCACCCCCTTGTGGACAAACTTATACCTCTATATCCTTATAGTAGGCCATGTGGCTTGTGTGTCCACATGGCTCACAGGATAAGAACATTGACTGGGACTCCTGAGGTTCAAACCTTATTCAGGATGAATTTTAAAGTCCAGGAGCAAAAATACCAAGATAAAAGCACGCAGAGCTCATCCCCAACTGTGGATGGTCTCCGGTGGCGCAGTGTGGTAGACATCTAACGCCTTAATGTGAGCCATGTGTTCTGGTTGAAGACCGGCTCCTGGTTCGAAACCCGCTCAGCCCAGGGGTGTGGGGTTACCCCCCGGTGTTTCCAGAGAGATAAAATAGGGGGGTTATGCTACAGGAAGTCAGAGCAGGCTGAACTTTAGAGTAAGGATGGGGAGAAGGGTTGCTGGGGGGATTATAGGGGGGGCGGCGGACAGCCAGCCGGCTGAGCAGAGGGCGTCCTACAATAAGTAATAATGGCGGACCGGGAAAGAGTCCAATACGGACCCGAGCCTACCGCAGAAAAATGTATGTTTTTTTTTTCTCTCATGTAGGCCTGCACGATATAAGTGTCTGCGATAGTCACACCGCAGAGCCTGCGATGTCGGAGGTGAATAAACTCAGTTAATTTCAAGGGTAGCTGACTGAGGTACACTGCATGTGACTCTGCATGTGCTTTGCAGCGATCCACTAATCACCTTTGTCCTTTACTCAGTTGCCAATCAGACTCAGTTCTCAGTTGCCAATCATACTACCATGCCAGCTGTCAATCAAAATCAGAGAGGAGGAAACCCACCCCTGCACATGTTCTGCACATGGAGTGAGACGCGTGTCCGCTGAGAATTACTTTCGGAACTTCACTGACTGTTAAGCCCAACAAATAAGAACTGTATGGGTTTTAAAATGTATATTTCCGTGGACCACTCTACTATAAGCGGTGCGCGTTTTGCGAGGTGCATGCAATTCTCGGAGGACATGCGTTTCTCGGCACAACACCGCTAACAACAACAACATTGCAAAATGAGCAACGAACAAGAGAAAACCACCGAAAGTTAAGATTTGTTGCCAAAAAGAAAAGGAAAGTCAGTTATCTGGAATTATTTCGGTTAAAAGAAGGATGATGTCGACCAAAACACGTGTTCTGTGTTCATTTGTCGCCACAATAACATCCCAGCACAATAAAAGCTAAAAATATCTCTGAGACAGACAGAAGCCATTCTAATATTCACAAAAAGAGGTGAGATCAGTGCAGGGTAACTGTCATCAAGATTTCAGCAGTGCAGTATAACATTAATTGCTATTCAGGTCATCTGGTGAAAATTCCTATATTTCTTATATCGCAATATATATCGCAGGATTGAAAAAAAAAAAGCAATGTTGTTTTTTTCCAATATCGTGCAGCCTTACTCTCTTGCTTTGTGCCTGGTTCAGTAAACTACACGTGCAATTTCAGCAAGGCATTACATCACTTGCTTACTCGCTTGACTTGTCAATCAAATCAGACCTCTTAGCCTACTCCACACGAAGATTACCGAGCAATCCCGATGTTGAAAACTGTCAGGCGGCAGACTGAGGAGAAAGTTGTTGCAGCAGCTGAACATGTCGGCTTCAAAACCACGAAAAGTAGAGAATGAGAACAGGGTGTTTTATGGCGAGTGGACCGAGTCATTTGCATTCATTTTACCCGCAGGAAGCACACAGTCAATTGAAAGTAGGCAGTTATTGGCAATACAAATTAAGTGAATATTTCAAAAGAGTAATGCACTGTAAAAAAATAAATAAATAAAAATCCCTGGACCCAGGCCTGCAGGCATTTCATTCAGGTGGACCCACTGAAAATTTATATGAAGACCCCTGCTCTAGACCTTCAAAATTCACCAAGAAGTGGGCAAGGTAGGACTCGAACCTATGACCTCAGGAGTCCCAGTCAGTGTACTTATCCCCTGAGCCACTTGGACACACAGGATTATACCACTTGTTTCCTCTTTCACTTTCCTGTCTAGACACAAGACTTCAAAATTCACCTTGTCCCGAACAAGGCTCAAACACACCACCTCAGGAGTACCAGTCAGTCTCCTTATCCTCTGAGCCATGTGGACACACAAGAGAATTGTGTTCTTTTTTCACATATCGCTGCCCTTTGTGGACCCGAGACTTTAAAATTCTCCTAGAACTGGACAGGGTAAGACTTGAACCCACAATCTCAGGAGTACCAGTGAGTCTCCTTATCCCCTGAGCCATGTGGACACAGAAGACCATCATGTTTTTTTTAATATATCACTGTACTTTGTGGACACTAAATTTGAAAATTCACTTAGAACTGGACAAGGTTGGACTCGAACCTATGACCTCAGGAATCCCAGTCAGTGTTCTTATCCTCTGAGCCACTTGGACACACAGGATTATACCATTTGTTTCCTCTTTCAATTTCCTGTCTAGACACCAGACTTCAAAATTCACCTTGTCCTGAAAAAGGCTCGAACACACCGCCTCATAGTAGGGTCTGTTAACTTGAAAAAATGGCCAAATTGTTATGCGGTGGATAAAAGCACCAAATTTGGTACACACATTCTTTAGGGTGTATCTCATCATCTCAGAAGGGGTGCCCAAAAATGCATGAGTGAAAATGGCTCAAATGGAGGTCGTATATCTGACCCAGTACAAAAGTCTGCTGCTCTGAAACCACATCTGAGTCCAAAAACAAAGACAAAGAATAACTTCATACTGCAAAACCAAGTGTGACGCCTGTCAGGAAACCTTATAAATCACAGCATGAAGATGGCGGGGGGTTATTATTATATGCCATAATAAGGTGTTGGTGTCTCTGCAGGTGTAGGTTACTGCCGGTGTCAGAGACATGGTGCTCGTCTGAGCTCGACTCCCTCTGGATCACAAATGTTGATCATCATCAGTTTGATTGTTTCTTCAGAAACCACAAAATCTCTCTGAATGACCCGCTGATACATCCACAGATAACCCTGCAGATGACCAGCTTCAGTCATTTCCCCCTCCACAAAAGCAGCTTTATGACTTTATTTACTTTATGACTTTATGAAAAAAAAAAAAACCTCAATCTTGTCCTGATCCTCTGCCGTATTTTTGTCAGCTTTCTTATTTCTAATGTTTTTGATAGTTGAAGCAGAGCGGATCAGTTCGTCTCTAAATCTATAATGTTTGGTTTACAGATTTTAGTGAGTTCAGAGATCATGCTCTCATACAGCCTGAGCTGACTGTCTGCTGTTTTTGGATTTCTTGTATTTTCTTTGAAGACGCGCTGTGTCTCCAAGCGAGTCCAGCCTCTCACCTGAAATGCGCAGCTGTGCAGCGGCACGCAAAGCATTCTGGGATACCGACGGCACAAAAGCGTGCATAAATGCTTGAAAAAATGCTAAGCACGCTTAGCATCTCGTGCCAAATGGGACACCGTTCGCACCGTTGTGACGTCATGCACGCTTCAAATGCACCGTTCGACGGTGCAGAAGTGCACTTGGCTCGATGCGGTCTCTGAAATGAGACACAGCCACAGCCATAGTACCATTCAGCTTTTTGAACTCATCAAATTATAATATCCGACAATCCGAGGAACACCTGAATGCAGCAGAGGGCAGGTGAACCGGTAACCGTTAAACTGGTAACCGTTGAACTCTTGTCGTGCCTTCTGATTGGTTAGTTTAAACGTTAATTAAAAAACCCCGCCCACTCTCCGAATTCGGACATTAGTGTCGAGCGGACGTTAGTGCTAAAGTATCGAAACTCCTCGGTAAAGAAGTGACTTTCTTTAACGTTAAAGGTGACAGTAATGCTACAAAAACGAAAATGAGGCTGAGGCAGTGTTAATGGAGACATTTTCTTGGACTGTCGTTGACTTTTGGAGGATTCTAAAGCGAACGCGGGGAGATGCTAATGCTAACGCGGCGATGGACTACGGAGGCTCGCGAGGACGATTTTACCGAGGAGGCATCAAAACTGTAAGTCTGTTTTAATCTCTAAAAGGCTGTTTTTGTAATCTATGTAAATCCTTTTAATCTCTAAAAGGCTGTTTTTGTGATTTTTGTTAGTTTGGCTAATATTGACTAAACTGTCAGGTAGCAGCTTTGATTAAAAGCTTTAATATTTTCACATTTAACATGCAGTATTGGTTGAAGTTTGCTTTAAGTCCCTAGAACAGGGCTCTCTGTGTTAGCTGGTGTTACTGAGTTTTGTTTCACAATGGGTACATGTTGTTGTCTGTTTCTGTAGAACTGGCTGTATCTATTTTATATCCTGTCACTTCCCTTTTTATAGACCAAGTACTAGTTTGCCTTGCATAGCTGAATGATGAAAAAGAAAGAACAGCTAGCCTGAGTTTTGCATGTTTATACAATAGTTAGTAGTACTGTTTTTGATGAGCTAAACCAAACTGAGGCTGCATGTTTGTTGTACAGATGAGAGAGCAAGAAACCCTCATTAACAAGTCAAATAAGCTTTTTTTTTGTATTAAGTGCTCATGTTTAGACTCTTGTAGAGTGACCATAAGTGTTTTTGTTGCCAAAGGTAGGAGAGCAGTATTTGGTTTTTGTTGAACTGAAGATTTTTGAAAGTATGGGCTTCTTTTTATTCCTATCAAATAATTGCTGTAATTCACAAAGGTTTATTCCATTTTGAGCTTCATGGTCATGGTTCCAGAATATCAATCTTTACATCCTTAGCCTGCTGTTTCTGTGGTCTTTGTGCGAAATCTGCATCTCAGGGATGACTGTGGCTCTCTATTGTTCTATATCATTGACAAACAATGCAGTGAAAAAGTTAACACAATGTCAGAGGATGTTTTTTTTTCATACAAAGGTTTCTTTTTTCCGTTACTGTAACACCCATCATTATAACAACCACTTCATCTACACACACGCACACACACACACACACACAATCTTACAAACACATGCTTCCACATCAAGGTGTTGACAAGCCACTAAAACAGGCCTGCTCATTTTATGTTGAATATGTGGCAGTGCTGGAGTTGATAAGATAAAATCTCAGGTGTCAGTGAAAAAGAAAAGATGAAAAAGGGAAAAAAAACAACACATGCTCTGGCTGAGAAGAGGTACACCTGCTAAAGTAATGGTCTAATTATGGAGTAGGTGATGAAACACTCATCGGGAGTCTGGAGATATCAGCAACACATGCTAACTGTGAAAGCCATCAGCTATTACAGTGTTTTAATGTGCGCCACATCGCACGCTGAGGGTTGTGTGCTAAGATGAATGATGGCTGTGGCAGGTTTCTGTGGGGGAGCAGCCCGAGAAGGATGCATAGCATTACAGCTGGCATTTTGAAAAGGTTCATTAAAACTGTGATTCCTTTGTTCACGCTTTGTTTCATGTATACTTTATGACACATCTCAGTTCAAGTCGACCCCATAAACCTCAGATCATCTTATCATGTGCAAAATATCACATCCTGGTGTGTCTTCTTAACAATATTGTGTTAGTGATGGGTAATCAGCGGATGACAGAAGAGCCCCCGAACCAAAATTATACCTCCGTGAGCGACTTTGCACCCAAATGATAAAAAACAGCAAAGGTTTTCTTTTCATGTGTAAAGGTCATTCCCTGTGTTTTGTAATTTGCTGACACTAGTCTGGGGACTGAAGATGGAGATTTCTGTGTTGCCACCCCGAGAGTAATAATATCCCTATCTCAACTTGGGAAATCTACTGTGCCCCAATGTCCCCGTCACCCGTGTGAACCCATTATGGGCTGTGTAGAAATCTGCAGGTCTCATTTCATATATGACCTCACCCTCCCCGCCCTCCCCTCCTCTCCTTTCTGTCCCCGTGTCTCCTGAATAGCTTATAATAACAAGCTTTAAGAAGCCTACCCTTAGTGCCCCCATAGGATACAGCCTTGCAAGGCTCTATAATATCATGCTTTTTTCCTAATTAAAGGTCAGTTTGGTGCAGTCTCATAGTTGCCTTGGCTGAAAAATCTCCTGAAGCATGATAGCTTTGCCAAATGTGATTTAATTTTCCATTTATGCCATCTGTTTTCTTGGCTAAGGCACTGAATTGCACAAGTTGAAAATGTTGGAACTGTCGGATTCATTTTGTAATTCTTCATATTTGGAGTTTATAATGAATCACATCCAGAAAAAGAAGAAGAAGTTTTCTCGCAGCTTCGACCTCCCAAGATCAAGCAGCTGGTTTTTATCTGACCTGTATGTGGCACTTTGGATAGTTTTGTCCGTACTTTGCATCTGGAGATGGTTGGTGTAGCTGAAGTAATTGCTGTGGTTGTATTCTACGTACACTCATCTCTTACAGCTTATACTTTATTGCTTAACTTATCATTAAACACACACCCCATACACCCACATGCATGTGTGCATGCACAGAGCGCACCCGTACACATGCATGCATGCATACACACATATACTTTCCTCCGTCTGGTGGGGAGTCTGGACTGCTCCGTCTGACTGCGCCTCACTGCCCTTGTGCAGTGGTGTGCCAGTTGTGCCTTCCCCCATCGCTGTGAATGCCACCATCTGGTGTGCCACGTGGACATCATAATCTCCCCTTAATTACATTAGCAGTGCAATCAGTTACTGCATTACAAGGCCGGGCGAAGAGCTTTTAAATCTTGGAGGAAATCATAAATAATTGCACTAAGTACCCAGCGCCAGATGTGCGTGCCAACTTGGCTGGCATGAGATAAATAGTAACCTCAACAACGGTGTTCAATATCCACTCTGCAAACATTTTTGGGCAGTATGATCCCCTTGTCTTTTACTCTTGTCCCCGTCCTCATCCTTTACCCTCCACTTTCTTTTACTTTGTGTGTTAAAGCACACAGAGGTCGGGGTCTGTTGACCGCACAGTCGGCTACCTGTTGCTACTGTGTGTCTGTGCTGCAGGGTGACTGATGGCCTCCGAGAGACGGTTTGTAACGAGGTGCTCCACGGCGTCACCACCATTCAGTCCATTACTACAGCCTTCAATCATGCCTCAATTGTGTAATTAGATGTTTCTCGGGTACCTGGTGTTTGAAATTGAAATTTCCTGATGAATTCTGAATAGTTGTGTTTAGGTGTGTGTGTGTCTGTGTGTGTGTGTGCAGACGGACATGACATTACACATTATGAGCCTCCTCAGAGGGGATGTTGCATTGTGTGGCATGGTACTTTTCACTCATCTTCCTGTCATGTTCTTAGTTCCCAGGGCCGCTTGTACTGACACACATCTCCGTCAGTTCAGCACTCGCTCAGAGCATTTCCTCTTAACCCACCAGCTACACAGAAACTCTATCTGTTACCAACACGCTGCTGCTGCTGCGGCCGTTGGAGTTATGAAAAAGCTCCGATTTTGAACGGGAGGCATTCATAGACACACCGAACCTCATCATAGCAGCAGGAGCACAGGTGTAACTAATAACACTAATGAGCAGGCAGCTATGCACAATACCACAGCCTGGGTCTTGAAAACTAAATTGTTTGAAGCCGTCATTAACTATATGAGACACACCTGGGCTTTTTCTGCTCCAGCATGTCACGAATGAAGTCCTCAAAATTCTGTCCTGTAATGTTTATAATAGGAGGACAATGTTTTGTTGTAGTTTAGAGGACAGTTTGTGTTTTTAGTGTTTGAATGTGATGTTTTCCCACCTGAGAGCTGGCTGATTTACAGAAATCTTCAGGGGCGGTCCAGTTATCCCAGGCAATAACACCTCACCAAAGTTGAAATGTGATGCCAGAAACACAAAAACATAGATATCTTATGTAAAAAGTCGTGTTTTCTCATAAAGCACATGTTAACCAAATGAACAGAGGCTTGAATAGTCGTGTTTTCGCTCTATTTTGATACGTGTTTTCAGCTTCTTCCATTGTAATTGATGCACAGAACTCACCTGTGAATTCTTGTTGTGTCTTTTGTGTTTTTCTAATGGTGATATTTATATTGGCAGTGAGCAATGTTTAACCAGCCCAAAGGACGGTGTGGGTTGGAAAGTTTTCAGACCCTTTAGTTCAGAAAATAGAGCGACCAAAGTCAGGCCTTTCCATCAGGGGCTAATGGTTGCTTCACAGTAAAGCTGGGAATATCTCAGTCCATGTTTAGTCAACGGATGTTGAATGAAGCTGGTTGTGTTTAACACAGTTGTAATAATAATATACTATAGCAGTCAGTCATTATTCAAAATTATGTTAAATAAGAAATCTGTTAATCTATTCTTTATTTTAATAATTTAACTTTTCATGCATGTTCACTCATGTTCCAAATATTCTATATATTGATAAGAAAATAGGATCGATTTGGGTCAATGGAAAAAAATTGCTTATTTAGACATTTGAAAATAAGTCCCTTTAATATGCAATGAAACAGATCCAGGCTCTATATTGTACGTCTATTAAAAAGTCTGAACTCTAACTGTGTGTTTCATGTCACAGATGGTCTGATATATTTGCAGAGATGATTAGATCCATACGTGTTAATTAAAGGTATTTAATAGTATCTCTATAATTACTCGTACTGTTAATTGTTCCTGCGTTTGATAGGTTAATATGAGTACAGTGGAGTTTCTTATAACTGAAGTAAACGGTTCAGCTTTATGCATTTGGATGTAAATGGTTTTCCATCTTCATGCTCTCAGGAGGGACCGAGGAGGTAAAAGACACACCTCCAGATTTATCCCCCTCACTGTTTAAATAAGATATAAAATCACAAAAAGGCACGTTGACAATCCATCTCCCGGTCGCAGGTATTGATATTAACATGTACAATGCCCATTTCAATTTGATCACAATCTGGCCTTCAAAGTGCTTTTTAAATGAACGGGTGTCTTTCCAACTAAACAATGTGCGGATAGAAACACGGCAGAGTGAAGAAAGAGAATTACAGATATTGACTAAATACGTCTTATCATTTATCATAATTTCTCCATCCACTTTGTCACGGCTTCAGCGTGTAAGGAAGATAGATGATACAAGATGTTGTCCTCTCTTTCATACTTTCCCTGCTCTGGGAAGTGTGTCCAATATGGACTTACTTTACCTCTTTGCAATTCAGTTTGCATGCGTTTGTCACCGCCCTGACAGAGTTTGCATTTCTTGCATGTTTCCTTTTTTACCCGTGCTGCATTAAGGGACATCTGGCGTTTTCACCTTTGACCTGTTTGACGAAGGATGCGAATCATGAGCAGCAATATATCTTACTGATGATAGCAAATACTTAAAGGGCAGCGTGTCAAATCTCTACACGGGTGTTTTAGTCGATTAAGCGATGGCGTTACGTTATTCAGGGAGGTTTTAAAAGGACCACAATGTCAGTGAAGTGTCGTTAAAAAACGAGGCTTCCAAAAAGGTGTGGCGTTTCCTTTCTTACGCTCCAGTGGGCTTTATGCTGAGGTGGTTCACCTCGGCAAGGGCGACCATTAATATCTGAGAAGGAGTATTCCCAGGGCGAGGTGACTGGATGGAGAAGGTCCTGCTCCGAGCAGACACCTACAACATGAAAGTTCAGAAAAGTGCTGAGCCTGAGCACAGCTAGCTACGCAGCCATCTGCTCCCCTGCTAACTAATGCAAAATATCCACAGTGAGTGAATCTCCAAGAGGGATGGGACTCACTGTCTCATTTTCCTTATAATTCAGATACACATGAGGTAAAGACTTTACATGGTGCAGAAAAAAGGGGTGTATTAAATATCATGTGCTTTAATATCCTCATGTAATCTGCAGTCATACTTTTTTTTGCACAGTACCTTTTATTTAATATCCAACTAAACTGATCACATCCTGTGCAATAATACTTTCTATTTCATGTGCAGTGACTCTAATATCATGTGCAGTAACACTCTTCTTTTTTTGCATGAGTACGTTTCATTTTATGCGCAGTACCTCCTTATATCTAATACTTCCACGTCATGCTCATTATACTTTTTTACATTTTCTAATTCTAATACCATGAAGTTATTTGTATATCCTGTACAGAAATTCATCTTTCCATGTTTTGTTCTTATCCAGTGTTTCCCCTAGAATTTTTTTTCAGCAGCGGCGTGTGTGTGTGTATAGAAAATTATATCCATAATAGACGCTCAAATAAATTCTGTTATCCCTGTTACTCCCTTGCCGCTCAAGGAGCTCCTCTGTTACTTTCACGTTACGTTACGATACCCGCGCCACTCGCTATGGACCGTGTATTAGCTTGAGAGTTACCTTTCACATTAATGGAAGAAGGTCTGACCGGATTGGATCCGCTCATTGATGACTCCAAACAAGTCGAATATAACGTTGTGTGTTCTTGTGCTCACACAGAGCGAGTAGAAATTATTAGTGGCATATTGATATGTAAAATTTCAGTGGTGGCGCATGTAATTTCAGTAGTGGCGGTGCGGATGGCAATATAAGATATATGATATTTTAGGATGCTGTATGCGGGTGATATATGCAGGTGCATGTGGCCTAAACTAAACTGCAGTTTATTGTTATGAATGTAATTATAACGGATGGACCTGTGTTTTTATTTCCCTGTTCTGACTGTATTAAAAGCGACTCTTGGCTGAGCTGAGTGTACAAAACCAGAGTCTTGATTCCTGTGTACAACTTAAGCAAAGCTATGTCAGTGATGATGTGTTGTCAGGGAGGTATGGTGTAAGTAACGCTTCATTAATTTTTATCACATTACAAATAATCTAACAACACTATGTATATTTATTCTCTGTAGCACCAGGGCCCAGATGTTTACTTTGTTAGTTTGGTTGCAGGTTTAGAACTTACTGATTTTTCCTTCTGTTGGAGCTGAAAGACCTTTTAAAACGTTGACTATAGTGAAGCATCGACCTGATCAGACATCCTGTTAATAACGTGTTAAATGAAACATTGAAAATATAAGAAATAAGGGAGTAAGAAAGCAGAACAATGTGTTTTAAAATTGTTGTTTGGCAGAAACAAAAGCAGAAAGTTGTTCTGATAGAGTCAGTGATTGTCAGTGACGTGACCCTGTGGTTTCTGGAGCAGGTTTTGAAGCCGATGTTGCCTTTGCTTGACTTCAGGTTTACCCTAAAAGTGGCCGAGTTGTTATGTTGTCCTTTAATACCGGAGCTTACATCTTATCTGAGCAGATTCTCCCTTTTAAAATGAACTAAATCAAACACACTAAGTATCAGCGCTGAAACCACCAAGAGTTATAAGTTTAATAAGATGTGCTGATATGCCCAGGCTCTTATTTCTTCTTCTTCGTACGCTGATTCTTACATCTATTACACACACAGGACTCTGTCACTCAGCCCTCTCCTGGATTTGAATGTGTTGTTTGCCCCGGTGTGGTGATTTAAAGGGAACATTTTATCAGGGCTAGCCAAGCAAGCCTGGTCCACCAGGGAGCCGGGGCATTTTATAAGGGTATAAATAATCAATGACACTGCATCTGTAATGGCCTGTAATGCAGTTTGTTAACTCCTCCACTTCACCCCGCCCCCCCCTCTCCGCCCAGGAAGGCGCGTTTGTTGCTCAGACAATAGAAACGGATTGCTGCGTTTAATTGACAAGGCAGGGGGATCTCTCTTTAGCTGTCTTTCTGTCTCTCTCTGTTACTCTGACTGCACACGACTCCGAGACACTCTCTCTGTTTGTTTTCCATCATTCCAAATGGAGCCGTATGAGGCGGCGGGAGAGGACAAATAGAGGCTGAAGGTCATTAAGTCCACATTAAATGTTAACTTATGCATGCAACGCGGCTTGATTAAGATCATGCGATTTCTTTTGTGTCATTTTAGCTGTTTCTCTCCATGAGCACGTATCTCAAATTAACTTTTATTGATCAGTTACAGGCCAAACCCACAAAAGACTCAAACATTTGCCAAAAAGTTCAGTTTTATGACCTGACACGCCATAAAACTCGTTCACATGTAAACCTCTGGTCACGTCGGGGGCGGGAGGCTGTTTATAATTGGTCAGAGGAAGGACTCAGTCACCGCCGTCACGTCTGAGGATAATATTTCATTTAATTCCTGTGAAAAACAAAACAAAAACAAAATACCAAGTGTGCTCACCCCCTCCTCCCCCTGCTCACACACACACACACAGCCAAACGCGATACATATTTTGAGTCTCACCCCTCCCCCCCGGTCTCACCCGTGAGCCTCTGATTTCCATTATTATTAATATCTGCCTGTTTAATTTTCAGCTCTGTCATAATGTGTCGACCTAAACTACAAGAGACAATCCCTTATTGATTACTTTCCCAGCAGCCCCGGCGCATGCCCCAGCTGATCACGCCTCTCATGCACAGACATCTCATGCATTTCAGATAATAAGCTGCTGCTCCGGAGTTGAAACAAATTGGATGTGCAGTCAGTCACTGTCCAAGTGAATCATGTTGCAGTCTGTCAGTGGACTAGGCTTGGATTATCATCTTACCCAAGCGAGGCAAAGAAAAGAGAGAAAAAACGCCATGAGCACCTGCCATGAAGGCGGGGTGGTATTACTGCGTGTGCGTTAATGCCACGCTGTTGCAGAGTTGTTTATCGGGAGTATTGATCACCCTGCGTGTTGTTAAACATTTTATACACATTTGTTATTTTAAAGTAAAGCCCAAACTAGAAGGAGAGTGACTTTTCCAAAAAAAAACTATGACAGGGGAAGACATAATAAGATCCAAACAAAATCTCTCAGCGTATTTGACGTGTGTATCATTAGTGTAGTGATCTTGATGAAAAGAACTCATCGACAGTCTGCCGTATGAGGATCTATTTTTTGAGTGATTCGATTGAAACGGCGTCGCTCTTTGTCTTTATTTGAACAAAGCGTGACGCTTCAAACAAACATGATTTCCTTCATCTATACTTTGGGCCGGGCGTGAAAACAAAGTACAGGCTTTTAGCATCACGGCAGATGGCTTTTTAGAAAGTTCCCATGAGAAATATTTGACAAGATATGAATGAAGCAAGTCATTAGTCCTCTGAAATCGATGAGTTCTTATCAGGAGCAAACTTTTGTTTACATGACAACCAGAAAGTCTCGACACAAGGAGAAGGATCAGCTGCAGGATTTGTTTATGAACAATATTTTCCAGCCTGTCACACTTTTCTCTATAGCATGACAGCACTGTTGAGCTTACAATAGTAGATGCTAGGAACACCATGCACCGTGCGCCGTGTTATACTATACACAGACAAGGCTTACACTGTGCCAAATGCTACTTCCAGCAGAAAACAATGCTGCCATTGTGTTTCCCTGCTTTGGATCCTTCAACAGGGAGAAAATAAAGCATCCTGTCACCGCGGACTTGGCTCCGTTTCAAATTTAGTGCGCTTTCACGTTAAAAAATCAAAAAGGCAAGATTTTTATTTTTTTCTCCAAGTTGCAACGGAAGACATGATTAATAATACATCAGGATTATAGAGCACAGACTGTGCAGCGCTGACTTTAATAAGTCCATGGAGGGAAAACAAACCCAGACTCTGAAAACAACCACACTCACTGGCTGCAAAACATCTGCATTTAAACACCAATAAATCTACATTTTCCTCCTCTCTGCTAAATAGGATTGTGCTTGATGTTTCACATGTACCTAAATAAAGGCGATGGCCATCTTTTTTTTTGTCCCAGATTTTTCCCAAACTATATGAAATAAAGGTTTGATTTTGGAGCTGCACCTGAGCTTCTGCAGTTTGCAGCAAAAACCCTGAGAAGTAGAATAATTGGCACCCTAGTGTAAGACTCCCTCAGCTTGGTGCCAGCTGTTTAAAATATGGATGATATTGTTTTCATTGCTGGGCTTTTATTGAGTTCTACTTGGTCCATGCAGTATAATCCTCAGACTCTGACCTTTTCTGGCATGTGGGAAAAGTAAATAAACAAGGCACTGATGTATTCCCCGCCTTACCAGAGGAGCTGAGCAGCAGCTTTTCACTTGATCATATTCAGGTGTCTGGAATTCAGAGAGCTGTCTGTGGGCGCCAAAGAAAGAGCTGCAAGATTCCTCTTTCCTTGTGGAGAAGGCTGGATGGGAAATATAGAAATTATTGACAGCTGTAATCAGTGGAAAACATTTGAAATGTATCGGCATATTTCCCACTGCGAGCAAAACCACAGGCTGTTGACCATGAGACGTCTGAGCGTGAACTTTCTTTAAAGATGAAGCTCTTTGTGGAGGTCGCAGTTTGGACACATCAGAATTAAATCCGAGGAAAAGTGTTATTTAGGAACACATTTCTGACACACCGTGGCGAATTAAGCATTCACTGAGCAACAACAAGACAACGCTTCCCAAACAAAGAAGCCGGTTTTGGCACAAGTTGTTGGCGGCATTACATTTCCCTCCAGCCTCAGATATGACACATCCCGCACAGCAGCCATACACTACGTGCATATCACACCAATCCCAGTCTCATTGCATTATTCCACTCATGGCCCTCCATTGTTAACTCTTGCATAAATACATAGATAAGAAAATGATTAAATTTAAGTCAAGTCTTCCTCGTTCTACACTGTCGCCTTAAATCATGCATAAATGTGATAATTACCCACACTGGGGCAAAAGGGCCCATCACTGCCACTTTAAATCCAATAAACGACACGACCTGATCATTATAATTGACCATCTATCAGGGTCATTGAGGAGTCCAATGTTGTTAGCCGCCGCTTATAATTCCTCTTGATCATTGCTAATTACAGAAAGTGGGAGAAACCAATATTCCGGATAGTTAGAGAGCAGCTGCCAACCATTTCAGGGAGGTAGGACGGAGTCAGTCACACGCTTTGTGTTTAAGACGCTGAGATTTAAGGTTTTTAAGACCCTTTATATCAATATGTTGTGTGGTCCTGAATCAAACCAGATGTCATCGTGTTTTTGAGAGTTTTCAGTTTGACTCCTCGGTCCTGACAAACTTAACAATGTTACTATTAAGATGATTAAGAATGTGAAATAACGTAGTTAGGATTGAGCAAAACCATCAACCAAATCTAGTGAGTAAATAAACGAAGCTTCACTTTGACTGATAACTCACTCTGGATTTTGGTTTTTCAGTCTTATTTTTTTAATCTTGGAGTGTGTAAAATTAGAGTGTGTCTTTTAATTAGGGGTGGTACCGAATATTAATACAGAAATACACAGTTAAATTTGACTAATGTGACAAAGTTAATATATTAGGGCTGAATGTTGATATTTAAATACCAGTTAGACTCACTGCGTCACTATTCAGTAACTCCTCATGGTGGCGTAATAACAAGAAGGATTAAATGTACATTAAATGTAAAACAGCTGTATTTTTATTGGTGTTTATGAGCAATTTTGTCTTGGTTTTTGCATAATCTAACCAATCACATTAACTTTATCTGTGGACATGTTGTCATGGTGCGAACGATCGTGTAGTTGGTTGTTGTAGGGCTGGGCGATATGCCCTCAAATTAAGATCATGATATATTGGGCAATTTTTTTGGTATTCAAGTATTGGTATTGAAGTATTTCTGAATAGACGATAACTACTCCACAAGCTGCTCACCCCCTCCCACATTAACTTCATCTACTTCAGTCACCGCTCCAGCTGCTCCAACTTTTGAACCATCCTCCATCTTCTCACCTGTCTTCCCTTGTCTTAAAGGGACATGAGACCATCACATCCAAAACCAACTTTGATTTATTTATTTATCTATTTGACACCAATATGGGCAAATGATGTCGGTTATTGTCGTAAATTTCAGTATCGGTAAATTATCAGTTCGCCCAGCCCTAGTTTGTTGTTCGCGCCTGATATCTCCAATAATAACATTAGAAGCTTCTTTCTGACGATGTGTTGAACTCCTAACTGAAACACAGGTACACACAGGTAACGCCCATAATAGGAAAAGAGCGCCGGATGCAGTGGGACAACAGTGGAAAAAAGATTAGAGATGAGCTCTCAGGAAATAACGGCGCGAGAAAAAAAAATGTCCCTGCTCTTTATGCTGAGACTGGAGGAAAAGTTTAGGGATGATGGCTCCAGATTACAGAGAGTTTGACTCACCTGTGAGGGATAGACTTGATGGTCCACAGAGTCTCATGTGACAATTAAGCGGGTAATGCATTTTTATGTACTCCAAACTAGTGTGTTACTCTAGACTTCTAGTGATGCTTATTCGGCAGAAGTTTAAGAGGAGAAGTTGACTGTAGAAGACCCTGCAGTGGTTATTTACACAGAGGAGAATATCACTGTAACTGTCACAGAGACACTATTTTAATATGTTGATTTTCTGTAGTTCGCTTATTTAATTTGCAGACCAAAAACAGTTACAATATCTAAAAATTCACTCGTCTGCATTGCATAAAACCTATTTTTACCTTTTTAGAGTATTTTGTATGATTATTCCTGTATTTATAATATTACATCCTTTAATCTTGTTTTTTTTCATTTCATACTTTTAAATCTTAAGAAAAACTTGTTAACATGGAGGCAGGTTTAAAGGAGTATGAAATAAGGACTCACCTGTGCTTTAAAAACCCTGACTTGTATTACCGTTTTTTTAGTAGTTTAAATGAGAAAAATGGAGCTACAGATGTATTATATTGTAACCCAGTTAACTCCATGTTATACTTTAAAGCAGGTTAAATAAGAAAGGCTTTGGATCGACTCAGGGGAGATCAGCCGTCTGCTCATGAATTTCATTTGGCCCTGTAATGTTCTGCGGGTATATGAGGCACACTTAGCACTCCATTTTTACACAGATGTCACGTATGCAGACGACCTCTAATCACATTTTAAAAAAGCCCAAATATTCACATACAGTAAACGCATATTGCTACCTTTTTAGCGTTGCACATTTTAAAATTGCATAACCTCTGCCAGCGTCTGCAGCCCGTTTCCCCCCGGTTCTGTTCACTGGGGCAACAAGTCACAGAGAGAGCGCTCAGTTTATTGAAATTTTATGGAAACAGCCGTACCCCCTTTCACCACCACACAATTACGTAAAAGCCATCCAGCCCTTGTGTAACCCTTTTTATAGTAATTCATTTATGACTCCAGTCACAAAGGGGGGGCGCCTGTCCTGCCACAAACACCCTCAAACATGTGTGGATGGCATGAAGATGAAACCCACAATACACACAAGGGCACAGCTCTCATCAAGACATTCCTCTTTTCTTCATAAGCACGCCATAAAATATTTCATTCAGCCTTTTACAATCGACTTGTTTCATTACTAAGTTGTAGGTTTTATTTCCACGGGCAGGAATGACATAAGCAAGGCTCATTTGGGTATTTCAAAATGTTTCCTTGATAGAAAACACGCCGTTACGACGGCTCCATTTGAAAGAGGGGAGACTATTAGAGGACGGACAAACTTCTTCGAGAAGCCGCAAAAGCTGCCAGAGACAGAGAAATAAAAGCAAAATGAAACAAAGAGTGAGTGAGTGAGAGAGTGAGTGAGTGAGGCTGCTGGAGTCTCTCCTGAGATGAGTATGATGATTGCAGCCACATTCCTCTGCAGAGCTAAAACCCTCCGAGGCTTTTGGATCGTGAAAACCTACTTCTCCTCTCTTTATAGTACAACACTTAAGCAGCGCGCCACTTTCCTTTTTTTTCCACGCTGAACATTGCTCACATCGCTGTTCCCTGAAGCTTGAAAGCACAACATTTCTCAGCCAGCAAACTCCCACTGGGACCAAAGCCCAGAGATGGAAAAGCAAAGGATATGTTTTATTGGACAGTTGCAGACAAATAAATCTAAATATGTATTTTGGTCATGTTTGTGTGCCGACTGCGTCCTGAGGGAGTTGAAATGATTATATGACATAAATAACAGTGCTGTAGCATGATATTAGGTCACATGTTTACATACAGGGACCTAAGGTCAGGGGAGAGAATAATTCAAACACTATTTCACTGCTTTTGAAGTGAACACTGTTTGGGTAGTACATACATGGTGCTAGGAGCATTGCTTTGCAGTGTGCATGGACTATTAATGAGAGATGGACCCGTAGAGTCAGGTAAAACACACATAAGTGGATAAAAGTCAGAGGAGCCTGAGAGGCACAAATCAACCTGTCCAGAGAGGGGGTGGGCGCCTGGGCAGGCGGTGGGTCACCCTGAATGAAATGGTTTAGGCTCACTGATCTGCGTGAAGGAAAGTCAATGGGAGGTGTCAATGAGAGGGCAGGCGGGGACTCGAGCAATCACATGTCCTGTGATTGACACGACCTAACCTGGGGGGCCGAGTGGGATGTGGGAGTGGGGTGGCCCCCTAATATGGCCTCAGCTGACACCACCTCATAGGAGCACAGTGAATTATGGGCCGGGAGTGTACTCTAGGTCATGTGATCTAACCTCCTCTGATGTTTAATTTAGCGGTGCAAACATATGCTTTCATTTTAATTACAGGTGATATTTTTTTGTGTAGGTCTTCACAGTAAATCACCAATCACTGCGATCATTACAGCGAGAGCATTAACTGTATTACACAGAAGTCTGAGGTTACCCCCACAGATCAGAGGAATTTATGCACATGCATCGCCTTCTCCTTCAGTGTGTCCACATTGTACCTTCTGAATGGAGGCCTGTGAGTAATGGCCGTACTTCAGAGTCATCTTGATGCAGTTAGATGATATTCAGTATTATCAGCAGGATATCAGTGGTGGAAGTGAGAAGATTGAAGAGTTCATATTTGGTATTAGCAAGAAAATCTGCCCTAAAGTGATGCGTGAATTATTGCTTGTAATTACAACCTTTGTCATGGAGTATGAGTTTGTGTCTGAAACAGATAAAAATAACAACTTATGAGTTTGGAAAGTAACGGTGATGTAAGGAGAAGCAAAATAATCCTCCTCTAATGCTCCTTATTTGATTGAACATCTCCAGAACAGGAAAGAAAACTTCCACTCCAGTCTTTGAGATTATTGGGATTGATAATCATGTGGTCCTCTGTCTGTGATGATGTTCTCCACATCACTATTAGCACTGGTATCAACCAAAGAGTTGGTGTAAATGGAAAAGTCATAGAAAATATCGACATATCAAACATTAGCATAACCCTTTGTTGTACTTTAAATTATTATATTATGGGACATGTTACAAACACAGGTTTCATGTAAAACATTAAAATATAAACCACGAAAAACAGCTGATATGCATTTGTTGATATTCTTTTATTGATCACACTTCATGTTGTTCTTGCAGTTGGGTGAGCAGTATTGATAATATCAACAAATGTCTATTCTATTTTAAATTCCTTTAAAAATAATAATAAAAACACGCGCTTGTGAAAGTTTCAAACTGCAGCACCTTGATATTTTATTAGAGTCCGTTAATGATTTCAATAAAACAACTTTAAAGAGAACAGCTGTAATTTATTAATTTGACCTGATCTGTTCGCTGAAGGACTCTGTTACAGGTTCCTGGGTGGGTTTTTGTTTTGCCGATATCTTACCTGGTTAGTTACGGTTAACCACTGACTTCTCTGTATTTGTATGTGGTGGTTAATTGGTAGATAACGAGGACAGTCGGTTGTCGGGTGTCTTTTCTGACGTAGACTGTGAGCTGGTATCGTTTGAGCCAAGTGGTGTTTGTGTTTTTATCTCCTAGCTCTGTTATTCACATTTTAGCTCAACTTGTAGCATCGCAGTGTTGGATTACTGGTGACTGCACATGCTCAGTTGTGTGTCTCATGAGGCGTGATCAGATCCAGTAAACGAGCGCGGACTCTGGGAGCGTGTTTCAAACAACGATGAAAGTATTGATATTTATTACACCTATTGTTGACGGTTTAATCCCATATTTTCCTTTTATGCAGCTTTAAAGGAAGTTTCTGTTTTATTTTCTTTTGGTCCCTTTAACAGTTATTGTTAGGCTTTATTAATGTTGGCATATTTCGTATTATTAACGATCTACTTCCTTAGACTTTTTGCGTAAATGATAGTAGAAGTCATCTGAGTTACTTCTGCTCAATAGCATCTTAACCAGAGGGGAAAAAATCCAAACGATTATAGTTCTTAATGGCCTTTAAAATTAATGATAAAACACCATAGATAATCTATTAAGGGACTTATTATATGCTGTATAATAAACGCTTAAATGTACCTGTGAACTGGCAGACTTTCAACATAATCTCAGTTTTTAATGAAGCAAATATTGAAATAAAACTCTGACATCTCCTCAGCCTGTTTCCCAAGGATCCTCTAAAAGAACAAAATAAAAACTCACATTTTCTTCAAACTTCCCAAACAGCTCAGTCTTTGAAGAAAAAGCAAACTTGGAAAATAAAAGTGGCAAACTGCACTTCAGAGAAATCCAGCCTCCTTTTTCTATCTGCCACCCGTGACAAGTGAGCCGTGCAGCTTTGCAGAATTATATAGCTGTGTGTCTAATTATTTCTTTTCAAGTCCATACAATAAAAGACTGCAGGCTCTTTTTTCTCCTCCTCCTGGGGTGAGGACAGCAGGAGGAGTGCCCTCCAAAATATTCCCTCTCATGCTTCTGACATGCACATCTGTCTGCACGTCAGCGTAACAACTTTCTCGACATGAAAAAATATGGAGGGTGCAAATGCAGAAAGGGTGCAGTGGTGACACATTTTAGTTTCATTGTGCGAATCCAATCTGAGAGACTTTCTTATTTGTCTTAATTATAAAGTAATGTAATTTCTCTTTCAGAACATTAACATTAAAAAAGTCCTTTTTAGATGTTTTGATGCAGGTGAATTTGTGTGTTTTGGCTGTGGTTTCAGTGTCTCTGTGTCTCCAGTGTTTCCTGCATTGAGAGAAAGCTGTGGGTAAAAGCTCCTGCTGCAGTGTGGTCACAAGGGGGTAGCATTGACACAGTTGTTTAAGCCCTTCAGCCGGCAGCCCAGCAGCAGCAGGACAAACTGCCTTTGATGTAATTGAGGTCTTAGACCTCTTAGAAAAGCATATATTGGTTTGTATGTGGAAATGTTCAAGGAACAATGGATTTCCATAAGTGGATGTAAAATCGTATTTGGAGCATCCCCGGCACGCTAACCGCTCTCTAAACAATAGGAAAAAGGACTCCTCCAGGACGGGATGTGTAATTCTGAGGCACTTACAGGCTGGAAATGTAATGGAATGTAGCATTAGGATTAAATGTGTGACTAAAAGATACAGACTTGACTAGTTTTGGGCCCTTTCCTGGGTGATTCATTCAAATAAATGTGCAGAAATTCCAGCTCCAGCAGCACTATACATCCTAATAGAAGTCAGCACGCAGCATAAAAACACATCTTTTTGTCCCTCTATCAAAGGAAATATTAAAAGTAGATTTCACTGCATTGTGTAGAATTACAGATGTATTTATTTTGTATATGTAATATCATTTATTTATTCAGCCTTGAGGAGGAAAAAAAACACGCTCAGAGGAAGGGCAGGAGATCCAGCATGTTTGGATGAAGCTGTTAATTATCAATCATTCCAGCACAGCCACACAAGTATTCCCCTAACTAAGATTTTCGTCCATCCATCTTATCATCCAAAGTAATACTTAAGAGCAGGAGTCTGGCGGGGACTCATAAATAAAGGTTACCTATTTACATATTCAGTTTATCATGAATATTGCATACTCTGTACATAAAAATTCAAATGCAGTGTTTATGAAATATGATCATGCAGCAAATGTGAGAAGACACAGAGCACAGCCCATTCATACACAGGGGGGATTTAGAGCACTCCTCTGTGATTAATAAAGGATGAGATCCACATTAGACCTGCAGGATTAAGACTTTGGGATTTTCAGCCACTCTGGAATTATATCATATATATAAACTCCCTGATTTTAAGATATATTTACTAAATCTTTGAATATTTTTTACATCAATGTCAATATTCAAACCCTATATATCTACATGTAACTTAAAAGTAGGAGAATTAAATAACAACTGTAAAATAACTATGGTCACTTATTTTAAACCTTCAATTTATATTTTTCAGGCAGCAAATCTACACAGTATTGGTGTTTAAATCTGGAAAAGTTAGTGCATGATTGGGGTGTATTGACTGCTCAGCTTTGTTTGATGCTGATGAACCCAAATTAAGCACGCATTAGAGCTCCAATTTCATTATCACAGTAACATTTGCAGTAAAACAGATGGCCAAATTCTACTTTTTTAGCAATGCGATGAATAAGAAGTACATTAGATATAAATAAGCAGGGCTTTTTTCATTTTACGCCAGTCCTAGTTTAACTGCCATACTCTTGGATGATGTGAATGTAATGTGGTGAAGTTAAAGCATCGACCCTCTGTTTATTCTGTGACCATTTAGTAGAGATGCTCCGATCCAATCCGATACGATACCTGGGCTGAGGGTATCGGCCGATATCTGATACCGATTCAATACTACTGTTGGATGAATGAACTGTGACATTGCACTGTGAGTGAAGGGGTTAGACTTGACAAAAAAAGGTGACAAATTAACACAGATATAAATTTATTTATCAACAAATAACAAATTGCACATAAGCATAAAGCAAAAGGAAGTCAGACTCCCATGTATTAAAAGAAAAACTAATTATTCATCAGATATCCGATCCAGTTAATTTGTCAATATCGGAGCCAATATCCGATCCAAATATCGGATTGGTGCATCCCTACGATTTAGCGGTTAAAATTGCCCTGTGGATGGAGGACGGACATGTTGCAAACACAGGTTCAGGTTCAGGTTCAGGTTACTTTATTAATACCCGATGGTAGATTTGTTCTGTCGTGAAATAAAGCGACGACGTCCATTTATACAAGTTACAGTACAAATATAAAACAACCACAAGACAGAACACATGATAAAAGCTCCCCAAGGCTCCCCAGTCAGGACACAAGAGAGGGAGAAAAACGCCAATAAAGAAATGCAAATAAATAACCCAAACAAACAACCTCTGGATACAAACTAAGGTAAAAACAAGTTTAAAACCAACATAAATAAGTAAGTAAATAATACCTCTGCAGTATGTGATAATTGTGCAAAATTATGTGCAAAATCTCTACACACAGAAATTAAAGCAGATAAACTTAAAATCACGTCCACTCTGTAGTTGTTTATTTATCCCTCTCTAATGTCCATGGCACATCTTCACAGAACATGTAGTCCTGGACTAGTGCATGCATGTTTGGCATGATATAAGACGCACGCACCTCCACACAGACACACCTTACATACTAAAAAAAAGAAACGGCTGTTTGGTTTGCACATAAACCAGCTGAGGGGAATAATGGCGTAAAGAAGCAAACAGTGTGCAGCAAGTGTCTCATCTCCCCCTCATGAACTAGTTAACCCGAAAGAATACGATCTACAAATGTGTTTCAGCAAAAGCAAATTACCTGGGTTTTGTGGAGGGGAACTAATCTCTCCAAGCATGACACTGGACAGGAAAGGCCTCTTACTGTTATTATGATGTGTCGGCTTGTGTTAGATGGAGGGCCTTGATGGCCGCATCAGGAAGCAGCGTTGAAGCCCCTCTGCCATGACAGCGCTCTGATGGATGTACAGGTGGTGGAGGGGCAGGGAAGATGGAGGTTAGAAAGCAGGAGATGAGGAGGAGAAGGAGGGTGATATGAGGTGCAGCGGGGGTTATATACTATAGTAAATACCTACAAACGCAGCGCATTAGTAGTAGGTGCAGAGCCCGAGATAGCATTAGCATGCACGATAAAGCTTCCAATTGGACAGGCCATCTCGGAAACAAAATAAAAGCCCTGTGTGGTGAATTTCCAAAGGCTGTTCCTTATGACCTGAGATGATTTGTTCTCTATATGAAACAGACTGATGATAACAGGCAATCTGAAAGTCATTTAGGAAATCAAAATATCTGTACATCAAACTCTGACACATGATGCAGCGCTATAGACTCCTCCGAACAACACTACAGCGAACTGAGAGCAGTGACTTTGGGAGAATTAAACCAAACAGTCAAACTATCTCAGGAACAATAAGCTGTTTTAGTTTGACACTTTAAGAGAGCGGGTTCGAGACAGTCTGTTCCTTTCCTGCAGAAACATGGAGGATAAATTAATAATTCTAAATCTCAGTTTGTTTGACCAGTTATCCTCTGACTAATCCACTGAAATTTATATTTATTAAGCTTCAGAAGTTGGAATATTTTCTCAATCCATGAAGGAAAAAAAATCATCGGTTATTTAAATCCATGTTTGGAGAAAGATATTTCTCTCTGGACAGCGACATACCTGTCTTCTCCTCCCTGATCTGCATTACTACATGTAACCTTGTCGACTCCACGTGTGCATCATTAGTCTGCGTGTGTTTTTGTTACCACAGAAGTAGTTTTGTTAGATTATGCTGGTGTGGATAAGAAACGCTGCAGACACACTTGTTGGTGCATCAGGATGTTTTTCTGCCTCGCACAGTTGGGGGTGTCTCACTCGCTGTATCCACACTAAAATATTAATAGCCGGTTTTTCTCCACGTCAGCAGGTTGTGATTTGATTTCTGGTTCAGAAATGCAGTTTTGGGCGGCGGATCTCCCACTTCCTCCTCACCCTACTCCTCCGGGCTCCCAGGAGGCTCTGGGTCAGTACGGTGTTATGGAGAAAGATGGTGCTCCTCCTTGGCCCGGTAAAGATTGGGGGTGCCGCCTCACAGCGGGACAGGTGTTGCGAGCCGCACACAGGGGAGTATCACCGGGCTGCAGCGAGCGCCTGGCCCACATCCATCTCTGTACCTTTGGAGACAAATGGGAAAATGTGACCCAAACAGTCCAACATCAGAGCCATGGCAGGAGTGAGCTCTAACAATAGGGAGCAGCCAGGGTTCCCCATATCATTACTAAGACACACTCTGCAATTAATTCTCTGCCCAAATGAATGCTGACTGCTTGCAGCACACCTCTCTGTGGCCATAGAAACCGATTAATAATGCAGAATGGGGAGAATAATCCTGATCAGAATCCTGCTGCACTGATATAAAACCGCCTTCATTTCTTGATCAACATTTTTGTCATCTTGCAAACCCGACTTTTTGCAGCCTTTATTGTATAAAATGGTGTGATCTTTCCACTGCCCTTTGTCTTGGAAGAAAAATTAATTCTCATTTGCATTACCACGTCTAAATGTCAGCCACCGATATTTTGTTAGACATTAGTAAAGCTGGCAGCGAGAGGCGCTGGATAATTGCACTCAGCCTAGCAGAGGGATTTACATAATTTCAGATAGCAATTAAAGAATCCTTGGGAATTTTCTTCCTGGCCTCCCTCTCTCTTTCTCTCTCTCTCGCTCTCTCTCTCTCTCCGGCTCACTTCCACGGCGGCACAAAAGAAGCATTCGTTTACATTAAGCTCCATGCTCCTTGCTGTTCATTTGCATGAAATTAAAGGTTTTCATGATCTTGAACAGCGGGGTAACATTTAAAATGCTGTTTTAAAGCCCTCACCTTGGAATAATGAAACGCTTCAATTTTTTTGAGAAGGCAGTGGGAGTTCATTGACTGCCTGTCCACAGCAAAACTTTTCCATTTCCCCTTCACTCACGCTAAATAGTACAATTATACTTCTAATTAATTAAAAATCCTGAAAGTTTTCTTTTGTTTTGGCTTCCCGAGGACTTATTCTTCTATACTCTAACTATGTATATCAGTATTTTACTCACCTGTCAAGCCCTTTATATACATATGTATGTATAAAAAAGGTAATCACTCAGTTTAGTGGTTATTATATTTAAAAATGTGGATTTTTTTGTACAGCTACCTCCTGCAGTATTGACATCATTTGCTTTTATGCCTTCCACTTAATTCTGCATGCCTTGCAAAACAACATGCATGCACACATGACATCATACATCCAGAGAGGCAGTCAGCAACTGAGGATCTGATCATGGCGGACAGGAGACGGAGAAATCCACAGTGAGGCTTAATTTACAGCAGAATGATGCTAACAGTGCAACATGTTATTACGACATGTTATGAAGCTGCAGAGAAGACTGAAGGCTGGTGGTGGTACTGGCTCTGCTAGGGTTAGCCTCTTAGTAAACAAATTCAATGTCTTCATGAACATTTTTGTGAAACTAGTCCTGCCTCCAGTCTGTCTGGATAAGATAAGATAAAATATACCTTTATTAGTCCCACAGGGTGAAATTCCAAGATTACAGCAGCATAAATACAAATACAAAAGAGAATTAAAGGATAATATAACTGTGAATATTTTCTGTAAAAACAGTTAAAGTAATCGTGCTGTAAATCTGGGTGTGACTGTACAGACTGGCAGTGATTCAGATGAGCAGAAATGTAAACAGACAGCAGCATGAAGAGGAAAAGAGACACTCTTTAAAATTATAATTATAATGACCGCTGTAACTGCAGATGTTCAAAACATCATTTAGTTTGTTTTAAACTGAGCTGCCATCTTTGTTGTTTACAGATAAACCCATGTGTCATCATATTTTCACTCGTTGAAACCCCGCCCCCTTTTGAGATGAAAAGGGGCGGGGTGGAGTAATATCAGTCCACCTGCCATAAACAGGAGTATGAGCTTTCTAACATCAGGCCTCTACCTCTCACTTTTTACCAGACTGGTCTTCAACATGGATAATTAGTTTATTTTAATTAATTAGGGATGCACAACATTAGATTTTGGACTCGATCAAAACATATATCACTCCATTTTCTTCAGTCTCCTTGGAAATGCAGAGAATTCAGTGATTTTCTTCTTAAGCTCCTTTTTCTTTTGATGGTCGCCGCTTTATTTCATATAGATTATAAATATGATATTTAATTTTACATTTTAGTGCATTAGTGTAAAGACTGTCTTTTCCCTCCCCTTCTCAACACCTGTGCGATTTCTCCATCTGTTTCCAACTCATTTAAAATTCTGTAATGCTGATATTGTGTTGGTAAAGTTGTGCATCTGTAGTTCTTTTCTGATGAAAAATATCTCACCCTGCTTCAGTCAGATATATCAATAACTGTCGATACGTGCTGTAAAAACAGTTAAAATAATCTGTCTGGTTTGCCACCTCAGTGATTAGGATTGTAACTAAAGATATTACAGTTTTAGACTTTTTCTGTAGTCATTGCCTTGTTTGTTTTTTAGATTCACTGTTAATTCTGTCTGTTTTAAAGCCAGTAAAAATCCCTCACAGGAGCTTTAAGTGCAAAACCAGTAAAGCCATGTCATAAAAAATCACGTAATATTAATTGATTATGAAGCGGTGCAGAGATACATAATTTCTCTATGATTTTGGTAAACTAAAAGTTATTATCATAACCATCTATCAGCATAAAAAGGGAAAATAATACAGGCGATTGTATTTTGCTTGATGTGATGATAATTTTCATTTGGATAATTGTTGGATTGATCCTTTTAGTTCTGCTGTACAATACTGTAGAGAAAGACTTTCTTTAATATGTCATAAATACATATTCTGATATCTGCTTCCTGCCAGTATGAAATGATGTGGGGACCAGAGCTGCAGAGATAAACCTCTCACATACATATCTTTAATTAGGTCCCTGTGGGTCCCGGTGTTATCTGCCATGCTGATTAGACCCAACATTAACTTGCTTTAGCCCTCAGTCTGTTATCATACGTCTGTGTGTGCGGTGACAAGAGCGCTAAAATCGAGCCGGACATCTTTTTTTTCCTGTGCGCGTTTCTATTTCTTTGAGCTGGAAAAGCACACAGCTTTAAATCCCTCACGCTTTTCTCCGTGTGGCCCGGATGACACATTTGATGCGGGTACGGATCATCAGGATTAGTTAAACCAGAGCCGTCCTTCGGGAGGTCCGCGGCGGCTAAGAAGTCCAGAATATGACTGTACTTAACATTATTGTGAGTTTGCAGCTCTCACTTTGCCGTTTAATCAGACAACTCCGCAGTGCCAGCTCTATGATCTAAAAAAGCAGTCGTGATGAATAGCAGCTCTTTGTTAAGACAATAAAAGCTTTGTCACAGAGCTCCGAAATAAACACAAAGCCTCATCTGAACAATACCCTTCACACTTCTTCCTTGATTCCCCCTCCGTCCTTAAAGGCATCACAGAACATTTTCACACTAGTCGTCCTGCCGCTGTGAAATAAATTGTGACAGTAACTCAATATGAAGTGAAATAGCTGAGAAAGCCTTGAGTTCACTTGCGCTGACAGTGCTGTTTAATTCCATCTTGTGCCAGCCTGACATTTCTGCTGCCACTAAATATTAAACATGTGTACCCGTTTCATTTGCATCTGGTAATGAGGTGGGAGACAGCGCCCAACTGGTCAAGCTTCTCCCTTCTCTCTCCTGCGCTCGTACCTCCAACACTGCCTCATGGACAAGGGTAAACCAAGAGAAATATTTAGAGTGGAGCTGAGACAGAAAAGGAATAGGAAAAAAAGACGAGGGGAGGGGGAGGGGGACGTGAAGGATAGAGCACCCTTGTGTGTGTGTGTGTGTGTGTCAGTGCGTGTTTGTGTGTGTGCTCTCCAGAATTCAGAAACCGGTCTGAAATGACCCCGGCTCTCAGGCAGCGTCTGCTTTGGCTGACATTTCTCCCTGAATCTTTTAAGATGCATCCCTTGCTGCAAAATGCATTAGTGGAGAGAGGAGAAACAGAGGCACAAGAGGAGAGGGTTAAATGTGATTGCTCTAAATGTCATCACATCTTCATAATGCAATATATATTCATGATCCGGCAGTCCAGGAGGGCAGACATCACAGTTGTGTTCTGTAATTCAAATGTTTTATCCCAATTTTGATTCACCGTACAATTCTGGGAGGACGGTTTGAACCGAGGTGTGCATCCGTTTCTTTTTTTCAGGTGTTATTTATGTGGATGCAGCTGTGGCGTCTGAGGTGAACGCCGCGTGATGTGGTGTTATTGGAAACGCTCAGAGATGCACACAGAACAGGAATGCTAGGTTAGCTGTTAGCCGTGTATCATCTGTTTACGCTTCAAAACGAACAGAGGAAAACATGCAAACAGTGAACTTAAGGAGGTCATAGATGATTTTTAGATATTAACAAGAGGTCGCTTTTGAGGATACAAAGATGAAAAGGAATTGCACAAGGGTGAGAATACAATAATGCTTTGAAATAACATCATGACCGTGTTTTCTGAAGTGATCTGTATCGGCCTTTTATTTCACAGATGGCCAATAAAATTACTCAATCAGAAGTCTGCGACTCTGCTGCCCGTTGTCTTTCTCCTGGATCTATTTTATTGCATCACTTTTTGTCACCTAATGTCCCGCCCACAACACTATCTGACCGGCTATTTATCCGATTTTTCATGTTTTCATCATCTACAAATGAATCACTGCTCAGAAGACGAGCTGTGGACTGACCTGCTGAGGGGGTGGGAAATCTGAAGTACAGAGCAAACTTCACAAAGTAAATCTCTTAGGTCACTTTGAAATGGTTTAACTTTGTTTGATCTCAGTATTTACTCTGGTGTTTTCACTTAGAGAAGTAGTAACTATTTATATCTTACTGTTAAGAAAACATGAGCAAATATAAAAATTTTACTAACGATAGTTTTCTCTCTTTTTTGAGTGATGCACAATATTGTCACTTAATGTTATTGTCAAAATCCCCCCAAAACATAAGGATATTATTATTTGTCAATATCACACATTATGCCATCTGTGCTTGTTTACATCTGGATTGTAGATCATAATGGCATTATGGCATTTGCTGATAACTAGCAACTCTGAAGTTTAATTGATTTAGATGACTCACAGAGATCTCTGCTGGTTGGTTATAGTAATGATAATAACTGTAACAACAAACAGTATCTGCAATACCAACAAAGAACTGAATGTAACGGTATTAACACTGAAAAACCTTTTAGGCTGGAACTTTACAGAATCATAAACTATCCCAGTATCAAGTAAACTATGAATTGACCAGACAGTGATACTGGACCGTTTTCCAACCAATGTTTGAAATCACAAACCAAAACAATAGATGGAAAAAGACGGACAATTTCACAGCTATCTACTATCCATTCAAAAGCACAATAGGATATGCTTTTTAGGGCAGTCAAGATTATTACAATATTCGCCAATCACAATTATTTTTCATATTCATGATCACCGTCAATTATTCATTTTATCCACAAAGTTGCATAAAATAATCCGAGTCTGACGTCATCATGTTGCGCCAGCAGTCACAGCATGCACTGTCACCATCGCAGCTACACGTTGTTTACCTCTGTGTTTCGGATTTAAGCTGAACGATGACGGAGAGCCCGGTAACGTGGAGGAAGAGATATATAAACTTTGCCATAAAAACATACCGGTCAAGAGCGCTAACACGACAAATCTGAAACAACAACAACATCTTGAAGGTACTTTACAACATGTCTTTGACTAAAGAAGTTAAAGAAACCTTTTGTCTGTCAGTATTTTCTAACAGTTTTAGCCCAACAGGCAGAAATAATGTGAGTTTGCCTCAGTGCCTGCCCTGATGCAGCAGATTGTTTATAATAAATCCTCTTAAGAAGTGGAGAAGTTAGTTAATGTCTTTGCCTATCTCCTGATGTTCAAAAAGTTATTAAATATTCATTTAGGTGTACAGTACAGAATAGTCAGTGTATATGTGTTATTATTAAATCTTATTACACTATGATAGTAAAATATAAAGAAGGGAAAAAATGGACAATAGTATCGTCAATCGCAATTATTTGTCTGACAAATAATCGTCTCCAGAAATTCCTAATCGTGACAGCCCGAATGCTGTTATCCTATTGTGGAATATAAACGAAGAGCTGAGATATACGCATAAGGCGGGAAACAGATCCACGACCACATTGTCTTTGCATGTTAGTCATAAATCTGATGTTGTGTGATTCTGGTTTGATCAACATGTTAACACGTATTTTAAAGTCTAGTTCCAGTCAGTCAGTCTGTATTTTAACATGATTTAAACACAGAGACTAAAAAGACTTTAAATAACTATCAGTCATTACTCCATCATCGGACACTCTGCCTGCTCTAAAGTAAACACATTTACCTTTTTACTGTTGATATCTCCTTCTCATAATTGGCTGATTTCATGGCGCTGATGCTTGATTCTGATTCTTCATTGTACCAGTCCTGTGTTTACAACAGAGGCGGCAGGTCCTCTGATGTTGTAGAATAAAAGCCGAATATTCCCTTTCCTCTGTCAGCCTCTCCTGACAGTGTACAGCCACTTTGAAAAGAAATCAACATCAGTGTAAAGGAAACTTTTACACATTCACATTATTACTCGTGTGTGACTTCTTTATTTTATGTTTTTTTTATTTAGTTTGAAAGGAGATGTACTTCTGTCATTGGCCTGTTTGGCATCCCCACTCTACAACAGTTAAAGTTTAGAGACACCCTGCCTCTCTGTGGGGGCTTGTATTGCTTTCATAGAATAAATCAGATATGTCAGAGGAAATCAAACCTTGATCAAAACCAAAGCTGACTGTCGAGGAGGAACAGGAAACATCAAAGAGCGTACAGTAGAAAGGCAGGGCTGGTTGAAGTTGGGTGCGTTTGGTTGCGTTTGAGGCGCAGGGATGGAGGAGGAGGGTGGATGTGTGTGTGTGTGTGTGGGGGTCCTATTTCTTGTTAATTCTCTTCATAGGATCTGTGGAGCACATTCAGCAGTCATGGAGAATCGTGTCCAGTCACGGGCCTCCGGTGGGACTGGGTGTCCTGAGGTTTACTGTTGCTAGCTTGTCATGTCCACGTCAACAGCACTTATCGCCTCCCGTCTGAGCGCCGAGACATTTCCCAGGCATTTAGCTGCCTGTTTGTCTTCTCTTGATTTCCCCTCCAAATCTGTCACATATAGTCTTCACCTGACACCTCACAGAGTGTTCCTCTCTCAAACACTGTCAAAACACGCAGATCCAGCAGGAAGAGATAGCAGCAGGGAGCCGCAGATTGCCAAATGTTACACACTGATCAGGCGCTGCGAATAATGACCTGCGTGGGCAAAACGGTCTGGGATCATTTGCTTCATCAACACGCCGACTGCTCTCCAAATAAGAAAAAAAAAAAAAGAACTGTTTGTGTTCACAGTTTTGGTGTTGCAGTTCATTTGGACTCTGAGTTATCAAGTGCCGCTTTATTTATTCCGTTCGCACATTGTTCTCGTACGTCAATAACACCGAGTCCAGAGTTTTCACATCACCGAGACTTTCTCTGTCCTTTTCTTTTCTCAGAGTAAAAGTGCTGGCATGAAAACAATGCTCTTCTTCTTCTTCACAGCGAAGAAAAAATAAAGGCCTGGCCCGGAATCAAACGCTCCTCTCTTTTTGCTGCATTTTTCTCTCCTTGGCGAAAAGCCCTTCTATTATTTCAATAAGCTCTGGGTTTTAATACATTATTGATCTTAAGGTTGAACTACGGGCCACTGCATTACCAGGACTCCAAAGCCCATCATGGCGTGACACTCATGTAGTCGTGAAAAATTATACCAATTATGAAATCAACCAACAACTAGCTCAAACAGCAATCAATTGTCACATTGGAAAGCATTTTGTCCCACAATGCTATTGGCTTTGTGGTTACACAGAAGGAGTGGGCGTTGGATGTTTAATGACTTCCAAATACTGATTTCTTTCTGTTTTTTCTTTTTTTTTCAAACACTTATTACTATTCACTCTGAAGCCAGCCTTCGATTATGTTTGATGCTCTTTGTTGGGCGACCGTGTGCCAATAAGACAATAGCATTAGCCATTGATTAGCCATAATGAGCGCCAAGGACTCAACACCGGCGTGCGCGCTTAAAAGCCTGCATTAAGCTTATGAATTATGAGAAGTGTACTATATACCAGTGCATTAGGAAGAGATGTTTTCATTCTAATTCTGCAAATGCCACAAAGCTGGCCGAGAGGAGAGAAAGCCATTTCTGGAGACGCTAAAGTGGGTGGTGGCGGGGGTGTAAAGGCGGCTGAGTGCTGGCGGGGTCAAGTGCGAGCCGTGTCTTTGACAGTGGCTGCCTGCCTGTGTTTCCATATCACAACGTTCAATCATGCAGTGCCCTCATGCAGAAACCTTTAACTCAATGCTCATAAATGCAGGCAGAGCTTCGCCGTCTGCAACAACCGAGTATTTGTTGTGGTCACTGGGTATTTTTCATGGTTGTGCTTTCCGTGCTTAATGCAAGGAGAAAGTATTTTTCCATCTGCCGATAAAAGGTCAAGTCCAGTCAATTTTTATTTATACAGCACCAAATCATAACACAAGCGCGGAATAAGAAGGCGCGCATTAGGAGATTTCAGCCCTCAGATGCTCTCCGCAGAGAGGCAGATTGGGTATGAAAAAGTACAATTAAGGTCACCTTTATTGTTTCCAATCTAAATCGCAGGTGTGACATCTAAATGACACTTTAATGAAAATTTCAGACAGGTTATTTTGAATAGTTTCCTAAAAGATGCAGGAGGTTGAGCAGCGGTGAATTGTAAGTGTCTTTGGGGGGGATGTGTGTGCCTTGACGGGCGCAGGAAATCTGAGCCAAATAAATGAAGTGGAGATGGTAATACAGTGTGTTATAGCGGAGAGTGACAAGCCCGTTCCTCCCATGAAGCAGCTGAGCTGGCATTAAACAGACAAGACATCCCGTTCAGTCAGTTATCAGCCCAGGAATAATGAAGGAACAGGCCGGCGGACCAGGACGAGTCACCCTAGTCAGCCAAGTGGAGAATTTAATTTCGTGCAGGTTTCTCTGCAGCCAAGCATTTCCCCCCCATCGGAGGTCCGCTGGTGCTCGGGTGAGCGTGGACAACTCAGTGCACCCGACTCGGAGTCTCTGCGGCGCTGACAGAGATGTGTGGTGATGGATTTTTCGAGTGGCTGGGGGAAGAGGGTGGACTTAAGTTTGGGAAGGGCTGTTAAAGAGGAGAGAGAGCGATGACAAGCTAACTTCAGAGAAAAGTAAAAAAGCGATCACTCGTGCTTCTCATTTTCCAGAGAATGGCTGCGTTATTAAATCAAAGACAGTGAAATGAGAAATGGGTCCTGTCTGACCCCGAGATATGTAGGAAGGAAATAATATTGTCTGTGCTTAATGTTACCCCTGCTCCACCAACCACTACTCCACCTGACATGGCCACTTGGCCACTAGATTTAAATATCATACTGAAAACTAAACATTAGGATATCTGCGGCATTTATCTTCCTGTTTTATCTCAAACCTGAGTTCAAACATCCTGCAGGGTTAAGGTTTTTATCCCTGATGTCTTTGATAGAAACAGAGTCCATGTCTGCTTGTGTCTTCATAATGCATCACAGCCTTTTAGAAACGCTTATTATGTCCAATTTCAGGCTTTGTATTGTTGTTGTGAAACAGTGAGACAGCTGCTTTTGTACAAAGTCCACGTCCACAGCTCTTTTATTTTTCACCCCCAGAAGATGTTCCTCACATATTTAGCTCAGGATGACTCTCAATGCTGCACACGTCCTCTATTTTTGTACAAAATTATCACTGTACTAATTTACCGAGGCCAAGAGTGTCATACCGTGGTCAGGTTATCGATGGCAGCGCCCTCTGCAGGATCAAACAGCTGCATCATATTTTAGACAGACTATTGCGCCGATAAACAGAATATTTTCAGTTTAGATTTTGAACTTTTCTGGACTCTAAATAAAAAGAACAACACTGCTGTCAAAACTAGATTATCTCAATTTGATATATGCTGTATTGCTTCAGTCGTAGTCTTCTGTTAAGACAAGTACTGTACAAAAACGCTGCCATGTTCTGTGTAACACAAGTATAAAAGTGAGTTTCCGTATCTTAGATTCATTTCAGAGTTGATGGAGGTAATTTTAGGTGAGGGTGATATTAGCACAGTATTATTATCAGACTTTGAGGATTTTAAGTCTCCGTAAACAAAACTTTTACTTAAATTAACTTAAATGTTTTACTTTCAAGGACAAAACTTCTTTTAAATCTGTGTCTTACAGTGACCACTCAAAAAAAAAAAAAGATAATTAGGGGAAATAAAAAGATGTGTTACAACAAAAAAAGATCAATTTTTGTAAGTATACTTGTTCAGTTTGTTTATTTGAAACACCATTAGCTCTCACAAAGTGGTTGCTAGTCTTCCTGGGGTCCAAAAACTGAAAATCGCAATACAATTACATTTTAACAATTAATTAACAATAAATACAATTATAGATCCAATTCATGATTCTTCACAACATTAAAATCATTCTAAAATCAATGCTCTTTTTAGTTCATTCATACGTACAATTTGTTTTAAAGTCCTTTTAAGATAATATCTACTGTTTATTTGCTGTGTGCTCCTTGGCAATTGATTCCACATTTCTAAAGATCTAAATAACACTGTTCTCCTCATACAATTGGACTTTATGAATAGAACAATTAAATAACCAGAGTGAACCTGCTGAGTGACGTGGTGATGACAATAGCCACTGAGTTGAGTTTGTAAGTTCTGGCCAAGATTAGGAACTGACGGAGATGCACAGAACAAAGCTGCATCATCTGCAGACAGTATTACATCCACATTCATAACATCATCAGACAAAAACTGAGAATAAAAGTGGACCCAAACAGCTGCCCTGTGGAACTCCACATGATAAATATTTGTGATTAGAAAAGCCACCATTAAAAAAGGATATCCAGTATAACAAAAAAGGGATTGTCTCTTATTTTGAAGGAATAGTGACATATAGAAGGTAAAGTTTTGGCCTGAACATGATGAGACACCCTTCATCCATCTCTTTCCCTCTTCATCTACATTATTTCTCTTTTGCTTTGTGACCTTATGATGGCAAACGTGTGGAAGAATTTGTGTCGCTCACGATATTGAATAGAAACTGTGACGTTGTGAGAAGTTTCTTTGTGTAAAAGTCCAAATAAAGATAAATGTTGGACTTCCTTTAGCTGACTTTGTTTCAAATATTTGATCATGTGAGCTCTCCGTCTTTCCAGCGTCTGAGAAAATATCGTCTCATCAGTGATCCCATAATCTGAGCTCGTGCTCGGCTTTAGTAAAGACTACGGCTAACATCACCACCTCTTTTCATACATTCAATATTTCATCACACACTGTGTGGATATTAAGAGGACTGATCTGGCAAATATTGATCCTATCAGAGGGAAATATCTCCGGATTAGAGAAGTTGCTCAGATTTGTTCTATTAGTAGTGATTCGATCTTTTTTTAAACTTGTAAAAAGAAGAAGACAGAGATAAGACATTAGAGGGCCGTCTGTGCTGCGAATCTGTTCACTGCTGCTGCTGCCAGGTTAGACTCACAGCCAAGCCTTTGTGTACAAACTGTGCTTATAATGACTGTGTAAAGTACGTGCCTGTATGGAGGCTTTATCTAAATATATCTGTATGTTAGTGTTGTCTTGCTGTTTGTTTCCTGTTGCGGATCAAACGCTGGCTTCGCACCAACACTGTCCACTCATTTGGAAGCAAAGCGAGCGCCTCTGGCTGCAAAGACCTGCCCAGGGTTCAGGTTCTTAAAGCGGAAATAATTGCAGAGGTGCACGCTCCATTAAAAGCAAGTATTTAATACAATAATCATTCAATTAAAAATCCCTTGTAGCAGCTGCCATGGCTGATTTGGATCAAAGGAACATGTTATTTGTGGTACGAGGCGATTGTTCAACCCAAAGGCCACAATCTGGTTCTTCTGCAGAGTAATGTTTGACTGTACCTGCAGACTGTAACGTTACAAATCTGCTCCTGGTGGTTCTTCTTCTGTTGTTTATAACTAATGTTTTAAGCCAAATAGTTAAGAGACTTTACATCCTGATATATGCAAATATCTAATATATTATTAGTATTATTGTTGTTATAGACCTGGAGCAGCAGTAGATTTCCCTTTTTTTCCCCTTTTTTTAAGGATGTGGTGATAGACTAAAAACACGATATGGTTTATATCACAGTTCTTTAGATCTATTTATTTGTTTTATTTATTTAAGAAAGCTCTTGACATTATCACTAAATGTGTTTCACTACCCTTTGCCTCGGTTACTTGTTGACAAAATGGTTACCAGGACTTAATTTTCGATTGACAGTTGTGCTTTTATTGTGAAGGAGGTACTCCTGCAAAGTGAAGTCAGTGACAACAGCTCGAGGACTGATCAGCTCTAAAAAAAAGTGTTTGAGCTCTACAGCAGAAGCCCTGCAGTTCCCTGAGCGTCCACTTGGGGCCAGAGAACGCTTTTTCGAGGCCATAAATAATTTGGCGTAATTAAAGGTGTGGCTGTTTTGTAGGGCCTGACCGATATGGATTTTTTGGGGCTGATGCCGAAAAAATACATATGTACTGTAGATATACTGTAGACTACTGCTCTTCAGGCCGACAGGAAGACCGGCTGATGAAACTCGGGCCAGAAAAGCGTTTTCAACTTCAAATTTCACAAACTGGTTTATTTACCGTTGAGGCGGACCACATCCACTGTGAGGTAGTTACAGGATGAAGATTGTCATGAGGTCGCTGTAGCGCCATCTACAGGATAACTTTTCAAATGGTGAAAAAAAAGCGAGTTTGACAACAGTCACAACAGATTAAGACAGAAGAGCTATTTAGACAACGCCAAACTTTTTAAAATGAGCTCTTTTTATTTAAGTTTTCTCAAACACAGAAACTAAAGTACACATAACTAAAGGCTGGAGTCAGTTAGTGTAAAAGTTAGTGTAAAAATTATTTAAAAAAGCAGTTAGCATAAAGAAACAAAGGAAGCATGTCTGAAATATCATATTAGAGGGTTGGAGTTCTTTAGGATGTTGTGGTTATCTCTGAACTAGGAGAGCAGATTCAGTGTTTATCATCTTTTATCATCTTACTTTTATCCTTTTAAGTTCACATTTCAACACAAGTAATCCTCATACAAACAAGATGCCTTATTATTGATCTTATGGAGCATTTCCCTTCGATATTATTAGTGGATAAAACCTCCCATTAACACCCACTAACTCTGCTCTCTGATCTCCAGTCTAATCATTAGATGTTTCCAGTTTCCTGTAGCTCGCTGGCTTTCTCCCAAACTGCGTCCATGTAACATGATAATAAAGTCAAACTGGGGTCAGATATTTTCTGTAATATATATAAATGATATAAGCTCAGTAGTTATTTTTACTTGAGATTTAAAGGTTAAAGAAAAGGATATGATTTTTTATTTTTTATTGACACATGATGAATATAAACCAGAATCCTCTTCAGAAACACACATTTATATATATGTTTATATATAATAGTAAGTGACCAAACGGCCTTTCAGACTGGAAACATCTGACATTATGCTGCTGGTCTGCATGCGAGCCCATTCCTCATTACAGAGGGACGTCGTCTTTGTGTTTTTTATCTCGCTTGGTGCCTTTTGAGCAAAGGAGCACATTACAGCAGGTCTTTGTTTTATTGTGTTCAGCAAATTAATAAATGGGAAGCACAGAGGGAAAAATAGATATGAAAATGTGTACTTTGCATTATTGAAAAGCCTTTCCACTAAAGGTTACCAGCAGCTATTGTGGTACAATCTGTGAAATGTAATTAGACTGTGTGTGTGTGAGGGAGAGAGAGAGAGAGAGAGAGAGAGAGAGAGAGAGAGAGAGAGCAGTGCAGATAAAGCTGCCTCTGCCATTATGGACTCCCTCATAACATTTTGCTTCCCCCTGAAACTTATTCTCTCTGAACTAATTTTGCATGACATATTGCATTTCTGCTTCAGCTATCATGAGGATACCTGTGAATTAAACCCCGGCTGCAATACAGCAAATTTTCCACTTTACATTTTTGGTCATGCAGATGTCACACAGTTTCTGTGATTTATTAATTCAAGGCAGACAAAACTCACAACATATCCTCCAGCTGCTGCTGCTGCTGCTGGAGCTTTGTTTGTGGATGCTGGTATGTAGAGGATCACAAGGGTGGAGAGGTGAGAGATCAGGTGGATCAACAGATACATACAGGAGATTTCTCTACAAGGGGATTTAGACACAATGGTAGAAAATGAATTTCCATGAAAGTAACTCCAACATCAGGATGACTGTTGTTTGTTTGCATTGCAGATCTATAGAACTGAGTAGATGCTAAATCACGGATGGATTTTATATCCCAGAAAACCAAAGATGTTAATTAAAAAAACTCAAATAACCTCTCTTTTTCTTAAAGTATCTGGATAACGAAGGTGAGATAGTGATGAAAACAACCACAAAGTAGGCAGTGGATTTATAAAAAGTATTTAATTAGTTTTGACTTCTACATATAAAGCTAATTGCTTTTGCAGGTCGAGTTTTGTCAGAAAACGTCATGGTAGGATCCGTTTCCTGGCAACGTGTAAATCTGAGCAGGAGCAACACTTATAGACTTATAGATTACATTTTAGAGAATGAACACTAGATGTTGCATCAAAGCTGTACGAACATACTGGACATCTAAAGTGTGAGACTCTCTTCATATCATTGACTGTATATCACAGCCTGTGCATGGTGTTCACTGTCTCCTCCTGTTGCATAAAATGAAGCCAAAATGTCACACTCATATATCACACTCGTAATTTGATTGTGTTTTTTAACAGTGTTTATAAAAGGCTTCAGACTCACGTTGATGCTTGTTTCAGACTAACATGTTTATTATCCGTGTAATGATGAACTCTTTTAAATTGTGTGTGCGGCTCGCCCCTAGTGGACACAGTTTTCGGCAGTGAAGCATCGGCTTTGTTTCTAAAGACGGTGTGCTTCAGAAATCGTATTTGACGTGTTATTTTGGCCAGTTTGACCCGTGCGTCATGTGTTGGCATACAGGGGAAAGGTTTGAGATAGGGTGACTATATTCTGAATCCCAAAAAAAGAGGACACAACTACGTTGGTAGGAGTCGTGGAGTCATGCATGTTAAATTTTAGGGTTTTTCGGGTCGAGTGTTTTTTATGTGCTTTTAACTCAGTCAGTCCATGATACACAAACTCAAATCTTCCATACAAAATCCTGAACAGTTGAAGGATTTTATAAACTCCCCTGGACAATGGCGAACAGCCCCCCAAAAAGAGGACATCTCTGGGTAAGAGCGGACGTATGGTCACCCTAGTTAAAGACCTGCACTGCAATCCGCCACCAGAGGGAGCTCTTTAAACTTTAGCTTCATTTCAGGAAAGCTGTTGGACTGTTAAATATTTCATACATGTTGTGGTTTGCATTAAGTGTCCTGCAGGTATTGAGGCTAAGGCAACATAAACAGTTAGATTAAAGTTTATGGTCTAACCGCCTCTTTGTGTGTTTAAATCATTAATTAGCATCAATCTTTTATTTTTACAATCCTGACAAAACAAAATCCACTCCAATCTAAGTGAGGAGCTTCATGGTCAGGGTAAAATTTCTGCAGATTTACGTACTGTTAAGATATGTTTACCTCTATTTTTATATCACAGTGTCCGAGTTTAAATGCTTTATTATTAGAGAACTGATTATTGAGCTAAGGAAATAAAACAATGCTTCAGTTTATTTGAAATGTATTTAATCTGATTATTAATGTTTCACAGTGGGTAATTTGTGTGCAGACAGATACGTATATTATTCTCATTTGTGTATCTCTAAGCATTTGGATCATCTTTGCTTCAGTCTCTGGTTTTCATTCCTGTACTCTTGTTGAACAGTTCCAGATAAATAATCTCTGGGAGTCGACGGCAGCAGCAGGTATGATAAAAATAAGAATACGTGTTCATGTATGTTGGAGGCAGTCGTCTGAAATTTCGATCCCATAATGACCCATTGAGTTCCTCCTCCAGTCCTGCTGTTCTCAGATAAGCCGGCTCTTCTTTTAATGGCCCCTCACCATGAAAAGAGTGATAATAGCAGCCAAGCGGGCCAAAAGTTGAGCAAAGAAGAAGAAATGATTAAGGAACCTTATTAAAAGCAACCTTGTAGATGCAGACGCGTGATGGAGAGCACATTATGAGGCCTGATCCTTTTCAAATGACACCACGGTTTCCCGAACACGCTGAAAAACCTGATTAGGGTGACAAGCACTGAGTGATACTGCAAACCTGTTAATAACATGAAAATTAGAAGGGGCTCATGCAAAAAAAGGAGATTAATTTAGCTGGAGTCCATCTTGCGCAAATTGCGAAGTTGTGAATATGTTTTCAGATAATGAGCCTTCCTGCTTGTCAGCTCACTTGTCATTTTCTGTAATTAATGTTAAGGAAGACTCCTTCCTGATGGTTCATATAACTCATGTAGCAGGGAAATTTCTCCCCAGAAATAATTTACATTTATTATCATCAGTCTGTTTGTGTGGTTTATTTCACAGTGGAGTAATTTATTGCAGCACCATTTCGCTCGCCTTGATTAGTCACTCGTCAGACTGAGATGTAATTTTTTTTCTTCCTATGTCTGAGACATGGAAATTGAAAGTGTTTGTGGCTCAGCGTGGCACCTCCACAGCTCTACCTTTGACTCCTTTTCCTCCTTTTTTCCTTTTTTTTGTGTCTGTTCTCAAAAAGACTGTACTCGGCGCCTTCAACTTACAAATAAATGAAGATTTCTGCTTTACATTATCTCAAATACACCAGGTGCAGCACTTTATTTAACAACATCAAACCGCCGTGACTTCCTGGATGAATTTTCTTTAAATTAAAGACCGTACTTTGTAGGAAAAATAAAGGCAGTATAGATGATAGTGCCTCAGAGTTATATCTATTATTACATCTGAGAAGAACTATATTTTAATTCATCATACGGCGCTGCTGAATGTACACAGAGCATTGGGACTAATGAGATTACACATTTGATTTCTTCACCCAGTGAAGTTTATTCCCCCGTGTCCCCACAGATAGCGAGCAAACAGATTTACCCCCGTGTGCTGCGACCATAACTCAAAGAAATATTCATTTAAGACACATATTTAAATCAGCCTTTCTTAGCTACTAAGCTTTGCTTTTCTTTGTGCCAGTAAATTTATAAGCCCACTTCTTAAATGTATTATTCATCCGAGCATGTAAATAATGCATGCCTGCTTCCACAGTAAATTAACCCTTTACCTTACCAGGGATACAGGAGTCATTGTTTTGAAAGGCAATTATGTCATTTAATTAATGTTGTAATTAATACTGTAATTAGCTTAAACACCCTGCAACCGGGTGCCACTACTAAGCTGTCTTAATTAAAGAGATTGAACGGTTTCATATCTTTTTTTTGCACTGTCACGTTGCAGGGTGCAGACTAGGAATATCTCATCTTATCTGCAGATTTTAGAGCAACTTTTTTTTTTAAGCATGAATAAAGTCAGAGCTGGTTCACCGACGATACGAGGAACAAAAGGAGGAAAAAAAACCCCAAACAAATCCCTTCTTTAGGCTTGTAATGTCTAAACTACAGCTGTAAATCCTCTCTGTGCGTCTGTGTAACCTGCCCGGTCACAATCTGATACTCGATCACAGAGGGAGTCATTGTCTGCCAAAATTATGAAACAAAATAAATCCAATTCCCAATCCGGCTTTCAAACTAAAGGTAAGGGAGCCGTGCAAGAAGCCTGTGTTTTATTGCTGCGCTACAGCGGCGAGAGCGGGCAGACAGCTAATCCGCTCGTAGAGAGTTTTTATCCTTGCCCGAGCTGACAGTGATAGAAAGTGTTTTCCCCAAACTAGAAAAATAGTTGAGAGAGGATGAGAAAGCAAAGAGGTCAGAGAATACTGAAGGGTTTCCACTCAGCTCCACACTGGCTGCAGGTCCAGCTTTGTATTCATGCGCTGTGAGCATCCGTACAGCTCATCTATTGTGCATGTGCGTGTCAGGATCATTTCTGAAGCCAGACGCCTCAGCACTAGCAGGAAGCAATAAGGAGGAACTCCCTGCTTGTAAAATTAATTCCCTTTAGTATGTCAGAGTGTGGCCGAGGATGCTCAGAGTTAGGAGGGGGGCTGCTGGTGTTATAAGCTGCTTTTAATGCACATTTCTGCGTCCGTGGGGGTCGCGTTTGCCTTCGATTTCCTCCCCACATGTAAATATTGTGTAGAAATTTGGAAAGCATGAATAATTGTCGACATTTTAAGTGAATTTGCAACGCGTATCGTGTGTGCATCAGTGGATTAGGCCGCCTTTCTGTTTGGTTGCGAGTGATTTTATCAATGTCATTAGACCATTCATTGAACTAAGTGAGGAATCCATCAAAAGCTGACAGGAAGCAGCAGACTAATGGCTGTTAGGCTGTAATATTCTTTAATATGATTTTTATTTGCCTTAATTTCATCTTCTTTTACACAGGTCCCAAATCGGTAGAGAGCTGCTGAACACCTGAGCACATTTCCTCAGAGCTGCACAGAGGTGTGTTGCACGTTTCCTGACAGTAGAGACACACGAAACAAATCAGGAGTTTATTTTACGTCAACGCAAAGCAGGGCGGCAATTTGTGCACACGCTGCGCGACGCCTGCACCCCCGATTTTATCTCTTCATACTCCTCTGCATCCGCAGCCACCTTCATCATGCACTTTAACACTCTAAATTAAAAATAGCTCAGCGGGTTTCAATTTTGTGCTGACACAAACCTAATTTTACACCTCCTTTCAGTAGTTTCCCCTGTTCTTCCACTTCATATCCTCTGACACAATCAAGCACAGCCCTGAAATTGCCTCAAACATAACAAAACAAATGAAATGGAAATTAATTTTTTGCAACAGGATTATCTACCCGTGTGACTATTATCTTTGCCTGCTGTTTATCTGCGGCAGCAAAAGGAGGAGATAATTTTACAATTAATGGCAGAGGAATCAGAACCCTCCTGTAATCATTGGATGACACATCCTGAAGAAATAGCCCTTCATATTGCCTTACCCTGGGCTTCAATAATCTTGACCCTGGGTATTAATGGATGAGTTAATGGCCTGCAGAAATCCTTTAATTTATGCCAGGGTGAATTAAGAAGAAGTAATGGATTCTGCTTTTCAAAATGTCCAGACAAGGCATTTCCGTTCAGCCTATCTGAGAAATCAAATTATCATATTATCTCTCTGAATGGCTCTTCTGAACCCATATTTCACAATATCTGATGGAAACAGTTTTGACATTCATTACATGACTCTTGCTTTATTGTGACTTGCTACTACATGCTTTGACAAAAGGAGGATAATGATTTTCGTGCCAGTGGAGAAGAGGACGGACATAAGGGGGAGAAAAAAGCGGATCGGAAATGACAAATCAACTTTCAGCGTCTTCAATGTAAATACAAATGTAATTATGGAAGTGTAAATTGGTTTGACTCTCTGAGGAGAGGCCACTGCGCTTCAGTTCTCTGTTTTTTATGAATTTACAGAGCGTTCGACAATGAAAGAGAAAATCTTTACAATAAAAACTCAGAAAACTCTGTCAGTGAATCATTTAAAGATATTCAGACACTTTTTTTCCAGTGACCTTCTCACTGGAAACTTTTATTTTTCCTTCTCCACTTTGATTGTTTCCTCTTGTTTCTGTGTTTATCGTTGCGCTTTGACTGTATTCGTGCTGAACTACAGGAGTAAGTTTGTGAGTTAAATACTCGACAAACTCTGAAGTTAATGAATATTTTAACTCTTAACCTGGTTTGGAAGAGTAGTTGCTGATATCACTTTTTATTGGCTGATAATGAGAGATCTTGCTGGTCGATGGTCGATATGTAACGCTGCTCTCCTCTTGTTGGTGTTTTTTCTGCATTTCACAACAAAATAATTTAACATCCTTAACAAACTGCATTTCCTGTTTCTGGCCTGATTAATTACCTGACCGGTTAGTCTGACTATCTTAAGTTTTGATGGTAAATACGATCGGCCACCCTAACCCAACCTTCCTCAGATTTTTCTGCATTTCTTCTGCTCTTAACTTATTTTGTGAATCCATTTATGACATTTAGTCTCAGTCTAAACAAAGTTCAGTCTAGATGATTTGATGAGAATCTATCATAAGAAAAACATGTCTACGCTGTCCTTGTATCATTGAAACCGCTGCTTTACAGGAAGTCACTCTACGCTGTATTTGGAGTCACTCTCTGGGTTTTTAGGCTACTTTTCATTGTTTCCATATTATAAAGTTTACAGGGATGCTTTTTCCAAACATACAATACATTTCTGTAACTGTGATTGTGGGTCCACTCATCTTACTGAACTTAAGTCCATGTGAGTTAAAATTTTCATATTTTCATCATAAAATATACCAAGAAATCGAGTTTATAAACACACGTTAACCCTTTTATGAACAAGTGAAAGCTGCTCGACTCAGTTGGACAAGTTAATGGAGTTAATCCATGTCTGAGTAATGTAAAAGGACTTCTGAATTTCTCTTATTGTTCTGAAAATTGAAGCATGATTCTAGAAGCCAAATATGTTGATGTGATAACCTAAAATGAATTGCAGTTCACTTTGTACGCCTTAAGTGTCGCTGTCTTGTTATCCGGGCCTCAGGAATAAAGGTAGATACGTCACTGTTGTGGACAGGTGATTGACCCGGAAAGTGTGGCGCTAAATGCTGGTGTTGTTTGTTTATTCAGTGTCGCTCGATGTCAATTAAAAATGGACTTTAGTAATGTTCGTCACAATGAGTTTTTAGTTCGCTGCATCAGAGGAACAACATCCGGACATTCACTGATCCGATCCAGGTCAAACATCTCAGTACCTTTAAGAATCGACTTAGCTCCTACAAGGACTTGAAAACATCGGTACACATCTGAACTGTGATTTTTGTGTTTTATTACACTGCTGGTAAACAGAAGTGGTTGACTGATGTCAGGTTTCCAAAGAGCACCTCAGTTACAGCCACAGTGACAGTCATTATTCTGTCATTATAGTGGGTTGATTTATAAATAGAGAAACACATGTGGCTGATATTCATGTCAGAGATGACATAACACTCCTCATTTCATCATGACAGAACAGATATTAACTTAGTGGTCCCAGTTTGATCTGATCTGCTGTCCTGGAGGATGTAAACATGTGGGACTGTTTCAGGGGATCACACTGAAGACAAAGTCACCAATAAAAAAAAAAAAAGTAGTCTAATCACTAAACTCCAATTTAACAGTTTTAAGTGGCCAAAACTTTAAACTTCATTTTTACAAACTTTTCACAGACCTGCAGGAACCTTTCTGTGCCATAGAGCAGAAAAAAAACCTCATGATCTTTTAAAATTTCATTTTCATTAAACTGATGTAAATATTTCAATATATTGAAAATTAGCCTCATTCACAAGTTAAAGCAGTGTTTATCGTGTCCTTGTGTAAGTTAGTGCACTCATTCATTAATGTATATTATACAAAACAATGCAGCTGTTAATGTTAATGATAAAGACATGTATTAAACTTCACACAGGCTTCATAGAACACAGACTCCTCTGCTTTCACACTAATGCAGTTTTCTCACTCCTGACGTCACAGAGACCTCGTTATGAACTCGTTATTAGTCATTACTCTGTAAACTTGTATGGCGGTGAAATAAGAGGAGTGATTTTCCACACAAAGTTTGATCTGAGAGTCGAACACGGCGAGGAAACGAACGCATTAAAAACAAAGCAGACAGACGCGGTATGAAGAAGGAAGCGCAGCGTCAGCGTTCCTCAGACACAGTAGGATTTATTGCGGCGCACTTATCATGGACGCCGGCTTTAAGTCGTACAGGTAGTCCTAATATACTGAGAGCGCCGTGTGCATTAATATACTTTAACTTTCACAGACACAGAGAGAGAGAGAGAGAGGCACACCTCTGCACTTCTCCTCCATTACAGCAGGCCTGCTGGGCCCTGTGGATTGAAGACCCTCTTGGGGGGCTCCACATTCAGCCTCTGCTTACGGCCAGCCCCGCATTTTTATTGGATGATGTCATCCCGGTGTCACGGCGAAGGAGAAGTTTGATGCGAGCCGTAACGCTGTCAGGGTGTAGTCCTGCGACGACGATGAAGTCATGCGCACTTATTTTCCTTTAACATATCACTTTGCTCCTCAGGTTGTGCGAAAATCCTGTAAGCGAACCTGATCCTCGGTGACCCCCCCAAACCCCCGACACACACACACACACACACACACACACACAGACACTAAGACTGAACTCGCACATGCTGTCAAACAGAAACACCACTCTGGCAGTTATTTGGGGTTTGTTTGTAATCTTTTCGGGCGCTTTGTCAGGCAGACGCAGCGATATTAGTGTGAGTGCACAAAAGCCCCCGAGTGGTGTCACGCACAATTAATGTCCCCAGGTAGCAACTCCATTAGTCTTATGAACTCAAGTCGCAGCGGGGAATGCTAATGGTGGAGGTGCCGTGGGGCATTAGGGAAGGAGTGCAGCCAAAGCTACCACTTTACCCTTCGATTTGACCAGCATGCACCTCCATCTCACTTTAGAGCCCCGCAACCGACACCCCCCAACCTCGACACTTAAGCGAGACACACTGTCAGGTAGCGAGCAGCCTCCGAAGAGTCCACTGGCAGTGCGTGCCACTCACTCACACAGCTGTGCGCCATTCCTTTTTAATGATCATTTATACGTCCCCGGCATCTTACCCAAATGTCTCCAATTACATAACAGCGACGCCGCGATATCGTGTCACTCCGGCGGAGGCTTTTTGAAAGTCCATATTTTCTCTTCTACGTGACAACGCCTCGGTGTGGTTAATCATTGTCGGCTTTCATAAACCTTGACTTCCATCTCGCCGGCCTCAAATCCCACACGCTCACGTGACCTCCTCCACTCCAGATCCCCGGCCTGACCTTGCTGGTGTAGAAGCGTGGAGCGGTTCATTTGATCTAACAGGCCTACAGCTGAGCTCAGACCCAGCGCTGAGGCCTGCTGCCCGCTCCCTGTGCTCCATGCCCACTCTAGCATGGATGTATTTAGGAAGCCTGGTAGCTACCTTTACATCACAGCTCAATAGCATCACGTTGCCTCTGAACCTACATGTCAATTCCGTGTCACACAGTCCACGGAGCGAAAAAAGAGGTAGAGGTGGTGGGTGATAAAGAGCGAGCTGACAGAGAGCAGAGCGATGGAGGGGAGGGAGAGAAACGCTGGTAATTTTTAGGAGAATGAACCCACGCCGCTGCCGCCGCCGCAGAGCAACCTCCACCAGGGCATGAAAAACACAAGCGCCGCCATGACAGTGACTGCAAACAGAGAGAAGTCACTGTCGGCCTATTCACAGCCTTTATTACATTATCAATTACACATTATAAATGTACTCCACACGGCCTGCTTCCCCGCGCCTTACTCCATCATGTTGGGCCGTCATCACTCAAAGTGAGGCCCACACGGGAAGGCCGGCGGAGCTCTCCGGTTCCTGGGCGCCCTCTCACCGTTGCCGTGGAATGCAGTGGCTGCTTTATTGCTTGTGGCAGTAATTGCACTTACATTTGATGCTCTTTTGTTGGGATAAACCCCACAGCTGGCTCTCCGTTAGCCGCCAGTACGAGCCAATAGAGCCACGGCGCTTCCTAACCATGTGACGAATCCAAACGCACATCTTTAACCAGCTGTTTCTTCTTTATTTTTCCACATCCCCAAGTTTGAACTGTTGCATTAAGCTGCAGTCTCTGATTTTACAGCCTTCCTTTGAATGAGCCGAGCAAGTGTTCGTATTGATTTGCACATTAAATATATTAGTAATAAAACAACATCCTGCTGCAAAACAATTGTAAAATCAATAGTAATTGGAACCAAAATATTATGAGTTCTTGGTCTGCAGTCTTATTGTCTCTGTAACTGACCGGTGAAATCCTGTGTGTTTGCGTGATAAATGCGATAAATATTGATAACTACGTCAAATGAATGTATGGCTGTAATTCTGAGAGCCTAAATATAAATTGAATAAACTCCGTTCAGACCGTTCAGTGATGGAAAAGCAGGAGGTTAACAAACCAAACTGGAGCTGAGCGCAATGAACTTGTACAGAAACTCGAATCGATCCGCAGAAAATGAGAAAACCTCAGAGGCACGTGGAGTTTAGAAATCACATCAGAGTCCAAACCTGATCATCAAACGTAAAACCTGCTGTCAGAGAGACCGCCGGGTTTGTTAGGAAGGATGAGACTTAAACCTACAACTATGACAGGGATATGTTACTTCTAGGGTGGCACGATTAATCAGATTATTTGATTATGATGATGTTAAAAAAATCAAAATCCTCAAATCGATTTCCCTCTCTATCGTAGCTTCCCCAGTTCCCACACACATCAGTGTAAACAAACATGGCGTTTGCTAAAGAAAGCGATAATTTCGTGGTTAAATGGGACAAGAGTGAGTCAGTCGTGTTGAATTGGTACGACTTCACATTTTAGACGAAGAGAAAACCACTCCCCGCTGCAAAGTCTGTCTGAAGGCGGTATCAACTCGGGCCTGACCGATACAGATTATTTGGGGCAGATGCCGATATGAGAAAAAAATCTGATTACCGGTTAATCAGCCGATTTTTAAACTTTTTTTTAGACAGTTTTAAAATTTTGTTAATTTAAGTAATATATCTACATATTTACTTATTTTTTTAACCAATGGCTGCTTTTGAGCCTTTCAAACACGTCTCAGTAGCATTAACCAGCTGCCTCAGTCAGAGAAGCAGCTCGATCACTAATGTGTACTGTTGTTTATTCTACCGTTACTGACACGGCTAACAGTGAAGCAAGGCTAATAGCAGGTGGCTAACACTAACTTTAGCTCGGCGTGACCGAGACCAGCACAGCGGGGAACATGGTGAAGTGGGTTGAACTGAAACTTGTTGACTTATTATGTTTTTCACAAACTGGTTTATTTCCCGTTGAGGCGGACCACTCTCCTCCGTGCGTCCCTGAGCTGCCTGCTTCAGATCCGTCACTCTGCTGTGCCGTGAGGTAGTTAGTGAATGAAGATGAGGTCACTGCACCATCTAGAGGATAAGTCGGGGAACTTTTCTAATGGCAGAACATTTTCGAAATGAAACCAAATCTTATTCTTCGCATTTTATTTCTTAAGATATCTGCGAAAATCAGTGAGTTTTGGCCGATTACTGATTACTCTCAAACGGGCTAAAATTGGACGATTTAATCATCTCGTCGATAAATCGGTCGGGCCCTCGTCTTGACATTATAACTGGCCTGTTTACCTGGATGCATAATGGACTAACTCTGAGCCAGCTGATATCATGTTTCACTGAACTGTTTGGACCACAGCACCTGAGGCGTCCGCTCTCTGTCCTCGCTGACTGAAGCTTTGGGTTTTTCCCTCGAGACACCAGAGAGGTCAACAGAGAGATACAGAGAGGGAGAGAGAGTAACAGCCACACTTTATGACTCTTATTATTCTCAATCAAAAGTAAGATGATTGTTAGACACACACACACAGAGTAATAAGAGGTTAGAACAGTTATCATGGAGCTACAGTGACCAGAAACAGTTTGTCTTTTAAAAATAATCAGAATATCACAATTAAAAGAGGAGATGGATGAACCCTCACAGTTTAGTTTTGGTCCTTCTGGAGTTTAGTTTGGAGTTCTGGGCTAAGAAAAGTTGAGGATGAGCTGCTCAGTGTAGGAAATGCTGTGAAGTGCTAAATCGACCGGCTGATCTCACCAACCTGCATATTCCCGATGTTAGAGTCCACCTTTAACGTTCAGATATAACTTCACTCGTCAGAGGAAGTGAATCCTGGACCTGTGAGAGAGAGAGAGTATGTAAGCAGAGATGTACTCTAAATAGAAAGGCCCTCTTCTCCTCTCCCTCTCCTCTGGTGTGGGATCCCGTGGAGCAGGAAAACAAAGCATGAGGTGTGTCTTATTCTCCACAGAGTGCCCTGGGGCCAAGGAGTGAGCTTGCTGCCATCCTGGAGGCTTTGAGTGCTTTATAACAGTGTACACAAAGGACTCGCTTCCCACAGCCCGGTCATTAACAAGTGGGCAGCGGTGAAGGCAAAGCCGGAGAGGGGCCTTCCACTGTCCTGCCACCACACCTGCTTCCACATTCACAGAGCCAGAGCGGCCCCGGCATGAAGGATGACTTGTAGTGTGCTGAACTCCAGGGAAAGGCAGCCACCTCCCCTGTCTTGTTTGTTTGAAAATTGGAGAGTTTGTGACAACAGTGTTCAGCTCAGGAGCACGAAAACAGCTGAATCCTGCAGCTTTGTCTTCATCAGGCCCGTCACTGCAGCGAACACACAGCTTTGGTGTGTTTCAGCTCATTATGTTCGGACTTAGGCGGCTTTTTGTCGTGTGCATTTACATGTGCTGTCTCTATATCACTGCAGTTTCAAATTCAAGCTTCGTGTTTGACGTGAAAAAGACAAAATAATCTGCATCCAAGAACCCATACTATAAAATGTTAAATCACACTTATACTCAAAGATTCCTGCTAGTATTTTCTTAGTTGTTCTTATTTGTTTGGTTTTGCTGCAGAATTTCTCATGATGGAGCCGTGTGAACTTGCAGAAATGTGCAGAAATGCAGGTGAAATGGGCAGAAGGCTCTGTCTGCATCTGTGTGCATCACCTCCAGTGGTTTCTTCTGAGTGTCGTGATCATAAACTTAACACGACTTCTTACATTTAACAACAAAATAGCAAAAATCTGCGTATTTCTCTTCCTCTGCTTATTGAAAATCTAAATCCAGGACCTTGTTCAGAGTGGCAGGTGTGAATATGAGAGGCAACATTTACTTCTGACCATTTTGGATCAAATACCAAACCTGCTATTTACCCAGCGAACAATGTCAGCGGCCGCAGACACATCACAGACCGGACCGGACTAAATTTTGATGGATGTCAGCTGGGACTGCTAGACTTCAGCTCAAAGCCGATATGTGACATTTACTCACAGAGTCTGCTTGCCGGCCAGTCACAGTGTTATGTAAATAGCACACCTGTCCGCTCGCTGACGGGCCGGCTTATGGAAAATCTGTCTTTTGGGGTTGAAAAATTGTATAAGCAGAGCATCTGTGAGAGTGTTTGGTCAGGGACCGTATGAAAATTATTAATGTAGGGGGTGGGCTAGTTTATTTTATCTTTTAATACCCTAATATAACAAAATTAACGTTGTTATTCAAGGTTTGTAAAAATACAGTATTTTGTTTTTATGAGATTTAAGTCGTTACATTACGAGGATGAAGTTCTTGGCCGATTAGCCTCATAATGCTGTTTTAAAGGCGGAGATTATAACTCTCAGCTGTTTGCTCATCCTATTAGAGTCCTGATTCTTCAAATATTACTGATGTGCAGACAGATCTTGTATTTCATTGTTAACAAATCTTACTAAAGTACAATTTAACCAGACGCTCCATGTTCAAACAGCTGTCTGCTCACCGTGAACCAAAATGACCACAACACGAGGACTCTACTCTCGTAACATCACTTAATTTTTGTAATATTATGACTTTATTCTTGCAACAAAACAACTTAATACTCAAAATCTTTAAATATATATATATCTTAAATGTTGCTATAACACTGGGTCATATGTTGCACAATGTTGGTCAGACAAATTATCTGATAACAGGAATATTTTTTCTCTTGTTATCCTGATGAAACAGATTTTTTTTAAATGAAAAAGAAAAACTGGTAAAAGCTGCTTTTATTCACTCTTAAACAAATCCGAAACAGTAGGTGGCGCTAGGGGTGTCTCCAGACAACTTTTTTATTTCCGATACGATACCGATAATGTAGCCTTCAGTATCGCCGATACCGATATTGATCCGATATTGGCACAAACTTGTGCATGACAAGTTTTTCACTCAGCTGCAACGTCTTTTTTGGATTTTACCGAAAAATACTACCGCACTGCCGACATCACTCCTACTCCTCTCTACTTTGTTTGTACTTTAGTACACACTGTTGTTGTGATCATGTGGGCTCTGGATGATGGATCAGGGCGCTGCTAGATATAGGTGCTAGGTGGAGTCTGGAATGGACTGCGTGTATCGGAGTGCTGATATCAGAGATTGTAGATGATATAACCCGATATTTGTTTTTTGACTGATATGGGACTGATATCCAATATTAATATGGTATCAGGACAGCCCTAGGTGGCGCTATGATCAGTTTTAGTGGACATAGTTAAATTAAAGTGAAATCACATAAGAATGTAAACGTTTAAAACTCCCATATAGTGTCTTTATTTCTGGACGTTTGTTACTCTGTCAGTCGGCTCTCTCAGCTCCTCTGTTATCCATGATGTTACTCATGGTTGACGTATAACTAACCACCACATCTACACCCTCTGAATGAATTTATCCCTCCTCCGTTCAGCTGTAATCATCTCTATTAACAGCGGTCCACTCTGACTTGAACAAAGACAAATGCCGTCTCTCTCCATCAAAGTCCAGTTTTGATTCTGAACTACAATCACTCTTGTCTTCTTCCTCTTCAAGGTCCGTCCTCTCTTTGAGGAAACGCTGAAATATGAAAACAGCTGACAGGACGGTGATAGATCACAACACCATTAATTTCAGGAGGAGTCTCTTCACAGGCGGGCCGGAGAGAGGAATTTACATTGTTAATATTGTGTAATAATCCACAGCACAGGCGTGGGAGAGCAGATAAAACAAGAATGGACTTTTTACTTTTCTAAGCGGTATTGGCTTTCCTCCATAAACAATGAGCTGTCTTTGCTGTAATGGCTCCTAGGTGCCCCACTTGTGTCGATCTAATTACTTTGGTTTCATCAGGTCCTACAGAAATCTGGTGAAGAAGAAGAAGAAGAAGAAAATCCATACTCGATAACAATGAAAAATTCATATTGTTGTTTTTTTCCCCATCCCTCTCTGTCTCTCTTTCTTCCTCCCTCCTCTCACTCACTCACTCACTCACTCTCACCCTGCTCTCTCTTATTCTGTGATATATTTAAATGTTAATAACCATTCATTCCTGACACCCTATCTACCAAGCCCCAAGTTTAACAGGAAATCTATTTAATCTGAAGAATCTCATTACACGATCATGGCAGCAGCTAAAGCCCCGACTATTGTCGATAGATGGGAGGTAGGAGGGGAGAAAGAAAGGGAAGGGAAGATGATGCACAGAGAGAAAAAAAAATGAATTCAAGGATGGATATTTAATTTAATCATTGTGCGTGAAGCAACATAAAGGAGGCATAAAGAGTCTTGCTTCTTCCTTCATTTGAGAAGATAATGATTAAATGTTTTCTATTGTGCCGTACAGCTGAAAGCTTTAATCATTCCCAGAGCTGGACAGAGAGGAGAGAGAGGAGAGAGAGAGCGCTGCAGCCTTTTAGTGCCTTTGACAGTATTCTAAATATGAACTTCTTTTAAGGCCATTAAAAGATTATCACTGATTTAACAGGATGCCCGTTTGGAGCATTAGCCACAGACGGTTCCCCCAAACCCTCTGAACACCATTCTCCCAGCTTCTATTATCTCATCCACACAGCACTATTTAATTTCATTTCCATGAATATGCAATGAATTTAATTTTGAACACTATTTTCATCTGCTCCTGTAATCACAAAAAATGCCAGTGTAATTAGTTTCTAATTACTTGGTGTAATTGTTGTAGTAATCATTTTAATTACCCAAATGCAGAGACATTAGATGCTAAAAGGAAAATAATCTGCTTGTACCTCCTACTGTGTCTCTCATTCTCCTCAGTTTGATATCTCGATCGTGACATGGGCTGCTTCACCGTCAAAGACAGACGCAGTACAGCGCTGTTGCATGTGGATGTTTTATAGCACATGATAGGGGAGGCATGTACTGTATAGGAGGGAGTGTGGGGAGGAGAAGGAGGAAGAGAGAGAGGGGGAGAGGAGAGAGAGGGAGAGAGGGGGAGGCAGACAGACGGGACCAGACTTACATTGTAGCATCTCTGCAATCTGCTCGCTGGAAATTTGCATGCCCCGAAAAGCCATTAAGTTAAAATATACAGTTATTGTACCTTTCTGGGACCGGCGCCATACAAATGCTTATTGCATGTGCTTATAGCTCAGTCTACCAGATGGTAAATCATGAAATTTTATGAAATTATTGCACCAGTGAGGTGTTTTGAAAAGGAGCAGCTGTGAGGGAGATGGGACATTATAAACACTCACAGGTGTTCTGTCTTTCCCCACCGCCAGCCACAACATAAAAAATTAAATTATAAACAAACCGGCAAATGTTGTAATCTCCTTCACAGATACACTACTTACAGGAGAAATTGCTTCAACTAAGCAAAGAATTTAATTTTAATTTGCATAAAATATTTATTGTGGCTAAGAAATTTCATCGCAGGGCCCCGCTCGTCTGCCAAGTTCGGAAATTGCCGAAATGTACATTCCACCGGCATCTCGGTGCCACGGATGAAGATCCATTAGGGAAGGCTCTAATGGGCACTTCACCCAAGCACATATGGGCAAGTACACGTAATAAGAGGGAGCTGGTCAGTGCCAAACACCACAACAAGCTTGTGTTTCTCATTAAGATTTTATTCCTTCCTTAGTATTTAATTAGCCGCTCTAGCACAGGGACCCGCGAAGATAGCTGCACATCCACTATGTTGCCACCTTCCAAGTCTCCAACATGTAAACTGGAGCTCTCCTGCTGCCCGCCTCGCACCTTGTGTATAATACAGAGAGAGGACTTGTTGCTCGGGATGGAGTGTGATCGTCTGCAGAGACTCGGTGTGAAGACTCGGCTGTTGGAGGATTAGCTCGAAGCTAACATGAAAATCTGTCCGAGCTGACAAACTTTCTGAAGCATCGTTTTTATAAAAGAGGAAATACTGGAGCAGCAGTTAGGCTCTGTGGTTCGAGTGTGCGGAGACTGATGCCTGCAGACAGCCTCTAGTGGACACTCAGTGAACTGCAGTCTGACCTTAATGAAGTACAAGTCAACAGTGGTGGTCGAAGTTTGCTCATTGCTCAAACATGGAGTATAGGGCTGCACAATGTTGGAAAAAACTAATATTGCAATTTTTTTCAACTCTGCGATATTTATGTTGCGATATTAAAAAATCGAGGAATGTTCAGCAGACGATCTGAATCTGACTTTCTGCTGAAATCTTGAGGACAGTTAACCTGCACTGATCTTCCCTCTTTTAGTGAATGTTAGTAGACTGTCTTCTGTCTGTCTCAGAGATATTTTTAGCTTTTATTGTTCTGGGATGTTACCGTGGAAACAGATGAACACAGAACACGTGTTTTAGTCGACATCATCCTTCTTGTAACTGAAATAATTCCAGATAACCGACCTTAATTTTTTTAGCCAACAAGTCTTCATCTTCAATGATTTTCTCTATTTGCTCATTTTACAGTCGTTGTTGTTGTAGTCGAGTGGTCCATGTAAATGTACAATTTTAAACCCATATAGTTTTTATCTGTGGGGCTAAACGGTGATGAGGAATGTTCCCAAAGTAATTCTTGGCGGGCATGTGTTTCTCGGCACAACATCGGCAGCGCCAGCGACGAGCTCCATGTGCAGGACATGTGCAGGGGCGTGGTTTCCTCCGCTCTGATTTTGATTGACGGCTGGTAGGGTAGCAACTGAGTAAAGAATGAATGTGGTTGGTGGATCGCTGCACAGCCCACGCAGAGTCACATGCAGTGAATTTCAGTCAGCTACCCTTGAAATAAGATGAGCTGCGATGCGACTATTGCGCTCACGTACATCGGGATGACGATGCTCAAACAGTATACCGTGCAGCTCTAGATGACCGGGTGAACTCTGATGAAATGTGTCCTAATTCTGGGTAGGGGTCCTTCAGAGGACCCAGTCTTATCTATTTCATCTGGTCTGGTCTTTGATGGATTTCCTGGATGCAAACAAACAGTCAGCTTTGCGTAGTTTGACTTGAAGACTAGAAACTGGGGGAAAAACTAGGAAGTTTAATTTGTTTTAAATAAATTAGTCTGAGCCTCATCTCTGATTTTGAATATTAACATCTATTTTTTTTTTTCAGTCAATAACTTCTTAGTTAATAAGTCGTATTTATGTTTCCAAAAACCCTAGAAAAGGTCAAGCTAAAATCAGACGCAGTCGTCTATTTCTGTGCCGTATCACTCAGTTGAAGGATTTTTCTTTTATTGTAAAGGGAGGGCGTTCTCCTTCAGCCTCATTTACTCAATAATAAAAATTCACAGACATGTATTTATTGTGTATGACAGGGCCTGTAACATATTCAAATGTGATGCATGCGTCTTCTTTCTGTGAAAAGGCTGGTGCCTGGACGCAGAGCAGCGCTGCGAGGGTAGCTGGGATCGTCATGCATATTCAAATCCACTGCTGGACATGGCTGCCCTAAATAGGCGGAGAGCGTGCAGCACTCAAGGGTGGATGGTTTTCCATGTGTTTTTTTCCTTCCTCCTCTTCTTTCAAGCACCTCCAGCACATACTGATCAAGGCCCTTCCAGGCATTTATTCCACAGTAGCTGCAGGCTCCACATGCCCCCGGTACCATCAGCATCACAGCTGAGTGGAGAGCCCAGAATCAAAGAGCCCACTGATTATAAGAGGCTGCTCGACTTTATATCCTACTGTCTGTTTAAAAATATGTACAAATATGTTTCAAGTTTTTAATCTCAGACTCTTTTATCAGGGTCAGGTTTTATGAACACACTTAAATTGAGCTGCAGGTACAGCTGGATTAGGGGATTTAATCTGACTACACACCAGGTTATTGTAGGAGAAATGATTTATCGAAGCCCCCTGTCAGCTCATGATGATGTTTTGCACCAAAACAATCAACAAACACATACCAGGAGGTTCACCAGATGTTTGAAATCTCTGCACCTTTAATACAAACAGACTCACCGTCTCCTTCACCTCCTTCTTTCCTATCCTACAACATATTTGTGCTGTTTTACTTCTGGATGTGCAGAACGTTTAGGCCGGTTTCAGTCAGATCAAGGTCAGAACAGCGCCCTCTGGTGACGGGCTGCAGTATAGGTCATAAATCCCGCCTCCTTATGGAGCTGTGGACAAACTAAAGTCTGTGCAGATGCAGCAAATAAACGGAGGAACTGGGTTATATCAGAGTTACTACAGCAGTCAGAGGTGATGGCGAGCAGCGGAGGATTTTCTTAGTACTCGAGCAGTTTATGATGACCTTCCTGTCCCTGTTACCTACATAGTAATTTAATTACAGTGTATTTACCAGGAAATAACTTTGGTGTGAATAGATAATGGTAACCATCAGACTATGTTGGTCATAACACGACATTACTTTAGGTTTTTCTTTGGTCCTTTCTCTGTACTGTATGTTTTTATGACTGAGTAAATACCAGTATTTGTACAGACAGGGTTCTCTCTCATTGGTCCAGACTGGATAGGGTCTGGTTTATCATGACTGTGCGTATATATCAGATGTAACAGGAGACATTTCTCTCACTTGGATGTTTGACATCTGGACTGACACCAGATTGAAACAGGACGTTAAATCTAAGAGCCGCGTGTCTTTCTGAGTTTTCTAAGTTCCTCTGTCCGCTGATTGTTGACCCACTTGGATCCACTTTATTTCAGCCCTGAGAGGAGAAACAAGGACACGGTCACTCTCTGAATAAACACATTGAAATGATGTATGGAACGAATGAGTTTACAGCTGAATGTATAGAAAGAGAAAAGCTCCAAGTGGCATTTTGTTTATGAGGTTTTAAAACCGAGCTGCTTCGTCCTCACCCCACCAAACAGAGCCCCTCTCTGCAGGAGAATCTCATTATGACTCCTAATGACAAATTCACCCTTTCAATTATTTGCTGCCATTTCAGAGCAGAGCTCTATCTGCTGTGGAGAGGATTCGGCTCGTGCACGGCCGGCCATAAACCTGCTGAGGTATGGAGCACAGAGCGGGACAGTGATATACTTTCTAAGTACATCAGAGGACCTGAGCGCTGTCTGTGTTTGGACTGCATAAAAACCTCAGTCCAAACACAAACACAGGGATCCTCTCTGAACACAGGAGAGTCCGAGTTTCTCCTCACAAAATAAAATAAAAGGTGGAACATGCTGATGCTGAACGCTCAATCTGATAATCAAATGTGCTCGCAAATGACCTGAAACTCATCAACAAGAGCTTTTAATGAAATAACACCCTTAAATGAATACTGGGGGAGAGTGAGAAGTGAGCAATGGCTTTTCAGGCTAGTTTGAATTTTTAATTGCCTGTCGGGAGAATATTAGATAAAGCTTGATTAGAAATAAATTGAAAATCTCTGCTGAACGCGTTTACAGATAGACACACCAAAGGAGACAGGCAGGCGAGGCAGGGCATCCAGGAGTTGATTGATTTACTATCTATTAGTGTTTTTCTTAATAACCTGCTTTCATGTGAGCTCGTCACACTGACTGTAGATTTGCTCTTTTATAGAAACACTCTTTACATTTTCAGAAAATCCGAGTGATGGCCTCCAAATGTCAAGTGTCCACGCTCCTTTTTCACGCACTCGCTCCATTTTATGGTCGTTTAGACGTTCACAGTGTCTGAACGTCTCATTTTGTTGTAATCGGAGGATTTTCTGGACGTTGACGTCAGCCTCACTGCTCTCCTTCTGTACATTTGTCTCTCTCTTGCAGGTTCCTGACCTGTGACTTCTCCCTCAGATTTATCCTGCATGTCTGCACTCATCATCACTTCCCAGTTACAGGTAATACCCAATTAAACCTAAAGGTCTACAGGATGAATCAGACAGGGGAGGAAGAGGATTTGAACTCCAGTTATGTCATCTCCACCTCTGCCTCACATGAATCCAAGACGCTTATTTAACAGCCAGTATCGACACTTAAAATCTGCAGCTTAAAGTAATATTTCACACCCCAAAGAAGTAATAATCGTTTGTGTTTAATAACCGGAAACCAATCATAAATTCTGCTGCGATCACAAACATCCAAAGAAAGGCTGTCGGTGTAAAAGGAGAATAGCAAATGTTAAGACTGTGAAGTTATGGTCGCCACACATCATAAAACAACAGAAGAAGAAGAAGCAGCAGCTGAAAGTGAGCTAGCTTTAGCATCCCTCAGAGAGATGATTGGACTCTTTTGAAAACCGACATTTAAGATTTATTATGAATCCAAAACAATGTTTGATATCAGGTTACTAAATATTTACGCTTTGTGATTGTTCTTTAACTGTTTTCATTCAGTTCAATGTATTACAATCTACCAGAAGAAGACCTTCAAAATAAAAGCGTGATAAACAATCATGTAAGAGGTAATGCTTTCTCCAAAGAAGTGTCAGTCACGGGACTGGTCATGTGAATAAATCATAATATGAACATCATTAGAAATAGATGATAACATCATAAGATAGGTTAAAACTTTAATAATCTTTAAAGAGTAAATGCAGCTGCTGAAATAGTCGGCAAGTAAAAGTAAGAGGAAAAAGTATTAATTAAAAATAAATAAATATGATAAAATGAGGGTTTTATACGTACAAAGGTTTGAAAAATAAGCAGCATGTAGGGCAGTAAGGACTTTTTTTGAAGATTGGTTAAAGTAGAAGTTATGGGACAAAGTGACATAAGATGATATTATAAATATAACAGGACATGTATGATGTAAAATAAATACAACCCAGGGTAATGTCAAACTGATCAGATCTATAAAATGGAAAAATAGATGTAATATCATCTCATCTCATATATCTCATACTATATATCTCATATCATCTCATCTCATCTTATATATCTCATATCATATCGCATCTTATCATTCTTGTCTTTCCCTAATTTAACTGACTGTGCGTTTTATTTTTTTCACCTAAATTTCATCATAACGTCGTTTTCATGATATTTATAGTCAGGTATATGATGAGATGAAAACCTGATTATCTGATCTGATCGATGAATGTCACGTCCTCTGAAGTTTGAGGCTCATGTGTACTGGTCCTAATAGATGCATGCATCTGTACCTGCCCAGTATTAAGGGCCTGAGACTGCAGCAGCTTTAGAGACACTGAAATGACTCTGGGCTACAGAGAGGTCACATATGCAGATATTTAATAACACACAGGACTGGAGGTAAAATGTGAATTCATATTTCTGTCCAAACTGAGTGGACTGCACACGTTTTCAAATGTCCATCTTCAGTGATAATCTCCTGCTAATGGGTTTATAAGGGTGTTTAGGTGATACATAATTGAGATAATATCTATATAATGCACAATACTGCTTTAAAGTCCATTGCTCAAACTCCTCCTGGGGTAATCTCTCTAATGATGATTTTCAATAAAAGAGCAGCAGTGAGGGAGCCCATCTATATGAAATAACTACTTCCAGATAACAGAGGCCATCACAGTGACAGGCGGGTCAAGAGGTCGGCAGACTGCAGAGCATGTGCAGCGGGCTGTGTGAAATAAAGGACACGGGGGACAGAGAGCCCGGCTCATCTGAGCAGACTCAAAATATGGGCTGTTCTTCACTCACAGCACAGGAAACACTATAAACAAACCTGAGAGGAAAACATGGACACTGTATTTCACTGAGTACAACACAGCAAGGACACCGGCTGGGCCCAAAAACACACACAAACTCATACTGTGGAGAGAGCTGTGTGTTTAATTTAGCACATATGAGGATGATAATTAGATTAATCAGAGTTTTTAATCATATGATAGAAGTTTACCGATCATGTTCCTTCAAACTACACAACAGCAGAGCCCTCCAGCCTGCAGTATGGAGAAATATAATTTACACAAGGTATAAAATAACATTTAAACTCTGACGTAAGTCAGCAGGATGCCGTATATTCTGTTGAAGTGTGCAGTAGGTAGTAAATTAGTGTGTGGTTTCAGACAGAGGCACCTTTCATTCTCAGCTCAAAGGAATATGTGATACTTCTCTTAAACATACAGTATGTAGAAACAGGAACATTTAGATATGTTGCAATATCTGGTGTTGGGTATTAAAATGCTCCCTCGCTCACCCCAAGTGTTGGTAGTCTTCAAGGACAAGAAGCTCTCGACATGCTGATGAAAATCATCTTTCATTTGTCAAGAACACAGACTCTTTTCCAAACAACAACAACAACAACCACTCACTTCTTTGTCACCCAAACAGTGCACAAAACAGATCAAGGCTCACACTAAATACACATATTCAAGTTTATGCTGATCAAAGCTAGGGGTTGGAATCAGCAGTTGCCCCACGATATGATATTATCACGATACTTGGGCCGTGATACAATATTATTGCGATTGTTAACATTTTGCAGTACAGTGCAGTACAATTTAGCATTTGTCTTTCCTTTCTCTTTGTCTTATTTACACTGTTTTTTTATTTTCATGTAGCACATCTTGCAAACCTTACATTTATATTTGTTGTTCTAACTTTCTCCTGCTGTATGACGTCACCTCTGTCAACCTCACTGGACAAACAGTTGATTTTATTATTCACATTATCATAGATTTGACTTCATATTAGAAATTAATTTGAATACTCAATACTTGGTAAATGAGACGATATGATATATCACCAGACAAAATATTACGATACTATGCTGTATCGATGTTTTCTCCCATCGCTACTGAACGCTGCAAGAAACTGCAGACTGCACCTTTAACCTAAAACACTAGATTGACTGAATAGTAACTCTGGTTACTATGGTTACTGGCTAACAAGTGTGACGGTATTTTACCGTTAATAAAGATGACAGGTTAACGAAGTGATTTGACAAACATGCAGAGAAACAACAAAACAACATTAGAACCAATAAAAACTTAAAGATTTAAATCATTCACAGGATTCAGAGCTTTTAAAACACACTGGTATAAATCCTGTATTTTTCCAAATTGCAGCATATTAAGGTAAAAAACTGGAATATTAGTTTTTTATTCGTATAATTTGTAGGAATGTGGCTGTGATTGGGATCTTATCAGGGCAGTTGGTGGACAGAAATTGCTCCGATCTTTGGCATGTGTAGAGAAAAGGAAAAAAAAAAAGATCTATTGTTGAAATGTGTCTGTGTAGTTTCATATATCATTGATTAGACAAAATAAAAAAGCCATAACATTGGGTCAGGAGAACACAGGGCACGGCTGCTGACATTCTATCACGGCAGACACATATTGACTGGCGCTCTGAAAGTAGTCACTCACTCATCAGTGTGAGGCAGGCTGATTGAGTTGCCAGCAGCCACTAAATGAGGCCTCCATCCAGTGTGGGTCGAAATGAACTGCAATCTTTTCAGACCTTGTTGCAGCTAAGAGACCAACTGAGAGAACGAGAGGGAGAGAGAAAAGGGAGCGAGGGGGAGAGAGGTTTTATAAACCCAGGAGGATTTCAAATAAGTTTACTGAAAAAAGAGAGGAGAGGAGAGAGCCGGGAAAACAAAGAGAGCAGAACTCAGAGTCGAGACGCTCTTATTTCGACCTCGGTGTGCTTTCTTTGTAATCTTGGAGATGAGCATAAACCCATAAAGCAGAGAGCTGCACGTCAACACTCCATGAATTCACCAGCCATCAGCTGATCAGTGCCATTTTATCCAATCACATTTAAACATCTCCAATCATCTCCACTCTTTGATTCCCAAAACATGATGTTGTCTTTAATATTTGACTAACTGAAGTCCTGTAGAAGCGTTTTTTAGAAATACTTATCGTCTGTATTGGATTTACTCTGAACATCCAGAATGAATCCATAAATACATGAGCTGATGTCTTCTTGAATTTATTGACTTTTCCATGTTTCTTAACCTACCGATCTGTCATCAATACTAACTGGTGACCTACAGTGATGAAGAGAGGTGAAAGACACCTGCAGTTCCTCATGTGTCCACTAGAGGCTTGCTCCAAAAGTCAAAATCGCCCATGTACAGCCTTTATGAAAATGCTGTTTTCTTTCTGCATCAGACTCAAACATGCTCACAGCGTGGTTCAAAATAACGATACCTAATTTTTTTATTCCTGACTCCTTTTTCAAGGGTTGAACTTTTTAAAATGATATACTCAGACAAAGAGTCATGAGTGATTATGCAACATGTAGGCTGGTTTCAGCTTCTAGATGAGAAGGTTCTGGTCTTAGAGCCTCCTCTCTGATGGTTTCTGGTTCAGCCAGTCGGCCGGAGTCTGAGATTTCTCTGCTCCTTTACACCTCTTTGAAAACTAATGGGTGAGTTCTTGAGACTGCATCTGTTCTTGTACACTTCAGTGTTTTACACTCATTGTAGGGGCTGTGAATATCAAATATAACAACTTTGGTAGGGATGCACAATACTGGATTTTGAGATATCCAATTTGCAGGTATTTTCTTTTTTATTTTATTTTCAATTTTGTATTTATTTTGTATTTATTTTGTATTTTACCATAATATACCAACAATATGCAGTTATTTTATTTTTTAATTTTTTTAAATGTGTATTATTTTTTTAACCTTAATAGAAGAATATACAGTTATTATTTTTATCTGTTCTTAATTTTATAAAATTCTAATTTTTTTATTTTACTATAATAGAACAATATGCAGTTATTTCCAAACTCATGTTGTCTAAAACTTGATACCAATATGTTTTATAAACCTTTATTTTATAAACCTTTTTCATATGTGAATATATTTTATTGTAAGAAGACCACGTCTCCCTGTAAACGGATGAACCTGTGACTCTTGTGATAGTCTAGTTTAAAATTCACACTTACAAACAATACAAACAACTTTTAATTAGAAATATATTCTTTTTTAATTAAGGACAGTCTGTAATGTGTCTGCTGTTTGTTTACTATGCTTTCAAATATTTCCATGCAGTCATAAAAGATTTCATATATGACGGACAGCTATTCTCATAAAAAGAGTATTATTGTCGTTTTTGTTGTAAATAGATATTTTTGATGTGTATATATGTGATAATCAGGCCTGTGAAAATTCTAATTTATTCAGCCAGCTTCAGAAAGACAGAGAAAGTCCAATGGTTGAAGCATTCCTGCACACTTCCCCGTCTCTCCTCCACATCCCTACCCTGGTCTCGACTTGAACTCTCTTGGTATTGCAAAGACAGAAAGCGTGCAGTTAATTACGGCTAATGAAAGCTTGTTTGAGCAGGAGAGGAGGGGTGTATATTAGGGGAGAGGGAGTCAAGCGGCTTGAACCAGAGGGTTCCACGCACAATTTGTTTGAACCTGGGTCCTCCTCACTCTCTGCATGCTAATTTACCTTGGGGCTGCACCGCCTGTTTTTAAATATCGTTAATTGACTTAAGAGCTCATCAACGTGCTTCGTCTTCATTAGGTTAATGAAAAGGCCCAGTGTTTATTTTTCGTAACAGATTGTGGCAATGACATAATCTAATCGGTTACTTCCACTTCCTGAAGGATTGAGTCCTTCTGATGTGAGCTGTTGGAGCCGCTCAGATGTTCGGCATTTGTGGGTGTCTGTCTCTGACAAAGCAGAGACGGGGGAGGAATTAGAATAAACACATTTAGCCCTTGGCATGAATCTATGTTGCCCTTCTCTAATCGACAGTGTGAACTAACAAGAACGTAATGGTACTTTTGATGTGTGACTTGTCGGGGAGAGGCTGGCTGAAAAAACAGGGACGGCGTCTGAAAATGGGAAGATTGCAGATTTGTCTCTGTAATCTTAATGGGCTGAAATAAATCAGCCGAGCGGGAATGTCCATGACCTATGTCATGAACCTGAGGGGGCTTGTAAGATCCTGAGCAGAAAAGGGAAATATTTCCTGCACTCCTCGGTGAAGAGTGAACCCTCAGTCTGCAGTCGAATGAAAATCCAGAAAAGGAGCAGATGTATTCTGACTCTGTAAATACAACATTCAGCATGTTACTCATAGATGTGCTGCTGAAACCAGATTTTTGATGACTTGGCGGTACTCTGAAGAGTGATTCCTAGACAGTATACTTAAGTTTTCTCTGTCGCTTTGTTGTTATGCACCAAGTTTTTTACTTTTTACTGTCTCGGCTCCCACAGCTCTGCAGGATCCATATCAAGTTACTGTTCATGGAAAGTGAACCTTTTCTACAGTCAGAACCTAAAACCACTAAAACTGTTTCAGCTGAAGGTCCAGAAGGTTCATTTCCCTGACTGTATATTAGAGTTAAACATCTGCTGTCTCTGTGGGTTTTTCCTTTTACTTTAATAGACTCTCAGATAACAGAGGGAACAGTCATCCTGACACTTACCGGCTGCGTCATGTTTCTATTGTAGCCTCAGATATAAGTCCTTACAGATACCAGGCTGCATCATTTAAACAATATACTACTCTTAAGGTTGAGTATTAGTTAAAGAAATGACAAAACATGGTGAGAGGAACTTCATTAAAAATACTTCAGAGTTCCCACGCAAGTATAGAATGTATAAAATACTGTTTTCTAAAATAAAAAAAGTAGGTATCTCCAGAAATAATTCTAAAAAGTACGTTTTGGAAAAGTATGGAAGTTCCATCTGTGTAGGAACCCTGATACTTGATCCTGATTGGTCATGACAAAAGTGATTGATTCCTAATAGCTACAGAAAGTCGAACCTGATCACACATGTTATATCAGATCTATCAATACGAAAATATTATTTTATCTGCACACTAGCTCTACTATTACTGCTCGTTTCTTTGCAGTTATATGAAATTATCAATATTTGTTAATATATTTTATATAGATCTTGGCTGAGGAATGCAAACCTGCAGACTGAGCATGTGCAGACCTAACATTAGTATCTTACAACTAACAGGTTCACATGACACGAGATCCTAGGCTGTGTCTGAAATGGATCCCTAACCCCTCTATAGGCGACTACATGGGTATTGAGTGATTCATTTCGGACACAGCCCAGGTGTGTACAGGCAGATGTACGGTGGCCCTTAAGGTCAACTTAACAAAACACAAAAACGTTTCCTGAACAATCAAATAATTTAATAAAATGTAAAAATATTTCACAAAAACGATTTTAGTGATTGAAATATGATGAGTTATGAGTTTTTTACATCACTCAAACAGAGTTAGAATATTTTTATTTTGTCTGATTAATCCACTTCGCATAGAGAGGAATAATCAGCCTGTGTGTCTCTATTTTACTGATGCTGTTATTATAGTTGGTCTGTTTCTGTTCCTCTCTATAATGAGACAGTATGTAAAGACGTTCCCGCCTGAATGATCCGCTCTCACATGTTGAAGCGAGTCCGGCCGTGAGGAGCAGACGTAAAGACTCGGTCTGTGAGCTGCTGCTGCTGCTGCTGCTGTAACACTTAGGCAAAGCGAGCTGATCTTCCTCCAGAGGACAGTAACATTTGAGGCCATCTCTAGTGGTGTGGCCCATAAAGAGTGACATGGTGGTAAAATAAATCACTCCCTGGACCCCAGACCCCCCCTCCTTCTCCTTTACACCACACCCCCCCTCCCCACTCCTTACTGTCTGGGCTGCTTGGCCATCAGGGGGCTGCAAAAGCTCATCAGTGAGAACTTGAGAATCCTCAGTGGAGCTGTTCTGAGGTCAGCTCGGCCTCTCCAACGCCATAAACAGCTCTCAGTCAGGTTCATCACTAACTGTTTCACCCCCACACTTTTTTTTTTCTCCCTCACTGTCCATCCTTGCACTCCCTTTTTCGCAGCAGACGTTTCCAATAAATCATTTGACCCTCGTCCCCCCCTCCTCCTTTTGCCTCTTGTCTGGGAGCCCCTGTCTGTCCCCGACTTGGCCTGAGATGATGCGTTCTGCTGAAGTCACTTAAATAAAAAGATCGCAGTGGGAGACATAATGTGTTAAAGTAATAAGATGGTCTCGGGCAGGTCACGGCCCCTCTCCCTGCTCCAGTGCTCCTGTGGAGGCTCTTTGAGTTAATGGGCTGTGGTCAGTGCACTGGTGAGCCATAAAGGCTGCCCTCCCAAACTCCAGCCTCCGTTCAGAACAGGGGATCCTCCAAAAGCCACTAACCGACCCATCTCGATAACAGCACAGCCAGCACTATTTCCACCGTGCAGCTGACACTCCCCGGACCTGTAAATCTCCTGTATTTATCATCTCCTCTTGTACCTCTCCCCCCTGACTGCCGCCCTTACACAACTGTCCTTCAGTGTCAGCTGCTCGCCGGATTTCACCGTTTGTCTGCTGAAATACCGAGACGTGACTTTCTTTCCCAGCACCCGACCGAGCTCGTTCTGCACTGACCTGGATCCCAGCCATGCATAATCCCCCTTTTCCATTTAAATCTTGCAATAATGAATAAAGTAACAGTGTGTACTAATTAATTAAAATGGAAGTATAAAGATTGGAAAGCTGTAACAAATTATCTCATTGCATTTCAGCAGCAGCAGGTTATTTTTGTGATGGCGAGTGTGACTTCAGCGGGGTGTGCGTTCTCGCCGGGTGGAGGGAGTGACCGTTAATGAATGTAGCTTAGGGGATTAATGAGAAGAAGCAGGGGACGTGTCATGGAGAAGTGTCCTGGCATCGTGACGGCGACACGGCGGCCCCCGTCCTCGTCCCCACTTACAGTGATTACATGTGAGCCCCTGTCATGAGCTATAAGTGCTTTTATGAAATCGTATTAAATGCCATTGTTTATGCCTCACTTTTCACTTCCTCATCGGTGTTTTTTCTCGCCGCCTGCCCTCACTACGCTTCGTTTGAGTCTCACTTCAGGTTTCATCAGCAGGGCGTTAGCATGTTAAGTCAAATTAAGCGATTTTTCCTCATGCCACATGCGTGTAACCTCGCGTTTTCCCCGCCTTCCTGATCCCTTTGCTGCCGCGTGATTAATTTGTAGGTTCTCTATCAGTAAAAGCAGAGCAGGAGTAGTTCCTGTAAACTTTCTGCTGAGGCAGGTGGATTTACCACACCACAAACTTGTACTTTAAACTTCTCCCTGTTTAAGCCGGCAGAACAATCCAATTGTTGGCTTTCTGACGACGAGTCCTCGAGAGGAGAGAAAATGAGGACTTAAACTCTCTATACTTTATGTGTATTTCAGGACCGCCTCCGTGGTGAGCTGATAAAGTGGAGGCAAATTTTCCCAGCAGTGACTCAAACAAAGATTTAAAGCCTTTTCCATTACAGCTTTGGACCGTAATCTTTATCAAACACACTTTTTAAAAAAACGTGGAAAATGTTGATAAAAAGAGAATTTGACGGTCTGCAGATATTCAAACTCACCATCTTCTTTAGTTAAAAATAGTCAAAAAGGGAAAGTATTACTCCTTTTAGGAAAAACACATTTTTATTTTATCGCTAAAGAGACAACAAACTTTTTTCAGGGTGTTCAGATGATTAATACAAAAACATGGAGTTAAATACAAAAAAAAAACAGGAGTTATTGTACTGGAGCAAACTTAAATGTAGTTTTGAATTGTTTTGGAAAGAATTGTTAAACATCCCTCGCTAGCAACCGCCAACCTCTGGTTCTGAGAAGTAACGCTGATGCTAAAATGCTAAAAACTGCAGTTCTCTGAGCGTCCACTACAGGCTGTCTGCAGAAGTACCACAAACCACATACACACTCATTGAAAAAAGTAAATTCTAGAGCAAAGATAAACACGTTTACAGCTGGTTCAAAATAACACAGTGAATTTTGTAATACAGTAATAAGAGCAGAAGTTATTATACAGTCTACGCTCGCTAGTTTCATTTTCCTCCTCTTACCTTCTTTTATGATGGCGACTGGTCCGCCGTTAACCATGAATGTTAATTTACTCTTCAAATAAACAGAGAATAGCGTTAAAAATATCCTCCAGTATGTCAACCTTTAATATCAGAGTACTTTGTTTTTGCCACATTGTCAACAGGAAGAGTTAAAATCACAAACATTATTAATGCGCCTGATTCCTTTTCTGTGGATTCTTTGATATTTTTAGTTTATTTGACACGGTAAAACTTCCACCTGTTACAAGAGTTTACATTTATTACTCGCTGTTTTTGTTAATTAAAAGAAAAAGGAAACATAAAGATAATAGTTTAAAGTTTAAGTTAATGTTAGTTTTAAAGTTTTCAAAGATTGATGTACACATTTTAAAATGTCAATAATTAATGTCAGTCATGTTCCTATTTTTGTGGAAAATGATTGAATTAATTCTGCGTCCAAACCGTCAAATATCTGAGGTTGACAGAGGATAGTATGTCGGTGTTATGGTTACAGGCTCTTCTAAAAAAAAGCTCTTATGTGGCCTTAAGAGACGTCAACAACCTGAGAGTATTTCCTTTACTGACAAAACATAACTCTAAATTATTCCACGGTGTATACATATATTTAAAACTATTCTTCCTTTTAAACGAGACCGTCTTTGTCATCCTTGGAGCCCTGTTTCAGAGCTACAGATGCTCTTTGTCGTCCTAATATTTACATTTTTCTCTCACTATCTGGGCGTCTTTGTGTGATACAGAGAGGAGGAGAGCAGCAGCAGCAGCAGCAGCAGCTCAGTAGACAGACGGACTGCCTCCCCCCAGCATGGCTATAATAACCTCCTGGTGTTGGAGCAGACTCTCTGAGAGATATCCTTGAGCCTCACCTCCATCTCTCTAACAGGTCACGCCGAGATCCAGGAGATAGTGAGCTATAGTTAAGGTCCAGATCTGCTATCTGGACTTGAGTGATGGAGGAAACCATGTGGCGACATGTTTATTGTCACCCAGATGGTCCACAATGCAGCGGCTTGGCGAGCCACATCCGTCCCTAATATAATTCATGGGGTGGCACCATTGTGGGGTGACTGATAAGGCCTTCACTTAGCCCTGCACTGGTCACTTGTCTCAAGGAGACTCCAAAGAAACTTCACTCTGTACAAATGGTGGCCAAAATATCTAATCCCACCAAGGGCTGCACTTTAGAGCGAAAACTTGGAGCGAGGTTAGCGGGCTGGGAAAGGCCATTTATAACCGCAGAATTCTCTCTTAGCCGTTTGGCTTCTTGGAAGAGTTTTTATTTAGAGAGAGAAAAAAAAAGAAGCAATTTCTGGTGAGAAAACAGAGCAGGAAATGTAGAGTAGATGAGGGAGACTAGAATAACTCGGAGAAGCCCACCCGGACCGGGACTCATAGGCAGTCATGGCTGTCCAAACAAAATTAGGCCTCCAGAGTCTCCGGCCTTGACACGTCCAAACATTTTGGCACCTTCAGCTTCGAGAATTTCACTCTGCAGAACAAAGCTGAGAAAATGTTATTCTTAGAAATGAGTCAATTGAGCTCGGTTTGGTGGCGTTTTGATGGCGAAGGACACCGTCCAACACGCACTTGAGCGGGGGAAGGTTAAATGGAACCAAATGCACGAATGTCCCAGAAGAGAGCGATGTGGTCACCGATGAGAGAGATCAGAGGAGACTCTTGAAATCTGTTTCCCATCAAACCGTCCCGCTCCAGGATCTCCAGAGGAACGCTCCCTGACAGGGACAACGTGCAGAGAGATATTTAGAAATCTGCTTACCATTATCCGAGCTTGAAATCATCGTATCGGGGCATGACTCATGGATGTGTCGGACTTTGTGCTCTCAGACCAATTTTCACACAATTATTAATCCCTTTAAAACAGCGGAGTCTGAGAACGGTTCACTTGGATGTCCCTCCGTCATTCTTACTGCGTATTTTTGAACATGAACTTGGATTTACAAACTCCTGTTAAAAAGTCAATATTCTACCTGCATGGAGAAACCATTGTTTGCAACAGTCACATTCACGTCTGTTCCCCCGCAGCCCTTCACCGCCGCCGTCGTCTCATCATAAATATTAATAATATTCTTCTCTTCTTCCTTTTTCACCTCTTCGCTCTTTCAGCATCACCCTCAGATTGTGTCCCAGCTTTTCTCTGCGTTTACAAAACTCACAAATACAGCGAGGCAAAAAAAAAGAGAAAACAGAAACACCTGTTATGATGCAACGCAGCGCAATCCAGGAGTCCTACCGTGAACACTTCCAGACTTTAATGGAGTGAAGTCGGCTCAGGTTAGACTTTGTTACACAGCTTTTTAGTCGTGTACTTTTCTGCTTTATTTAGCATGTTCTCAACTATTACTGCGTCTCTTTCTTCTTTTTCTTGTTATCGGGGACTTTTTGTACTTAATTGGAGAGTTGAGAGAGAAAAAGTCAAGGCTGGGACTCGAACCAGAAACCACCAACACAAAGACCGTTGCTCCTCTTCCCCTGGTTTGAAGGGCGTGAGCTCTCCTTACTACGATCATGGTTTAAGTTCTTTATAATGTGATTTCTCGGAATAAAGGGGCAGATTATTGAAGATTATTCTTCTTTCTGCTCCTTTTATTCAGATGTAAGAACTATTGTGTACACTGTTTTTTGAATTGATTCAATTTTAATTAAAATTAAAATAAAAGATAACGTAACACTTTATTTGACGCCTATCGCTATAACCCACTATAAATATATGTATAATGCGTCTTAATCACAATATAGTGCTGTATAAATACAGTTGTAAACACTCAAACGATTATAATGCTTTATGTCAATAATCATAACGAGGCCTGGGCGATTTGGCTTAAAAAAATGATCACGATATATTTTGTCATATCGTCCGATTTCGATTATTATCACGATTTTTTTAAACTGCCTGTTTTAAAGCATCTGTACTAAAATCTAAAGAAACTAGAGATGAGTTCAACATTTTATGAACATACAAAGTAAATAACAAAATAAATTAAATAAGATCGCCCACTTTAGAGATAATAAAGACGCCTTAAAATGTAAACATTAGATGATGTAAACGTAGATGATACGATTGATTGCTGTTTTGGTCTGGTGGCTGCACCGCTAGTTGTGGCTAAACTACTTGTGCCGTCACATTTGCCCACATTTTCATGCTTTAATCATAATCTCTCGAGAAGAACTTCTTCAAATAAACAGATCTGTTGTGTTGTCGGTTTTTGAGGGCACCAATTGATGACATATCTTAAACATCGGCTTAATCGCTCTACGTCACTTTGGAGATACCCGAACCCTCGCCACACAACCAATGTTGGATAACTTCTGAACAATAACATCTTTGGAGGATGACTCAAAGTCATGGCTGATGTCTACTTTGCTGCCCTCAGCTCTGAGTTTAGGTCCACACTCAGTTATTCTGTTTACTTCTCCTGTAACTTACAGAAGTGAGCAGTAAAAGCTCGACTCTGATTGGCTGTTGTGACGCACAATCCCGCTATGTTTGATCGAGTAAATAATAAAAAAAATTATAGAGCATTTTATCATGACTTACAAAGTCAGGTTTTATAATGTGTTATAACTGTTAACAACTCACTGACACTGCCCACATAGATAATGCAATGCAACACATTTATAATAAGTCATGATAAATGCTTTATAATGTGTTATAATTATTGCTATAAAGCATTATGATCATTTATGAGTGTTTATAATTATAGGTATACAGAGCTATACTGTGTTTATAATGCATTTTACGTATATTGATAATGCGTTATAGAGATAGGCATCAAATAAAGTGTTACCAATAAGAATAATACTGATACATAATAATAATAATGTTTTATTTATAAGAGCCTTTCTGAGAACTCAAGGACACTTCAGAGGAAGAATGAAAAACAGCAGCAAACATGTCTTAACCTCTTTGAGTCTGAGAGGCGGTTTGTGATGAAAATTACACTCCAGTGTCCTTAACTATTAAAAGAATCATGCAAACCGTTGCCATGGAGACTGTACACAAAGGCATGTGCATGGAGATACTGTAGTTTCACCTGACACCAGCAGTTGTAGTAAAAGGCATTCAGATGTAGTCCTGATAGTGTTGTGGACTAAACCAGGTCCTGAGAGTCCCGGCTGCAGGTCTGAAACAAGTCCTCGGGTTGTTCTGAGTAAATAAAGACGCCCCACAGAGGGACTACAGAGGAACGGCCGGACTTTGTATGCAGTGTGAGTGTAAATACAAAGAGCCAGAAGACAATAGAAAAGCATTGACTCCAACAAAAACACTGCTCATGCACTAAAAATTCAAAAGGCATTCATAAGTGGACTCCCAATCTCCATCAGCAGCCGGGGCGTATTTTTCAGCGAGACCAATAGTTGGAGTTGTGCCTATCGAAGCAGCATCTTTATTCGGATGGAAAATGAATCCTCAAGGAACATGGCCAGGCGCTTTATTGTGTATGCAGTGTGTGGCCAGGTTCAAATTGGCAATCAATTATCCAATTAAGACTGACAGAAATGCACATCAGGAATTCCAGCCCATCAGTCCAAGCTTCTGATTGGAACACGATTAGAGGGACTTAATTAAACCCTAGGTGCTGGGTGTTTAAACATCATTTGTGCGGCGTCGGAGGGCTTGGAAAATATAAATCTGGACTCCAGATTCTCCACGCTTATCCCACTTATGGAGCAGGAAAAACCTTGTAAAACGTCCCTTTGATGCCTCCCTGTATGCGGCCATGTTGGATATTCAAAGAGGAGCGAGCGGCGTGGAAACACACGCCCTTGGGAAGATCAGAAGAAAGAGATAAATATTTGTGAGAATTGCACAGTACAATGCAATAACAATAGCCACCATGATATTGTGCCACATTAGTCTTAAAACCATTCCCACGGTTTAGCAGCTTCTGAATAATTCAAGGACACGGCGCACCATGGAGAGCTGTATAAGTGTGATGTGTAGGATGAAATGCAGCTTTCTTCTTCTTCTTCTTCTTCTTCTTGGGGGGAATTTTCTTCTTCCTCCTTCTCCTCCTTCTCCTCCTCCTCCTGTGCTGTGGTTGTTTAGTGCCCGTATTGATTTCTGAGCTGTTTCTTCCTCCTATGTCAGACAGTGTGAAATGGAAGGCACTGCATTTTAATATTGGGTTGTGAATTAATCATTTTTTCCTGATAGCGAAGCTCAGCTCTGTCCCTGTAGGAGAACACCTTATCACAGCAAATAGGATTCAAAGGGAGAGGAGCAGTATAATCCACAGCTAATTGGATGAAATGGCTGCGCTCTCTCCCTCCTTCTAGGGCCCGGCGTCCACGCAGCCCCCTCCACAGGGAGCTCCGAGCCACCGAAGAGGTTATTACAGTTTGTCCTTAGGGAGCATTAATACCTTAGCCCTTGTTCAGACATGCAAATAATCTAATTCAAGGTCTAGCTAATTAACAACTTAGCTACAGTAAAGATAAAGAGGCTCAATAATAAGCCGCGGCTTTTGGTAGGAGGGCAGTGCACCACCTACCAAAGATACACCAATGTCACTAAAAAACAGGGGGTGGACTCTGAAATGAGCAAACAACCTTGTGTTTTAATGAAAAAGAAGAGCTTTGAGCGAAATACAGAGCAATTAATACCAAAAGTAGTTAGGAAAAAGGACTGTTGGACAAGTAGAACCTGCTAATCTAATTTTCAGGAGGGCGGGGGGAGGTAGGTCTGACCACGGCCTTTAAAGAAAACACCTCATTGGTTCCCGCTCATTAGCTAAGTCCACCATGACTTTATCCTGTGTGTCATCAGGCTGCAGAAAACAAACGTGTCACAGAAATAATGTTGATTTTAGCAGATATTTGAAAACCAAAGTCATTTTACTTAAGTCCCAATTTAGTTAATGCATGTCTCTGTAACTGACATGCATCAGAAATGGAGTCAGAGGGAGTTAAAGATCACTGTGCAAATATAGCAGATAAAGTGAACACTGCACCCCTCAGCTAATTTAGCTTGTTAACAGGAGTGTGTTTGTTTAATTTTGAGTTACAGGTTGATGCAGAGAAAGTATCAGTGATGTTGGCGAAACATTTTCATTTCCTCATTGTCTCACGTAAACAAAACAGACGTCTGTCGTAGTTTTTATAAACAGTATCCCAAGTTATTCTCTTAATCAGGACACATCATTTTCAAGTCTTTGTGCTCTTGAAGCTTCTTATAGGGACTATCAGGTTGAGGTGATTCTGGCGCCCCCTCTGGACAGAGTAGGACGGTTTATCTCTGCACTGGTCTTTCCCTGTGCATGTGTAAATAACGCTTTCTTTGATTAATAACAGATAAATAACAGGTTTACAGCGTTAATCAAGCTTCTCTGTAGTGGTCTGGTTTTCTTTTGACTCAGTTTTAATTCTGGGTCATTTAGTAGCAAAGACGTACAACAATGTAGATGTTGCTGATCTGTCCTCAGGTGAGATCCTTGAGCCCAAACAGAGAGACAGAGGTGAACAAGTGAGATAGATAACAGGATGAGAGAGCTAAACCCGCTTAAGATCCTGTTTTCTGATTTTTTTTGATCTAAAGAGCTTCTAAACTCGAACCCAGATCTGCGCAAACCTGCAAGAAAGAGCTGTAAGCAGCCTCTCTTGGTCTTGATATTTAACTCTAAGTTTCTTTATCCTTTAATTTCTCTTTTTGTCTTTGTATTTATGCTGCTGTGATTTGGAATTTCCCCCCCTGCTGGACTTATAAAGGAATGTCTTTTCTTATTTTCTCCTGTGCGTCTGCGCTCCGCTTTCCATCACACCTACAACTCCTACAGAACAAGTGAGCGCATTAACAGAACGCTGCAGAGACGGCTTTTGTTTACTTTTTAGACATATAGATTTGTTTCTCATATAAGATCCTTATAGGCGCTTTAATATCACATAAAGATATTTTTGCAGTTATCCATCACCCCTCCTCCTCCTCAGCAGTTATTATTCTACTTTCAACAATAACTGAAATAAAGTGGGTTATAAAACCTGCTGCTGTCTTACAGGAGAACTGCGTTTATTCTTACATAACTCCTGCTGCCGTTTAATAAACATATAAACAGGTTAAATTCTGCACATGAACTCTGCTCCGTATTGATTTCATGTGTTTTGGGCCCGGCTGTTAACCTCTGCAGCTCATGTGCTCACAGAACGTAAAGTGATCTATCTGCATGAGAGGTTTTCAGTGAGTGATCAGATGGATATGTCAACATTTTTCTGACACTTAGCATGCTTAAGTCTAATAAGAGTTTCTCCTTGAGTGCCCATGCAGCGCAGTGTGGGCACTTATTTGAATAGCCTCTGTGGGCTGTTGTCTCATAATAAGGAAAAAAAGAGAAAAACATGTTTTAAGGCGTCTCTCTGGCTTTTCCAGGCTCAAATGTTAATCCCGCTTTAGCAAGGTTACATGGTCAAGGTTGCCAAATTACCAACGAGCACTAATCACCCCTGCCTCCGAGCCAGTCTGGCTCAGAAGCAAACACTGTGGAACATCGCTCCCAGCCCCCCGCTCAACGCCTCGCCACACACACACAGACACGCACGCACACACACACATACGCTCTGCGCCTTTCCTGTGTATGAAATCGTGATTTACAACATCAATTTACATCTGCCAATATGAAATAACTTTTCCTTAAATACATCAAGTTTCTGCTCCAGAGGGTCGGCGCTCTCTCTGAGGTCATATAAAATCCCTCTGTAGCTCCGATCTCATATAAAGGATAAAACAAACACACAGATATCACTGACCTTTATAACCTGCACCATCAGAGGATCACTGTAAACTAAAACTGAACCTTAACAAACTGGAAAAACCTGATTTAATCTGATTTATTTCTAACTGACCATAAAAATAGAGAAATGTAAAAAGATAACAAGTATTTAAACCAGTTTAACTCTCTTTGAGCAGTAACGGTTATATATAGTATTATAGTATCTGTCATACTCTAGTGTTTAGGATGTGTAATCTACATTTAGTGAATGTTTTATATCTGTGTTATGAAAACTCGTGTAGAAAACTGTGTTATTTATCCTCCTCTCATCTGTGGTGGAACTAGAAAGAGAGTATAAGTCAATGATGAGGTTTGGATTGAAGTTGGGGTGTCCCGATACAACTGTTTCACCTCTGATACTTTACTGATATTGTTGCCTTCAGGATTGTCCGATGTCGATATTGATCCAATATTAGCACAAACTTGTGCATGACAAGTTTTGCGCTCAGTTGCAGCATCTTTTTCAGGCTTTAATGAAAATTACTGCCGATACAGGGCCGATATCACTCTCTACTTTGTTGGTACCTCAGTACACTCACTGTTGTTGTGATCATGTCGGCTCTGAACGCTGGATCCAGGTGCTGGAGTGGAGTCTGGAATGGACTGCCTATATCGGAGTGCAGATATCAGAGATTTTAGATGCAGGCCGATACAATCAGATATTTGATTTTTCATTGATATCAGACCAATATCTGATATCAATACCGTATCGGGACAGCCCTAATAATTAGTTCAGTGTATTCTCAGACTGGATGACGGTCTTTGGATACACCAGAAGGACAATCCAGACTGGATTTAACTGGTTCTGTTGATGCAGTATTTCCAGGTGGCGCTGTTTTTCTGAGTGTGTTCAGGCTGGGTCTCCTCTAAAGACGATGTTGACGTTTGGCTGAGCTAGAGAAGTTTAAAAGTCATGGTGAGACATCTTGCTGACCACGCCCTCAAGGATATCTTTAACAAAAATGATGCAGAGATGTTTGGATCATGAAGTGATAGTTTGGTATTTCCTGCAGAATGACTGACATGAATGTGTTCAGGTCTGCGCTTCTATAAAACACGCTGAGTTTGGAGCATGCATGGCTGAGATAAAAACTACTTCCTGTGCCATGGCCACGCCCCTCTTGATGATCTGATAACCCTTGATAACTTCTCGTGGTTCAGGTCTCTTCTAGCTGTGAAACTAGTTTAAAGGTAATTAGATCTTCCTTTTTCATAATGGACTAAAAACTGTTGATTTCTGGCGGTAAGGTCATCAGATTAGTAATCATTTAAGGAGGAGACGAACAACGATTGTTCGGATTTTAATCTGATCTTTGACCTCTTGCTGCTCGAGTCTAGCTAACAAACAAACAAACAAACCGTGATCGTCCTGTGACGCTCATCATCTCCTCTCATGTCACGCTGCATTCACAGACAGGCCGGTTTTCATAATCTCCTCATAATAATCATGCTATAGTATTCTTAGGAGGACGTCTTATTAAGAGCGGGATTATTGCAAAGGGTTAATGAAAGTATAGCAGAAAATATTGTATAGCAAGTGTTAGAGTCCAATCACTCTTTTTAATAGCTTTGTAGCGGCCAGAAAATCAAGTATTCATGAAGATTGAGGAAGATGATCCAGTGAACTTCAATTTAATTGGTGCAAATTAAAACAATCCATCTTTTGCAGCTGTCTATCTATCTGCTATCACCACTTCATTGCTCGTCTTGCACCTTGATTACAATTATCTTTTAATAGCAAAACTTGTCAGCAATTTCTCTCCCTTCTGATTTACGTGGCGGCCCAACACGGCGTTGTTCCACTCGTATAACTCATGTTTTAGTGTAATGCAGAGTGAGCCTCCGCTGGGCAGACGTAAGATGTATTGACACCATCACCTCATATCTGCTGGGTGCTGTGACATATAGCAAACTGTCTCTCTGCAGCAGCAGCACTCGCAGCAATCCTTCCCTCATTCATACCAAAAGAGCGTGTTTGCATGGCGGGCTGCGGCCCCTGCAGACCACCCTCAGAGCCGAGTACATCAATGGATTACAAAATAAATGCATATGCAGACACTATTTTTTGCAGTGTCCAATAATGGTTCCAGGCAATTAGATGGAGAGATGACACTCTGACTTTTAATTTGGGACAGAGTGATCTCTCTCTCTCTCTCTCTGTCTCTGTCTCTATCTCTCTCTCTCTCTCTCTCTCTCTCCTTCCTCTCACCTGATGTGCTGAGCTCAGGCCTTTCCAGAGATACATGACTGTCGTCTTATTTTATCATAAAATGGGATCTCGCCGTTTCAAAGCGACGACTGGATGTCTGAGCGCTCGTCTTAAGTGACTTTAGATTTCATCGTCGACGCCGGTGGAGGTGCTTTGGGATCGGAGGGCGTCGATATCAGAGGATGAGTGTAAAACAACATGATGGAATAATGAGCGGGGGAACAAAAGCTGCTTTATATTCCTGTTTTGGTTTTTTTCAAATCAAACCTAAGTACACTTCTCGGTTGGATTGTAACGTCTAAGTGAGGCCGGTGTGAGTGTCAGAGCAGCCTTCATTAGAAAAATCAATATTTTTGTGATTCTTCCTCCCAAAGTATCAGCAGCAGACTCGTTGAGTTCGCAATAAAACACGAAGAGTCTGAGAGTTTCAGCATTTGGAATTACTGGACATTACAGCAAACGAGCCATGCATGGGCAATAATGGACACAGACAGATACAAAACAAAGCAAACGTTCATATTTTATGAAAGTTCATATCAAGAAATGTGATCAATGGGAGAAAAAGCTTTGCTCTCGACCGTTTTATTGCCAATAATGATTCACTTACCGGACATTATAGATGCGTTATGCTCTTATGATTCGAGGTAATCTGTGCAATTAAAAAAGGAGCTTTAGGAAGGTGGAGAGACAGAACTCCAAAGATGGAGGATTTACAAATGTTCGATATGTTTTTGGGGGGAAAACGGGAGAAGAAGAAGAAGAAATCTCGGCGTGCTTTGGGGAATCGCTCGGCCGTTTCCACTGTGCCCCAAATAAACTTGGATGTTCTCCATCCATCAGTTGACTACATGGAGAGCTGACCTGTCATAAATTCACTCTGTGGGGATGATGACAGGGCCGGAGCCAATCTTCATGAAAGAATAAAAAAATGGCACCAGCTTCCCATCCCCCCCCTACCTCCACTCTCTCCGAGTCCCCCCTTCCAACCCCGACTCACCCTTCACCCTCAGCACTGGAGCACCATGGCTCCCTATCTCCCTGCCTATCTCTCTCTCTCTCTCTCTCTCTCTCTCTCTGCTCCAGCCAGGCTCTCTCTCCCTCTCTCCCCCTTTTCTCTCCATGGGTAAGCAGGTAATCATGAGCTGTCACAGAAAGGTGACCCATTAATGTGATGGATACGGTGTGAAAAACAAATGGTGTGAAACGTGTGGATTGCTGTCCTTACTGCACCTTGGCCTTTTGTTCTGTCATATCAATATCCACACAGGGCCTCATTACACCGCTGCACTACACAATGAGTGGAGCGCCAGGGTCAAGACTGCGCCACGCTCCCTTTGACTGGGCTTTTCAGCTCAAACCTCACCCCAAAGGACTCCCAGGTAAACAGGAAGAAGAGGGGCGGCCTCTGGAGCCACAGACAGCACGCATCACCCCAGACCAAATAAGGGAGCCCCTCCACAGTCCTGAATCCATCAGGGGCCCTGACTGGGCTGCAGACAATAGATACAGGGAGGAGGAGGAGGAGGAGTGATTCAGTCTTGGGTGTCACAGTCACCAACAGACTCTTTTTTTATTTTCCTATTTTATTCTGAACTGCTTCAAAAAGTGTCAGAAAAACCGCCTCGCTGGTTCAGGCTAGTTTGTGGTATACATGGAAATAACAATCTCACTATTGTGATCGTGTTTGAAGGAAAACTGCCAAAGATTAGATAAATATATCTGTATTTTTTTTAACATAGAGGTTCAGTAAATACGTCCCACATCTGTAAAACTGTCCCTGCATGCACATCGTTAATGCATCATCTGTTTGGCCGATAATTACATCTGCAGAAATGTTTCTATCTGTTCAATATTCTTATCAAATGGAAAAACAAAAACATGTTATTGCCATTTTATCAGCCTTAGGTCCGCCTGTGCAGTATTCGTTATTAATAAGATCTCAGTTATTACTCCCCTGAAGAATACCTTTACTTCTGTTATTTTAACCTTTAAATGGACCGTTGTTTATAAAATCTACTTTATGCTGCATTAAAAAAAGACATAAAACTAGCAAAAACTTGAGACCAAAGCTTTGACTGAAAAAATCTTTACTAGGCACTGCAATCTAGGAGTCCATCTGAACCCATCCAGACCTGCTGACTGTCTAAGGCACTCTCTTTTGAATGGTGAAGTCTAGGGCCCGACCGATTTATCAGTCAGTCTTCCTGTCAACGTGAAGAGCAGTAGCCTACAGTATAGCTACAGTATTTATGTTTTTTTTTATAACCGAATAAAAATTTTTAAAAATCGGCCAATTAATCGGTAATCCGACCCCCCCAACCACCAATAATCGGTACCCAAAAAATCCATATCGATTAGGCCCTAGTTAAGTCCCTCGCTAACCTCCAAAGCTGCGTTTTGAAGCTAAATGATGTTCATCAGAAATCTTGACTCAACCGGACGTTCAGTCAACATAGAAAAAATTTTACCTCACTGTTTAAAATCTTTAGAACCAGTTAATTACAAAGATAATGGAAATAAAAAATCACTCCCATCCAGTATATCTTAAAAATACACCAACTATTCAGATTAAAAAATGTCAACATTTCTGTTTCAGCCAATAACAAAATCGTTTGAATTTACCCTTGGCTTTTTTGCTCGAGTGCCCCAAGTGGACATTCCAGGTACTGCAGCTTTCGTAGACAGGTTTCGTGTTTTCCTGCACAACGCTTATTTGAAGCTCCTCCACTTTGTTGTTACTGTTTTAACCAGAGCCCTGGTCCACTTCATGCAAACAGTCTTGGATTGAATCTACACGATAAGAAAAGGTGTTTTTTTTTTGTAGACACGCTGGAGCTTTAACTGTTAGTTAGAGAAAAAAAATCCCTTTTTTTTCTGCAGACTTTTCAGACCCTCCGCCTATAGATCACATTTTCCCAGACAATAGCAGGTCACATCCTGATAATTGAAACTCTACATTGCCCGACTGTGTGTGAACAGCAGCAAAAGAATCAATAAGTGGGACTTGTATGAATGTGTATGGACTCCTAAATTGCTTCAGGCATGCTGTAAGATGGGCACTTAGATTTTCAAAGAGCCGTACTGCCAGTCAAGGTCAGAGGGGGGAGCAGTGAGGAGCTACTGTATCACCGTCCTGGACTAACCCGGCCTGCACTGTCCATTATAGTCCCCCCGTCAGCCGGTCAAGTACTTATTAAAGACCGGGGCTAATTCCACTGCCAAGACCTGTGATCCAGCGAGTAACAGCTAATCACCAATTAAGAAATATTATGGATCGCAATCAATTGATTTTATGTGCGGAGTATGGACTCTGGAGGATTGTTCATTATGAAGCTACAGAGCTGAAATATAGACCTCAGTCTGTGGGTCAGTTCTGATCTGATCCATCCAGACCCTCATACGTAGAATCAGGTTTTTCCTTCTGTAGATGGTCTCTGTGTGTGAGCCAGAAGAAGGGATGTCGATAGAGCCTGCGTGTCCCCCCTGAGGTCTACAGTGGTGGTCTAGTAGACACCTCAGATGAAACACTGGAGACTCTATTAAGGACAGTGGTTACGGGCCACAGACTAATCCACTATGACAAACTGGAGGTGTCCTGTTATTTCCAGAGCCGGTGATGAATCGCGGGCTGGAGTCCCCCATGCTGTCATGTCAGAGTGGAGCTGAAACAGATTGAGAGGGAGCTGACAGCAGATTGATGTTGCTGGCTTCTTCTCTCTCCTCTAAAACCCACAGAATCAGTCCATTAGCCCTCCTCCCATTTGACTATCATTCTGCTCAGGCAGCTGCCCCCACACTCAGATCTGAAACCCATCCAGGGTCTCCGCCAGAACAGAGAGACTGGTCCAGACTGTCAATGTGAGCTAACACCAGACCTCTTTTTACACGGCCTGTTTTTGACTTTTTTTTGCAATAGTTTCACGTATAATAATATATAATAGTGTTTAATAATTTTTCACTATGTTATATATTTTTTTACATAATGGCGTTTAAAGTGATATTAGCATTTTAAACAAAAAGACGAGAAAAGGCTGTAAAATATCAAACATTAAAGCTCCTGTGAGGAGATTTCATCAGGTTCAGAAACTGACTTAAATTTATATCCTAGTTTCATAATGACCCCCCCAAAAAAAACAAAAAAACAAACAAGACCATCAGATGAGGGTGTCTGTTTGTAAATATTTATTAATGTGTGAAATAAGGGTGCACTGATCACAATTTTCTGGCCAATCACCGATCTTTAAAAAGCTTCACCTGCCGATATTGATTTTGGCCGATACTGATTTTTTTTTAATTACTAACAACAAACATCTTTGATGCTCTGATCTTATTTTAATGAAAGACATTGAACAATATTTGTGAAAAAATACAAACTTTTTGTATTTGTTATAACTGCACATAAGATCATAATCTACAGAACAAACTAACAACAAAACTTAAACCACCAATAAACTGTCATGAGTTTGAGGTTTCCTTGTTGCGGGTTCAATATGCTCGGTTAATCATGCTCCGGATGACTGTTTTATGTGCCGCTGGCGCTGACGCACACGTGTGTTCACACGTGACCTTAAATTTCAGACTTTTATATTTTTATCTTTTCTATCATGGGTCTGTTTTTGTCCTCTGAGCTCTTGATCAACTTATCTTGAAGCGTGAGAAGAATTAGCTGGGTACGGTTAAGCGCACAGTTTTGCACACAGGAAAACATGGCTGGACACAGCTGGGGGTGTTACTTTTTACACAGTTTTGAGGTTATAGAATAGAATAGAATAGAATAGAATATTCCTTTATTGATCCCCCATGGGGGAAATTTTTTTGTCACAGCAGCATCACAGACAAGACAGAAAGTGCAAAATGCAGTTATAACAATAAGGGTCCTAATATTAAGAACTTAAAAAATGTAATAATTAAGAAAAAAAATTGAAAAAGAGAAAAGGGAGAAGAAAAAATAAAGCTTTCTGCAATATACACAATTTAAATGCCATAAAAAAGTGGTGGTGTAAATCCAGTTTTGTTACTGTTCATTGTAAAGTCTTATTGCAGAGGGGAGGAATGATCTGCGGTAGCGCTCCGTCCTGCAGGGTGGGAGTCTCAGTCTGCTGCTGAAGGAGCTGCCTAAAGCCCCCACAGTCTGGTGCAGTGGGTGAGAGGGATTGTCCATGATGGATACGAGCTTTGTTAACATCCTCCTCTCACCCACCTCCTCCAGGGAGTCCAAAGAGCAGTCCAGGACAGAACCGGCCCTCCTGACCAGTCTATTCAGTCTCTTCCTGTCCCTCTCGGTGCTCCCTGCCCCCCAGCAGACCACTGCATAGAAAAGTGCAGATGCTACCACAGAGTCATAGAAAGTCCTGAGCAGAGTCCTGCACACTCCAAAGGACCTCAGTCTCCTCAGCAGGTGGAGACGACTCTGGCCCTTCTTGTACAGAACGTCTGTGTTATGAATTAACCCACAGGTTCTGCCTTCACAGGAAATGTCCAGGTTTCAATCAAGATGCAAATCCAGCTCATACTGGCTTTTAGACTTATTAGCTAACTGGTGAGCACAAACCACTCTGACGTCTTGAAAACATAAAAAATTACAGCTAGCACCGTACAAAGAGGACACTAAATTGTGTCCTGGAAAACAAATGTAGCGATTATTCCTCGTGTGTCTCATCTTTATAAAATACTCCTTTAACAGACGCTAACATCGTCTGCTGTGTTTGGACTGGATCTGTTTTTATTGACACCATGGTTGGCGCTGAGAAAGCTCAACCTCCATGTCACGTGTAAAGACAGGTTTGATGTTGTCAGCTGATCTCTGATGACGTTCGGAGGCTGTAAGTCTAAATTATTTACTCTGATAATAGCTGGAATCTTCAGCCAGAGGTTAGCTGTAGTTATCGTTAATGGAGGAATGAATGCAATGACAGTGCTCCACAGTAGGTCCTGCTGTGTCTATCTACACCCCCCCCACACGCCGCCTCTTCCTCTCCACCTCCTTCTCCCCGCGATGACCGCATCCCCGCCGTAATGTACCTGTGTGTGTGAAGGACACCCCGACCGGCAGGGCTATCACAGACACAATCTCACAGCACTTTAATAACTTTGAGAGCGGTCAGCACCCTGCGCTTTAATAACACTCCCTGTCAGCTCACCCCACACTGCGCAAAATTGTCTCGTTGGAATTCTTTATGGTGGAGGCCAAAGAACTCTGGTGATGGGGATGGAATATAGCCACGATCACGCCGCTTCTACCTCTAAATGGCTTTCCAAGAGTATGTTTTTATCTTTGGCTCAAAACAAACAGCAGAGCAGACAGGCGCTTGCTTTATGACGCAGCAATAAGCTTTTAAAATCAGCACTGTCCACTTTAAGGGAGAAAAAAAGTGGGCGTTTTTTTTTTTTTAAGAGTTTGCCAAAAGTTCACGCTGATAAAAATGTGAAAAGAGCTTGTTGAACTTTTCTTCAACAGGAGTAATTGGGAGGTTTGTGTGGATGTTTCATGTTTGATCTGCATCCTAGTTCACTCGAGCGCTACTCTGCGTTTGTCTTCTGATGTGTCAGAGTCACATGACG